AGCAACCTCCAAGCAGCTGTGGGATTCAATGAGGACTCGTTATCAAGGAAACGAGCGTGTTCAGAAGGCAAATCTGCAAGGATTAAGGCAAAACTTTGAGCTGCTGCAGATGAAAGAAGGAGAAACAGTGACCAGCTACTTCAGCAGGGTGATGGTCATCGCTAATTCAATGAGGAATTGCGGAGAAGACATGACAAACACTAAGATTGTTGAAAAGGTGCTTTGAACACTTACTAAGAAATTCATTTATATTGTGTGTTCAATTGAAGAATCCAAGGATATTGCTGAATTGTCAGTAGATGCTCTACAAAGTTCTCTGCTGGTTCATGAGCAGAAATTTGCAAAATCCCTACCTGATGAAGAACAAGCCTTGCCAGTGTTTGGTGGAGGTAGAGGAAGAGGAGGCAGAACTGGGTATCAAGGTAGTGGGTGCAGCAACCACATGTGTGGTGACAAGAGCTGGTTTATCAAGCTAGATACAAGCTTCAAAAGTGATGTTAAATTAGGGAATGGAAACACACTGGAGGTTCAAGGGAAATGATCTATTAAAATGCAAGTTGATGAAGTTCCCCTTGTCTTTCAGAATGTGTTCTTTGTTCCTAGCCTAAAATCAAATCTCCTAAGTGTGGGACAGATGCAGGAGAAGAATCTGGAGTTCACAATCAAGAATGGGAAATGCAGGATTTATCATGAGCAGCATGGTCTACTGCTCCAAACATCCATGAAGTCAAACAGAATGTTTGTCTTGCAAGCAAAACGTGGTGCTAAAGAAGGAAGCTACTGCTTGCAGGCTAACCATCCTGACACACTGAACCTATGGCATCGAAGGTTTGGTCATCTGAGCAAAGGTGGCCTGCTTCAACTGCAACAAAAGGAGCTGGTACAGGGACTTCCAAAGCTGACTAGTGAACTTGAAGTCTGTGGAACCTGCATGATTGGCAAGCAATGCAGGGCCAAGTTTCCAAAGAAAGGAGCATAGAGGGCTATTAAACCACTCCAACTGCTACATGCTGATTTCTGTGGACCCATTACTCCTAGCTCAAATGGAGGAAAAAGGTACATCATGACTCTTACATATGACTATAGCAGAAAGCTTTGGGTCTACTTTCTATCTGCAAAATCAGAGGCTTTAACTTGGTTCAAAAGTTTTAAAGCTCAAGTAGAGAATGAAACTGGCAGAACCATTACATGTCTTAGAACTGATAAAGGTGGAGAGTTTCTATTGCATGAATTTAGAGATGTCTGTGAAGAAGCAGGTATCAGGAGGCAATTAACAGCTGCTCTTACCCCTCAGTAAAATGGTGTTGCTGAGAGGAAGAACAGAACCATCATGAACATGGTCAGGTGTTCATTATAGGACACTAAGTTTCCAGCATCTTTCTGGCCAGAGGCTGTAGGATGGGCTACACACATTCTAAACAGAAGTCCAACTAAAGCCAATGATGGCAAGACACCACAAGAAAGATGGATTGGAAAACCTCCTTCTGAGAATCATCTCAAGGTGTTTGGCTGTGTGGCTTATGCCCATGTTCATGAAAGTCTGAGGAAGAAGTTAGATGACAAGAGTGTGAAGTGTAACTTCCTAGGACTATCTAAGGAGTCCAAAGCATACAAGCTGTTCAATCCTGAAACAAAGAAGGTCATCATTAGCCGAGATGTGATCTTCAATGAAAAGGAAGGTTGGATTTGGAAGACTGAAACAGAACCAATTGTCACCAGACTGGTATGGGAAGGAAAAGAAGAAGCCTGGTATGATTCAGAAGAGGAGGAAGAACAAACTGGTGAGGGAACTGAAAATATTGTTGAAGTGGCAACTGAAGAGGAGACTGAAGAAGAGACTGAGAACAATTCAAATCAGGACACTTCAAATCCCACAAGTTCTGAAGCATCTGCAGAACCAACTACACCAGTCAGTACAGAATTAGAAGAAGAGGAAGAAGAAAGGACTGATGCCTTGGGACTCCCAATCAACAGTGAACTAGGACCAAGAACTCGCAAGTTCCCAAGTCGCTTTGATGACTTTGATTGTCGAGGGATGCCTGACTTAACATTTGCTGAGACTGACTGGTGGGCTCTAGCTGCTGTCAGTGGTGATCCAAGTTCATTTGAGGAAGCTGTACTTGAAGAAAGATGGAGAAAAGCTATGGAACAAGAGATTGAAGCTATCAAAAGGAATCTTACATGGATTCTAGTTGACAAACCAGAAGGAGTAACTCCAATTGGAGTCAAGTGGGTGTACAGAACTAAGTTAAAGGAAGATGGCACCATTGACAAGTTCAAAGCTAGGCTTGTGGCAAAAGGATATGCTCAGAAGTATGGGGTAGATTATGATGAAGTGTTTGCACCAGTTGCAAGATGGGACACAATCAAAACCTTTTTGGCACTTGCTGCACAGTATAATCTGACTGTATATCAGTTAGATGTAAAAAGTGCTTTCTTGTAGGGAGAACTCACAGAAGAAGTTTACATTGAACAACCAAGAGGCTTTGAAGTTCCTGGAGAAGAAGGCAAAGTGTATAAGCTGCAAAAGGCTCTGTATGGCCTAAAACAGGCTCCCAGAGCATGGTTCAGCAGGATTGAAGCTTACTTTCTTAGCACTGGCTTTGAAAGATGTGAGTTTGAGCATACCTTATTCGTGAAAAGAAGGGAAGGGAATGTGCTAATGGTCAGTGTATATGTTGATGACCTAATCTATGCCAGTACTAGCTCTGAGATGCTGAAAGAATTTAAGGAGTCCATGGAAGCTGAGTTTGAAATGACAGACTTGGGAAAAATGAAATTCTTCTTGGGAGTGGAGGTAATTCAATCATCAACTGGCATTTTCATTTCCAAGCAGAAGTATATCAGTGAGGTACTCGAAAGATTCCATCTTGCAGATTGCAACTATGTTCATAACCCTATGGCTCCAGGAACTAAGCTTTCAAAAGCTGGAGATGGCATTATGGCAAGTGCAACTGAGTATAAACAGAATATTGGGAGTCTGTTGTATGCAACAGCCACAAGGCCAGACATCATGTATGTGGTCTGTTTGCTGATCAGGTATATGGATAAGCCTACAAAACAACATAAGCTTGCAGCAAAGAGGGTGCTAAGATACCTGAAGGGGACACTGAGATTTGGGCTGCTGTACAAAAGATAAGAAGAAGGAGGCAACTTGATTGGATACACAGATAGTGACTACGATGGTGACTTGGATGATAGAAAAAGTACCAGTGGGTACACCTTCTTTCTTGCAGGTGGAGCAGTCTCATGGAGCTCGAAGAAACAGCCTGTTGTCACCCTTTCAACAACAGAGGCAGAGTTTGTAGCTGCATCTTTTTGTGCAGCTCAGTGTGTGTGGTTAAAGAGGATTGTGACTCAAATGGGTTGGCTGGAATGTGTGAAAGGAACAACCAGGATCTTGTGTGACAATAGCTCAGCTATCAAACTCTCCAAGAACCCAGTTATGCATGGCAAAAGCAAACATATAGATGTTCGCTTTCATTTCTTAAGGGAGCTGGCTAGAAATGGAACAATAGAGCTGGAGCATTGTGGAACTGCAGATCAGATAGTGGATATAATGACCAAGCCATTGAAGTTGGAAACTTTCCAATTGTTACGAAGCAATCTTGGACTGGTTGATGGAGCTGAGTTAGGATCTGAAGGTTGATGAACTGAAGCTGTTTGAAACAGGCTTCAGTTCAGGGGAGGCTGTTGAAGAAGCTAAAGTGTCGATGGAAGTGCTGATGAATCCGAATCCGCTATGGAGAAGGAAAAGAGCTGAGGTCAAAACTGTGTCGTTGAAGGTTTTATTTCTTAAATGTGGTTTTAGACTGTGTCGTTTGGCATTTTTCTGTTTTGGTCATTATTGTTTGGTTAGTGTCAGTAGCAGTCAGTCTGGCTAAACTAGCCGTTGCAGGGGTTAACGTTAGCAGAGCAATGTTAGTCTTGGAGCTAATCTCCAGGGATTCAGTAGTTAGAATTGAGTGTCAAAGCCGAGTCTGAAGGCTTTCAGTTGAGTGTCCTGTGTATAAAGATTGATTTCCATTCAATGAATAAAGTCGTCAGTTTGCATTCCAATTGCTTTCAATTCGTATGGTCAGGCTTCAGCTCCAATTTCGTGAAATCCATATCTTTCACCTCTCTTTCACCGTCGCCGTAATAGCCATCGGCAGCGGCGGCGGCAGCCTTGTACTTCTTCGTCGGGCGCTCCTTATGGTCATCATGATGAGACATCTTCTTTACTAAAAGATTTATATAAATTACAAGACTTGTACAACAAGTAAAAGAAATCTAGAAGAATAAGGAAAATATGAGATCGAAGCGGATGTCTCCTAGGCTGAACCCTAATGCTTCTGGGTTATCCGATGCATCATGGCATTAGACCCTTCAACCAATTTTTGTATAAATTTGAAATTTGAAATTTTCTATATTATGGTTGAGTGAATTAAATATTAAGGATTTAAGGGTGCTTAAGGATATTTGTTTTTTTTTTTTGAATGGATTGTTTGTACTTTGTAGGGTGAAGGAAAGTTTACATGTATAGAAGAGTAAAAATGTAATTATAACATTTTTAGAACAACACTGAATAAGTTTTAGGATAACGAATAGCCACTCTTAGAATCCAAAAAAATGTTTTAATATTATGGTACAAAATAGCTCACAAGGTTTGAGGGATTATATAACATTAGTTTTGTTTGAAATGTAAATGGTTAATACCTTAAATTGGCGTGAATTTTAGACTAATTGACTACGTTGGTGTGAGTTTTCTAAAACCTCCATCCTCTCCTAAAATAGTAGTAACTATTTGGACCACTTTGGTCTAACCCTAGTTTGACCATCAAGTTTGACAAAAGAAAGACGAGAGATTTTATTACTTCTTAGTTCTTACATTTCAAAGTGAAAACGCATTACAAAAAGAGTGTCTAGCTAGATGGAAACCCAAAACCACACATTTTTGTCCTAAAACAAATGGAATCACACATCACTTTGACTTAATTCATCACCTCATTACTTGCTACCTAGGGTGCATTGTAAGGGGTGGGAATGAGATACAAATTATTTTTTCTTGCAACGGTAGCTCCAAATTCTTCAGCCATGTCAAGCTCTTGGGGTTGGATTTGATTTGGGAGCTTCCAATCAAAATGATAGAGCAAACTGGCGAGTATAAGATACACGGAAGCAATCGCGTAGTTCATGCCCGGGCAGCTTCTTCGTCCAGCTCCAAATGGGATGAATTTAAAATCATTCCTCTTATAATCGAGAGACGTGTTGAGGAACCTCTCCGGCATAAATTGATCCGGTTGTGTCCAATGCGAGGGATCTCGACCTAGAGCCCACATATTGACAATGACTCTTGTTTTTGTTGGTATCTGGTAGCCACCAATCACAACCATTTCTGGACTCTCCCTTGGTAGCGACAAAGCAGCAGGAGGATGTAACCTGAAAGTTTCATTGACGACGGCTTTGAAATAGTGTAGTTCATCGAAGTAATCTTCATCTACTACTCCCCCCTTTCCATCAAACGCACCTCGCACTTCTATTTGCACCTTTTCCATCTCTTTAGGGTTCTTCATCAACTCGGCCATGATCCATTCAATGATAGTAGGGGAAGGGTCACCCCCAGCTAGGAATATGTCCTGCATTGCACATGTACATCAATATATTCATACAAATAATAATTGTGGGGAAACTAGCCGATTCATTTTACTTGGTATCATAATCTTAACTAATTGACTTTGAATCAAGTTGGAAGTTACTATGATCAAATATTATGTAAAATTAATTTTACATACCAAGATGACGGCTTTAACCTCAATGTGGTCTTCTGTGCACCTCAACAGCACATCAACTAGATCCTCTCCCTCCGTTCCTCCTGATCTTTTTGCTAAATGCTCGTCAATTATACCTTGAAGCATGGCATCTGCTTCTTTGTGGAGCTTCTTCAGCTGTCTCTCTGTTCCAGTGATCTGATGCAACCATCTGTGGGAAGGGAAGATGTCTCCCGTGCTGAGCCCTCCAAGCTGCTCGGTGATCCGACGCATCAGCGGCAGGAAAGCTCCCTCCAGCTCCCGGAACCTCCCAAACGCCGTCCTCGATGTCATGGCTCTGGACATCGAGATCAGTAGTTGGCTCAAGTTCACCGCTCCGCCGCCGTCGACGCTATCCGCGGCGGAGCCAGAAGTACTGTTGGGCTCTGTAACAAGACACATGTAAGTTTTGGGCTCTGTCCCAAAACACAGGTTGATTGAGCTTTTATAAATAAATTAATTTGAGGACACACCTGATCTCAACTTCTCGATCCGCCGCTGATCGCTACGACCACGAATCAACCTCATCAGCTTCCCGACCTCTGCCTCGCGAATCGGCCGCAACGACCGGACCCGCTTCTCCGTCAGCAGCTCCGATGTGCAGATCCGCCGCATCCGCCGCCAGTACTCCCCCTCCGACGAGAAAGCGATGTCCCTGCCGCCGTAGAAGATGATGCTGGCCGACGGCGTGTAAGACTTGTACGAGAAGTTGTGGTCGTGGGTTTTGAGATACTCTCTGGTTGTTTCAGGGGACGACAGCAGCACGTTCGAGGTCTCCCCGAGCTGGAGATGCATCACGGGGCCGTACTGCTTCGCTAATTCTGCGAAGCGGTGGTGGATGAGGGCGGATTTGGAGGAGAAGGCGAGCTGGTGGAGGTTTCCGATGACGGGGAGCTTCCATGGCCCTGGAGGCAGGGGAAAGGTTGAATTGTTCGGCTTGAGATGGGATTTGAGGATTAGAAGTAGAGTTAAGAAGAGGATGATAACGAGGAGGAGGATTGGTGGGTTACTGGTGATCAAAGAGATTATCATCATCTCATGATCGTTTGAGTTCACCCTCTGTTTCTGAGACTCTGTTTTGCATAATATAGCAGGGGATTTGAAAGATGATACTTCTTCGGGTCTGCTCTCCTAGCGTTGGCGGACCCCTAAACTTTGGGTAAGTGACAGTCACAGCAACAATTGAAGAAATTGACCCCAACCACTAATCAATAATTAACAACAAGTTTAAGAGCAAATTGTTAGGTTTCTTGTCTTATGGTGGAAAAACATCTTATAGTGGAAAATGATGGGTATTTCACTTTCGAAAATCTTTGTATTTTGTGATTTGTTGTAATATAAATTTGAAAGAGTGCATTATTTGAGAGATTTCCCATTAAAACATATGGTAGCATGAAAGGTAAACTTAAGATTGTGTAAGCCATAGCTTCATCCACGACTTTCCTTTTCCATCGAACACGTCTCACTTCTCTTCGTACATTTTCCAACGATAGTCACAACAACTATTGAAGAAATTGACCCCAGCCACTAATCAATAATTAACGACAAGTTGAAGAGCAAATTGTTAGGTTTCTTGTCTTATAGTGGGAAAACATCTTATAGTGGAAAATGATGGGTATTTCACTTTCGAAAATCTTTGTATTTTGTGATTTGTTGTAATATAAATTTGAAAGAGTGCATTATTTGAGAGATTTCCCATTAAAACATATGGTAGCACAAATTTACCAATGAAAGGTAAACTTAAGATTGTGTAAGCCATAGCTTCATCCACGACTTTCCTTTTCCATCGAACACGTCTCACTTCGCTTCGTACATTTACCAACGATAGTCACAACAACTATTGAAGAAATTGACCCCAACCACTAATCAATAATTAACGACAAGTTGAATAGCAAATTGTTAGGTTTCTTGTCTTATAGTGGGAAAACATCTTATAGTGGAAAATGATAGGTTTTTCACTTTGGAAAATCTTTCTGTTTATGTGATTTGTTGTAATATAAATTTGAAAGAGTGCATTATTTGTGTATTATTTGAGAGATTTCCAATTAAAATATTTGGTATCACAAATTTGCCAATAAAAGATAAACTTAAGGGGTCGTTTGGAAGTTGCGATTGTTTTGTTGAGATTGTCATTATGCATGTATTGTTTACAATGCATCGTTTTTTTGTTTTTTTTAGCAGAAACAATACATGAATTGTTTCTATGATGTGAGAGAAACTATCACTCATTTTGAGTGATTGTTATATCTCAACTTTTAGTTGTGATTGTTGAGATAGTTGAGATTGTTTTGTCTCAGCTTTTAGTTGATGCGACATACACAATCACACATATCAAACGTTGTATTCTACAATGCAGAAAATTCGACAATACATGTATAATATAAATGCATTCTCAATAATACATCTATTTAACAATCGCAACTTCCAAACGACCCCTAAGATTGTGTAAGTCATAGCTTCATCCACGACTTTCCTTTTCCATCGAACACGTCTCACTTCTCTTCGTACATTTTCCAATGATAATATGTTTGTAATATTCTCACAAATGTCACTTGCCAGATACTACTTTTTTTTTTTTTTTGCAACCAAATGTATTATTGGGAATCAAATACAACAAAACATGGTATATTTGACCCTCTTTTTTCTTACAGTACTTCCTGCTCACTGTGCATGGTAAGGGATGGGAATGAGATACAACTTATTCTTTCTTACCGTTGTAGCTCCAAATTCTTCAGACATGTCAAAGTCTTGGGGTTCGATTTGATTTGGGAGCTTCCAATCGAAATGGTAGAGCAGATTTGCGAGTAAAACATAAACAACAATAGTCCCATAGTTCATTCCTGGGCATATTCTTCGTCCGGCTCCAAATGGTATGAAGTGGAAATCCTTACCCTTGTAGTCTATGGAAGTGTCGAGGAATCTTTCTGGCAAAAATTGATCTGGTCGGGTCCAATGCGAGGGATCTCGGTTGATGGCCCACATATTGATGATGACCCTTGTTTTTGTTGGAACTTGGTATCCATCAATCACAACCTTTTCTCTACCCTCTCTTGGAATCGACAAAGGAACAGGAGGATGTAATCTAAGAGTTTCTTTGACAACCAATTTGAGATAATGTAATTCACCAAAACAAGCTTCATCCACGACTTTCCCTTTTTTGTCGAACACACGCCTCATTTCTCTTTGCACTTTTTCCATCTCTTTTGGGTTTTTCATCAATTCTGACATGGCCCATTCCACAACACCGGGAGAAGAGTCACCCCCCGCTAGGAACATGTCCTGCATCATCCGTGTATATCAAAATATTAATCAATAATTACGTGAAAGGATACACATACCTAATGTACGAGTGTAGTGATCCGAAATAAGTGATTGTTTACTCAGTATCAGAATCCTAACTAAATAATTTGATTTAATTATCTCGCACTTAAATTTTGAGATTATACTGGAAAATCATAGCACTTTTTGTTTTTGGGAGATAGATTATAGACAATATAGTGATATACTGATGGCTTTGGAGTGTTCCCACTCAATGACTATGAGTGCAAAAAGGCAAGTAAGGTTCTTTGGAAGTCAAGTTGGACATTGCAAATGCATATGATCGAGTTGAATGAGTTTTTTTTGGAGGCAATCATGGGAATACTTTGTGTTACATCAGTCTCCTTTTCTATTTTGGTTAATGGTCGTATTCTACCTAAGAAGGTGACTTAGACAAAGTGATCAAATGTCACCCTACGTGTTTCTTATAGTGGTAGAGGGATTATCAGGATTGATTACAAAGTGTGAAAGGGATAGAAAGATTAGTGGTATGTTGGTCAACAGATGGGCATCCACGATATCTCATTTACTCTTTGTCGATGATAATAAACTATTTACCCAGGCAAAACTACTCAAAATATGCACATTTATAGCATGTGTTTGAGCCTCTATGAGGCTGAGTCAGAACAGCATGTGGATTTGGTGAAATCGAAAAAATATTCTTTAGCCCTGATCGAAAATATTAATACGTACCAAAATGACGGCTTTAACCTCAACGTGGTCATCGGTGCAATTCAAGAGGACATCGACCAGATCTTCTCCTTCATCATATGTTCTTCTCCTTGTCCCCGTCGATCGCCTGCATAAGTGCTCGTCGATTATCTCTTGGAGGATCATATCTCCTTCTTCGTGAAGTTTCCTCAGTTTTCTCTCTGTTCCAGTGATCAGCCGCAACAACCGGCGGGAAGGAAAGATGTCCCCGACGCTGAACCCACCGATTGCCTGGACGACCCGATGTGCCAGCGTCAGGAAAGATCCCTCCAGCTCCCGGATCTTTCCGAACGCCGCCCTCGAGACCATCGTGCTGGCTGCCGCAATCAGGAGTTCGCTTAGGTTCACCATCCCTCCTCCGTACTTTGTTGCCACGACCGCTAATACAAAGAGTGACGAAGTCAGGAGTTGAAATTAGATGCTTCTGTTTTATATATAAATAAATTGTTACAATTGGAGATTCATTTATAGCGTAAGAAAATGTCAATAATTGAACTTTGAGTTAGTGATAAAGTATCCTTATGGTATACATACATACCATTTTTTTTTTTTTTACCAAAACTTACTTGCGTCGCGTGAGTGATTGCGGATAAACTTCACCATCTTCCCGACCTCTTCTTCTCGAATGGGCCGGAGCGACTTCACCCGCCGGTCCCCAAGCAGCTCCATGGCGCAGATCTTCCGCATCCGCCGCCAGTGGGTCCCGTCGGACGGCGAGAACAGGATGTCCCTGGCGTCGTAGAAGATGATGTTGCCCGACGGCATGGGAGACCTGACGGCGAAGTTGTGGTCGTGGGTTTTGAGGAACTCCCTCGCCAGTTCAGGGGACGAGACGACGACGTTCGAGGTCTCGCCGAGCTGGAGGTGCATCAGGGGGCCGTGTTGCTTGGCTAGGTCGGCGAGCCGGCGGTGGATTAGGGCGGCGGAGGTGGCGAGCTGGTGGATGTTGCCGATGATGGGGAGCTTCCATGGTCCTGGAGGCAGGGGATATTGGGTGGTTTTGTTCTTCTTGGTTTTGAGAAGATGGGATGTGAGGATTAGAAGTAGGGTTAAGAAGAGGATGATTATGAGGAGGATTAGTGGGTTAATGGTGCTTAAAGGGATGATGATGAACTCGTGATCATGGGCAACTTCTTCTTCCATTTATTTTCCTAGATACTTATCCCTCTCTTTGTCTCACTGTCTCTGTGTCTGTCTTTGTGTGTATACATATATAGAGAAGAGCACCTCCTCCCCCACCCACCCCAAATGACAATCTAAAATGACAATTTCGACCTAATTCGTTACGTATATTATTCACTTTGTGAATAGCACAGGACATGACATGAACCGTAGGTTTATCATGTTGAACTCTCTTCATGGCCCGCTCTATTTCGATGGCTTCTGCTATTTATAATTGAGCCATATTACTTTTTTTTTTTACTGAAACCTGTATGTTTATTCATGAATCATAGCATCCTTGTCCAAACAGGAGAGGATGGCAATAGGAGGCCTTAAAGTCCATAGTACAGTCTGATCCCAATTACAATCTAGGTGGGCCATTGTATGGGCTGGTTCATTACCGGCCCGTTTGACAAAACTCCATCGGACCTAGCCCATCTCCTGCGCCTTCTCTTGCACTTCTCGAACCATCACTTCCCCTTCCAGTCGCGTCATTTCCTTCGCCTGGATTTGTTGAATAGCAGCGAGACAATCGCTCTCAACCACCGTTGGCCGAAGCTGCTGCTCCCCCGCCATCTGCAGTCCGAAGATAATGGCTCGGAGCTCCGAGAATTCGGGTTCCCAACGGATTCTTTCTCGTCTCACAGCTGCGAAGAGGAAACCCCCATCTGCTTCCCTTGCCACCGCTCTGAGGCCAATTCCTCCTTCCTCGAGCACCGCCGCGTCAACATTCATCTTCACCCAGCCTGCTGGAGGCTTTTCCCAGGTATGTTTCCACTTTGGTCCTTCCTCCTTTTTCAATTTGTGTTGTGCTTTGTATTCCTCCCAGTAATTTAGGGCTCGACCAACCACTTTCCACTCCTCCGCTTTCTTCCTGTTGAACATCTTATTGTTTCGTTCGTTCCAAATTGACCATAGTATGATGCCTAATTTCTCCAGCACTTCGTCCTCAACTTGATCCATAACTGCACATAACCAACTACTGGATGATAGATTTGGTTCTAATTCAAACAGGGGTCTGAAAGATGACGAGCTCCAGATGCGAATCGCCCACTGGCATTCCCTAAAAATATGATTATGAGTTTCTTCCAAGTGACAAAAAGGGCATTCCACTGCCGCCTCTTTATTCCTTGACTCAATGTTCTTGTTTGTTGGTAGAATTTCATGCGCTAGTCTCCATAGAAATATCTTGATTTTTGGTGGAATCATCAGTTTCCAGAGTCTAGCCCAGTCCATGGGATCATAGACTTCATAATTTTGATCTCCAACCTTTTCTTCCCCTTCCGCTGTTGTTTCTTCTTGGAAGACTGTTGTGTCCCTCTTCTTGATCAGCTGACTGTAGGCCGATTTAACAGTGTAGCACCCTTTTCGCTCCATGCTCCATACCAGGATGTCCTTAGCTGGTTGCCTATGGATTGGAATTGCCCGAATTTTCATTCTGTCCTCCATGTTAAAGAAGTTCTGCAACATATTATCGCGCCACTCCCTTTTCTCATGATCAATGAGATCAATTACCCTTGTTAGGCCCCCTGAGTTTGGTTTAGGTGTAGTGAGTCGATAGTTAGCTTCCTTTGCACCTGCCACCCAGCAATCTGACCATATATTTATGTCTGATCCATTGCCCACCCGCCATCTGATTCCTTCCTTTACTGCTTTTTGAGCAGCTAGGATACTCCTCCATGTATAACTCGGATTTGATCCCAACTGAGCTTGCAAAATGTCGGTATTGGGGTAGTACTTGGCTTTCAACACTCTAGCTACTAGGGATTCTGGATTGTTTATAAGATTCCAGACCTGTTTCCCTAATAGCGCAATGTTGAAAGAGTGATGATCCCTAAACCTCATCCCTCCCTCCACTTTTGGCTTGCAGAGTTTATGCCAGGCTCGCCATGGGATTCTCCTCTCCTCCTTCTGTTGTCCCCACCAAAAGCTTGCAATAGCTCTCCTTATCTCTGTAATCACCCCCTCTGGTATTAGGAAAACAGACATTGAATTTGTAGCTTGAGCTTGTGCAACTGACTTGATGAGTACTTCCTTGGCTGCTATAGACAAAGTCTGCCCCTTCCAATGCTTTATCTTCTTCCTCACTCTATCCACCAGTACTTGGAAGGCAACCTTTTTCTCCCTTCCCATTACTGTCGGTAACCCCAGTTATTTCTGATGGAACTCTACCTGCTTCATTCCAAGGATATTAGCCAGTTCCTCTCTCTTCATCTGGTCCATGCTGGGGCTGAAGCTTAGCTCAGATTTTTGTAGATTTACCACCTGACCTGACTCTTCCTCATAGAGCTTTAGGATATCCCTTAGTTGGCAGCTTTCCTGTGGAGTATCTTAGTGAAAAGGACACTATCGTCCGCAAAGAGTAGGTGTGAGATGATTGGCCCTCTGGCCGAGGTTTTCAATCCATGTATCTTCCCTGAATTAACAACATTTGTTAACAGTGTTGCTAAACCTTCCACACAGAACAGAAACAAGTAGGGTGAGAGAGGGTTCCCCTGCCTGAGACCCATCTCTGGTTGAAACTCCTCTGATCTGTGTCCATTCACCAGAATAGAATAGGTGACTGTTGTGATGCATTTCATAATCATTCTTACCCACCTTTCTGCAAATCCAAACTTTAACATCATAGCTTCTAGGAAGTCCCATTCAACCCTATCATACGCTTTTGAGATGTCCAGTTTCGCTGCCATAAACCCTGTTTTTGCTCGAGTCTTCTGTTTGATGGTATGGAAACACTCAAATGCTATTAGGATGTTGTCAGTTATGAACCTTCCAGGGATGAAAGCACTTTGTTGCTCTCCTATAACCATATTCAACAACTGTTTAAGTCTGTTTGCGAGTACTTTTGACATGATTTTGTAAAGTACATTGCACAGACTTATAGGGCGAAAGTCAGTAGGAGTACTAGGTTTGTTCTTCTTTGGGATCAGTGCAATCAGAGTCTTATTTAGCATCATTGGGAACTCTCCCACCTCCAGGTAGCCTCTTAGCTCACTTAGGACTGTTTGGCCCACAATATGGCAGTGTTTCTGAAAGAAACGAGCTGACATTCCATCTGGCCCAGGGGCTTTGTTTGATCCCATACATTTCAGTGCAAACCAAATCTCCTCCTCAGTGAAAGGTGCAAGGAGAATCTGTTTCATGTCAGATGTCACTCTGGGGGTGACTAAAGGGAGGATTCTGCTCTCCTCCACTCGATTCCCTTTGGCAAATAAACCTTTCATGGATTCCACTAGGCAACTTGTAACTTCTTGCTGTCCAGTGTAGACCCTCCCAGCTGCATCATTCAACCTTCTGATTGTATTCATCCTTCTTCTTTCTGTAGCTTTCCTATGAAAATACCCAGTGTTTTGATCCCCTTCTTTTAGCCAATCCACTCTTGAGCGTTGTTTCCATTTTACCTCTTCTTGGAGAATGATATCGTTGAGCTCTTGTTCTAGGACTTTCTTCTGTAGCAACATGTCTTTAGTTCTTTTCCTTTTTTCCACAGCTTGTAGGGCCTTTTCTATTCTTTTTCGTCACTGCTTTAGTGAGCCAAAGGCTTCTCTGCTCCAGGAAAAGAGTTTTTCCTCGCATTGTTTGATTCGGTCCATAGAACCACCTCTTTCTGTTTGATTCCATGCCTCCTCAATAACTTTTTTACAATCCTCATGCCTCTCCCAAAACGGTTCATAGAGGAAAGACCATCCCCAAGTGATTTCCTCTTCAGCCAAATCTAGTTTGACTTGAATTGGTATATGGTCTGACCCGCAGCGCTCCAGGTGGTATACTCTCATGTTTGATTAGCATTCTTTCCAGTCTCTGTTTCCCAAGGCTCTGTCGAGCCTCTCCTCAGTGTATTCATTGTCAGCCCGACTATTTTCCCATGTGAAAGTTCTCCCATAGTAGCCACAATCTTCCAGATTGCAAATCTCAATTGTTTCTCTAAACATCTCCATCTCTTTAGCTTCTGGTTCTTTATGGCCACTCTTTTCTAGATAATCCGTGATCAGGTTGAAATCCCCAATCACCAACCAAGGTAGGTTAACCTGTTGACTCAGTCTTTCCAACATTTCACAAGTTAGCCTTTTGTTTTTTGCTTCTGGCCATCCATAGACTCCTATCAGTCTCCAATCTTGTCTACAATTTGGCATTTGACTTGCACATCAAGGAAATGCAGGTCACAACCCTTAACTTCTACTGAAATATCCTCTTTCCACATCATCAGAAGACCCCCAACTCTATTTTCCCCTGCTGCCACCCCTTGTCCATCGAAATAGCCAAATTCTTTTATCTTCCTTTTCCATTCTTCATCATATTGCTTTGTTTCTATTAAGAAAACAATATCGGGATTAGTCTGGCGTAGAAGCGCCTTTACTTTTTCAACTGTCGGGGTATTCCCGAGCCCTTGGAAATTGTAGCTCAATAGACTCATTGGGCTGGGCGGCTCTGCTCCTTAGCAGAGTCCGCCACATCGCCATCCTTTGCATTTATTGTGTTCTGATTGGAAGCTGGCTCTTCCGGGGTCTGAAAACTAAGCTTTTTAGCTTTCTTTGCTTGTATTTCAGCTATCTAATCCAGCATGCCATCTCCTCCTGCACTCTGAACATTTCTTTTTTGTGGTGTAATCTGTGCAGGGATTAACTCTCTTGTTGTGTTTTGCTCTTGTCCGCGCCACACCTTATTTCTGCTTCATGGATGGGATTTCATCTCAGCAGTCCCCATCACGAATTGCTGTAGGGCACCTCCCATTCCCAGCTGCCCCAAAGGTGGGTTGTTTGGTGTATGGACATCAGCACTCTGGATCCGGATTTGGTCTTTCTTCTTTGTGCAGTGTCCTTCGCCAGGTTCTGTCATTTTCCCCTTGTTTTGTTTATCTTTCTCCTTCTGTGCCCTCATCTCTGGGGTGACTTGTTTATCCGCTATTTCTTCTGCAGGGGGTACTTCATGGTCCGAGTTGGAACATGTGCTTTCCCAGTCAAATTTCTTCCTCAGAGAAGCCCATATAGTCTCATCTTCTTTCTTTAGAGAGTGTGACAGCCAGCTTCTAGGTTCTGGCGTTCCAGCTCTCAACTCCATCCCAAAAGGATCTGGACTTATTCCTGATGGCTTCGGACAACGCAATTTTGGGTGCCCAATTCGTCCGCAAGAGTAACAGAATATAGGTAACTTTTCATACTTGACAAGATATTCAACTAGTTGCCCTTTGATGTTTAGTTTGATCTTCTTTCTTAGAGGGTTGTTGATGGATAAACTTACCCTCAATCTCATGTACGAGTCCCACATAGATCTAGGGCTATCATCGAACCATATTAGAGAACCAAACCTGTTAGCTATCTTCTCTGCCATAGGTTTTGTTCTAAGTTCTGCCGGCAGCTCTATAATCTGAATCCAAATGTCCAGCATGTGCAATGCTTCTGGCATGGGTTTCTTGATCAGTAGGCTTTCCATAAACACCATTGTATTGTTCTCATAATGCCAGGGCCCCCCAAAGCAGACCCTATCTCTATCATCTTCCTCCAAGAATTGGAACGCGTAAAGCATGTCACCCAACTCAGTAATCTGAAAATTTTTCTTCAGGTTCCAAGCATTTGCCAAGGCAATCTTAAGTGACTTGATGTTTGGTGGTTTTTCAGCTATAAAGCGTCCAATCAAGCCTAATCGGCGGACCGCTTCCATATGAAAGACGTCCACATCCTCATCTTCAACATCAAGGGGTGTGTCATCTTCATCCTCTAATGTGATTTGGTCCAGTTGTACTTCCAGACTTTCTGCAGTGCTCTGGAGTTCTGGCTCCCTTTCAAGCTCTCCTGTTTCCATGGCTCGTTTCTTTTCAAGCCCTGTTTTCAACTCTTTTTTCAAGAAAAGCGCTCAGAAAGACTTCTGTAAACCTAAACTGATTTAGGTATTTGCTCTGTAAATAAACACCTCGCACAGCAAAACCCTAGTTATTTATATCCCTCTTATGCACGCTAGAATCAAACGCGATCAGAAAACCTCCTCTAAAGTGTATTTAGGATCCGTCGCTGACAAGGACAAAAGAAGCCTTTGTCCCACGTTAACCTTCTCCAAGCTAAGAATCAGCTACGTAGCTCGACTAGGCTCTCCGGAAAACCTAGGGTTTCCGCCACTCCGATAAACTCTCTCTAAACGAGAGAAACTCATAAAACAAAGGCTCTTGTTATTGATATAGGAGAGATTGATTGAGCCATATTACAATTCCAACCGCTCAATGAACCAATTTAGTTGCCATTTGGTTCGAGAGCTTCCAATGAAAATGATAGATCACATTTTTACTAGGTAAAAGATAGACGGTCGACAATCTCATGGTTCATGCTTGGAGCAAATTCGTCATCCAGATCTAAATGGAATGAACTGAGAATCAATGTTTTGGGAGAAGGTTATGTTGGATCTTATACAGGCCCATGTATGGTTTTTAACCACTTCCTTACATGCCCCCTCAAACGAAAGTCGACTCATGGGCTTGAAGTTTGCACAGGCCCGCTCTACCATGTGCTTAAAGGACAACGGTTAATATTGAGAGTCGTGAGAACTTGAACACACGACCTCACGAACAAACCAGCTCTGATACCATATCATAAATCAATTGCTCCCAATAACTCGAGTTGTTGGAAGAAGGTTATGTTGGATCTTATAGATGCCCATGTATGGTTCTTAACCACTTCCTTACATACCCAAATATCAAAACGAGTAGTCATCAATGTGACGACCAAAACAATACAAAGATAATATTAATTCTTTAACTCCAAAGGAGAACGACACATGGATATACAATACATGTAATAGTCCATGTCTATTTAGTAGGTATAGCAATGAAGCCAAATCGCATCATCAAATCCCATAATGCCTATATTTGGTTGGGTTTTTAGAAGTGTTTTTCGGTTTCAAAAGCTGAAGCAGGGCCAAACACCTCTAAAATTTCGGCTTTTGAAAAGCCGAAAAGCGCTTTTGTATAACATAAAAGCAGAAGCTCCGATTTGAAGCTTTAGCGAAAAGCTATTTTGAAAATATAAGATTATCCAAACCATATTTTATTTTAGAAAATATAATTTTCCTTCATTTATATTATTTTAAAAATAAAATATAAAATCATATTATTTAATATAAAAGAAATCTAACAAGATCCATACTACTTTTTATTGTTTAGAATTTTTATTCATATTTTATATTATAAGTCCTTTATAGTCATTATACACAACCTCTGATATTAAAAAGCACTTCTAATAGTTTTACAGCCAAACACTCTACCTTTTTTTTAAAGTACTTATCTAAAATCTCCAACAAAAAGGTGCTTCAGCAAAAGCTACAACGGGGCCAAACTAAGCTAATATATTTCAAGAGATCATACAATAATCAATAGGGTTAGAGTTTGGTCGAAATGTATATTGCCCTTTGTGATCATGGAGGACCATAGGTATCAAACATGATAGACCGAGCATATGACATCATGGGTAAGTTGCGCGACTAATGTTCGAATGTCGCACGTTATTTAGCTGACTTATTTTTATATAGTCGGAAATCGTCTGTATATAGAAACATCTTCCTAAAATTTTTATGGAGAGTAAGTTTGAACTTTGATGTTACTTGTTACATCAATTTCTACATGGCTGGGGTGAAAGCTATCATGAACCTCATTTGGCTGGATGGATAGAACTAGCTGAATAACAACTTTTAAACAAAAGATTACAGATCAGACTTAAAACAGTAAAACAAAGTTCTTACACCCGTAAATTCCAGTCACTAACAAATATTATGTTTTCAAATCATAATTCATAGCAATGTGACGAGAATGACTTAAAAGAAAAACTTGCAAACATAGAGACTAAAAATTATGTAAAAGAAAAAAAACTTGCATTATCCCACTCTATCAAGTAACCTTATTGAGTTTAGCCTTATTCTCTGTTGTTAGATTAGCTCTGCATAAACTGATCCAAATAGCACTTGTTAAATGGACTGAACCCAAAAACCTTTTGCTTGCTGTTGTATCCAACTATCCATACATATTGAAGCGTCATGAAAGAAGTTTAAACACAAATAATCTATTCGACGATCCTTCTACCTTATGCAAGTTCATCGATCATATGCTATTGTAAATAACAAGCCTACGAAAAGAATGATTAAGAATGAAATAAGATTACTTTAACTTTTGGATCAACATTAAAACTATTACTCTTTAAAATATTTATTTTTCTAATACGCGAAGCGATAGTGAACGGGCTTTTACTAGTTTGTGTATTATTTGAGAGATTTTCAATTAGAATACATGGTAGCACAAATTTGTGAATAGAAGGTAAATTGAAGATAGTATAAGTCATCAAAACAAGCTTCGTCCACAACTTTCCCTTTCCATCGAACACATGTCTCACTTCTCTTCGTACATTTTCCACCGATAATATGTTTGTGGTATTCTCACAAATGTCACATGTCAAATAATACTCTTTTTTTTTTTGCGACCAAACGTATTAATTATTGAGAATCAAATACAAGTATACAACAAAACATGGTATTTGACCCTTTTTTTCTTATAGTACTTTCTGCTCAGTGTGCATGGTAAGGGATGGGAATGAGATACAACTTATTCTTTCTTACCGTTGTAGCTCCGAATTCTTCGGACATGTCAAAGTCTTGGGGTTTGATTTGACTTGGGAGCTTCCAATCAAAATGGTAGAGTAGATTCGCGAGCAGAACATAAACAACAACAGTCCCCAAGTTCATTCCCGGGCATATTCTTCGTCCGGCTCCAAATGGTATGAACTGAAAATCCTTCCCCTTGTAGTCGATGGAAGTGTCGAGGAATCTTTCTGGCAAAAATTGATCTGGTTGGGTCCAGTGCGAGGGATCTCGGTTGATGGCCCACACGTTGACGATGACCCTTGTTTTCGTTGGAACTTGGTATCCATCAATCACGACCGTTTCTCTACCCTCTCTTGGAATTGACAAAGGAACGGGTGGATGTAATCTGAGAGTTTCTTTGACGACTGATTTGAGATAGTGTAGTTCTCCAAAACAAGCTTCGTTCACGACTTTCCCTTTTTCGTCGAACACACGTCTCACTTCTTTTTGCGCTTTTTCCATCTCCTTCGGCTTCTTCATTAACTCGGACATGGCCCATTCCACGACACCAGGAGAAGAGTCGGCCCCAGCTACGAACATGTCCTGCATCATACACGTGTATATCAAAATATCAATCAATAATTATGTGATAGAAACAAGTTATCATTCTAGTGGAAAATCATAGTGCTTTTGTCCCTGTGAGCTAGAGATAATACGTACCAAAATGATGGCTTTAACCTCAACGTGGTCGTCGATGCAATTCAAGAGGACATCAACTAGATCTTCTTCTTCCTCTGTTACTCTGCCGGCTCTCGTCGATCGCCTGGACAAATGATCGTCGATTATTTCTTGGAGGACCAAATCTCCTTCTTCGTGAAGCTTCCTCAGTTTTCTCTCCGTTCCGGTGATCAAATGCAGCAACCGGCGGGAAGGAAAGATGTCCCCGACGCTGAACCCTCCCAATGTTTGGACAACCCGATGCGCCAGCGTCAGAAAAGATCCCTCTAGCTTTCGGATCTTTCCGAACGCGCCCTCGATACCATCGTACTGGCCACCGCGATCAGGAGTTCGCTCAGGTTCACCATCCCTCCTCCGTCCTTGAGGCTCGTCGTCACTGTCGCGGTCTCTGGTGGATGAAATCAAGAGTTGAAATCAGTGGCGCACCCAGAAATTTTACATAAGGGTGTCCCTTTTTAAAAAATAAATTAAATAAAAATAAGTCTTAAATATTTAATAAAAATTAAATCATTATTATATAAGAAAATACTTGACTCGTACAACTTGAAAAAAAGCCCACTATTTGTTTTCATATTCATAAATAATTATAAAATACACTCGGTGCCTACACTGCTCAAAAAATTGTCTTTGTGTATCCTACAAGACAATCATTCACGAATTATTCGATTTCTAAACTTGTTTTTTAAGTAATCGAAAGCTGAAAAGACTCTTTCAACACTTGTTGTACAACCATAAAATCAATACAAATTAAGGATAGCTTGGAATTTTTTTAATTATTAGGTTTTGAAAATAATTAGAGATAGTGAATGACATTTTACTATTACACAGTGTTTAAAATCGAACAACGAATGAGTTGTAAGCTTGCAGCTTAATGGAAATTATGTTTATTAATAATAATAGTGTTTTAGGTTTGAATTACCCAAACTAGCACTTATAGTCACATACCCAAACTAGAAAATGAGAGTAGGATAATCATTTTTTCAAATTTCAGGAATGTCCCTGACTATCAATTATAATTTTTTTGTCCATACATAATTTACCACCGGGGGTTGAATAATTATTTTTTCAAAATTTTGGATGTCTCGTAACACCCCAAACACGTGTGGGTCCGCCCCTGGTTGAAATTAGATTTGTCTTTTTTGTTTTCGAAACATGAATGGTTTTAACTAGAAATTTCATATATAACATAACAAAATGTCAATAATTGAGATTTATTTTAGTGATTAAATATCCTTTTGTCACACATACATGGCATTTTTATTATTATTATAAAAACTTACCTGTGTCGCGTGACTGACTGCGAATAAACCTCACCAGCTTCCCGGCCTCTTCATCTCGAATCGGCCGCAGTGACTTCACCCGCCGGTCCCCCAGCAGTTCCATGGCGCAGATCTTCCGCATCCGACGCCAGTGCGCGCCGTCGGACGGCGAGAACAGGATGTCCCTGGCGCCGTAGAAGACGATGCTGCTCGACAGCATGTGAGACCTGATGGCGAAGTTCTGGTCGTGGGTTTTGAGGAACTCCCTGGCCAGTTCAGGGGACGACACGATGACGTTTGAGATCTCGCCGAGCTGGAGGTGCATCAAGGGGCCGTGTTGCTTGGCTAGGTCGGCCAGCCGGCGGTGGATCAGGGCGGTGGAGGTGGCGAGTTGGTGGATGTTGCCGATGATGGGGAGCTTCCATGGTCCTGGAGGCAGGGGATATTGGGTGGTTTTGTTCTTCTTTGTTATGAGATGGGTTGTGAGGATTAGTAGTAGGGTTAAGAGGAGGATTAGGATGAGGATTGGTGGGTTAATTGTGCTTAAAGGGATGATGATTATCCCATGATCATGGCCAACTTCTTCTTCCATTTCTTTTCCCACGTCTAACCTTCTCCCACTCTGTTTCTCTGTCTCACTGCCTATGTGTTTTGCCTCTGCGTGTATGCATGTATATAGAGGGAGGAGCACCCCCTTCTCTCCACCCACCCCCAAAGCGACAACCCAAAATGACAATTTCGACCTAATTCGTGCGACTTGATGATCTTTCTCGATTTATTCGGTACATTATGAAATGGATCGTAGGTTTGTTATAAGATTGAGTAATCATGTTATTATGTAAACAACTCAATGAACTAATTTAGTTACCGTTTGTTTTGAGAGCTTCCAATTAAAATGATAGAGCAAATTTTTATTAGGTAAAAGATAGAAGGTTGACAATCTCATGGTTCATGCCTGGGGCAAATTCTTCATCCAGATCTAAATGGGATGAACTTGAAATCAATGCTTCTATTTATCTGCAGACTTGTCAAAAAATCTTTATGGTACAAATTGATCTGGTTGGGTCTAGTATGAGGGATCTCGACCGAAGACCCATTCATTAATGACCATCCTTATTTTTGTTGGTAATTGATATCCTTTCGTCATGATCATTTTTTGAGTTTCTTCCCAAAACGAAAAAGTAACAAGAGGATGTAATCTTAAAGTTCCCTTACTAATATGAACTAGTCTCGTATTTTTAGTATGTGATTTAAGATTCATTACTGAACGTCACCCAATAACTCGAGTCATTTGGGATCAATGCGGGTTGTTGACAAGGTATCAGAGTCTTCTGTAACCGAGAGGTATTGTGCTCGAATCTCCACGATCCTCGTGTATTCGGACCTACCCATACCACTATTTTAACCTCTCAAATGAATTACTATTGAATATTGATAGGAATATTTGTCGCCTGGCTCCAACCTGTTCTATGAGTGCGACGTAAACATTTCTGCAAATGTTTTGGGAATTGAGATAGCTACCCGTTCCATTGCCTTCCCAACGTGAAGAGGCGATTTACAAGATAAGAACGAAACAGAGTCATATCAACCAAAACAATACAAAGATTTGATATTAATTATTTTACTCCAAAGGAGAACGACACATGGATATACAAATACATGAAAATTGTACATGTCTATTTAGTAGGTATAGCAATGAAGCCAAGTCGCATCATCAAATCACATAATATATTTCAAGAGATCATACAATAATCAATAGGTTTAGAGTTTGGTCGAAATGTATAATTGCCCTTGTTACCATGGCAGAACCGGGCAGATAACATTGTGGGTAAGTTGCATGACTAATCGTCTGTGTATAAAAACATCTTCCTGAAACTTATATCGAGAGGAAGTTTGGATATTTATGTTACTTGTTACATTCAATTTATACTTGGCTGGAATGAAAACTATCATGAACCTCATTTGGCTGGATAGAACTAGCTCAGTGGATAATTTTTTTTTATCAATTTAAATTATTAGAACGGATCGGAAAATAGAACTGTAACAAAGTAAAGTACATATAGACTAACATGTTTCACTAACACAATGTGTGTTAATTACACCCATGGACGGGAGAGAGTAGTTTCACTATCCTTCCTAAGATACCGATTACAAAGATTGAAAATGTATAATAACACATTCTTCTAACAAAATAACCTAATCTAACTTGAAAAAGAAAAGGTTACATAACCATACCTAAAAGAGTAACACAAAACATGTATAAGCTCATACACTCCTGAATTAGCAACATAATGCTTATCATATGATATATTTGATAATTGATGCTCATTATATAATAGAAACTACATTATAGTATTTTTGTTGTTGTTGTGAGAACTACATTATAATTATAGTCTTTTTTTTTAATAGAGACTACATTATAGTCTTTGATGTGACGATAATGAATTAAAAGAGAAACTTGCAAATATAAAACAGACTAAAAATTATGTTAAAGAAAAAACTCGCATTATCCCACTCTACAAGTAACCTAATTGGGTAAGGGTTTAGCCTTATTCTATGTTGTTAGCTTAGCTCTACATAAATGGGCTGGACCCAAAAGCCTTTTTACTTCCTGCTGGATCAGATCCATTTGGGACTGGACCTTTTCAGGGCAAAATCTTCATCAGGTATGAAGCAAGAAGGCACCAAGTCCCCCACCTATAAACTGTAAGCTCCTGACACAACACCGGCCACTAAATACAAATCGGGCTTAAGTTTGGTCACTCGATTTGCTATAAAATTTCACGTTTGCCATTCAAATTAATTTATTCCGTTTATAGTCACTCGAATTAGTTGAACAGTTCAAGTTCGGTCACTCTCTGTTAACCTCTGTTAACTTTGACTGACGTGGCGGTCAACTCTGACCGTTGACCGTTAAATGTGTGACGTGACAAATAAAAAATAATTAAAAAAATAATAATTAAATTTTAGAAATTACACATCATTATAAAAAAAAATTATAATTAAAAATTAAATTCTTCTTGACGGGTCTCCCCTCGAGGCGGAGGTCCTCTGCTGAGAGGACCGTGAATTCGAGAGTCCGGGTTCCGGCGGCCGCCATTTTGAGCGTCGGAGGTCCTCGCCATTCTACTACCCACGGCCCTCGAATACTCCAATTCCTTCGCCGCCACCAACCTCCTCTCCGGCAATTGAACGCCACCGAGAACCGCTTCGTGGCCGTCGAGTTCGACATCTTCGGCAACTACTTCGATCCGGTTGGGACCCACGTTGGGATCGACATCAATTTGATGGAATCCGTGACGACCGCACCTTGGGGAGGCGATATCATGGGTGGGAGGAAGAGCGATGCTTGGATATCTTACAATTCCACTCTCCGTAACTTGAGCGTTGTGGTAACTGGGTACGCGGGGAACGTTTCGACGATTCAGCGGCTCAGCTGCATTGTCGATTTGTGGGATTACCTTCCCGAAGAGGCCACTTTTGGGTTCACCGGTTCCACCGGTCGGTTAGTCGCCGTTCACATGATTCACTCCTGGGATTTTGCTTCCAACTTGGAACGATTCGTTGTTCCTACTAATTCTGCTCCTGTCGCTAGGAAGGGCAAAAACAGAGTTGGTTCGAGGGTTCTAGTGGGTTTGGCAGTTGGTGGGGGGTTTTCTGATTAGTTTGTTGTCCTTGATTGGGAGAATTGTGTACAACAAAAGACTGCGTCGATTGAGAGAGGATGCAGAGCAACAGGAACTTGATGGGCGACTGATGGATGAGATCTTGGGGAAAAGGGCAGGGCCAAGGAAGTTCACTTTCAAGGAATTGGAACGAGAAGGTTGTCGTCGAGATGCCAATGCCGCCGGCCAATTCGGTGACGTTGGAAGTCCGATCTGGAAACAGAGTGGTAGAGTGGTCGGAGTGGCAGTTCAAGTTTTTTGATAATTTTCTTTTGATAATTATAATTTTTTTTATAATGATGTGTAATTTCTAAAAATTTAATTTTTAATTTGCCACGTCACACATTTAACGGTCAACGGTCAGAGTTGACCGCCACGTCAGTCAAAGTTAACGGAGGTTAACGGAGAGTGACCGAACTTGAACTGTTCAACTAATTCGAGTGACTATAAATGGAATAAATTAATTTGAGTGGCAAACGTGAAATTTTATAGCAATTCGAGTGACCAATCTTGCAATTAAGCCATACATATCGCTTGTCGACATCGCACGAAAATCTTCGATTGAGACAGTTTACATTCAAACTCCGACAACTCTCAATATTAACAACTAATTTAAACTCGTTAATATTATTCGAACTTTCCCGAATACGAAACGAAATGCGACCCTGTAGATTTTTTATATCGACAAACAGCTATATAGTTTAAGCAATGTTGCGAATACTAAGATGCTCACTAAAAAAAGGTCCAAGGAATAATGCAATCCCAACCCAATAATATGCTTAGCATTTTCATGGTTTGTGGAGAATCGACTAAATATAGGAATATATTCCTGCAAAATGCAAATTGTCACTGTGCCTGAGTCAAAGATACCAGTAACAAATGGGCCCCCACCTAGGAATCGGCCCAATGGGCCGTAACGGAGAAATGATGGCTGGGCCCACAATGACCACCTGAGACAGGAGAGTCAATTAGAGTCAACGACACTGTCTCCCGAGCGGGTCAAAATCCTTCCCAAAACCCGACTCGTGTCACTCTCTCCATTAATTAATTGATTAATTAACTGCCTAATGTGTCTAATCAATTAAATTCGGGGAATAATTACGGTCTAAAACTAAAAGTAACCGTGATTAAAAAAATAACTATGTTTTTCTCTTTCTTCTTACAATTCAGCGCCGGGACGACCCGCATCGGTTTCGGGTCGCGGGTTTCGCTTTCCGGATACGCAAAAAAATATTAATTAATTAATTAATTATTAGCCGTTATTAGTAGAAGAAGAAGGAAACAAAACAACTTTACTCTCGGAGCTTAGCAGGCAGGGAGAGGGGGAGAGAAGAGAATCAGCCATGGCCGAGAGCGAAAGATTGGACGCTGCCCAACCGCAGCAAAACGACGAGCCGAAACAGCCACGCGGCGACGAAGGAGACAAGGATTTGGATGGAGGCGGGGAGGAATTGGAACCAGTCGTCGATGATGAAGGGGAAGGAGAAGAGGGTTATTGTGGTGATGGTGATGAAGGTGGCGAGGACGAGGCTCGGCGCGGCGAGCTGAGTACTGCCGTTGCTGAGGTGGAAGAAGGCGCTGGTGCTGAGTCGTTGAGGTCTAGGCCGGGAAACCTAGGTGCGGCGGCGGCGGCAGTACCGGAAAAGGATCAGTGTGTAGGTAGGCTGTTTTCTTCTTCCTCTTCCTGATTCAAAGTTTTGTGCTTTCTCTTGTTTGGTGCGAGAATTCTGATTTCTGAAAGCGCCAGTGGATGATCTGGCAGGTTCCAGCGGGAATCCAGCTTCGGAGGCGCGTACGGAAGCTGAATTCAAGGTTTTTTTTTTTTTTTTTTGCTTCTCCATTTCTTTCGTTTTCTTCCTTTTGAATTTCCATTATCGGCTGCTTGAGCGTTTCAGTTTCGTAGTTCTGGTTCGAACGTTGGAATCTTTGCTACGTTGTGTTTGTTCAGTATCATTACCTGCGAATTTTTTTTTTGGAGAGCTTCCTCATTTCTCCTCTCCATCGACTAGTTCTAAGATTATTCGCAATTTAGAACCTTTGACTTGCTGAAATTTTGTATCTTCCTTCTCTCGAGCGATCTAGAGGGCCTTAATCTCTTGAATTGCTCGAAGTTTTCGCCTGCTTCACTCGTTGTGTGTATGAGTTTTGTGAGAATGTGCTATTCACTTGTGTTTCATCCCAATCTTCTGTAGGAACAAGTGGGATCGTCACAGCAAGAAGCTTTGGAGGATGATCCACCACAGGATGCTAAAGCTGAGACTGAAAATGGCCTTCAGTTGTCTGTTTGTCCAGCTCCTGCATCAGAGCTGTCGCCAACTTCGGTTACCCAACCCGTGTCAGCTGGTCCAAGTCCAACAGTTCCTGAGCAGAGAATGCCTTTGTCTAAGTGCACCAGTGGTCCTGTGCAAGAAGCAGATCAACCAGAGCCCTCTGACATTCGAAAGCTAGTTATACCTGTTCCGAAAACGGCTACCCCTGATGGTTACAACTGGCGAAAGTATGGTCAGAAGCAAGTGAAGAGTCCTTATGGTTCTCGGAGCTACTACAGATGCACGCATTCCGACTGTTTTGTTAAAAAGATCGAGTGCACTGATCATTGTGGCCATGTCATTGAGATTGTTAATAAGGGAATGCACAGTCATGATCCACCTCGGAAGAGCAATTCCAAAAGGGTAAGTAGGATTGCATCATTTGGTGGACGTACTTCAGAGGATGTCATTACACAACATGCAAGTAGACTTAAAGAATCGGATCCAGCAATGCCGTTAAAAGAACCTACAGAAGAAAAGGCCATGATCGCTCATAGAAAACGTTTGAGCCCAAGTGGCTCTAGTGAGAATGATCCTCGTCAAATTAAAGAGGAACATGCCTGTGTATCGGAACCCAAAAAAAGGTAACATTTCCATCTCATCAAATTGGTTGTTCTTTGTGAAAGTTTGTCTGTGGTAGGCAAAGTTTATTTCTTTCTGCTGTTTTTATTAGGATGAAAATGGATGACCTGGATTGCTCAGGGGCTCTCACCAAGACTGAGAAGAAACCTAAGTTTGTTGTGCATGCTGCTTGCGATGTTGGGATCTCAGGTGATGGATATAGATGGAGAAAATACGGACAGAAGATGGTAAAGGGAAACAGTCATCCCAGGTGCATGTTGATTCTTTGACTCGGATTTTCTTAGCTCTGACCTTAAGTTTCATTTGTTCCCTTAGGCAGCTTTCATACTGTTGCTTGTTCTGTACATTTGATGAATGTTTTAGTTTATGGAGGAACCATATGTTATTGCCTCGCCTAATGAGCAAGTTCAGATACCTCTAGCTTATCAAGGGCTGAAGCCTTCTATTGTGTAGGATATCTTTACTGGAACTCATCATTCCAGGTGGCAAGGATGGTATCTCCAGTGGCAATTAGTTGCAGCCTCAAAAGATAGTTTAGCATTTGAGATTCCCATTCGGTAGGTATCTGATGACATTTTCACGTCATTCAGATAAGGGCACTCGTAGGCTGTAACTGCCTCTTCGTACTGCACATTATAGTGGTGGATCACACGCAAAATTGTTGAAATCTTCGAGCGAACCACGAGCTTTTCAGATATATGATAGCATATTTTTTCTCTAAGATTTCACTAAGGCTGACATACATGGTGCTTACCAGATTTGAACAACAAAAACGATGAAGTCTCAGAATCACAGGGAATAATCCTTGTTTACTAAATGATTGCGCCTTCGTTTTAGGTTTACACCATAGTTCATTTAGGACATTTCTCTCGAGTATGTTACACCATTTCACTCCTACTTTTACTCTTATGCCCTGTCTCGCAGGAACTATTACAGATGCACATCCGCTGGTTGCCCAGTCCGCAAGCACATCGAGACAGCAGCCGACAACTCCAGCTCCGTCTTCATAACATACAAAGGCATCCATGATCACGACAAGCCGGTCCCAAAGAAGCGTCAAGGCCCACCCAGCGCTCCTCGGATCACCACCGCAGCTGCAGCAGCCTCCACCACGAACAACGTCGTGCAGCAGCAAAATAAGATAACCGAGCCCCCTCGTAAACCAGAAACTTCGCTAGCTGTTGTAGGTGACGACAGGAAGGACAAGGTGGTCGAATCAACAGCTCGCACTCTCATAAGCATTGGCTTCGAAATCAAGCCTTGTTAAGTAAGTAACTTAAAGAATGGTGTTTATCATTCCTTCCTGTTCCATTTGTTTTTGCTTTCCTTTTTTAGTCAATGAGTGATTGTTGAGTGTAGACAATGAGAAGGAAGAAAGAAAAAGAAATTGCTGTATATTAGTGTAGTACCGGTGGATTACTGCCCCGTGATTCGATTGACTTGGGGGGATAATATCAGTATAGTATTAGCCTTAACCTATCCTGTATCTAGTTCGTTTGACCATTCTAGTATCCTGTATTAGTAGGAAGAAGAGAAATAAACCCCATCTTTCTTTTGTCTTTAAGGGACCCATGGTCCATAATTTCTCATGGTCTCTGTCTCTGATTAGTAGTAATCTGGGTATGGGGAAAGCATGGGTTTCCCAGCTTTTCTATAGTTATGATTTTGACTTCACAATCAATGCTTATCAGTTTCAACATCTTGAATCATTGAAAAGTAGAGGGAGGGGGAATGGTGTCCTACAAGCGTGTCTTTGTGTAGGGAAGTCCTGTTGCCCCTCCTAAGGGGAACAGTTGTGTTTTGTGTTGTGGCGTGGCCTACCCCTTTCTTAACCTTCACCTTCAGTCTAAATCTTCATCATTTGGGTCAATCAGTGCTTGAAAGTTTGAGCTGTCTGGCCTGCCTTATCCCACCTAATCCCTTGGAAGTGAATCTTCATACAATAACTAGCATACGATAGTCGTATCAGAACTAACGATAATGTGAACTCCTACTACAGATAACCAACCTATGGGGCCGAAGACTCGAATCGAAAAAAAAAAACGACCATCAATTCAACTCGAGTGATGATGTTCCCTCCTAAGTTGGTGGCAAAGCTCTTAATAAAACAAGTAGTGCCACCAGGTGCGATAAACAAGAGCTATTAGTGTTATGCTAACAAGTTCGTAAAGCGAGGCTGCATTGCATGGTTAATTATTTGTGCTAATACCCGTACGATTTATTAGCTCAAAATATAATATCAAGCTAGTAGACCAGATGGACTCACATTGAGTTTTTCTTAATTGAAGTTGAAAAAAAAAAAAATCCAAGCTATACCATAGTCACTATCTAATGCGCAAGACTTTGGCTCGGAGATTTTCTTAATTGAAGTTGAAGTTGAAGGCAGAGATGAAAGATTTGAATATAAACTAGGAACTTGCCAAACTATACAAAAAATCATACATTCCAAGTGTGGAGCAGGGCGGGCAAACCCACCTCCACCAACAGCCACAATCCCTTCACCATCATCTGGTTAAAGAACAGTGAATTTTTTTTTTCAATCTACAGATCTAGAGTGGGAGAATGGGACAGGATTCTTTCCTACCATGATTGAAGCAGCAGAGCAGCAATTCATGAATTTTTCCTTTCTTTTTATACAGACAGAAAAAGAGTGGCCCATCAAGTTGCGTACAAGCACAGTACTGAATCAGCTGCTATGCCTCCAAGCTCAAGTCGTCGATGGTTATGGAGATCTCTGATCCTATGATTTCGCCGCTCGTCTTCCCACGACCATCTTGTTCTTGCTCGCATTCCTCTGCTGCTGCCTTGATGGTGCCATTCTCTTCCTTCCCTTCTGCCACATTTACACATTCCTGGAATCTGAAGCAGCTGATGAGGTGATCGTTTGTGATCCCTGCTGACTGCATGAAAGAGTACACGATGGTGGGCCCCACGCTGCGGAAACCTCGCCGCACCAGGTCCTTGCTTATGGCATCTGCTTTGGGGGACTTTACGGGGATCTGCCTTGGGTACCGGAATCGATTGACTATAGGCTTGTCGTTCACAAAGCTCCATATGTATTTGTCGAATGAACCAAACTCTTCTATCACCTGCCATGAACAAAACAAGAAACCTGCATTTTGTTAGCTGCAGTATTCGGTATGGCATTACTATTGTTTGTACAACAATTGCCAATTGGATAGGCTAGAAGAGCAACAGTTAGGGGTCGTTGGATGTCGGTTTGGGTGACAGATTTGACCACCAAATCCACAAGGAGCGGGTTTAGCTTAAAATCAATTTATGACAATCCACACTTAAAATCCAACAGCCAAACAACAAACGTTGAAATCTGTAAGTATCAAATCCATCACTTTCCAAATCCCGCATCCAAAAGACCTCTTAACAGTAATGAATTGTATATCATCAATCAAATCTGGCATCTTAAAGGGGAAGAAAGATTGCAATAATAGGTGGGGCTAAAGACTAAAGAGTGACACTAGCAGAAAGATATACTAACTGCATAATTGAGGTCAGGCTGTATTATTTTCCCTATACTATTATTATTCTGCAAATTGCAAAGGAAGTTCAGGACCACACTTCCAACTACTTTTTCCTCCACCTAACCTTATTGGATGAGCTGATCATCAATCGTAACAACATTATATGGTCTTTAGCTTTAATGGCTGCTACCTCGAATAGAGTTCAGTGTGTGGTCCGGAGTGCATTGATATGAGTCAATGAAAACCCAGTACATGGTCAAAGAGACAGTGAGCATAGAAAAGGTCCAACAAGAACAGATGTGAAGGAACAGGACCTCGTACATTTGCAACTCGGGATACCTTAAGGTGAAATGAAGCAAAATCGAGAGAGGGAAATAAGAACTTACCTTGGAGATTTGGCGAGCATTCTCAATGACCGCACGTAGCTTGGGTTCCGAGAGCAGGGAAGTGGCTTTGCTTCCTGTGGCCATGAGCTTCTTCTCATTTAACTTTGAGACAGAGATCGGATCAAAATCTGCAAAGACTTCCCTGGTGTAGAACATGGGTTTTGGTTAATACTACACGTACTAACTGATATATGACGGCAATGTGGAAGTGAGAGGAGTAGAGAAATTGAACCTGAAGATGTGCCTCTTGCTTAAAATGGTAGGCCATGTAAGTTCAGCTAAGGCCCCTGAAAGGACAAGAAGCTCGAACAATTTTCTGCACAGACAGAATACACAAAGTGACCAATTGTCAAACATAATTGAAAAGCTAAGGGCTTATTGAAAAGCTTGGTAACATGATCAGGAAATTTCCAAACATGTTTCCTTACTTATCATCGTGTACAGGAACTCCCCATTCTTCGTCGTGGAAAGCTGCATAGCATGGATCTGGTTTTCACAGTAGTAAAACATGGTCAGTGCTAGAACTAGGAGCAAGCATAGCTAAACCATCATACTCTATTGGATGTAAAGGATCCCTTAGTAATTCAACAAAGCCAATCTTCATCACTTCATCCAAACACAATCCAGGTAGATTCATCTCATCCTTAGTCACAATGACACAGTACCATCAAAGGAGAGTTTGGTACAAGTTTCAACAGTGAATTAAGGTGCAATTTTTTACGTACACCATGGAAATGCAGAATCTGAAATGGCAATGCTGAGGTACTGCAGAAAAGTATACGAAATGCTTTTAGGACTTAGCGTCTCAACTTCTATACAAAGTAATCATAGAACACTGAAGCACTTCCCATAATCAAACCATTTGTGTTTTGCTGTTCTAATCTATGTCATTGCATAAGATTATTCGTTTTAAGATTTCTACCACATCACGCAGACACTTTACAAACGAAGTGCCATCTGTAGTTCCAAGGAACAAGCCTGATGAACTATAACAGCACATTGTAAGGCTCTATAATGCCATCTAAACTCAAGCGTAGCTCACACAGACTTACTACAAGCCGTATACAAACAGTACCGACTGATTCGAGAACCAAAGAAGAACTTGCCTGTATTGGGTGTCACCCAAGCACAAGTCTTCTTGTTGAACTGTGATCCACCAGGAGAGGTTGGAGATTCAAGCCCACTATCAGAAGTAACACTCCTCGGCTTTGAAACTGCCTTCCTTCTACTCCCTGCACTGTACGACCGCACCAACCGTCCAGTTGAAGCCCGGCTGTGGAACGAATCGGTGGATGCATCGGACGAGCAAGAAGCATTCATAGACAGATTGGAATGCAACAACTGCTCATGTCGACGGAGCAAAGAAGCTGCACTAAGAGAGTGTGATTTGGGAGAACGGCTGCTGCTGTTGTACATTGCAGTTGTCGGTTTCTTCTCTTCAGGTGATTTCTCAACCTTGCTCAGTGGCAATGGCTTGGGTTTCCTAGCACTCAAAGCTCCAGACTTGTTGTTCCCAGTTGGGCCGAAAACCGGCCTGGTCTGATCAGAATCAGCCACATTCATCGACCTCACTCTTGGAGCTCCTCCTGACATTATCCCTTTCTTCAGAAAAGCAGCTCCCCAGTTTTAGTTGGGGGTTTATCAAGAGATCTACCTACTCACCAATACCATTCAATTAATCCACCTAAAGATTTCAACTCCCCCATCAGAAACCCACCAGCACAATTCTCATACAACATACATTTCACCGAGAAATGCAATTTAACGGCCAAGCAGCACAGAGATCTTGATAAAATTGGAGGAATTCATATCCCATCATAGCAAACCGCAACCCAAGCTGGAACTTCACTCAAAACAAACCCTCCACAAAAAACCCACCTAAACCCCCCATTTCTTTGTTCTATCCTCAAATCAAAGCACAAGAATGCTCACCTTCCGAGGCTAGGGTTTCTCCTCTGAGAAAAAGTAGCTAACAGGGGTAAAAAAAATCAACTAAAAGGGGGATGGAATCAGGAGCAGAGAGCGCCTCGAAGCATAAAAGATTCCACCTTGCATTTTCGCTGAAACCGAGATGAGAAAGGGGAATGTGAAGGTGAGGGAACAGGGGGGAAACTATGTCGTTTCAGTGTACCAGTAATGAGTAAAGCTGCTGACACATTCTCAGTATCTTCACTATCCTTCCGGCCCAGAAGTGGTCTGCAAAGCTCGTCAGTCGTCCCTTTTTTTTTTTCCTGCTTTCCTTCGGGTTTCCTCTGTTTTTTCCCGAGAAAGTTTCGAAGGGAGGGAAAAATGGTTGGTGGTCGAGAAAGATTGGAGCTTGATCTGTGGGGGGATTGGGGGTTTTAAATCTACGAAGCTTTCTGCAATGGAGAGAGAGAGAGAGAGAGAGAGAGGAACAAGGGAGTGAAATGCTCAAATGCAGTGAGTTAAGAAGAGAGAGAGAGAGAGGTTGTGTACTGTGGAGTAGAAACTTGGTGGATTTTGTTTTACCGGCTATTACCGGTTGATGCCTTGTGCCTTTCTTCTCTCACTCCCCATCAAGGTTGTCAACCCGCGGGTCGACCCAATTTGATCCTGACTAGTTGAGAATAACGGGCCGATCGTTACAAGGTACCGGGTTGGAGGTAAAATTGTGTCATTTTTATCTTTGATTTGCGAAATGCGCCTATTTTTGATTTTTCTTTTCGCCTAACTCAATCTTTGGAATCCTAAGTTGAACATTTGAATATTTATGTTATATAAGTGTGTGTGAATTTTCACTTTATGTTGAATCTAAGTAAGATATGTTATTTTCGTGTAATATTATATGTTATAACTCATATGTTATATAAGATTTGATATAATTTATGAGGATAAGTACAACATAATGACTCTTTCCATATTTTCGGGCCAGACCGGGCTAAAACGGTTGACCCATTAACCCTTGAACCACTAGCTCGACTGGGTCCGGGTCAACCTGCGGGTTGACAACCTTGCTCCCCATCCTTTCAGGCTTTAATTTTTGTAATAATTAAAATTTCTAGAAAAACAAAATAAAAGTTTACAAAGAACTTATACATACAATGGAATACATATGAAACATACAATTTTAAGTTTTTTTAATAGATGGATGAAGGGCTGGTACCTGTATTTGGAAGTTTGGTACCTGTAATAATTAAAATTTCTGGAAGTTTGGTACCTGTATTTGGGATATACCGAATACCGTAACGAATTTGTCAATATTTGGTATTACCGAATACACATATTATTTTTTTGGGATTGGCATTAGGATTGGGATTGAATTTCAATTGTTATTCGGTATTAGACTATTAGGGATTACGGGATTGGGATTGGGATTGCTATATACCAAAATACCGATCAATATCGAAATATAAACTAGTGTGTATTTTATCCTCTCAACTAGACTCTCTCATTCACTACTACACGACCCTAAACTACCAAGAGTGTCATTTAATTATACATAGATCATTCTATCACTATTAATAGTCGTCTCCCAACCTACAATTCATCAAATTAACGATTACCTATGACAAGAACTTAAGATGTCTCCTCTCCTCCTTTCTCTGTAATAATATCCTAATTCAAGACACTTTGCTTAGTCTTTCCCCCCTAAATTAAACAATAAAATCTCATTTATATGTTTAATTATTAATTGCAAATGTAATTAATTTTGTATTTGATAATACCGATTGGGATACCGAAGTATCGATTGGGATACCAAAATATTTAGGGATTGGGATTGATATTAGGGTATAATTGGTCGGGATTTCGGTATTTGGTATTGGGATACCGATACCGTACCGATTTCCACCCTAAATAACCAAATCCTAAAAGATTTTATCTCTTAAAAAGTTTATACAAAAATCAATCCACTGCAATGGTTATACAAAAATCAATGCACTACAATGGCTATACAAATTTCAGAAAATACACAAGGATTTAACATAAATTGTATGACAAAGTCTTTGCTAGATTATTATCAATGTAATACACTTTACGAGTAAGATTTGGGTTAATCCAAAGCGATGTAGTCGACTCGGTCTACTGAGAAGATTCAAATCACCTAATTATAGTGAATGTTGTAACATAATAATATGTTAATGGAATATAGAATATACATGTTTAGAAGAGAGAATTAAATGATCACCCTGCGCACCTAATAACTCGTGTATAACGAACCGAGGCACGAATCCCCATAACTGATTGTTTGCTTTTCTCCTATTTTTTGCTGTGATATCTTATATATGTTGATAAGTCTTCCAACATCTTGGTTATCATTCAACATAGCTATTATTGTGACATTATGTAATAACTTATTTAAATATGTCATAGTCTTGATTAGGGTTTTGTTTTAATACAACACAAAGAAGACATAGCAAAAAAGAATATTCCTAAAATATAAATGTGTTTGGTTGTTAGGTTTGGCTGTTAGGGAAACTGAACCTTATAATTGTGAGATCAATCAAGAGGAATAAACTTATCATCATCACCCTCTTAGTTGACTTTTTTGTTGCTTTGGTAAGAAGTATCTAGTTTAAACGGAATCGTTGTAATCCATCAACGGAATATCACATGATCAATAAATGATCGTTACATCCTATAGTTGAAGTACTCGAGCTAAAACTCGAATTTCACGAGGATCTTCATTAACAACAACCATCCACTACGATAGATCGTCTATCTCAGAAGCCTATCACTCTTAGCTCAAGCCAATGATTCCTACCATTCTCAGTCAATTTCATAGACCCCCAAAAGTCAATTGCTTGGAACATTCTTTCAAGCAAGCGTCTCTTCATTTAGAGCAACCTAGAAGCCTATTCCTATTGTTCAATTCTCTGTCAGCAATTGGGAAAGGATAAGAAACAGGAAAAAGGAACAGTTGGGAAGGTGACATTATGGAAGTTCTTCACCCGGGGATAAAAGGACCATATACCTCATCAATCATCAATTTGTTAAGCTGAAGAAGAAGGAAAACAAGTTCATGCAGATTCAACACATTAAACGGGGAAGACTACAGTGCATACTTTGACCAGATCGACAGTAAAGACTTAAGACTCTCGAAGTTCGAATGCCAGTGATACGTTGAATAGTTACGGCTTACAACACCCGGAAACTGCACCTGCAAAGAATGCAACGGAGAACCAAGAATTCAGTAATGTGGGGGATCATTCGGGAAAGAAGAGGAAGGGAATTATGTCGATCAATATCCCGCGGGAAGGCAATGCGGAATTGACAAAAGAATGGTGGACTTACCCCAACAAGCCTCTGCCTTCCCATGCTCTTGGAGTCACGGTCAAGTTGATCGGGGAGCCTTGCCTTAGTACGACCACGGATACTGCTTTATCTTGGTTGGCCTGTGCCTCGGAAGCCAGCTTCTGCAGAAGATTCTCACCAGCTTGATACTGGACATCGCCGAATTTAACAATCTGATCTCCGAGCTGTAGACCATCTTCAGCAGTTGGGGATGCATCAGCTATCTCATCGATCACTGTGAATGGTATGTTGATGAAGGGATCCACATCCATGGCTGCAGATGCAGCTGCGTTGTCGCTTGATGCGTTTAGACTACTTGATGTCTCATTGTTACCTTGAAATAAGGCCGAAGTGTCAGGAAAATAGATATTAGACATACGGTAGTACTGCCCTAATCAAGCTGTAGTAACTATTCTAAGGAGATCAAGAGGGACCAAGGATATTCTCATCAAGAAGAAGATTCAAAGTTCTATGGGCTACCTGAGTCTCCAGGGCTAGAAGATTTAGGTGCAAGCCTTGCTGAATGCAGAATTTCTATGCTTGCCTCTATCTTTTTAGTAATCTCCTTGTGATCGTTTCGCAGCTCTGCAATAACTCGAAAAATCAAATTTGTGAGCAATCTCTTCTGCTTTGTTTTAACGGCTTAATCGAAAGGTACTCACAAAGCAATTTACTGACAGCATGCATCTTTCCAAGCATGAGCATGAAGATACGAACTTTGCTAGTTCTGTACAGAAACTTGAAGCAAGAATGAAAGGAGAAGCATGTTATGTACCTGCCAGACGATGCCGGTCTGCTCTAACCACTGGAATGTCTATATCAGTCCGTGGAAAACCCTACAACACCATGGAAATAGAGAAACCATAGATAAGCCACCCAAGTTGTGAATACATGTCCAAGCCATTAATTAGAAAGGTAAGGAACCGATTAGAAAGATCAATTGGGCAGAAAAATCAGCATTTGTCTTCAGATTCATGAGCTGCAACAAAATCCTAAACCTAGAAAACTCCATAAACCTTAAACCATAGGAAGTTTCTCATCCATCAATCTAAACAAAAAAGGAACTCACCACCACACCACATATCTCAGCTAGCATAAGGTCAGAATCACACAATAGAACTTCTACATTCAGCAAAACCGGGCTTCATCCAGCTTCTCTATTCTATCAGATTCTAAGAATCCTCCAAAATCAAGTTAACAGAAGCTCAGCTAAAACCTAACAGCTCCAACTACACTAAAACAGCTAAAGTTATCTCGCCCCGTTCCTCTAATCCCCAACAAAATCAATCACAGAGCCAAAGATGTAAAAAGTTACGAACTTTCAGCTCGATGAAGCATTTTTTTACCTCCGAGTCGACGAGGTTGCCGGAAAGTCCAGGGCCGCCGGGCTGGGTGAGACGGTGAATGATGCCGTTCATCTCCGACTCGATTGCGCTCCTCTTCTCCATCAGCTTCATCGTTTCCCCTTTCACGTTCGCCCCCACCATTGTCAGTCGTCAGAAATTCCTCAACTTCACCTGTCCGATCGCGTTTCCTCTGCCGGAGAATTTCAAGGGTTTTTGGGGTATATATAAAAATCTTGTCTTGTAAAAGAAGAAATATATTACAGTTAGAATTTGGATTCAGCGGTGAATTTAGACCCAATCCGAACCGAACCCACCATTGCTCAGCTGGTCAGACCGGTTCCGAGTCGAGTTGGCGCCGTCCGCCTTTATCTCTATCTCATAGGCCAGAGTAGAGCGTTTTGCTGACTGCTGCGCGGTGGGGTTTCACTATAAAATCAATAGGCTCCCCCGCAGCGGAAAAAATGGCAGGTAGTCTTTTACACTCCTTCGCCACTTCCTTCTCTTCTTGTTCGTCTTCGTCTTCTTCCCGTCTCCTTCTCTCCCATTCTCCTCCCTCCTTGTTCTTGACGAGCTTCCGTCGGTCCGCCGCTGTTGCTGCTCCCGGGGTTCGATTCTCGCGTGTCCTCGCTTCTTCTTCTTCGTCGTCTTCATCTTCTCGCTCGCCGTTGTGTTATCGGAGAGGACAGAGGAGGCTTATGGCGCACTCAATTGCTCGGGCAACTCTGGGGCTCACTCAGCCCAACGCCGTTGATGTCCCGAAGGTCTGTTCTTTACTCTCTCTCTATCTTTCCTTCGTCGGGAAATGACGAAAGTACGGTTCTTTGTTGGTCGTTTTGGTCACCGATTGGTTATCGATCGATTTGTTCTGTGGTCTGCTGTTTTCTCCTTGTTTTAATCGAGTGCGGCGAATTGGGTTTCCTTGGAATTGCTGGTTTTCCTTGATGGGGTCTCCACTCTGCAGCTCTTGGTTGTATGATGTGATTGAAAGCTCTGATCTTTGCTTTCTTCTTGGCCCGATTGTCAGTTTTAGTTGTTTGTTAGTGGCTCGGTAATGTGTTCTGGTTTATTTTATGTTGAGGAAGTGTGGATTCTATGAGGGGTATTGAGGTGAAGTGTTGGGATTATACTGAAAACAGTCTGCCATGTGTTTGTTTTAATTCCTCAAAGATCGCATTCGCTGCGAAAGAGATCAATGCGGTGGAATGGAAAGGAGATTTACTTGCGGTTGGTGTCACCGAGAAGGACATGGCTAAGGATGAGAGCTCGAAGTTCGATAACTCACTTCTGAAGAAGCTCGATTCCCAGTTGGGTGGTCTACTGAGTGAAGCCTCTTCCGAGGAGGATTTCACAGGAAAAGCTGGTCAGTCAATGGTGCTTAGGCTTCCTGGTCTGAGCTCCAAAAGGATAGGCTTGATTGGTCTTGGACAATCTAGCTCGGCCACATTTGCTTTCCGTGGCTTCGGTGAGGCTTTTGCTGCTGCTGCCAAGTCTACTCAGGCTAACAGTGCTGCTGTTACCCTTGCAACGACGGACAGCATCTCAAACGACTCAAAGCTCAGCACTGCTACAGCAATAGCATCCGGTACTTGTTTTAAGGAATTACGTTAGTTTTCTTGATTGGTAAGCTATTTTGTATAGAGTTGGAGCTGACTTTTGTTTGGATCGGTGGGATTGGTGACAGGGACTGTGTTGGGATTGTACGAGGACACTAGGTACAAGTCAGAAGGGAAGAAACCCGTGCTTAAATCTGTTGATTTCATTGGTCTTGGAAGTGGAGCTGAAATAGAGAAGAAGTTGAAATATGCCGAAGATGTCTCCACCGCTGTAATTTTTGGGAAAGAGCTTGTGAATTCCCCAGCTAATGTTCTTACTCCTGGTTAGTGTTAATTAATTTTTTGACAAGTTTCCTAATTCATAGTTGTGTCTTCAATGCCTGTGCATGGTAGCAAGGTGTATTTATGTGGCATCCAGTTTAATCACATTTGCTCAATGACTTTTTGTGTTTCAGCTGTACTGGCTGAGGAAGCTTCCAAGATTGCTTCCACATACAGTGACGTTTTCACTGCTACTATCCTTGATGCCAAAAAGTGTGAAGAATTGAAAATGGGATCCTATCTTGGCGTTGCTGCAGCATCGGCAAACCCTCCTCATTTCATTCATTTGTGTTACAAGCCTTCGAGTGGACCTGTAAAAACCAAGCTGGCATTGGTTGGAAAGGGATTGACTTTTGACAGGTGAGAGATAGTTGTTCCGTATTGTTCCCTTATTAGAAAGCATTTGCCAATTAAGTTCTTGCTAGTTTTGGTAAAGTTTGCTATGTGATTCTTTTGTTTGGCATCATTCGGTGAGTAACTGGTAACCTTTTTGTGATCAAATTAACGAACTTTGCATAAATGCATCAGATGATGGCGATGCGTTGTATAGTTGTTTTTCCAGTTTTCGATTCCACCACCATGTATGAAAAAGTTGTGTTTTATGTCTCCAGTGGTGGCTACAACATCAAGACAGGAGCAGGCTGTTCCATTGAGCTCATGAAATTTGACATGGGTGGTTCAGCAGCAGTTCTTGGTGCAGCAAAAGCCATAGGTCAAGTTAAACCTCCTGGAGTCGAGGTAAAACATTAACATGTCTTTGTCATTTTACCTTGGTCATATTCTTAGTACTTACAGAATCATTGGTTCTTGTAGGTTCACTTCATTGTTGCAGCTTGTGAGAACATGATCAGTGGGACTGGTATGAGGCCTGGGGATGTAGTCACAGCATCAAATGGGAAGACAATTGAGGTCTATACATCCTCCTTTTCCTCTCTGCTATGGAACCCCTCCTTTTGGTTTATCGACTCGGCAGTTGACAACCTTGCTGACACCTAGGTTGTCTGGTATATGACAGGTGAATAACACTGATGCTGAGGGCAGGTTAACACTTGCAGATGCATTGGTTTATGCATGCAATCAGGGTGTGGAGAAGGTACTTTCAAAACTTTATATCAACTCATATTGATATGCAATGCTTTATTGCCTCACATTGATCCAGATGTCTGTTCAGTTTCTGATTGGTTACTGTTTCCAAATCATTGACTCCAATATATTTTTTGGTTTATATTGTTCTATAGATAATTGATCTGGCGACGTTAACTGGAGCTTGTGTAGTTGCTCTTGGGCCCTCAATTGCAGGTATAACACAAATCATACACAATATAAATTCCAGTAGGGCTCGACATTGTTATTGTCAGAATGCAAAGCAATTAAGTCATACAGATGAAAGTCATGTTCATCGTCATGCTTGCTTGATATTGTTTGCAGGTGTCTTTACACCAAGCGATGACCTGGCCAAGGAAGTATTCACAGCAGCAGAGGCGAGCGGGGAGAAACTTTGGAGGATGCCATTGGAGGAAAGCTACTGGGATAACATGAAGTCAGGTGTAGCCGACATGGTCAATACCGGTGGTCGTCAGGGAGGAGCCATCACTGCTGCTCTATTCCTGAAACAGGTAACTACTTTTCTCTCTGTCCTATGTTGTAACAGATGAGCAACCACCCTCAGCTCGTGAAACGACTTCTTAAGCTGGGGGTTTTCGTCTATCTCTCTCAGTTTGTCAACGAGAAAGTCCAATGGATGCACATCGACATGGCTGGACCCGTGTGGAACGACAAGAAGCGTGCTGCCACAGGATTCGGAATCGGAACTTTGGTGGAGTGGGTCCTGCTCAACTCTTCTTCATAGACACGCACAGACAAGCATCAGCAACTAAAAATAATTGCTTTAATGGTATGGGGATCCATCAGTTTCAGGAATAATAGAAAATCAAAAGGGTGTTTCGAACAGCAAGGGGAAAAAAGGAATGTTTATGTGAGGAATTTTAGCATTTTCTTTTGGCGCTTTTGGGACAAGAACAGAGTTAGGACTCTGTTATTCCTTCTGCTTGGAGTTCATTGTGTTGCATGCTTAAAACCGGGAAATCGATTCCCTTTCGACATAGAATTTGGTACTACAAGAACTCTGTTTCTCTTCTCATACGAAATGATAATTCAATTCTCAACAAAATTGGTTCGAAACCGAGCTATGATTGTCGATCTCATCCGAATTCTGCATATCCAACCCTCATTGCAGATATGGAACCACAGAAGTTCATTCATACACACTTCCTTTATTCATGCCATCACCCATTGCCACAAATACACTAAAAGAAGAGACTATCACGAAGATTTCACCATGGATTCCACAAACCCACTGCCAAGCAGCCGCTCCACGTACTTGCCCAAAATGTCGACCTCCAAATTCACCTTCTCCCCGACGCTCTTCATCGGAACCACAACTTCCTGCTGGGTATAAGCCACCATCATGAAGTTGAAGCACCCTTCCTCCTCCATAACATCCACCACGGTCAAGCTCGTCCCGTCGACGGCGATGAACCCTTTGGGAACAATGTATCTCAACAGCTCCTCATCTTCCACTCTCACCTTCACCCACAGAGAATCCCCTTCCTCAACTCTGCTCACGATCTCCCCTGTTCCGTCCACGTGTCCCTGCACGAAATGCCCGCCCATCCGGCCCGCGGGCTGAACCGCCCGCTCCAGGTTGACCCTTGACCCGGGTCCCAGCTCCATCAGCGACGTCTTCCTCAGCGTCTCCGGTGCCAGCCCGGCGGTGAAGCCTTCGCCGGTGAATTCCGTCACCGTCAGGCAGGTCCCGTTCACGGCGATGCTGTCGCCGAGATGGACACCCTGGATGACGGTCTTGGCTCGGATCTCGAGCTCGAATCCGGCGCCGTTTCCGGTGGTGCCCAGCCGCTTGATTTCCCCCATTTCTTCCACGATTCCGGTGAAGAGCGATCTGGTCGTCGTCGTGGAGGAGGGTTTGTTGGATTGGGGGAATTTGGCGGCGGAGAGGCGGAATGGGTTGGGATTGGAGATGGAGGAGGTGAATTTGAGATTCGATTTCTTGCTATTGGGGAGAAGGAGATTCAGAATCGGCCGGGTGATTGTTGATTGCGATTGGGTTCTCGACGTTGGGGTGATTCTTGGCCCATTGGCTGGAGTTGTTGTGAGAGAAAGGCAGGGCGCCATCGTTCTTTGTTTTTCTTTCCTCCCTAGTTCTCGTTTCCTTTGTTTGGCTTCTGGGAAAATTGTGGCGAGTGGGGGTTTTAGAGCGGGAAAAAACGAAGTGAGCCACGCCGCTTCCCATTAGCAAGTTGCAACAACGGCGTGATTCGCGCGTGTACAGTCGAGCCGAACTCCATGACGCTTTACGACATTAATGGAGGTGGAGGATACCAAAAAGAAAGAAGAAAAAAAAAACAGGGGAAATGAAGAAACGGTAAATACTAAATATTCACGACGCCTTGACTCGCATATGAACAGTCAAACGGACTAACCCGTCCCACACCGCCACCTCAGATAAACAATCGAGAAGAACAATGTTAAAAGAAAAAGGGAAAAGAAAGAAACTTGCTTCCATTTCAGAATTCAGAGCTCACGCTTGACGCTCTACGACATTACTGGAGGATACCCCCAAATCAAAGTGGGAAAGGAAGGCTTAAGCGGTTTCCCAACACTCCACTGACCACTCTACTGTGTGCAACTCTGCTCCAATCAAAACCCGAACCAGCTCAGAAAAGAAAACGAGGAAGAAAAAGGAATGGGAAAGATCGAAGCTTTAGCCAAAGTTTGCGTCTTTGTGTCACTCTTCTTCCCCTGAATCTGATCAGTTGGTGGGTTAAGCTCGGAGAAGAGAAGTGGGGTTCAGAAGAAGAAGGAAGTATGAGTGTTTCTGTTACTGTAATGACCTTCAATCTGGATGAAGATCAGGCGGCAGAGGATAGTAGCAGTAGCCCCAATTCAAGGGAGAAGAGGAGGGATTTGTGTTTGAGTGTCATTACCAGTTACTCCCCTATCATCCTTTGTACTCAACAAGGTTTGATCTTTCTTCAAATTTGCTGATCGGGGTGTTCTTAGCTCTTCTCTTTTCTGGGTTTCTTCGACTATATTGAAAGTCATTTGTTTCCTTCCTTTTCAATTTGGGGTTGTTTGTGGGGTTCAGGAGTGAAGTCACAGTTGGAATATCTGCAGCAAGGTTTGCCAGGTGAGCTGGTGACTATTCCTTAATCATGATTTGGTCATCATCATTTCGCCTCATCAACTTCTGTTTAAGCTGCATGGTTTATTTTAGTCTAGTTGAAGTCAATTTTGATTTAGTTGTTTATCTTGTTGCCATTTGTAATGAATACAATGTTCTATTTATAGATTGGTTGTATTATGCGTGTATCGAAATGAACTACTCTAGATGGAATTGGTAACTCAATCTTGGTAACGGTCCACTTTAGAAAATTCATTAAGTTCCCAGTAATGGAAATGTATGAAGACTGATGTGCAGATGGTATGAGTCGTTAGTATCTGAGGTCTTTGAAGAGATGCAATGGCTAGCCAGAAGCAATGTGAATGTATATTGAATGTTGAAGTAGCTAGTGACTTGAAGTGCAGCAGCGATATGAATGTAGAGTGATCCATGATATTTTTCTTGGGTCAACAGCTGAACATGATGGTGGAACCTAGATTGGATACTTCTCCATTATTCAGATAGTTGATTAATCATTTGTGCGTTGCTTTAGTCCTGTGGATGATGGATTTTGGTCTCTGTTGTTGGAAGTTCACATTTGGCCTGTTGTATCTTCTCAACCTGGATATTGAGCTCATTATTCAGAAATGATACTGTTTTATGGTCCATCAGGTTATGATCAGTTTGGCGTGTCAAGGAAAGGGTTCGAGGATAGTACTGACGAATACTGCAACATCTTCTACAACAAGGAAAATGTATTTATCTATGCAAATCATCACCTCCCTTTTCTTGTTAACCTTCCCTTTCTTTGGTCTAGCGAGCTGTTGTCTGATTTGCATTCTTTCCTTCTTGTACCTGGTTAAATGAAGGTATAACTATTAGAAGGAGTCTCCATCTGTCCCAGGCAGTATATCATGGGGTGCTTCCGTTCTATGCATTGCAACTTGGGCGATATCCTTCCAAACTCATGTAGTTTTTCCTTATATGGCTTTGTCTAGTTTACCTGTGTGCTTCTTTTCCTTGACATGGTGTCCACACATTCCAACTCCAAGGAGTTGAGCCCCCAGGCTTCTCATTCCAGATAGTGAACACAAACATGGACGAGTCGAGCCCTCGTGCCAGAAGACGAAGCGCTTTGCTCACACGGCAGCACATCGCGTCTTTACCTCCTAGCCTCCCTGTTCTTTACTGCGTGGATTCAATACCACCAAGAAGGAATCAACCACAGGGCGTTTCCTTCTCGATCGATCAAGGTATGTGTTCGTTCGTCTTTTGCATTGGCCTGAGTTCCTCGTCACGTTGCTTCTAAGCACGACCCCTTTAAATAATCCAGAGAGCATGGATCCATGGGAGATATGAAAGACGCGTGGCTCAATGCTCGAGTGAGGAAGAATGTCTCCTTGATACACACTTACCATGGATTTAAAGGTTCTGCTCAATTAGTAAAACTGTTGCTGCTCTTTGCTTAAGGTCTCCATAACCTTATATGCAACATTCATTTCGCATTATACTTTTCTCGGCTATCAGGTAACAAGCAAGGAGCCCTTGAGTTTGTGAAGCTGATCTTCCGAGCACTGTGCCTTTGCTGGGACAGGCAGACACAGGACCTCCACATAGATTGGATCCTCTACAGAGGGAGGTCCTTTGATCCCATCTTTATGTGAAGTGGTGAGCGACAATATCGATGGCTTCTACCCTTCCTCTCATTACCCTCTTTTCGTGGAGTTCATGCTTCCTCGTTCTGTGAGACTCGTCGAACAACCACCAGTACCAGCACCAGCAGGTGCTGGGCAGAAAAACCAAGCTGCATAATGAATCCAGGGTCTTTGCTGGTTCCTGAGTTTCTTTATTTATTTTTTTTTTGTCGATTTCATACCTCGATTCATTGATTGTTGCAGGAATGTCTAGCTAATTAGGTTGTTTTCTGGCCATATAGAAGGACTGTTTGTTGTTGTAGGACCAAATTTGAAACTTCCCAACTTGTTATATGTTGCTTGTTGGATTTTGATTGTCTTTGAATATATGTTGGAAAGAGACTTTTGGGTAGTTTTCTTCATAATCAAGATTGTGAAGTGGGAGATGTTTTCCTGTTCAACAAGTCTGGTTCTGAATTGGTGTTGGAAAATTGACTGCTGGTTTGTCTTGAAAGAGACTTTGGGTTCCTCAGTGATGTATGTATAAAAGACATATTTATAATCTCATAGCCTTTAAAAATTTGTGTATTGTGCATGAAGTATTATGAAATGATAACTTTAGGAGGAAGAGATGCTAACAACTTCAATAAATTAGATGGTATGTTTGGAACAAACTCTTAATTAATTTGATTACGATAGATCATATACTGTTTTCAATTTCTTTTGCCAGAATTGCTGAAGAATTTGGTTTGATTGGATTCCCTTGTGGAAGAAGGAGGTGTATCACAAGAGTGGTTGGGGTGGAGTGATCAAAATTAGTTAGCAAAATAGCAAATTACTTGTCCCATCAAATGAATTTTCAAATCTCAACCAACAAAATATAAAATATAAGTGACACCACAAAAAAAGAAATCAATATTAACTTTCATTCAGCGCATTCTTTATCCCATAACTGTAGTTTTATGGCCATTTTAACTAAAATAGGGAGACTATAGAACACATCCCAAACATTCGCAACTCACTTTTGTGTTTTTGTAAGAACGAAGTGAGTAGGTTGTTCGACGAAGCGTCGAGAACAAATCAAAAGAAACAATCTTTTGCGAGGAATGGTAACGTTTTGATGTTGCAACAACAACAAAAAAGAACGAGTGTCGAATGCGAAGGAACTGAGTGAACTATGAAGGACAAAGATGCATGTCAAGTAACAGTTTTAGCCTAAAATAAAGATAATAAACATGTATTAATAGTTTTAGTATTATTAATTTTCATTTCCTTAAGTTCTTTCAAGTATTTTTCATATTCGCCTCATACTTAATCAACACGAAATATTCTAACTTGTCCAGATATATAGCAAGAACTATGGGGTCGTTTGGAAGTTGAGATTCTTTAAATAGGTGTATTTGATGAATACATATATTGTCAATACAAAGATTGTAAGAATTAGATGATTGGAAGAATGTCTTGTTTAGTTGTAGCCATTTAAAATTTTTAAAGAAAAGAAAAATCACTTTATGAGCTAAAAGTGAAACAAATTATAACCAACAATCTCAAAGGAAGAATCTCACCTTTTTGTTGAGATTTAAAATGAGTGATTGTGGGTGATATGAGATTTGAGGGCCCACCTCAAATGCATGTATTGAATAAAGTTTTAAAACAAAAAAACGATGGATTCTCTAGAATACATGAATTCAAAAAATCATTCATCTAGAATCATAACTTCCAAACAACTCCTATGTCACCTTCCTGAAGTGGTCCAAACTGTCATTCCTAAGGATGAAAATGAACTGAACACAAAGTATTGGGGGCATTAAGTCGAACAAACTAAAATATACAACTGTCAATTTCCGTTTTTGTCTTTTTCCCAGGAAAAAAATCAATATTTTAATTTCCCTTTTACCCGTATTTACACAGTAGTGGCGCTTCCATTTTCTCGTTATTCCCGTGCGCACTACTCTTCTCAATAATCAACTAATTCAGAAAATCACAGCTTCCTTTCTTCCTTCCCTTCGATCCGCCATATCTGCGTTTCCCCTCTCCTCCCCCACCGTCGTTCCAGATCCAGTTCGGCGGCCATGGCGAGGGCGTCTCTCGCTCGCGGACTCCTATGGATCTCCGTCCTTGCTTCCGTCTTCTCCCTCCCCGCTCGCTCCTTCTACCTCCCCGGCGTCGCCCCCGAGGATTTCCACACGGTAATTTCAATCCCCCTCCTTCTTGTGGATCCCGTCCAATCTCCCTCCGGCCGTTTTCCGGTTAAGGATTATCAATCTCCGTTATCGTTTTCCTGCGGAATTCGCTGAATTCCGATGGATTGCAGATTAGTTTGTAGTAACTGATGTGAATTGTGTTGCTGTTTTGAATTCGCGGAACTGAATCGTTTAGAGAACAGCGGATTTCGTTATGCATATGAGATTATGAGCTAGTAGGCTTGGAATTGTAGCTTATGCTGACTGTAGAGCTCTGCTTTTATACTGTTTTCGTGAATCCCAGGGGGATGAATTGAAGGTGAAAGTAAACAAATTGACTTCCACGAAGACGCAGCTTCCGTATTCGTTCTATTCCCTCCCATTATGCCGTCCGCCAAAGATTGTTGACAGTACTGAGAATCTCGGGGAAGTTCTTCGTGGTGATCGGATTGAGAACTCTCCTTACCTGGTAAGTTTACATGTAGGTTGGAGAAGGACTGATGGTATGTTCTGCGGGTGTGTGCGCGGGGAACATGATATTTGACAGATGTACATTTTGCTTGTGCAGTTTAAAATGAGGGAGCCGCAAATGTGCAAGATTGTATGCCACACGAAGCTCAACGAGAAGACCACGAAGGCGTTCAAGGAAAAGATAGATGACGAGTACCGGGTCAACATGTAAGGCTTTTTGGGTGTCTGATTCTGTTTGCAGTTTGACATTATGAGCAGGTTGAGATGCATTAGTCTGCTGTTGTGATGACACTTTATTCTGTTTAATCCAGGATATTGGACAATCTTCCTTTGGTTGTACCGATTCCAAGGCTCGATCAGGAAAATTCTGTAGTGTATCAACAAGGGTTTCATGTTGGTCTGAAAGGGCAGTATGCTGGAGTAAGTGAGAGCTTAATTTGCTGAACAACGCTCTGTTTTTGAGAATTAACCTTCTTACCTACTTATGAGCATACCTGTTTATTGGTTCTGTTGTTTGTAGACCAAGGATCAAAAGCATTTCATCCATAATCACTTATCATTTACCGTCAAGTACCACAAAGATCTTCAGACCGATTCTGCAAGGATTGTAGGGTTTGAGGTCAAACCATACAGGTAACAGTTTGTCATTCTTATTGTTCACTTTTTGCTTACGTTTATCCTCCTGTTGGAGCTTCTTCATCAATCTGTTTCGATTTACCCATTGCAGTGTCAAACATGAGTATGAGGGAGAATGGAAGGGCGAGAACACCCGTCTAACAACATGTGATCCGCATGCAAAACGAGCAGTTACCAGCTCCGAAACTCCTCAGGAGGTTGAGAATAAGCAGGATATAATTTTCACGTACGATGTCGAGTTCAAGGTGAATCCATATTTGAATATCTCTTCTGAGCTAAAATATTTCCTACTAGTACTATCTTTAAGTAGTTTTTTAATACCCCCCCTTCTGTTTACCTTGTAGGAAAGTGACGTGAAGTGGGCATCTCGTTGGGACACCTATCTTCTAATGGCCGACGATCAGATCCATTGGTTCTCAATCGTCAACTCATTGATGATTGTCCTTTTCCTCTCAGGCATGGTAGCCATGATAATGCTGCGGACCCTTTACCGGGACATCTCCAAGTACAATCAACTCGAGACCCAGGAAGAAGCTCAAGAAGAGACAGGCTGGAAGTTGGTCCATGGAGACGTCTTCAGGCCTCCATCAAACTCCGACTGGCTCTGTGTCTATGTCGGAACTGGGGTTCAGTTCTTCGGGATGCTCCTTGTCACCATGATCTTCGCCGTTCTAGGTTTCCTCTCACCTTCTAACCGTGGTGGGCTGATGACTGCCATGCTCCTGCTCTTCGTGTTCATGGGCCTTTTCGCTGGTTATGCTGCGACTCGCCTCTTCAAGATGTTCAAGGGCACAGAATGGAAGAAGATAGCACTCAAAACCGCCTTCATGTTCCCTGCCAGCGTCTTTGTCGTGTTCTTCATCCTGAACGCCTTGATCTGGGGCGAGAAGTCGTCGGGGGCAGTGCCATTCGGTACTATGTTCGCTCTGGTCTTCTTGTGGTTCGGAATATCAGTCCCACTAGTCTTCGTAGGCGGCTACCTGGGCTTCAAGAAGCCTGCCATCGAAGATCCCGTGAAGACTAACAAGATCCCGAGGCAGATCCCCGAGCAGGCATGGTACATGAACCCTGCATTCTCGATCCTGATCGGAGGAATCCTCCCCTTCGGGGCCGTCTTCATCGAGCTCTTCTTCATCCTCACCTCGATCTGGCTGCACCAGTTCTACTACATCTTCGGGTTCCTGTTCATCGTCTTCGTCATCCTAATCATCACCTGCGCCGAGATCACGGTCGTGCTCTGCTACTTCCAGCTCTGCAGCGAGGACTACCTGTGGTGGTGGAGGTCGTACCTGACAGCAGGTTCGTCCGCTCTCTATCTATTCCTATACGCTGCCTTCTACTTCTTTACCAAGCTCGAGATCACGAAACCGGTTTCGGGGATCTTGTACTTCGGTTACATGCTGATTGGGTCGTACGGTTTCTTCGTCCTCACTGGTACAATCGGTTTCTATGCTTGCTTCTGGTTCACGAGGCTCATTTACTCGTCCGTAAAGATCGACTGAACATTGATATATACATGGGGTTTGTTACTTGTTAGTTAAGTTAGTTCACAATGTTAGAGTGACAAGAGGCAAACGTTTTCTTGAGGGTTGGGTAGTAGAAGAGAGTGTTGGAATACTGTTGTTATTAGTCTACTCCTGAGGTCTTACCCCTCTGTTTTGAGCTCATCTCAGAAACCAAACAAGGGGAAAGCAAGAAATTTTACAGTAAAATATCGAATCTGGAATTTATCTACACGGATTGTTTTGTTCTACAGGCGTACGTTTATGATTATGGTGTAGCTTCCTATTCTTTGATGTGTTGTTGCTATTTTTGCAATGTACTCTCTAATCTTTGCATCTTGTGATATATCAATTGAAATAGAGAGGATAACAATGGTGGCATTATCTTATTTTTTGCGATTTTACCGTATGAAGAGTTCTTTTGATGTAAATGCAGCATAATTTCCATTCATATCCAATTGGAAATATGAGTGCGTGTGATGCAAGAAAGATGAGGGGAGGGGATTCGTAGGGTATACGCAAGGGTTATAGAGTTGGGATATAGACTAGATCGTACATAAGGTTGGTTTATACGGTCCAGACTATACAACACATGTGCGTTTTGGATTCTGGACCATGTATATCATATTAAGCGAAAATGAACTATTTGTTTATTTAACCACACAAAAAACGAATCAATAACAATTTTCCACCATTGAAACATAAATTCCAACATAAATACATAATTTTTATACCATAAATGTAAGTAAATAACAAAAAACACAAAGTCAAAGCAATCTAACTTGCATTATAACATCATAAACATTAACATAATATCATACGGAGACATAGTCGTCTCTACTTTATTGCAGAGTGTGGTTTATGAATAAATGAGGGGACGGGATTTGAAAACATAGGTTTGATATTTGACTTTCATTGATAAGTTGGGAGAGTGATTGAATGAGCTGCTAACACGAATTGAAAAATAAAATCACAATTGAACCAGACCTAGAAATAATACGAATCTTAACCTAAGTCTATTTCGAACAACGTATACGTGTTGGGTTCGGTAACTCTTACCATATATACACACATACATCCAACAATTCTAGAATGGCACATCAAACAAACCATGGCTAAGTCGCCGGCTTTTTCCACGGTCATGATCGTCATCGGCTCAGCCGTACTCTACTTCCTCCTCCTCTACGGCGTCGCCCTAACGTCACCCCACCTCCCTTCCAAACTCTCCTCCGCCGTACCCTCCCCGCGTGACCCCAACGTAATCGCCAAGATCCGATCCGCCATGGAGTCCCGCGGCTACTCCCTCGCCGCCGCCGCCGTCGCCGACACCCTCCGCGACGGCGACTGGAACCTGATCGAGTGGGAGATCCAGATCCACATCGAGCGCGGCGGCCCCATCACGTTCCTCGTCCCTTCCGACTCCGCCGCCACCGCTGCCGCCGCCGGCTACCGCGGCGACACCTGCGGCTTCGGCCCCCGGCCGGTGATGGGCGTCCTCTGCGGGAGGCTCCGCCGCCGGGACTTCGACCGCGCCAACGGCACCGCCCTGCCCTCCTGCCGCGAGCGACTCCGGCAGGGGAGAAGCCGCGACGCCGTCACAGTGACCCGGATCCGCGCCGCTGAGGTGGAGGAAGATCACGCGCGCGTGGCGGATTGGAGCCTGTACGACGACGGGCGCGTGGTGGTGCACGGGATCCGAGGGGCGTACAAGGAGGGGATGCGCGTGGTGCTGACGGATGCGAGACGCGGGGTGGGGATCGCCGGGGAAGGGATCTTCCTGCCGAGGAAGGAGTGGGAGGAGGATGCCCGGCGGTGGCTGTTGGAGCGGCCGGTGGATATGACCGGCTGCGAGCGGCCGCGGGACGGCAGGGTGTGTGATTGTTGTCGGCGGGCTGGTGATGCACATGCCTTGAAAGCGCGGAACATTGATCTGACGGAGGAAATATTTGTGTTCTAGGTTTTAATTGGTAATTAGCAAACAATGTGTTACGGTTTTTTGAGCTTCTGTTTTTTTTTTGCTTAGAGTTCATGTCATTGTGATTGTATAGTTGGGTAGTAGATGTGGCAATTTATGATGTTTTATCGGAACTCATTTGTTCCTAGTTGAAAAATGCGTGCTTAATCTTAGGTTTAGTCGCATATAGGAGTCCGACTACACCAAAGCACTTCGTTTAGGGTTTCACAGCGAGGGATGTATTCATAACATGTCGGTGGAGTACGACGACATCTAGTTCTCATTTAGGTAATTAATGAAGCGGAACTAGGTAGTATCAAAATGGGAATATTAACATTATATACAAGTTGCTATAAACAACTATTTAATTTATATATTTTACCTAGTACAAACTGATATTTTTACTTCCAAATCTAGGAGGGACGTCTAGGGTAGCGAAACGCTAGGCGAGAGAGATCAACACCCACCTTACGCCTAGTGCCTTATTGTTCATACGATCTTGGAGTGTTGGGAATGATTCTGACAACTTGAATTAGGCGTGTCAGTATTCATTGGGTAAGCTCACTTGGGTCAGACCCAGTTGAGTCTATTTAGGACCAGATAATTCTACACAAAAAATAATATCAACTATCTCACTAACTTCTTTCTACCTAGTTTACTTTGCGGTATTTAATAGAATGAGTCTAATTTAAAAATGGAGTATGAGTCTTATATACCTCCGAAAATAAAATTATCAAATCTAATTTGTCTAAATCTGCGTTTCGGTCACTTTGTCATTCCTAACTCGAATTATTGGAAGAGCTAGCAGAGACCATAAAAATGGTTACACCCAGGGTTGTCATGGCCGCCGTGACACCGGTTGTACCTGGTTCAAACTGTATCGGTCATAAAACCGGTGTGACACCACCGGTATGACTGGCATGATCGATATACGAATCTCTAAGTAAAATAACCTTATTTTAGTGACTTTAATTGTTAAAAATTATTTTATTATTTATTTTATGAGTATAAATGTTAAATATTGATGTTATTTGTTGGATTCAAGTATAAATGTTTAGGTATTGACGTTAACTGTCATGTTTAAAATGAGTTTTTATAATTTTATTTGTAATATTGACCGGCATGAACCGGCACAAATCGGTATGTGCCACCGGTCGAACCATTCCACTTGTTAAACCGGCACACTGGCATAAACCGGTTTGACAACCTTGGTTACACCTCTTGCACTTTGAACCTTTCCTCATTATGAGTTATCACTATAGCTAGTAAATCAAACCAACTCTACCCTAATGCCTAACTCGATGGCAGAATCTGGCAATCCATGCTCTGGAAGTGAATCACTCCTTGATCCAGATCATACCCAACATTGTACCCTTGCTGAGCCATCATCCCGACGACGCTGATCGCCGGCGACCGGACGAAGGCGAAGCAGAAAACATCATCCTGAACCTGCTTGAACATGCCGTTGTTATCCGCCACGAGATCCGCTCCTCCGGCGAACTGCAACCCTAGGGCCGGAAACCCCTTGGTGTTTTGGCCCACCGTTCCTTTGTAGCAGAGCTCGTAGGGAGCCGTGGGGTTGACTCCGGTGAGGACTCCGGAGGCTAGCTTGATGACCTCTGCCTTCACCGCGTCGTAAGCCTCCGTGTAGAGGAAGGTGAGCTCTGCTCCGGTGTCGATGAACACTCCTCGGGTGATGTCGGACATCTTGAGGAAAACTTCCTGGCTTATGTTCAGTGCCTTGCAAAAGAGTGAAAAGAAACAATTACGTTTGTTCATAAAAAAGAATGTTAAATAGGAATGACAATGTGCATGTCACGGGTAGTATTTCGATATCCATATTTATTTCATGATTGATCAAACCCATATCGAATGACTTATTAAGGAACATGGGTCGGGTTACTATGGATATGTAATCTAAGAAAAAATATTAGAAATATTAAATTTTTTAGAAAGAAGAAACAAACTATAACATGATAAATATACGATAAATTGAGGTTCTCACGTATTTATAATTTTATTTTAGCTAAAATATGAAGGAATGAAAGTAAAAATAGGAATGACAGTGGACATGTCAGACGGGTATCTCGTACACAAGCTCGTCTCATGATTGGTCAGATCCATGTCGGATTATTTATTATGGAACATTGGGTAGGTCAACTCATACGTATATGCAATTTAAAGAAAATTTTAATTTTTTCAAAAATTAAGAAAAAACTATAACATGATAAATATAGTTAAAAATATTCAATAAATTGAGATTCTCATGTATTTATAAATTATCGTAGCTAAAATACGAGGGAATAAAAGTAAAAATTTAAGCAATTTAAATAAAATTATATGTAGTTTAGGTGAAAATGGATGGGACGAGTCAGGGTAAGTTAGGTTGAAAAGTGTACCCATATCTGTCTTGTTCCAACTTCCATGGACTTACCCACCCAATTCAAACAAATCTAGTAAAACGAATTATGTCAAAATTGCCCTCCAAAGATACTTTTGAGCAAATCCATAACGAGTTTTATAATATTATTACTAGTTGATTTGGGCACATCTATCTACTAACAAATAAAATTCACGAGAAATTGAGTTACAGAGATATATATACCTGGCCTCCAAGGGTGATGCCGGTCACAAAGACGTTGTAGGCGCCGTCCCTGAGGGAAACCCTCGCGGTGTCGCCGGCCAAGTAGGCGCCACGGCCGATGGACAGGCGGTTGTGAGGGTAAGACCGGTCGGCGAGGCTGCCGGTGCAGTACGAGAACTTGTCGCCGAACTGGTTGACCAAAGAAAAATGCCCGGATCCAAGGGCTAGTATTCCGTTGAAATTCGGGTCGACACTACTTCCGACGCCGGTGAGCGAGCTGCAGCAGCCGAATACGAAGCTTGGCACGACGGCGGTTTGTGTTTCCCCACCGCCGGCGGGGGCAAGGAAGGTGAGCTGCTCGGAGGCGAGGACTCCCTCGCTGGTTTGGTTGCCGAGGTACGACATTGTGTACATGCAGTGCTCAGCTTTCGACGATAAAAAAAATACAAAATATATAATATGTTTAGTTAGTTAAATACGGTACGGGTACGCTATGATTTTAATGCATGTGAGATTTCATACGAAATTTTTGCCTAACTTGTAGATTTAAAAGTGCGAACCATCATAAATACAAGGGAAATGAGGTGGCTTTAAATGCATTTACTATGTATATGGACGGAAAAAATGAGACAGACTCTATGTGGTCATTTGGATGATGCATTTCAGAAATGAGGTAATTAATCTAATGTCTTGAAATTGCATTATTTCGAAATACTTGTACCTCTCACGGTTAGTTCAAATTGATGCAAAACAAAATCATTGAAAACAGAACAATTCAAATGTGTAGCATCATATATATAAACTGGGAAAAAAATGAGAGTTTTATATATGGTCGGAAAAAGAGACGACTTTATGAGGTCATTTAGATGATCGATTTGACTCAATTGCCTCGAAATTATTTCATTTCATAATTGATGCATCATTTCGAAATACTTGCATATTCTACTACCAATATAAATGGATGTAAAATGAAAAACTCCAAATTGTCCCAGCTCAATTACTGCATCTTTATTTTATATTGCAAAACGAGGCAATCTGACTTAATTACTACATTTTCTGACAAATAGGCTAAATTGACTCATCTAATTCGATCATCCAAATGACCCCTACATAAATAGGGCGATTACTACGTACATAAATACTATACGAAATATATTCAACAACCTAATAATCACTTAAAATATGTACACGCATATCAGTATTTATTTTAATTTAATGATGTATTTTTATTTATTTCAAATGGATGCTTTCAAGAGAGTATTCTTTTTTACCATCGCACTTCTTGCAGTCGTCGGTACACGGCAGCGCATAGTAACTCTTGGACTTGGCCGGATCGAACAACGCCGTCGCCGCCGCCCCGCCGCCCGGCGAGCACGGACTACAAGGCATGCACTTCACCCACGTCAGGCTGCTCCCCGTGTCCATGACCGCCAGCTGTTGCACCGGCGGGTCGCCGATCGAGAAGTTGACGTAGAACACGTTGACCGTCGCGGCCAGGACCAGCCCGGCCTCCGCGTCGCGCGGCATGTCCTTCAGCGAGGACAAGTAGCGGTGGCGGGCGAGGGAAGCTTCCGCGGCCCTCGCGGCTCGACCGGCCACCGTCTCGGCGGCGTCGTACGACGGCGAGAATGTGGAGTCGCGGTGGATGAGGTGAGTCGTGATTGTCGACGAGCCATGGGATGATGACGATGTGAGGGCAAAGGAGAGGAAGAAGAAGAAGAAGAGGGATAGGGAGAAATATGATGTTGTTGGTGCCATGGGTTGCTAGGGAGAAAGAAAGGTGATGCTAATTCTAAAGGTTGGAGGACCAATTTTTCACCTCTATATATATATATTAGTTGATATTAAATTATTCTCTAATGAGTATACAAGACAAATGACTTATTAGTCTTCCTCCCTTTTCTTCTTTAGATTTTGTAATAATGATATGCCATAGTTGATTAGCATGGGCTTTGGAAATTACATTATTAATGCTTTTTTTTTTCTTTCTGTTTAATAAAAAATAATAGAATTTACCAGTTTTCCATAAAAATATATGGAAGTTAAATCTCTGGTTATTAACTTGATTTGACCTAATCGTTACAATCTATATATAGGTAGTGCATGTAATTTTAATGGTTTTGGGTTGGGTTTGAATAGGGTCAAATTTGGGTGAACTCATTTGAGCCCGAGTCAAATGGGTCTATTTGGATGCAGATGATTATACACATAAATACAATTATTATTATTTTAAAGTAATTACACTTTTAATGTTGGTGTTTACACATTTCTTTTTGTATTATAACAAAAGATAAAGACAAAATTGCATTAAATTTGGATATCTACCCAATACTCTGAGTCCAATTTGTACTAAGCTAAAATGTTGGGTATGGATCTATCCTGAAAGTAAAATTATCCAAATCTTATTTTACTCACACTAAGATGAGTTTGGCAGTATCAAAACATTCAGTACTTTTTGCCATCCTCGATTATGATGTTATGATTAGGGGTGGGTAATGATTCGATTCACATCGAACCGAATTGACTCTAACACAAAATCGGATCGAACTGTTTATCTTTCGATTCAATTTTGGTTCCTGAATTTGAGACATTTTCGGTTTTGATTCGGTCCAGACCGAAACCGTAAAATCTAGCTAAGGACCGGACCGAATCGTAATTAAATTAATTATATATTCTATTAGGCTCTGAGAAGGAAAGTCGACTTGGAGTTGAAAATCATAGTACCCTACATGCCACTTAATTACCTATAAATATGATTGACTTTTCCTGACTTTGACTCGCCGCTCCCGCTCTTATAGTCCTACCCTCTAATCAGATTCTCATCCGCATTGCTTCGATCAAGAGAGCTACTTACTTTACCTACACACTGTGAACCATGTATTTATATTATGTTCTCTTTTCTTGTTTAATGTTTCAGATATGGAGAAGATGCGAATAAATGACAGCACAGATGCTTTTGCCAAGTCTGACAACACCACTGCAAATTAGCAAGTTTAAGAATCATTTGTTTATTGCACTAGTTCTTGGAGAAAGTGCCATTTTGTTAAACTCCTTTCTAATGAACAGTGGAAATTATGGAGATTGGGAGGTCCAACGTGCACTCTGGAAATGAAAATGTAAGATTAGAGAGGCAATTAATTAGACTACTTTGAGATTGAATAAAAAGACTTTTGTCTTTTAGTTAAGTAGTTCTTGTTTAGCTTTTTGCATAATATTTTGGAACATGTGGGTTTTAAGAATTGTGGAGTATTTAAATTGGGATAATTTGATCACTTCTTTTTATGTAGTTATATTTTTTTAATTGTTGTGTTGTCCTTTAAGAGTGATTTTATTCGAATGAAAGATTAGTCGGTCCAATGGGATGGTCCAGACCGAATCGATTCATATATGGTTTGATCCAGACCGAATCGAAGTAATAACGATTCGACTTTGATCCTTGATTTAGAAGAAATTTCGGTCCGGTCCGAGGATAGTTTGATCCAGTCTTGGACCGAATCGACCGATGCCCACCCCTAGTTATGATATCCGAGACAAGGGACTTAGAGGTCGCTATACGTTTTTTATACGGACGATTGATGATACTCAAGAGTTTTATGCACCAACTGACTGATGTTGTGGACATAAACAAAATTATATTTTCAAAATGATTTATTCATTTTTATGGTAAATTTATCGTTACATCATCCAACCCAAACTAACTTTCAAAGATACATTAAAACTAACTAGTTTCGTTTCCCCCCTCGAATCAAACCCTAGCTATCAGGCAAAATCTGGCAATCCATGCTCTGAAAATACACCTCCCTCGCTCTCAAGTCATACCCAACATTGTAACCTTGCTGAGCCATCATCCCGACAATGCTGGTCGTCCCCGTCCGGAGAACGGCGAAGCAGAACACGTCGCCGGTGACCTGCTTGAACAACCCGAAGTTGTCCACCGTCACCTCCGCCCCTCGGGCGAACTGCAGCGCCATAGCCGGGAACCCTCTGGCTTCTCTGTCCACCGAACCTCTGTAGCAGAGCTCGTACGGTGACGGCGCCGGAACCTGTTGCAAGATCGGGTTAGCCAGCTTCACGACCTCGGCCTTTAGCACGTCGAAGACTTCTGTGTAGAGGAATGAGAGCTCTGCTCCGGTGTCGAGAACCACTCCTTGTTTGTACGACATTGTGATGATAGCTTCTTGCTTTATGTTCAGTACCTAGCGAGAGAAAAGAAAGGCTAGCCATTGAGATAAGATACATATATATATATATATATATATATTGAATTTAAAACTTCGTTGGAAAATTTCTCCACTATAAAAATTCTCACAATACAATACTTATATAACCAAAATTTCTTCAAAATACTAGAGGATGGTGTGGTTCGTTCCAGTGTCAAGCGATCTATATGGTGGTTCGTTGGAAAGAGAAGCGATTTACTATTGGATTGTGGCCAATCCAAGCGAACCAGTCCCAAGCCAACCTCGAATCAACATGGACCGTGACACGTTCAAGCGAACCATGATCCACACTAATTTATGTCAAAATTTTGAACAATAGTAACTTTTCACTCGGTTACCCAATAGAAGATCTCGAAAAGTTATGCGGAAAAAAAATCGGTACGATTGAATAACCGAGCATAAAGTTACGGTCATTCAAAGTTTTCGACCAAGGCTGGTTTAGTAGATAGAAGGTTGGTTCCATTCAGTCTGGCGCGATCCGGGTGGTTCAATGCTGATTTGCTTGTATTTGTGTTGGTTTGAGACTGGTTCACTTTGGTTTGATACGAATTGCTATTGATCGCTCCTCTTTCCAGCGAATCAGTGCATAATTCACTTGACATTGAAGCGAATAGCGTCGAACTCTAATATTTTTGAAATTATTTTGTTAAGTGTGGTATTGTGAGATTTTTTTATAACAACCTTGTATGTAGGGAAATTGTCCAACTTCCTTTAAGTAAAGAAGGTCTAGTACATACCTGGCCTCCTAGGGTGATTCCTTCTATGAACACGTAGTAGATCCCTTCTTTCACGGCAACCGCAGTGGCGTCGCCGGTGAGGTAGGCATTAGCGCCGATCGACAACCGGTTGTAGGCGTAAGAGCGATCCGACACGCTGCCGACGCAGTACGAGAATTTGGAGCCGAGCCCGTCGACCAGAGAGTACGGCCCGGCTCCCAGAGCCAGCAATCCGTTGAAATTTTGGTCCTGGTGCTCGGTGCCGGTCAGTGTGCTGCAGCAGCCAAACTGGACGTTGGGAAGTGCGACGGTGGCTCCGTGGCCGGACGGAGACATGAAGGTCAGCTGCTCCGTCGCGAGAACGCCTTCGGAGTAGTGGCCGCCGAGGTAGGCTTGTGTGTACATGCACACCTTGTGCGAGAACCATCCTGCCAAAACCAAAATTTAGTAAGGAGGATGGGAAAATAGGAGGATTCAACAAAACGGAAAAAAAAAGAAAAAGAAAAAACAAGAAACTACACGACACAAAATTTACGTGGTTCATTAACACAATGTGTGTTTGCTAGTCCGCAGGTCAGGAAAGAGCCTGCAATTTCACTACACTTCAAGGGGAGATACAGATTACAGAGTAGAATGAGAAATATTTATATTACTTCTCCAAGATCTAACTCTATATAATTTTGTAAGAAAAAAAAAGCAGTTATAACCTGACCCAAAACATGAACCCAAATAACATTAAAACCACTTGACTTTCGGTCGTAATAGCTGATAGTTCGATTTAAGTCGCACCAACAAATTTATAATATAATTTAGAAAAGTCCATTATAAATTCCAACAAGCAAAATATAATTTCCCCCCAAAATACGGATTCCATCATAAATCCACGATTTTATAAAACGCAGATTTTAACTAAAAATTTCATTTATCGAATCCACAAGCCAAACGATCCTCAATCCGCGAAAAGGTAGTAGTATCGATTTTACCTTGGCACTTCTTGCAGTAGCTAGCACACGGCCGTGGAGAGTAAGTCTTGGACTTGGTCGGATCGAAGAACGTCACGCCGGAGTTGGGCAGGCAAGGACGGCAGGGCAGGCACTTGACCCACGTCAGGCTGCTGCCGGTGTCCATGATCGCGAACTGCCGCACCGGCGGCTCGCCGATGGAGAATTCGACGTAGAACACGTTGTGGTGGGTGGCCAGAACCAGGCCGGCCTGGACACCCTCCGGCTGCAGCCTATCGTCGTCGTCGGATGACAACGACGACGACAGGAACTCGTGGCGGGCGAGGGAAGATTCAGTGGCTCTTCGGGCGAGAGACGACACCGTTTCGGATGCGTTGTATAGGGGAGAGAATACCGAGTCGCGGTGGATGAGCCGAGTCGTGATCGTCGGGCGGATATCGGAAGATGTGATGAGTGTTATGGAAGAGGAGAAGATGATGAAGAAGAGGACGAATGTTAGAAGAAGATTTAGTGACGGTCTTGTGGTCGTCGCCATAGCTAGAATAATTTTGAAAAAGAATTGAAACACTAGTGAAATTTTGGCAGAATGATTTTTATTTCTAGAGTGGTTTACACTTTACCGTTTTATACTAATTGTTCCAGATTGTATATAAGACAAGAATATAAAACTTAATATGTTCTTCTCCCTTTCTTAAAATTGTTTTGGAATGTTATACTTTAGAAATGTATCTATACACATATACATAGAAAATTGTATGCATGATTTTGGTAGTATGAGTAAACAAAAATGAATATATAACAATTTATTAAATATACTTCTATTTTTGCATATAATAGAAAAGGTACATCAACTAATAGTAATTTATCTAATATATATCATTACCATACAATTTCCATAAAAGTTATAGATTTTTTCCTTTTTTTTAATGTGTGATACATATTACAAAAAACTTTGTGATTGAGTGAAGTACATTTTTTATTTACAATTCGAAGTTTAGGTATTAAATTATAGATAAAATATATACAATACTGATTTTATGTTTTCACCAATCCATAAATCCACTAATGCAAGTCACATTCTGATGAAATGAATTCGGAGTTAAGTGGATTGAATTAATTGAATTTTTTTAGTTGAGAAGCGGATCAGATTCAAATTATCATCACTAAAAGTACCATCTTCGTTACTTGACCCGTAGAATTCAATAACGACGTGCTACCTTTTCAACCAATCATAGAAAGTAAGGACTACGAACCATACTGAAGATTATACAGGAAAAAAAAAGGGAAAAACTTAGCAGCATCCCAGTATGCAGCCAATAGCTGCTACCCCTCCACATGTCTGCCCGTTATTGGTTATCAGTTTTTATTTTTTTTATTATTAAATGTGATGTCAATTAGTTTAGGTTTGAGAGAGAGGTAACGGGCCGTCATCACACACGGTACGGAATTTTTAAAGTTGAATAAACTTTACTTTACACCTTTTGATTTTTAGGTTTACTTTCTCTCCTAGCAGCATTGGAAATTTTACAAGGAGCAACCGCACGAAAACCTACGCAGGCATAGCTGCTCTTTTTGCTTCAGCTACTGTTGGATGCAGTGGACATGTCATCTCCCAAATCAGGTTAGCTTTGTTTCTTTTATCAATTGCTTTTTCCAAAAGAAATTTTGGGTGAACATAAAATAAAATAATGGTGGATATTTTATCATGTTTGTCCTTTTCATGAGACCACCATCGATTTACTGAATTGTTTTTCCCTTTTACCAACATTGTGTTCATCAATTATTTTGTCTTTTTCCTTTTTCTATAACAGTTTGTGTTCTATGAATCAGTTTGGGTATTTTATCTATACTTCTGCCAATTTTTCCCCTTTGGTTATACACGTGTATTGAGTGTTCTGTTTGCTTGAATTTCTAGTCTCATGATTAACGATGACTTTTAGTAAGTAGATTATCATGAGTTTATTCTTTATCTTATGTAATATTTCTGATGAATAGATGTTAGGACTCCCAAAGAAACTTTAGAAAAGCATATCAACCAGATTAATGAAAAGATTGAAGTACCATGCATAGGGATGAATTTTGATGGAGATGATAATGCTTATGAATTTTATAAGTCATATGCACATAGTGTCGGTTTTAGCGTAAAGAAGCATCAAATCAAGCGAACAAAAGAAGGCCAAGTGAAGCGAAGAACGTATTCTTGTTCAAAACAAGGGAAAAAAGGTTTTGATAAAAGGCGTGAGCATGTAGCCTTTGAAAGACCGATTTTAAGAGTAGGTTGCTTAGCACGTATGACCTGCCAATTAAAAAATGATGGCATGCTCGAGATTATTTCTTTTGAAGAAAATCATAACCATGATCTAGCCCCCACTCCGATGAAGCATATGTTGAGGTCCAATAGGAAGATAAGTTATGCTCAGAAAGCTATTGCAGATGATGCTGAGAAAGCGGGATTATCAATCAAGAAAACTATTGATTTACTAGCAGTGCAGAATGGAGGTCGTGAACACAATGGTTTTCTGGATAAAGACTATCAAAATTATATTGGTACAAAGAGAAAGGCTACAATGATTAAAGGAGATGGCCAGGCAATCATGGATTATTTTCGTAAAGCACAAGCAGAGGACCCATCATTCTTTTACTTGGTGCAACTTGATGATGATGATCTTATCATGAATATGTTCTGGGCGGATGGCAGGTCAATAATCGATTACAAGTACTTTGGTGATGTATGTTTTGATACAACTTACAGAACCAATGAATATGGTCGGCCTTTTGCTCCATTTGTTGGAGTTAATCACTTGAAGCAGACAGTAATCTTCGGAGCAGCATTACTTTATGATGAGACAATCACATCTTTCAAGTGGTTGTTTGAAACATTCTTGACTACAATGGCTGGAAACCAACCCAAAACCATATTAACAGATCAATCAGCTGCTATGGCCAAAGCCATTGAAGAGGTATTTACTGAATCCCATCATCGTTTATGCATCTGGCATATTTATCAAAATGCTGCTAAACACTTGAGTCATGTGTTCAATGCATCCGACCAATTTGCTAAGGATTTTAGTGCATGTGTATATGACTATGAAGATGAAGAGGAGTGGTATAAAGGTTGGGATGATATGCTTACCAAGTATAATTTGAGAAATAATGAATGGTTGGAGGGGATATTCTCAATGAGAGAAAAGTGGGCTATGGTGTATGGGCGTCACATGTTTACAGCTGATATGATGAGCACTCAGCGTAGTGAATCGATCAATAGTGTGTTGAAGAAGTATTTGAAGCCAAAACACAATATGACATACTTTTTTGATCATTATGCTCGGTTGGTAGAAGATAGAAGGTATCAGGAACTACTTGCAGAGTTCAAAATGAGGGACACCATCCCAGTGTTACAAGCAAATGTTGAGATGTTAAGACAAGCTTCAAAGGTGTATACTCCTAAAGTATTTAAAATGTTCCAAGAAGAGTTTGTCAAAGTTTTGGACTATACTATTGATAAGATCAACAAAAACGAAGTCCGGGTAGAATATAAAGTGAGATATGCAGGTAGAGGCACTGAGCACTTTGTCCAGTTTGAGTCATCGTCTCAAGCAGTTGATTGCAGTTGCAAGAAGTTTGAGTTTGTGGGAATTCTATGTACTCATGCTTTGAAGGTTCTAGACAAGAAAAATATAAAGCAAATCCCAAGACGATATATATTAAAGAGATGGACAAAGGATGCAAAGGATGGAGACCTAAGAAGTTCAGTTCGAGTGCAAGGAAGTTCTGAGAAACTTATTGGGAAACGTTACTGCAATCTACATTATAATTTTCGAGAGATATCTACATTGGCAGCTGAGAATGACGCAATGTATGAGCATGCAAGTGAAGTTTTTTCAAATTTGCTAAAGGATTTGCAGGGAATGAGAACATGTTCAGATGTTGGAACTTCTCATGAGGAACTGTGCTCCAATCACGAAGAAGACCATCGAGTTGTAGCTGGAGTTAAAACAAAAGCGACAGTAGGGCGACCAAAAGGGAGGATCAAAGGTGCATTAGAGCTCCGAAAAAGTCACAAAGTTCAATCAAAACCACAGGTTCACTTCGATCTTTCTTTCCTTTTGTAAAATATAACTATTGTACTATCTTAGTTCATTAACCTGTCGTTATGTAATACTATATGTACAGGGTAAGAAGCAGAAAACTAATTGTTCTCAACAAGCTGCTGGAAGCAAAACTGAATTGCAAATTCAAAATTATCAGGTTTTACTTTGTCATTATATTTCGAAGTACTCTAAATGCGATCAAATGAATGGACTATAGGTGAACATATCCTAATAATTGTATATCTAACAAGTGTTTTAAATTTTAGGTGGAACATGAGTCTCAAAGTTCAATTATTAGTCCACCAGGAGAGAACTTGGATTCTACAATTTGTTTGAACAATATATCATATACACAATTGCTACAGGTACGAAGTTAGTCCTTTTATCTATTTTATTTGATTTCATTAAAATGTTACTAATGTTAATATTATTGTTATCGTAATTAATTTTACAGGATGCAATGAACTCTCCTTTCGATGATCCGCAAGAGTGACAACCATTGTTCTTCTATAAATATCTCAAGTAGAATAAAGTGACATTAAGTTTTTTCCATTTTCGTTATGTTTCAATACAGTAGTTGTTTAGACTTACATTCATTATTTAGAGGGGATCTATGATGTATCTAAATATTTTTTTTCCATTTTCGTTATGTTTCAATACAGTAGTTGTTTAGACTTACATTCATTATTTAGAGGGGATCTATGATGTATCTAAATATTTTTATCTGGTACCGTTCACCTAGAACAATTTAGTTTCCTATGTCAGACAATTTTTTGGAACTTTAAATTCTTATATATTCCAAAATCTTGTACGAGAGCAAAGCTAAGAATACAGATGCTGCTTTTCGGGTGACGTGTGACTACCGGTGCTTGCTGCTAGTGCTAGGACAGCGACTGAGGCCATCATTCTAGCTTTTGCTTTTCTTTTTTTTTTTTTTTTGACAGGAAGCTTTTGCATACTACTGCTTCGGTTGCATCATGCATGCGAGTAGTAAAAGTACTAAAAGATGGTGAATTGATGTGTTTATGTCAGGCTAGGGAATGGCAGATAGAGCCAAAATTTTATGGATGGGAGGGGATGTCATGGGTTGATGACGGCTCCGTTACCTCTCTCCCAAACCTAAACTAATTGACATCACATTTAATAATAAAAAAAAAATAAAAACTGATAACCAATAACGGGCAGACATGTGGAGGGGTAGCAGCTATTGGCTGCATACTGGGATGCTGCTAAGTTTTTTCCAAAAAAAAATCAATATTCGAATAATTTATACGAAACCTGTAATTTAACTTTGATTCAACCCTTTCATACCGCTTTCTCATGTACTTCTTCATATACACTCACCCTTGCAAGAGCTCACAATCTATATTCTGTAAATACACTTTCATCGCCCTCAAGTCGAACCCAACGTTGTAACCCTGCTGCACCATGATCCCGACGATGCTGAGGCTCTCCGACCGGAGAGCGGCCAGGCAGAAAATGTCGACGTCCATCTGCACAAACATCCCGAACTTGTCTGCCACCAGCTCCGCTTGATCGCCGCCGACGAAGTGAAGTCCCAACGCCGGAAACCCTGTAGCGTCCTTGTCCACCGTCCCTTTGTAGCAGAGCTCCAGAGGGCTCACCGGAGGAACCTCCGTCAGCACCGAGGAAGCCAGCTTTTGAACCTCCGCCTTCACTACGTCGAAAGCTTCTGTGTAGAGGTGGAACAGCTCTGTGCCGCTGTCCATGGCGATCTTCTTTCTTATGGACATCTTTCTGAAGACATAGGGCTTAATGTCCAACATCTGGTCCAGGCAAAAACAAAAGGAATTATAACGAACTGATTAATATCCACACATGAATAGCTCGTAATAACTCGAGTTATTGAGAAAGATGTGCTTATGACATTGTATGATAACTGGTCTGATCGTGCGTTCAAGTAGTTCAAGTCCTCATGGGATCAGCTGGTTTGTAACAGAACTTGGCTTAAGATTGAGGAATTGTACAGGAAAGTGATTAAAATTCATATATAAACATTTTTCAACAATTCGAGTTATTATTACTAATTGACTTATGATAGAACTTAGAGTTACTTGATTGAGTAAAAGAAACTCTTGATTTGATGTCTTGACAAGATATCAGAGTCTTGAATGAAAGTTTGTGCATTCAAACTTTGGTAATTAACCCCAACGTTAATCTTTGATCTAAAATTGAAGTATGGAAATTTAATTTTGTGGAAATTTATCAAACCTAGTGAACAAACTTTCGTTTGAGGAAATTTATCTCAACTAATGTAGGATATTTTATGGTTAAATCGTGATTTTAATCGTTTCAAACCTAAAAAAATTCTATATCAACTTGAACTCCAGTAAACAAATATATATAGAGCGATAAAACAAAACAAAAAAAAAGTCGAGCTAATACCTTGCCTCCTAAGCTGATACCGAACATTTGGACGTAGTAATTGCCATAATCGAGGTACAACGGCGTCCAATCTCCGACCAAGTCAACGGCGTCGCCGAAAGACAGCCGGTTGTGAGGATACGAGACGTCGGACAGGCTGCCGACGCAGTACGAAAACTTGCTACCCAGTCGGGTGACAATTGACTCCTCCCCTCTAGGCAGACTGCTATAGCTTCCTCCGGCCAGCCCCAAAACTCCGTTGACTTGCGCGTCGAGGACGTTGGCTCCGGTCAGCTTGCTGCAGCAGCCGAAGAGCACTTTGGGGACGACGGTGCACCGGCCGTCGGTCGTCCCGAAGACCAGCTGATCGGTGGCGTAGACTCCTTCCGAAGTCTGGCCGCCGAGGTAGTCTATTGTGTACATGCAGTGTTTCGGCGACTTTGGCCACCACGATTCTGCGTCACAGGGGAATAGAAATTTTCATCCAGTGGTAATAGGATGATGATATTTTTCTTCCGTTTAAATGGATATCATTTCGAAGAACATAATGAATCTGTTGTCTTTGTGTAAAATTTATTCACTTTCAAGTTAAAACGAAAAATAATAGGTGGTGGTATAATTGGTGAAAATTTTTTGTTTTTAAATATATAAAAAACGAATATCATTGTTGCGGATTATGATGAACCTGTTTTTTCTGTGTAAAATTATTTAATAATACGATTAAAAATATGGGAGGTATAAGTAGATTGAATAAGTAAGAAATTAAAATTACTATTTAATTTGACCCTACAAAATCAAGAAACCATATCTAGTGAAAACCAGTGTTTGTAAACCGTATTATACCTCTGAAATCTGGAAAATTTTCTAACGGAGTCTAAATTGGTAGGCAAGTTTTAGCCTGACACAATTTAACCACGGTTTCAACATAAAATACCCTTCTACTAACTTTTCCAGTACAATACGGATTTACAATTCTTGGTAAAAACACATGAGATTTGGTGACAAGAATGAAATGGTCACTAATAATCATATCGTCGCAAAACATAAAGAAGAAAAAAAAACCCCATTGCTTACCCGTGCATTTCTTGCAGGCGGTGGTACACGGCCGTGGAGAGTACGTCTTGGACTCGAAGGAATAAAAGAAGGTGGCTCCAGAGTCAACGGGGCAAGGACTGCACGGCGGGCACTTGAGCCACAGCAAGTCGCTGCCGGTGTCCAGCAGCGCGAGTTGCTTCACCGGCGGCTGGCCGATGGAGAATCTGACGTAGAATATGTTGTACTTGGTTCCCCATACCAGCCTGGCCTCGATCCCGCCGACGATGCTATCCTCCGGCTCGTCGTCGTCGACCGCCGAGAGGTAGGCGCGGCGGGCGAGGGAGGATTCCACGATCCTTCCGGCGCGATCGGCGGCGGTTAAGGAGGCGTTGTAGAGAGGGGAGAGGTGGAAGTCGCGGTGGATGAGCTGAGTCGTGATTTTGAAGCAGTGGGATGTGAGTGGTGAGATGGAGAAGAAGAAGACGAAGGAGAAAGGGAAGAGAGGGATTGATGTTCTTGCGGCCATGGAGAAGGGGGGAAATGGAAGTTGGTGTTTATTTTTTTTAATTTTGGATATTGTGGGGCGTTACACGAATTGATGATCTTTCTAGTTTTTGCATTAAGTGAAAAAGGGAGGTAAATAATAATGAAAGGATGGCACAAGTGATTCATGTACATGCATAAAGTTCAATAGTGCATGTACACCTTTGAACTTTAAGGAAATTATATAAAACATAGATTTGGTGGGATTGCATTTGCTAGATCATCCTTAAGAAGTAATCGTCATGAATCATGTGATTTCAATAGTTCGAGTCGTTGGAGAAAAGTTAATTATGGGTTGTATATATGTTTCTCTCTTACACATCTCCTCAAACAAAACGAATCCATGAACTTGAAATTGGTACATATCCACCATCTATTATGCTCATATCAAACGGTCATGGTTGAGAATCGTGGAGATTCAACGTTCGAGCACCAAAATTGGGTCAGATCAAGTTTTGACATCGTGTCATGAATTATTTTGTTCCAATAACTCAAACTATTGACTATTGAGAGAAGACTAATTATGAATCTTATATCACTCTCTTCCGGATATTAAATTCTATAAACACACTTAATCGAATAGGTACATGTAAGTTACGACAAACATGATGTCCCGACTGTTTCTCTACGGATCGAAAAATTGGAGAATTCGACACAAGATTACACGATTTACATGGTTCACTAATTGATGAAGAAAAGGAAGAGAGGGATTGATGTTCTTGCGGCCATGGAGATGGGGGGAAATGAAAGTTAGTGTTTTCACTTTGGTGTTGATGTTTTTTTAATTTTGGGTATGTGCCTATGTGTGGCGTTACACGAATTGATGATCGTTCTAGATTTTGCATTGAGTTAAAAAAAGGGAGGTAAATAATTATGGAAGAATGACAAATCATCCATGTACATGCATATATGTTCTCCTTTGGACTTTAAGGAAATTATATAAAACATAGATTTGGTGGGATTGTATTTGCTAGATCCTCGTTAAGAAGTTACCGTTACGAACCATCTTATCACAATAGTTCGAGTTGTTATATTAAAGAAAAATTAATTATGGATTGTATATTTTTCTCTCTCCGGCAAATAAAAACGAACTCATGAACTTGAAATTTGCACATACCCATCATATATTGTGCTTGTATCAACGGTTATGGGTGAGGATTGTGGAGATTCAACATTCGAACCCAACATTAGGTCATATCAGATTTTGATACTGTGTCATAAATTATTATGTCACAATAACACGAGTTTTTGAAAAAAAAATACTAATTTTGAATCCAGTGGCAGAGGCAGCATTTTAAACCACCCCTGTCCTCTTTTTATAACTTAAATATATAAGTATCTAATTAAGAACTATTGAGAGAAAACTAATTATGGATCTTATATCACTCTCTTCCGGATATTAAATATCTAGCAACACACTTAATCGAACAGGTACATGTAAGTTACGACAAATTATAAATCTTATAATCACTCTCTTCCAACTATTAGATCTCTAACAAAACGTACATGTAAGTTACGACATACATGAGAAGTCTGCTTTTTTATTCGTTACGAAGATAATTCGTAAATGACGACAAACCTCAATCCTCATGTATACCCACCAAACTCACAAGAGTCGTTAACACGGGATTTATCCAGAATAGCACCTTTAATTTTTTTTTTTACAAAAATAGCACCCATCCGAAAAAATTTACACTAATAGCACCCTTTTTAATGGACCGCACCTTTAAGGTGCGTTTCCTATTTCTGGACCAAAACCGCATCTTGGCCAAGCGGTTTTAGGTCTGACCTACAGAAACCGCTTGGCCGAGGTGCGATTTTGGCCTGACCTATCAAAACCGCATCATGAAGGTGCGGTTTTGGTCAATCAATTTCCGACATACCATGCAGACGTAACAGACGTGGGTCTGCATGGGCCTGCATGGCAGATAAAACCGCACCTCTAAGGTGCGGTTTTCATAAGTGATTTTGCCTATAAAAGGCCTCCCGAAAAACCACTTCTCTTCACACCTCTCCTTCTCCCTTTTCAATTTTCTGTTGTAGCTCTATATTTCTTTAGTAGTTTTGCCATTAACGTTAACTCGTAAGTTATTTAGTATTACTTTTTATTGTTATATTTTATTTTTGATTTTTATGATATTAACTGAACTACGGTTTTATCGCAGATGGCATTCCAAAAGTTCACGCTTGGCTTAAGGTGGAATGGTTACACGGAAGAGACCGGAAAGGGGGTCACCTACGTAGGTGACAATTTTCAAAAGATAAAGGTCGCTACCAGACCGCTGCTTGAAGACCTCCATCAAATGTGCACTAACGTTACTTGCATGGATGGCACGAGAAGAGTTGATCGTATGGTGTACCGATATCCAAACAGAGAAAGTGGGTCATTGTGGCATGAGGAATATCTCATAACCACTCAGGATGAGGTAGATGCCATGCTCGAATTCATGAGGTCCAACAATCTTTCCAAAGCCGAGATGTTCGTTTACACCAAGCCGGTCGTAGGCGTTGGAGGTCATTCTGGACACGGTCAAATATCTGGTATCCATGGTGGAGGTGAATTATATGGCGATCATCCCTACCAAAGTTACCATGATCCTCATTCATATTTTCAGTACCAAGAGCAAGGTGAATGTCATCATCAATCTTTCCCGTCATATGAAGAAGAAGTTCAACTGGACCTCCCCAACCAACCTCAGTACAACTTCCACTCAGGCAGCGGTAGTTTTCAAAACTACCATTATGGAGCTGATGAAGGTGCCTTTCATGAGCTGGATCAGATGGAGGATGCCCTACCAGCACCAGTCAGTGACCCCTCTGATGAAGAAGGAGAGAACAACGTCAGTGCAGACAGCTCCGACCCTCTTGAAGGTGCTGATGATTCAGGACCAGAGTCAGACTCAGCTAATGATGATGAGGTGGCTCGTGACCGTGTACCAGTCCCCTACTACAATCACATTCCAGACGACAATTGGATGGTCGACAGCGACATGGAGCCGCCAGAGGTCCCAATATGGGGTCCACTCACTGGGTTTATGAAGGGCCAACAATTTGGCTCGAAGAAGGAGGTGCGGCAGGCCATTGAGACAGAAGCAATGACTCGGCATTTTGAATGGCACACAACTCATTCCAACACTAAAAGGCTCATAGTCAGATGCCGTAATCATCACGAGGGGTGCAATGTTAGGATTCGGGCCATCAACATCAAGAGACACGACCACTGGGTCATATCCCGTGCGGTGAACACACACACATGTGTGTCATCCATAACTTCCCAAGGCCATCGACAGTTGAAATCCAGGGTGGTTGCTGCGGCTATCAAGCATCTAATTGAGCAAGATGGGTTAGGATGATCACTCACGCACACCGGTTTGCCGTCGATGGGCAGATGGGTTAGGATGGCGACATCCTTTAGCGTGATGGTGGCCTCTCCTTCTCTAAAGTTGAAACAATGGGTCTCCTTTCTCCATCTCTCAACTAATGCGGTGATGAGTTGGCGATCAACTTTGATGCCGTTAAAATGCCTAATCGGGTCCAACCGTGCCCTTTTGAGAAAGGGCAAGATAGCTGGGTGGAATGGGAGCACATTGGTCGTACCCCTGTAGCGGATTATTGTTTGTGCCTCCTAGGGAAAATTTACACGTTAATTATTATATATCAGTAAGGGTTTTTTCCTTATAACTAAATTAATTAAATTAAATTATTTAACTTCAAACAGAATTTTATTATCATAAAAAGACATTTCATATAATTAACATAATAACATTCTAAATTAATAATAATTTAAAGAGATACATACATACTATCATAAAACAAACATCCAAAATTAATTAACATAATAACATTCTAAATTAATAATAATTTAAAGAGATACATACATATTATCGTAAAACAAACATACTAAATTAACTAAAATAAATGACATTATTAATGAATAATAATTTAAAGAGAAACATACATATTCAAATGTTTGAAATTAATAAAATTCATTTTGTACACATCAAAATAACACATATTGGTTCCTTGGTAAATAATTTAATCGTATTGGTTGTTTTGAATAATTTAATCGAATACAAAGCAACACTCGTTAGACTCTTAGAAGAGGTATACATCTTCTTAGAAACGCAGTCTTTTTGACAGAAAAAGGGGGGATCCGAGGATCTCTTAATACCCGATTTTCCCAGGGAATGGGAGGATATGATAATCGCTTAAAACCCCATTTCCTTAGACGTGCATCTCTTTATAAAGAGTCGAAGTAAGTGGCGCTATGTATTCGATTAAATTATTGAAAACAACCAACACGATTAAAAATTCAACATAAATTTATTTTATATTCCACTAAATACATTAACAAAATAAAAGAAGGACAAATGGTAAAGAATTGTATGTACCGGGTGAGCGTTCCAAACATCCCTTGACCGATGGTTGGGTTGGTCGTACAAGTCGGTTGGATCCAACGGTCCTTGCTCGAGATAATACCGTTGGTTGTATATATCCACGTTCTCCCCAACCTACGAGAAAATAACAACGAGGTTAGTACATAGATTAATTATAAAGCTTATAACAACAACAAAAATTTAACCAGAATAATGAATATGTACCGCTTGAAATTCATCAACATAAACTCCCTCTCCTTGCCACCAATCGGCCATGTTTTCGGCAAATTCGGACAGAGCTTCAGCTCGGCTGGTTTTGAGGAAAAAACCAAAATTCGGACAGAGATTCGGCTCGGCGGGTTTTGAGGAAAAAACCTAAGAAATGTTTTTTGATGGCAGATCGGACTTAGCCGCAACCAACAGACCACTATTTCCTAGACTTTGGGGAGGGGGAGGGTTTAGAGAGATAAATTGTAGAGAGAGAAGGAAGAATGGGTTGTGGTGTGAAGAATGAGAGGGGAAGGGGGGTATTTATACCCAACTGACCGCACCCTCCAGGGGCGGTCGGGTAATTTTGCCCAAAGAGAAACCGCTCCCTCCCGAGGCGGTTTGCGCTTCCCCAGGGTTGACCGCATCTCGGGCATGCGTTCCCCGCTCCTTGGCGCGGATTGCTCCGCTGGCACGCGTTCAGCCCTCCGATCGCTCCTCCATCCAACGGTCTTGAAGACCGTTCCGCAGCAGCAGTAAATCGCACCACCCTAGTGCGTTTCGTGCGGTGGAACGCACCCCTATGGTGCGTTTTATAAGTAAAACGCCCCCTTCAGTTGAGGTTTACTTATAAAACGCACCTTAGGGGTGCGTTCCAATAAAATTGGTGCTATTTCTGTCAATTTTTTCGGATGGGTGCTAGTTTTGTATTTTTTTTTAAGGTGCTATTATTGGAAAAATCCCCGTTAACACAACCACAATGCGGATATTGAACACTTTTTTTTACTAACCATATAAGTTCTCTCTAACCTCTACATATGTGTTAGATCAATAATCATCCTTCCACAAGTTGGCAATCCATTTTTTGGAAACTCACACTCCTTGCTCCCAAATCATACCCAACATTGTAACCCTGCTGAGCCATCATCCCAATAATCGTCACACCCTTTGACCTAACAACAGCCAAGCAGAAAACATCATCCTTAACCTGCAAGAACATCCCAAACCGATCCAACACCAACTCCACCCCACCGATGAACTGAATCCCCAGCGTCGGAAACCCTCCGGCATCTTTCTCCACCGTCCCTCTGAAACACAGCTCCAGGGGCCTCACCGGAGCCACCGCCTTCAGCTCGAAGAAAGCCAACCTCTCAACCTGTAAGAGATTAAAAAGCTTAACAAACTCTTTGGGACTAAGTGGTTAGTTTGCCAAAATGGTATTAGAGTCTAGAATCGAAAGGTCATGCTTTAGAATCCTTCGACCCCAATTTAAACAATAGTTTAGTACAAGGAATAATATGCCGAACCTATACAAACTGAAAGACTAATGATTTGACAACACAAGGAATGATATGTTCAATATGTGCAAACCGTATAAGAAAACTCCAAAAAAGGTAGGCTTTTGCTTAAGGAGGCGTGTAAGAGATTAAAAATGTTAACAAATCTTTTCTCAATAACTCGAGTTACCTCCGCCTTCACCACGTCAAAAGCTTCTGTGTAGAGCAGAAACAACTCCGACCCGCTGTCCATCATGATCTTGTTCTTCAAAGCCATCTTCGCGAACACGTCGATGTCTATGTCCAGCGTCTTCCCATCTAAGCTGATGCCGGAGAGGTGAACACAGTACCTGTAATATAACTTTGTCCAGTTACATAACACAATACTCGCGTCGTATAATACAATACTACTCGTACTACACATATTCTAATAGTACCTGCCGTCATCCTGAAGGTACAGGGGAGTCGTCTCGCCGATCAGGTCGACGGCGTCGCCGAAGGATAAGTGGTTGTGAGGGTAGTAGCGGTCGGACAGGCTGTCGACGCAGTATGAGAAGCTGGTGCCCAATCGGGTGGCCAAAGAGAAATGGCCGTAAGGAATGGTGGGAGTGTCGGCTCCGGCGATTAACCCTAGAACGCCGTTGACGTGCGGGTCGAGGCCTTCGGGGCCGGTGAGCTTGGTGGAACAGCCGAAGAGGACTTTTGGGATGGTGGTGACGAAGCCATTGTTGGAGGTCTGAAAGGTTAGTTGCTCGGTGGCGTAGACTCCCTCGGAACTGTGGCCTCCCATGTAGTCTATTGTGTACATGCAGTGCTTTGGCGACCATGGCCACCAACCTTTAATTTTGGTAGTGCCACAAGAAAGTTTGATATATAAACTCACAGAAACGAGCAAGTAAAAATTATCATAATCTGTTTGGTTACAACAACTTGACTTATTGAAATACTTTCAATTATGAATATTCTACCATTTACTAATATTACGTACTCTAAAAAAAATCAAATTATATGAATTTAAAGTTTGCACAGGTTCGAATATCATGTGTGCTTAATAAATGAAGGTTGTCAAGATTTAAACACAAGACCTCTCGATCGACGAATCATCAAAGACTCTGACGCCATATCAATAACATTTTAATAATAATAACTCGAGTTGATATGGATCTTATGCTACTCTCTACCATCTAAAGAAGTGGATAAGATCCGTACATGAACCTCTCCTTGTTGAGATATTAAGTGTCGTATTATTATTGGGCCATGTCCATGTACGTATGTGTAAGGCCCAATGGGAAGTGTTGATGTTAATCACTCGGCTAGGGTTAATTGATGTAGCAAGCCGAGTTGTATATATAGGGTGTTTGAGGTTTGGTTGCGGCAGAACAATAATAAGAAAGACATATACTTTCCCATGGACTAGTTTTGTTCATCGCGAACAAGGAAACCACGTAAATCATGTTGATATCATAGATTGGCTCTATGGAGATCGACAGTATCAACGCGAGGTTGAATTCAAAAATTTTGCCTTATGGGAATTTCAGTTTCGGACATTCATTGAAGGTCAAGGTTTTGCTGGTCATCTTGACGGATCTATGAAGAGGCCGCAGGTCCCTCCTGCATCCGAACAGGAGCTTGCAAAGTGGGTACAGCCAGATGCTAAGGTACGGTCTTGGATTTTAAAGTCTGTGGATCCTTCGATAGTTTTGGGTCTTCGACTTCTTCCTACTGCAGCTGTGATGTGGAAGTCGCTGCATGATACGTATGCAACAACAAGTGTAGCACGACAATTTGAGCTTGAGATCCAGCTGGGAAATTTGCACCAAGGAGATAAAGATGTGACTACGTACTTCAACGCAGCAAGGCTCTTGTGGACAGAGCAAGATCTGCTCTCTCCCGCATTGTTGTCCGCCCCCAGGTCTGCCGAGCTTCAAGCCGAGAGGAATCGAACCAGGTTGCTGCAGTTTTTGGCTCGATTGCGGCCAGACTTTGAAAGTGTGAGAGCTGCACTCCTTAATCGCGAAGACCTGCAGCTGGAACAAGTTCTCGGTGCTCTCGCAGGGAGGAGACGCGGCTGCGCACCCAGGCCGCCATTGACGCACGCCCGGGGAATGGAGATGGGACAATTTTTGCTGCTGCTAAAGGAAACCCCAATGCGGGTTTGGTATCTACGCAAGGGGTTGGTCATGGAAGTAGGGGAGGCCAAACTTCAGCTGGTGGGGATGGACAAGAAAGCGTCGGAGAGGCAGCCTTTGCGGCGTATCGTGGAGCTACTCCTCGACGGGAAATAGAATGTCATCATTGTCACGAGAGAGGACACACAAAAAAAATATTGTCGCCGTCGCAATTTTTGTGTGTATTGCAAAACAAAAGGTCATATAATTCCTGACTGTCCTGCCATTCAACAGCGTGTAAATGGAGGAGGTTCATACGCAGGTGGCGCTTCCGGGAATGGTGCACAGTCACGCGGCAGTGCTGGTTTTCATGGAGGTAATGGCGATTATCAGCAGACACAAGGCAACAACCCTCGTTCTGGGGCTCGAACAGCATATGCCACGCAACCGGTGACCGGGAATGAGGGTATTCTGGTTACTTCCGCCACGCTGGAGCAGCTAGTCAATAAGGCAATCAACTCTGCCTTCGCCAGTCTTCAAGCATCTGGTAAGCTTTCTCGATGGATCCTTGACTCTGCATGCTTTAATCACATGACCAATAAAGATTCCATGTTGTCAAATTTACGATCGGTTGATGATCTTTCCCTCCAAGTTGCAAATGGATCCCATTTATCTGTCACTGGCATCAGATCTGTCCATCATCATGATCTACATTTACCTAACACGCTATATGTACCGAAACTTGTTCCTAGTCTAGTTTCTGTGGGTCAATTGACTGAGCAAGGCTGTCGGGTTGTGTTCGCACCCTCTGGTTGTGTTGTGCAGGATCTGAAGACGGGGCGAGAGATAGGCAGGGGTAGCAAGCAGGGGCGCATTTTCTATCTTGAGCAGCTTGAAGATTCCACATCATCATCGTCGTCCTCTTCTGATTCTTTGGTGTCTAGGGTACCGTCGTCCTTTCCTGTTTATTCGAGTCTTGGTGATAAACATTTTCAGTTGTGGCATTCTCGGTTGGGTCACCCAAACTCTAGTCGGCTTAGTACTATGTTTAAACAACATTTATTTGGTGATAAGATTGCACACCCATGTCCTTTTTCGTGCACTAGTTGTGTGGAGGCAAAGACTACACGAATTTCTTTTCCGTCTAGTCCTACTGTGATTGCTGAACCTTTTCATTTGATTCATACTGATCTTTGGGGGCCAAGTTCAGTTACCTCGCGTCATGGATATAAATATTTTGCTTTCTTTCTGGACCATGCCACTAGATATACTTGGGTATACTTCCTGCGACTTAAATCTGAGCTGTTATCTGTTGCCACTGAATTTCTGAAAATGATCCAGACTCAATTTGATTAGACGGTCCGTGTAGTCCGTTCTGATCCGGGTGGTGAATTTAGCTCAACTCCTCTGCTTAATTTGTATAAATCTCTTGGAATTCTTACTCAAAAGTCTTGTCCTGGAGTCTCACAACATAATGGCCTAGTTGAACGTAAAAATAGTCACGTCTTAGAGGTCACTAGGGCTCTTTTGTTGGCTTCACATGTTCCTTCCTCCTTTTGGCCTGAAACGGTAGCTACTGCTGTTCGTCTTATAAATTATCAAATCACACTAGTTTTGGGTCATGTGAGTCCGTTCTTCAAGTTGTTTGATAAACATCCTCCATACTCTCGTCTTCGTGTTTTCGGTTGCGTATGTTTTGTTCTTCTCCCCCGTTCCGAACGTACTAAGTTGACTTCTAAAACTGCTCGGTGTGTCTTTCTTGGGTACAGTGATATTCATAAGGGTTATATTTGTTATGATCCTCAACTCAGTTGTTTGCGTGTTGCCTGTAATGTGGTCTTCTTTGAAAATCTGATGTTCTACTCTTCGTCGTCCGAGTCCGTTCCTCTTTTTGACGTGTCCATGGGTCTTCCTTCTTTTCCTGATGATGATAATGTTGATGACCTGAATGACCAGGAGCCGCCCCCTAGTCCGCTACCCCCCTCTCCAGCACCTACTTCTCCTGCCTCGTCTTCCAGCTCATCATCACCTGATTCCGCCGACTACCTCATCTCGCCTAGTTCGTCCTCCTCGTCCGAAGCACCTTCTCCGCCGCCTGCTCCCCCAGTTCCTCTACGGCGGGTCCCTGCGCTCCAATATTGGGGTCCCACCTTCCTTTCATGGCGACTATGTTTTATTCCAGGTTGATCCGATCTCTGTTCCTACCCGGTACTCACAGGCGAAGGATGATCCTCGGTGGGATGGTGCCATGAAAGAGGAGTTTTCTTCTCTTAATGCTAATCATACATGGTATTTAGTTCCTCGTCCTCCTCCTGAGGTACCGGTCATTGGTTGTCGATGGGTTTACAATATCAAGGTTCTTCCTGATGGTTCCATTGAGCGTTTCAAGGCTCGTGTGGTCGCTCAGGGGTTTTCTCAGGAGTATGGTATTGATTTTGAGGAGACCTTTGCTCCTGTTGCCAAGATGGTTACGGTTCGCACTCTGTTGGCAGTTGCCTCTCTTCGTGGTTGGCCTCTCTATTAGTTGGATGTGAAGAATTCTTTTCTTCATGGTGACCTGCAGGAGACTGTCTATATGGAGCGTCCTCCTAGGTATCCTTTGGGCACGTCAGATCAGGTGTGCTTACTTCGTCGTTCTCTTTATGGCCTTAAACAGGCACCGCGGGCTTGGTTTGATAAGTTTTACTCCACCATACTGGCTTTGGGCTTTCAGCAGAGCCCTAATGATCCTTCTCTCTTCACTCGCCATACCTCCCGCGGGATTGTGGTCCTTCTTCTCTACGTGGATGATATGATTGTTCCTGGTGATGATGCTGATGGGATTACGGCACTCACTAAAGGCCTTCATGAGTCTTTTAATCTCAAGGAATTGGGTTCCCTGTTTTACTACCTCGGCCTTGAGGTCACACGTTCTCGTGCTGGTATCATCCTCAGCCAGACCAAGTATATTGATGATTTGTTGGATTCAGTGCATTATCATGATTGTCTTCCTGTGTCTACTCCCATGGAGCTTAATCTCAAGCTTAGCCGTGAGACTGGCGAGTTATTACTTGACGGGGGGAAGCAGTATCGCAGTATCGTCGGCAGTCTTATCTATTTGGCATCGACACGTCCTGACATTGCTTATGCCGTAAAGATTGTCAGTCAGTTCATGTCTGCTCCTCGTACAGCTCACCTAGATGCGGTTCATCGTATCCTGCGCTATCTTTGTGGCACTCGTGATGTTGGCCTATTTCTTCCATCCACTGGTTAACTGGTGCTTCAGGCCTTTTCTGACTCCGATTATGCCGGCTGTATCGATACTCTCAGGTCCACTACTGGATGGTGTGTTAGGCTAGGTACCTCTGTCATTTCCTGGAGATGTAAGAAGCAAGATCGAGTCTCGAAGTCGTCTACTGAGGCTGAGTATCAGACGATGTCCGATGTTACTTCTGAACTTGAGTGGTTGTGTCGGCTCTTAAGTGACCTTGGTGTGACCTGTCGTGTTCCGATGGAGCTCTATGTTGACAATACCAGCGCTATCCGGATTGCCACTAATCCGGTGCTTCATGATCGTACTAAGCACATTGAGGTTCATGTTCATTACCTTCGTGACTTGGTACGTGCAGGCACTATATATTCCTGTTTTCTACATTCCTTCAGAGGACCAGCTTGCCGATTTGCTCACCAAGACTTTCACTGTTGCTCGACACTCATTTTTGGCGGGCAAATTGATGTTGAGATCTCCCCATCAATTTGGGGGAGGCTGTTGAGATATTAATTGTCGTATTATTATTGGGCCATGTCCATGTACGTATGTGTAAGGCCCAATGGAAAGTGTTGGTGTTAATCACTCGGCTAGGGTTAATTGATGTAGCGAGCCGAGTTGTATATATAGGGTGTTTGAGGTTTGGTTGCGGCAGAACAATAATAAGAAAGACATATACTTTCCCGTGGACTAGTCTTGTTCATTACGAACAAGGAAACCACGTAAACCGTGTTCCGTTTCGATTAATCTGTTTCGATTAACACTCCTAACTACTCGAGTTATTGTGACCAAACGGTTTATGACAATAGTATCAAAACAAATTTGATCATTAGGTCACGTATTTAACTCGTGTGAACCTATTATTAATGGATTAGTTAAGCACAATGTAAGGTAACCTATATAAACTTCAAACCGCTTAATTGGCTTTTGTTTAAGAATGCAGATTATAGAATATTATAAGAACGATAATTAATTTTCTTCTAACAAATTTTAAATAATTTTTTCCAACAATTCGAATTATTGAAATTAAAGAGGTTGTTGACACTTGACAGAAACAACTTTCAATATTCAAGTTACCTGTGCATTTCTTGCAGTCATGAGTACAAGGGAGTGGGGAGTAAGTCTTGGAATTGAAGGAGTAAAAGTATGTGGCTCCAGAGCTGGTAGAGCAAGGACTGCAAGGCGGGCATTTTACCCACAGTAAGTCGCTGCCGGTGTCCATCAGGGCCAGCTGCGGCACCGGCGGGTCGCCGATGGAGAAATTGACGTAGAATATGTTGAACTTGGTCCCCCAAGACCCACTGGCCTCGATGTCGACACCCAGCGGCTCGTCGTCGTCGTACGATGAGATCAGGTGACCGTAGCGGGCGAGGGTCGCTTCGAGGATCCTTCCGGCACGGTCGGCGGTGGTCGCGGTGGCGTTGTAGAGGGGAGAGAAGTAGGAGTCGCGGTGGATGAGTTTAGTCGTGATTTTGAAGCAGTGGGAGGGGGGAGAGATGGAGAAGAAGAGGAAGAGAGTGATGATGAGAGGAGATGTTGTTGTTGGTGCCATGGTGATGGAAGGGGGAAATTTTGAGTGAAAGGGGATTTGTTTTGGTTTTGATTTGTAAGATTGTTCTTGTTGGATATCTTTCTAAAATTTTGTATCTAGTGAAGAAAGGAAAATGTGTAATTATGAGTGATGAGGATTATTCCAAGTATAACATGTGTTGTTTAAGAAAATTGGTATAGAATTCCTAAGTATTACAATTCTTTCCAATTTTGTGTTGTTATTTCCATGAATTGTGGTTCATTTCAAATTTGACATGTCATGTCAATCTTTTTTTTTTTTCAGTGTAGGAATAGTTTTAATTTTTAGTTTCTGGATCTTTTACAAAATTTCTATAGAAATAGAGTAATTTAATTTAGTTTGTTCCACAAGTCATCGAAAATATCAAACACTCTCGTTTGATTTTTTTTTTTTAGAGATGTGAATCGTGTTAATATTAATTGTTCAAAAAGTCGCAAGTTCAACAATTAATATCTAAGTGAGATAAATTTCAAGTTATGGTGACATGGAGTCTAGCGAGTTAATTAATATATATGTATCGTTTATCAAAACATCATTGGTTTATGCGTGGTGCACCTTTCGATCTCCAAAACTGGCTTGATCGACTTGCACATCAGGACAATTAACCAAATAAGTACATGTAAGTTCCGGTCAATATCCATAATCTTCTATTCTATTCGTTACGAAGAAATAAATTCGTCTAACACAACGAACATAATCATCGTGTATATCCGACAAACTCATAAGACCATCTAACACAAGTACAACGCGAATATTATATATGTGTTTGATCAAATATCATCGTTCCAAAAGTTGGCAGTCCATTTTTTGGAAACTCACGGTCATTGCTTTCAGATCATACCCAACATTGTAACCCTGTTGAAGCATCATCCCAATAATGGTCACACCCTTTGACCTAACAATAGCCAAGCAGAAAACATCATCCTTCACCTGCAAGAACACCCCAAAACGATCCACAACCAACTCCACCCCGCCGACGAACCGAATCCCCATCGCCGGAAACCCTCGAGCCTCTTTCTCCACAGTTCCTCTGTAACACAGCTCGAAAGGTCTCGGCGGAGATGAGACCGGTGTCATCAGCTCCCAGAAAGCTAGCCTCTCGATCTCTGCCTTCAAAACCTCGAATGCTTCGATGTACAGGAGAAACAACTCGGACCCACTGTCCATCTCAATCTTCTTCCTCAACGCCATCTTCGCGAACACTTCCTTCTTGATGTCCAACATCTTGCCACCCAAGCTGATGCCGGAGAGGTGAACAAAGTACCTGCCGTCTTCGAGGTACAAGGGCGTCGATCCGCCGATCAGGTCGATGGCGTCTCCGAAGGATAAGTGGTTGTGAGGGTAGTAACGATCGGACAGGCTGCCGACGCAGTACGAGAAGCTGGTACCCAATCGGGTAACCAAAGGGAACTGGCCATCGGGGAAATCAGGATCGCCGGCTCCGGCCATCAATCCTAGAACTCCGTTGACGTGCGGGTCGAGACCTTCCGGACCGCTCTGCTTGCTAGAACAACCGAAGAAGGCTTTTGGGATTGTGGTGACGAATCCATTGTTGGAGGTCTGAAATGTCAGTTGCTCGGTGGCGTAGACTCCCTCGGAACTGTGGCCGCCCGCGTAGTCTATTTTGTACTTGCAGTGCTTTGGCGACCATGGCCAACCCCCTTTTCGTCACGCACATGAAAAGTCGACAAATTCATAAATACGAATAAGCAAAAAATTCGAAAAACTCAGTAGGGATTACTTCGGGAGTACCTAATAATTTCTAGTTCGAGTATCCGCGGTTAATCAAAAGAAGTATAGATGAACCTTCTGCTTCTGCCAAATCATATATTAAAGTGGATTCATTTACTCACGTTTGAAAATTTTAAGATGTAAATGCCGTAAAATGACAAATATTCGTGGCAGGCGTCACTACAACAAAAACGATGCAACCAAATCGACGATTTCGCTACAAAACTTTACCGCCAATTTTGAAAAAGTAATTCCTCGCGAAAGGTTTACTTTTCCGCCACAAAACTTTACGTGAAAAACATCTTTTCCGACCAATATACTCCTATCCGCCAATTTTCTGTCGCAAAAGGTCAGTTTTTTTATTGTTTATATCTTTTGATGACCACTTTTTGGTTGTTAAAACAAGTTTTTATACAATGGATGCATACCTGTGCATTTTTCGCAATCATCGGTGCAAGGGAACGGAGAGTAAGTCTTGGAATTGAAGGAGTAAAAATAGGTGGCTCCAGAGCTGGTGGAACAAGGACTGCACGGCGGGCATTTCACCCACAGCAAGTCGCTGCCGGTGTCCATCAGAGCCAGCTGCGGCACCGGCGGGTCGCCGATGGAGAAGTTGACGTAGAATATGTTGAACTTGATCCCCCAGATCCCTGGGGCCACGATGTCGACACCCAGAGGACTGTCGTCGTCGTCGTAAGATGAGATCAGGTGACCGTAGCGGGCGAGGGTAGCTTCGATGATCCTTACAGCGCGATCGGCGGTGGTCGCGGTGGTGTTGTAGAGGGGAGAGAAGTAGGAGTCGCGGTGGATGAGCTGAGTCGTGATTTTGAAGCAGTGGGAGCTGAGTGATGTAGAGAAGAGGATGAAGAGAGTGATTACGAGTGGAGATAATGGTGTTGTTGCCATGGCGGTGGAGAGGGGAAATGAAAATTCAGTGAAAGAGAGATTTGTTTGGTTTTGATTTGTAAGATAAATCTTTTTTTAAATTTTGCATCTAGTGAAAAGGGCAAAACTAGTAAATTATTTAAACTAGTAAATAATTCATCAAAAAAAAAAAAACTAGTAAATTTTCCAAGGATGATATGTGTTGTTTAAGAAAATTGGTATGCGATATCTTGAGTATTAATATTCTTTCTAATTTATGTGTTGTTATTTCCATGAAGTTGTTGGTACATGTACTATATTTTTTTTTCTTTAAGTTTTTTATTTGATGGTTAATCAAAAATAACAATAAGCACGAGAGCATAATATACCGATAATCTCTTCATTCGCTTTACATGTTGGCCACACCCCAAGTAGGAATCATAATGGTTGGGTTGACATAGTTAGGTAATTTGACTCAATTGTCAAGACTCGTGTGCATTGGATCATATTCAAATAATGAACTCTTATGTTCTCTTAAAGGTTTTGGATTGTGTCGGAAACCAAATGAATCAAATATTAATAACAAATTCTAACATAAAACTATAAGCATAAAAACAGTCTATTAAGCATAAAATAACTATAAAACTATAACTCATATTATGCGTAAGTCATGGGTTAGAAAGTAACATTTTGATATCTAGGTAAAATAACTATAAGCATAAAAACAGTCTATTAAGCCATGCAAAAAGTTAATGAATCAAATATTAATAACAAAAACTAACATAAAACTAAGCTAAATCACTACTAATTCAAACTATTAGTAGTTTTTCCCTTGGTTAGGACGGTGCTAACGATTGTACAATTAGCACCGTAACTCCTCCCCACCAAAGATAGATAACACAAAGATATGATTAGAGGAGAATTGAGCAGAATTAAGGGGATTGAAATTAAGAAACTTGCTTTGTGGAGTAAAATTCATGGCAGCAATGTTGTCCTATAGTTCCTTGACTTTCTTCACCTTTTTGTCCTTCTCATCAAAAAACCAATTAAGAACCTTGAAAGGGATTTAAGAGAGAGAATTAATTAAGAACCTTGAAAGGGATTTAAGAGAGAGAATTAATTAGGGATTAGAGAAGAGAAAATTTGTCTAAACCAATTCCTTAACAATCCCAACGAAACGTCTAAATCAAATTACATGATCTTCATTCCTAAACCCTAACCAAACTAACATATCAAAAGACTAATCTACCCTTAGTACTAAACCCAACATGCAGTAGTCGTGTCAAATCACCCTTCCAAAAGCTGGCAATCAATGTCCTGAAAATAAACCCTAGACTCGTTCAAGTCATACCCAACGTTGTAACCCTGCTGCGCCATCATCCCAACAATGTTAAAACTCTCCGACCTAACAACCGCCAAGCAGAAGACTCCATCGCCGGCCGGAATGAACATCCCGCTACTCTCCACCACCAGCTCCGCGCCGTCGGCGAAATGAAGCCCCAACGCCGGGAACCCTCGCCCTTCTTTACTCACTGACCCACTGTAACAAAGTTCCATCCCCCTCCGTCCCCAAACTTCAGTAAGCACCGAGGAAGCCCGCTTCTGAACCTCCGCCTTCACCACGTCGTAGGCTGCCGAGTACAGGAAGCTCAGCTCCGATCCGCTGTCGATGAGGATCCCTTGCACGTCGGAGATGTTCGCGAACACCTGCACGTAAATCAGAATTCGGTGAAAATTGTTAGCGTATTATCACTAAAATAATATAGAATTTATATAGACCGCAAATGGCTGACTTTTAGCGACTATATTATATGGTTGGCGAAATCATAATTTCTTGTAGCGCGTACTTTAAAACTTAAAATTCATGTTTTTACGCTTCTAGGTCACCAAAACGTTTCTATTCAAAATCACAGTTTTTATGACTAATGTAGTTAAAAGCGCGCTATAAAAGTTAAAATTTTACGTTTTACACTTCTAGATGAGTAAAATGACGTAAAAACATGCTTTCGCTTTCCAATACATTAACCTTAATACCAATATAAAAACTAACAAACTCTATTACTCTTATAAGGAATATATTTCTCTCAAATTACGTAACAATACTCGACTAGTAATAACATAATAATACAACAACTCGTACTACGCATACTCTAATACACGTACCTGACTCGGTATCCCCAGCACCTCGCCTCCGAGGCTGATGTTCTGGAGCCGGAGAAAGTAGTGGCCGAGATCGTTTGTGCGGAAGGGGGTCGAGTCGCCGGCCAAGTCGGCATCGCCGGCTCCGATGGAGAGGCGGTTGTAAGGGTAGGAATGGTCGAACACGTCGCCGACGCAGTAGGAGAAGACGGAGCCGAGCTTGACGACGAGAGGGGTCTCCCCGTAGGACATTTTCTGGATGCCGCCCAGTGCGAAGATTCCGGTGAGGATCTTGTGGAACGGGTTGGTTCCGGTGAGGTTGGTGCAGCAGCCGAACTGGACGTCGGGGACGGTGGCGATCCCGTCGTCGGAGGTGCGGAAGGTGAATTGCTCGGTGGAGTAGACTCCCTCGGAGTGGTCGCCGCCGAGGTAGTCTAGTGTGTACATGCAGTGACTCGGCACCTTTCCTCCTGCGTAAATGAAGGAATTACTCAGTAAAATCATATCGGCTGTCTGAAAGAAAAAATCATCTATAGGAACCCAAATCCGTATGTCGTTTTAGTGGCATGAAACGGTTGAATCACGATGAAACCCTAGTTCAAGCATAAAATTTCATATTAGCTATGGAGCCGTCCAATAAATTTTAGAGACTCTGTCTAGAATTGAGATGTAATCTCATTTTTCTAAGTATAATAAAATAAAATAAATCATAACATAACATATTATTTAAAAACTAATATTGAAAGAAAATCAGCTATTAATATTTCAGTATAAATTTGTTACGTCACTTTATAACGTAATATGGATTTCAAGCCAAATATGACTCTTAAGGATGAATATTATGCATGTATAGTTTATATATACATAAAAACATGGACCAATGACTTGTATTAGCAGTAATTAAGACGCATCATCATAACCATAATCAAACAATCATACACCATAAATTCGTCATATAATATACGATTGAATCAACTAACAGAACTACGATGAAAACCAGCCTAATATTGGGAGGCCTTGCTAATAATAAGCTATCAAATTATGTCTACGTAGAATGAATTAGTTAGTTACCTGTAGTGCACCTTCTGCACTGACTGGTACACGCCCGTGCGCTATAGGTCTTGGACAGTGACGGGTCGAACGGCGCGACGGCGCCGGAGCCCGACGAGCAAGGAGTGCAAGGCAGGCACTTCACCCACGTGAAGCTGCTGCCGGTGTCCATGATGGCCAGCTGCGGTACCGGCGGGTCGCCGATCGAGAAGTTGACGTAGAACGAGGCGTGGTCGATGACCGGCACCAGCGGAGCCTCGATGTTCACGGTATCCTCGTCAGACGAAGTCGCCGTCGTCGACGAGATCAGGGATGCATGGCCGGCGAGATATGCATGGCGGGCGAGGGATGCCTGCACCGATCTCTCTGCACGGTCGGCGGCGGTTGCGGTGGCGTTGTAGAGCGGGGAGAACCGCGAGTCGCGGTGGATGAGACGGGTGGTGATTTTGAGGCCATGGGACGACGATGTGGCGATGAGTAGGAAGAGGATGACGAACAGATTTAGAGCTCTCATTGTTGAATGAAAGAATCTCTTTGTTGCAAAGTTAAGAGTTGGCGTTGATCGATAACGAGAATGGTTACGTTCGTTATATAGTGAGCTTTCAAGAGGGGTTTAATTCTTTTCCTTGTTTGCATGAGTGTAATTAAGGAAAAGGGCACGAATGTACTAATGAGGAAGTCATGAAAAGAGCTGTTCAGGAATATATGAATTGGCCTTGAACAGTTTGTTACTTTCCATGTGATAGTCTAAGATTCGAATAATCAATGTAAGAATATAGTGTTGGTTCATAGACATGGAAAGTCGTGAAAACAATATGTGTCCCATTAAGAACTTCTTTTCCGTATGTTATCAGGAGTGAGGATTGCTAATGAGGATAGTCTACATGATGGTAATGATGATGGTAATTTTGACTTGACTTGACTCGATTGAGCCTATAATTGAATTATATTGTAGTATCAGTATGTCTACAAGATTTAAAAATACATTTCGAGAATTTGACGATGTGGAATCGAGATAAAAGGTTAATCTCACGAAATCATAACTAGGTCTAGAAATTTGTCAACAACATATCATTTGCACAGTTTATAGTCCAGGTTGAGTGGTTAGAACGTACGTAATCAAAGCAAATCATATTGAGTGAAAAATGAACATTTTATTTGGTATGCTAGACCGAAAATCAGAGGGAAACCCTTTTTTTTTCCTTGAAATCTAAACTAAAACTTGTAACCGCATCACATTTGTTGCATTGCTCACTCGATCACTGCACTACATATTAATATATATATATATATATATAAACCTGAATGCGTGTTACTATTGCCTAACATTTGTGCTAATTTACACTGCTTATACCGTCCATAACAGAGGGGGTGGGGGAGAAATTAGTAGTGGCTAATGATGAAAGAGAGAGGGATAAAACCCAGCAAAATAAAAAACATATGAAAGGAATTATGAATTATAACGGAATAAGTAAACATGCACAATAATATATGGATTCTTGAATTTGTTTGCAGATTTTTTTCCTTTGTTCATAGATATATAGTGTAAAAGTCACATAACGTTGCTTAAGGCATACTGCATAATAAGACGCGGTAGTCAACAAATAGTTCAATTATCGATAAGAGTTATTTGCCACTGTGCATATTATTGATCTGAATTTAATATTTTTTATGATCTAATCTTAACCATTAAAAATATTATGGAGGTGAAGTATGAAAAAATAACTAATTACCATAATAAAATTTCTACTTTCTCTTTGTTTAATTTTGAGTTGTCCTTTGTTTCCCTTCCTATATTTTCATCTTTGCCTTATTTGTCAAATCCTAATTAGTATATTATTCTAATTAGTGTATTTCATCTTTTCCTTTTTATAATTATACTTGAAATTTTCAATTATGTATATACATATCAGATTAAAAAAAATATTCTCAAATAAAAAAAAATAAAACAATACTATCGTTAATATGCCACGATTAAAAAAATCAAATTCCAATAGACAACCATAACAATAAAAGAATCGACCAGCTAGCTCGCGGTAAAGCGCAATCACAGACTAGTAAATATATAATTGCACTATCGAGCAAACAAAAAAATAGATGTAGTCATGTTCAATCTACTACCCTTCCAAAAGCTGGCAATCAATGTCCTGAAAATAAACCCTAGACGCCTTCAAGTCATACCCAACATTGTAACCCTGTTGCGCCATCACCCCAACGATACTAACACTATTCGACCTAAGAACCGCCAAGCAGAACACACCATCCTCTACCTGATAGAACATACCCGTATTATCCACCACCAGATCCGCGTCGTCGGCGAAGTGCAGCCCCAACACCGGGAACCCTTGCCCTTCTACGTTCACAGAGCCTCTGTAACAGAGCTCGTACGCTCCCTTGCCGCCGGGAACTTCGGTTAGCACCGAGGAAGCCAGCTTCTGCACCTCCGACTTCACCACGTCGAAGGCGTCGGTGTACAGGAAGCTCAGCTCCGATCCGCTGTCCAGAGTGATTCCTTGCTGCTTCGAGATCTTTGTGAACACTTGGCTCGGTATGTCGAGTACCTGTGATGGCAGAGTACTTAGGAAAAATTAGAGTGAGGAGTGGACTGAAGATAACAAGTTGCAACCGTTGATGATGATTGAAGATAAACTGTGAAAGAGGGAAGTTCATGTAGGATCGATTTACAAAACTCACTCGTCCCATTCATGTTTCCTCCTTGAACCAGCTGCCTGACCCAATTGGATCAGGTCGAACTGAGTCAATAGGTCAGCCCAGTTTGATGGATAAATTGTTTAGGAAAATTAAGTTTTTTGGGTACCCACATTTATTATTTTACAATTTAATACCTAAGTTTTTTTTTTACAACAAATTCAAAAGTTTTGATGATAAAATTACATTTTAGTACTTTATATGTTTACCTTGCGTTATAGTATCCGAACTTTTAAAACTCTACAAACAGTTCCAATATTGTTGGCATGCATAATTTCAAACCACTAGTTGGTGCTATGAGTCATAGAGCCAAAGGTTGACTCAACCAAAGTTGACTCGACCCTACTCGATCCTTACAGCATGACCAAAACTTAACCTGATTCTAGGCTGACTCTGTAGATAAATTGACCCAATTATACCTTCTGTACCGGGTCAGACCGGGTCAATGAATATCTAGAGCGAGACTTATAGCCCTAGAGCTAACAGTCTCCATTCCATCCTATCTTTTTTTTTTCTTCTTCTTTTTTTCTTCGTCAAATATCCTACCACTTTCTATATTATCTCAAGATAAGAATATACACATTATAACCTAAAATCAAAACTACTTGAGAATGGCAATAGCCCCTTTTAGCTACTTACCTGGCCTCCCAAGCTGATGTTCTGAAGTTGGAGAAAGTAATGGCCGATGTGGTCGGTGATGAAGGGCGTCGAGTCGCCGGCCAAGTCCGCATCGCCGGCGCCGATGGACAGGCGGTTGTAAGGGTAAGAGCGGTCGAAGATGCTGCCGATGCAGTACGAGAAAAGTGAACCCAGTTTGATGACAAGAGGCGTCTCTTCAAAAGGCAAGCTTCGTTTCCCGCTCAGTGCTAGGATTCCGGTGGCGTGCTGGTCGAGCTTCTTGATTCCGGTGAGGTTGTGGCAGCAGCCGAACTGGACGTCGGGGACGGTGGTGACGCCGTCGTCGGAGGTGCGGAAGGTCAGCTGGTCGGTGGAGTAGACTCCAGAGGAGGAATGGCCGCTGAGATAGTCAATTGCGTACATGCAGTTACTGGGTCCCGTTCCTATTAGCAAATTAACTTCTTTAGTAAATTTTAGAACTAAGTTAGTTGTTTTTGGTTTTTTTATTATTTTCAAAAAGATACTTCGTATTGAACGAAAAAATCGAGATAAACTAGAATCAGCTGGTCGACCAGAACCAAGAACGAAAAGTCGAAAATCGAGCCCTATCAAATTAGGGAACAATGAAATGGTTTTTTTGGCCATCCTATTATGAGCACGATCGTTTATGCGTCAAATTATAAAAGATATATACAATACACTAATTTAGGAAATTAATTTATTACTAACAATAAACAATTTCAAATTCATATCATTCATCATGAAAAGATGTAACAAATCGTTCAAATTGTCTTATGAAAAATTTATTAAATTCAAATTAGTAATTAGAGTCACAATTGATAGTGGAGCTATGTAAAATCGCCAAAGAGGCTGGAAAATGAAACAAAAAATAAAAAAAAACAATATAAAATTAACAATTCATATTGGACGGTCTTAGTTTACATCAAAGTATCTTTATTTATTAATGATTTTAGCGAACCAGTGAATCACTCAAATCGAGCTGATTCATCTGATTTCATGTCCAACCGTTAAAACTCGTTAGCTCCATTCCTGGCCATCGAAACAAACAGACCAAACCACTAACATAACTGGTTTGAGAGCTCTAATGATTTAGCCGCTTGTCATGACTGTTTCAATGGATTGGAAAACCAGTGGATCGACAGAGCAAGAAAAGGAAAGCAAATAAAATTAAATAAGACACACTTGAATCACTAACATGATGTGTGTTAGTTAGTGCATGAACAAGAATCAATGTCACTATACTCCAATCATAACTAGATAGTTTGGTTCAAATCATATCAATTCGTCTTTATGACACGTCTCATACATATCAAATTTTTGGTTGAATGAATCAATTAATTACCTGTTGTGCACCGCCTGCACGCTTTGGTACACGGCCGTGGCGTGTAAGTCCTGGACATTGACGGGTCGAAGAACGTGGCCTCAGATCCCGGCGACGGCGAGGAGCAGAGATTGCAAGGCAGGCACTTCACCCACGAGAAGCTGCTGCCGGTGTCCATGACGGCAAGCTGCGGCACCGGCGGGTCGCCGATCGAGAAGTTGACATAGAACAAGTTCTGGTTGACGGCCAGAACCAGTGGGGCCTCAATATTATCATTATTCCCTGCTGCGCCCTGATCTTCATCCGACCTCGTTGATGACAGGGACGACGCCAGCTGGAGGCGGGCGAGGGAAGCTCGCACCGATCTCTCTGCTCGGTCGGCGGCAGTCGCGGCGGCGTCGTAGAGCGGAGAGAACCGCGAGTCGTGGTGGATGAGGCGAGTGGTGATTTGGATGAGTGCATCGGATGGTGTGGAAAGGAATAGCAAGAGAGTGATGAGTATATGTAGAGCTCTCACCATTCCTACGCTTCAACCGCGAAATACTAGTATAGTAGGCTAAATCGTTAGGAGGTAATATTATTGATTGAAAACTACGATTAAATCACAATTTCACTTTAAAATGTCCTACAGCAGACTTTTTGTTTCACGAACTTTGGTGGATTATGTTTTTTCAGAGAAAGAGAATGCATGTTTACATTTTTAATTCAGTAAATAATTATCTTTCTGGGAATTTTCCTCTCATTAAGGAATGACTGAATTGTAATTAGTCATGACAATTAATATTGTGCTACAAATAATTTTGAATTTAAGGAAATTATATATAGGAATAGATTTGATGAAATCCATTTTGGTTATGCGAAAAACAAAAGAGTTGTAGAACTAATCGAGATTAGCGAATCATTAAAAGGATATCTATAGGAAGATAATTAGCCTTAACAAGAGCTTCCTTTTCCATGTGCTTGATCGTTGGACCAACTTTATCATAATTGGATCTAGTCCACACCAGATCGGAACGTTGCACACCATTATTTCACACTATTATCCGGATTGCTTCCGCAAAGAATATGGGCCAAAAGCCCAATACTGGCCCAAACAAATATTACCCTTTTTCCTGATTTGTAAGGCTGGTTATTTGGTCCGGTTTTTTTGGTTTTACTCGAAATCGGATCGGGACCGGATAGTAAACAGTTCAATCCAATCTTTGAGCTTAGAATTGAGGTAAAAAATCGTTCGGGACCGGATCGGAAACTGAATAAAGACCGGATAAGAGAGCTCAACACCCAAAACTTAAGGGTAATTTGCATAAACGGTCACAAGCTTTTGCACTTAGTACAAAACTTAACCAACTCCTCACCCTTTCAGGCCTTCGGCCACTCAAATCCCCACAAGCTCAATATAAAATCAAGACCGAATTGGGACCAGACCTGGTCAAGACCAGACTGTATCCAATCCAATCTTTGGTCCTTATATTTTCAAAAAGACCAGACTGGACCAGATCAATTTTGGCCAATTTAACCGGACCGTAAACCCAAACCCATGGGTTTATTTGTGAAAAAAAACCCAGGGTAAAATCCACTGGTTTGAAAAACTCAAACTCATCCACGGGTTCATGGGTACCCATAGGTTTTTGTCGTAAAAAATTTACAATAACAAGTTCCTATCAAAATAAAAGTCAAATATCAATCTCTCAATACAAATTATCCATATATAAAACACCATTCTAGAAAATTCAAGCAAATCACAAATTAACCATACAAATTGTTCAAAACCAATCTCTGAAAACTCAAGAAAATTGAAGCAAATCACAAATTATCCATAAACAACATGATTAATTGAAAGCTTTTTCCTCCTTTTCAATTAAACTTCTTCACTCTACTCGATTATATCAACTTCATTCTACACAATTAGAAAGAAAAAATTAGACATGTCTCCACAAACATAAAGAATACTAGTTGTTTAGAATATTAAATATATCGGAAAAATTAATTATATGAGTGTGGGTAGGTACCCATTGAGCGCGTTTATCTAAACCCAAACCCACCCCTGTGAATAGTAAATGGGTTTAAACCCAAACCTGCTTCAAAAACCGTCAACATGGGCTTTACCCGCGTTGACCGGGTTGGCTCGGGTGGATACCCGTGGGTTTGGGTTTTGTTTATTTGGGTCCGGAGGAATTCTAGTCAAAGAAGGAAAACGCCAATTTGAAACACATTTGGACTCCTATATGAAGCTCGAGCTCCGCCGGTAAAAATTTTCACGAACAGAGCTCTCATCAATCCAATCACGACGATCGAGGATTTCGGCAACAACGAAATGCTGAGATCGACCCTCATAATACTCAGCTGTTGCATCCTTCTATTGATCGTCTCTCCCCATCACCACCGCCGCCGCGCGACCTGATCCCGCCCAACAGAAACAACCCCACCGTGTCCAAAATCGTGGACGCCCTCCTCTCCCGCGGAAACTACTCCGCCTTGGTCCCCTACCTCGTATCAAAGTTCATGGCGGCGGAGGTGCTCTGCCGGGTCGACGGCGATGTCACCGTGTTCGTCTCGCGGGACAATTCAACCTGCCGGTTCTGCGATTCGGAGTGGCCTGGGGTCCGGATCGTGACATCACGAGTAGACCGGGAGTCCTTCGGCGATTGGGGCCGTCCCCTGAATTACGGATCCGTCCTCCGGACCTGCGGCAGAGAGGGCGAGATTCGGATCGTCCGGAGGAATCTGAAGGCGGAGGTCGGCGATTGGAATCTGTACGACGACGGGCGTGTGGCGGTGCACGGATTCGGCGTGGAGCTGACTCCCAACCGCGTGAGGGCGGTGGACAGATACGCCGTCGTGGGTCTGATAGAGCAGAGGAGGGACCCGCCGGGGATTCTTTGTCGGAGTGCACCGGCGGAGCTCGGCGATAGTTTTTCCTACTTACGGAGGGTGGATGGGCGTTAGTGGGATTGATTTCCAGCGTGGATTGTGGGCGGTAGTTAAGGATTAGTTAGCTAGTTAAGATCGGGATGAGATACGGTGACAACCCTATTAGAGGTTGTGAGATTGACAACCCATTTTATAACCATAGGATTCATTCTCTCTCTTGTCTCTTTCTTCTTTTTTTTCAAATCAATGGTACATATTGGATTAATGGTATTTTTGGACGAAAAAAATTGACCACACTAGATTATTACCCCTATTAATACCTAAAACCCTACATTCTCTCTTTCCTCTCTCTCACACGTCATCTTTCTTCTTCCTATTCTTCTTCTTCCTCCCATCTCTTCCCTCTCTCTCTATCGGCTGCCACCACCGTCGTCGCAGCCGTCCCGCTACGCCCTCCACCTCTCATCACTATTGCAGCCCTCCCGTCGTCGCGCCCTCCGCCTCCTAGCACTGTCACGTCCCTCGCCCCGCAGCCATCGCGGCCTCCTCCTCCCACCACCGCCCCGCAGCCATCGCGGCCTCATCCTGTCACCACCACCGTCGTTGCAACCCTCCAGCCGCCCTCTGTCTCCCACCACCATCGTCGCCACGAGGTCACCACCTCTCCCCTGCCTCCCCCTTTCGTCATCCTTAATTTTTTTTTCAGATATGTGATTTTTCATATTTCAAATCTGATTTTTTTTTTGTGCTAGTCTCTAGTGGTACGCTACCAGTGCAATGGTACCGCTACCGCTACCAGTGGTACTGGTACTGGTACTGCTAATGGTACCGCTACAAGTGGTAATGATACCGTAGCACTAGCACTGGTAGCGTACCACTAGTACTGGTAGCGTACCACTAGCACTGGTACATTTTTTAACGCACTAGTAACGTACCACTAGAACTGGTATTTTAATTACCAGTAGACTAATGGATTGGTACACTTTTTAACGCACTGGTACATTTTTCAGGTTGCTGGAGAGAGTCTCCCGGAGAGAATTCGCCGGAGAAAAAGTCTGTCCATCGAAGCGGAATGGCCGCAGGAGAAAGGAAGAGAGAGAGAGATAGAGATATTAATGTATAGGATTTAAATTAAAAAAAATTGTATGTAATATGGATTTTTAATTTCCAATCTGATCAATACAAAAAAAAGATAATTAATATATTCCTTTTTTATACCCAAAATATCCTTGGTTATCACCGTATCCCGTCCCGTTAAGATCTTATAATTAGTGATTTCATTCTAGTACAATTAAGCTTAATTTTATGTTTTATAGATATGCGAGATAGCATTATCCATAATCTATAGATGTTTAATACAAAAATCTAAATCAAATGAGTAATTAGTGGATTGAGTGAAATTCAAATTTTGAATATTACTTATAACGGTAAGTTGTTCTTCACTATTCAATATATATGAACCTAGTTGATCCTCTTTGAGCCTAGAATGTACTAGGCGGTTGTGAGGCTCCGATCTGGACTCCTTCGTATGATCTTCTCGAGAGTGGAAGAATCTGTGAGACGGGGGGCGTCCCCCGGGATCTACGCTCCGACACCCAAGTTAGTACGATATAGGAAGCGGTTTATGGTATGTAGATAGAGAGAGTTTAGAGAGAGACCTTAGGGTAAGAGTGTGTGAAGGGAAGAGAGGATCTTTAGTTTGGAAGGTTAGGCCTCCTTATATAGGGTTTGAGCTTCCTTGACTGGGCTTGGGCCCAGGACGCCTTGCGGTGGGCTTGGACCCGTTTATAGTCGTGTAGGCATATTAATCCATATCCCAACAGATCCGCTGTCCAAATTATCTATGTGACAATATTCGTACTCATGTAAATCACCACTTTCCCTCAACATTTTCAATATTCGTTGTACTTTTTCGTTTTTACCCAATGAATGTAGGGGTGAACAAACACACCCGTAAACCGACCCACCCGTCCAACCCGACCCAACCCACCCGTATTTATCGCTAAAACTAAGGTTTTGGGTTGGGTGAGGGTTTTCTTTTCTACAACCCGCCTCTTTTGGGTTGGGTTTGGGTTTTGGATTACACAACCCGTAGAACCCAACCCAACCCGTGTTCCAACTATCGATATGAGTTCGTATCCAAAAAATATTTATGTCGTATATAACCATACTTATTAGAAAATTAAGATATTTTGCCATACTTTTCTCTCATGGTCTCACTAATCTAATGCATTTTTCGGGTTAAAGTTTAGACATAGATTTAATATAGCTATGATTCACGTAATCATTTTTCTTGTGTACGATTTTAATAGAATTATATATTATGGATGCGTTCGTTTATAACATTTTTATCCTATTTCAACAAATGTCATGAAAAAAAACTAGATATATGTTGACGTAAATCACATTTTAATAAAATTTAAACAACATTTGTGAACTTTGATACCTTTCACCTCGGTTTATTCGTTTAAAATTTTAATTAATTATAAAATATTTTTATTGTGTAGATAATTATATATTTTGTGTTGGGTTGGGTTTTTACTTAAAAATATCGTCAACCCGACCCAACCGAATTAGAAACAAACCGTAGGGTTTTAATTTTTTTGGGTGGGTTTGGGTTTAATATTTTCCAAAGCATAGTGCATGAGTTGGGTGATTAAAATGGCTAAACCCGGACCACCCGACCCATGTACACCCCTATATGAATGTACTCATAATTCGTAGTACATTTCAACATAAGGAGAAAGTTATTATATCTCGATATCTCATTTATTAATATCTAAACCTGATAGCAACAAAAAAATGTTTTAATTTACTAAGGAGTAGTATATCCGTCTACAATCCAACCCATTGTCGTCTCTGCTCTACTTTGATCTCAATTTTGATAACATTGGTGTGTGTTTTACATCAAAGATTGAATACCATCTTTAACTATAATTAAGGTGATATAATCAAGGTTAATCCAACTTTGATCCATCTAATTAACTCAACTAATCCACACTAGTAAGTAGTAACTCAGAAAGAAGTTAATAAACAAAAGAAAAGTCGTCACTCTGTCACTCATCCAGCTCCTTACAGTCAATTCTCTGGAAGTAAACCTTCTTCTCCGACAGATCGAACCCGACATTGTAATTCTGCTGAGCCAATATCCCGATGCAACTCGACTCGCCATAATCAGCCTCCAGGAAAGCCAAACAGAAGGTGTCCCGGTCGTGCTGCAAGAAAGTCCCTAACCCATCCATGTACAGCGCCGCCCCGCCGGCGAAGTGAATTCCCAACAGGGGGAACGTCTCTGCCGCCTCCCTCGCCTTCCCGCCGTAGCAGATCTGCCGTCCCCTCGCGAATTCGGGGTAGACACGTGTCCATTTCGAGCCTCGCAGCCAGTCCCGGACCGTGAACTCCAGCACGTCGTAAGCGTCTTTGTGTAGGTAGGTCATCTGTGCCCCAAAATCGCGATTTAATGTAGTATCGACTTGATTACTTATACGCGATTTAAGTCATTAAAATCGACATGTACACGATATGGTGTCACAAGTGCTACTGAACATATTCGAGTTAAATTCGCCACATTTTGTTTTGTTACTAGTTTTGTTACAATAGTTACAATTTTTTTTACCAACTACTAGACAAGGTAGAAAATGGTGAGTCACCTTTGCACCGGTGTCCATGATGACTCCATTGTCAACCCCAGGGGTTTTGGCGAATGCGGACTTTGGTATCTCCAGGGTCGACCCACCGAGGCTGATTCGGACCACGTCGACGTAGTACCGGCCCGATTCGATAACCAACGGGGTCGAATAACCTTCCATGATCGCTCCATCCCCGAGTTCCAACCGGCTGTACGGGTAGAGTGGGTTCTGGGCATCCCCGATGCAGTAGGAGAACTTCGGGTGGGTCCCAATTCGCCAGAGCAGCGAATTGGGGCCCGGCCCGAGGCCCATCACCCCGGTCATTTGGCTCTGCTGGGGCAGGTCCCGGGTCTTGCGGGTGCATCCGAACAGGATGTTCGGCACGACCATGGTCCCACCGTCCGACGTCGAGAACGTCAGCTGCTCTGTCGCCAGGATGCCAACTGCCGACGGGGCACTAGAGTAGGTGAGCCTGAACTCGCACTGCGCCATGTCGTTGCATTTCTTGCAGTGCAAGTCACAGGATTTGGGGGCGAACGTCGAGGACGTCGCGGGGTCGAAGAAGCGCTTCCCCGAGAGAGGGGAGCAAGGCTCGCAAGGCAGGCATTTGACCCACATCAGGTTGCTCCCCGTGTCGAGGACCGCCAGCTGCGGGACCGGGGGAGTTCCGATGGAGAAGTTGACGTAGTAGATCGTGTTGCTCGATTGGATCAAGTTCGCTTCAATGTGGGTCGATGTGGAGTCCGAGTCAGATGCTAACGTGGGTAGTGAAGTTGAACCGGTGGGAGTGAAGATCAAGTCGCGATGAATCAATCTCATCGTTATACGAGCGGTGGAGACTCGAGCAGTTGATGTTATGGTGACGAGGAGGAAGATGGTGCAGAGTGGAGTGAGACTTGGCATGATCATTATAGTTGATGACTTATCTATGGGTTAGGGTTCTATGGATTTGAGAAAGACGCACATTGGTTAGGTTATGTTGGCATTATTTATAGACTGTCTATTTTGGGTAAGGGACAGGTTTCTGGACTTTTAGGTGTTCTGCTGGTGAACGAAAGGCAGTGGTCATGAGGTATTTGTTTGTGTTCGTGAAACAGATGGAATGCAAGAGAGAAGCAGGTAAACCTACATTAACAAGCACTTAGAAGTTGAAAATAGCAAGTCTTCCCAACATCAAATACCTAAGTCTACATGTAGTAAGCCTCAAGTAACAAATCAAATCATATGTACTACGGTTTCATTGCCACAAATCGAAGATCTTTTGTACGAAACGATGCTTACGACAGGGGTTAACTATCCAGTCAATGGCAGAAGGAAATTCTCAAGAGTATAAAGGTTTAACCACCAACCAGCCCCACTATTTCATACCAGATATTTGCAGATGATAGTACCTTCTTCGCAAGAGGGACCTGCCACGGAAATGAACAGTGGAAGACAGTTCTAGATGCATACAAGGACGAAGCAGGACAAACAGGTTAATCTAGTGAAATCGGAGCTCCCTTTCGGTTCGAGTTTCGTAGAGCAAAGAAGGAATGAAGTAGGAAAACTGTATGGCTAGAGATGGAGAGCAACACAAGCATTGAATGAAATGTGAGTCTAGACTCTAGAGTCAACAAACTTTGTAACAATCATACAATCATTTCTAAAATTAAGGTGGGTTACTATGATGTTTTGTCTTTCACCTACAAAGTAAGAACTATAGGTAAGGTGTGAGGGAAGGGTGGGAAATAGCATTAGCAAGCCTTACAAACCAAGCTGGTTTCATGCAAAAATGATATACAGTGTCTTAGGGCAAGAAAAAGCATAGAGTTAACAGCAATTAGAATAATAATGATAATGACTTAGGAGTAGTCGAATTTACGGGTTTTTATATCGATGAATCAATCTGCATCATCAGCAGTGAAATCAGGCTCAGGAGGCTTCTGCAGTGTCACCAACTCTCTCGCCGTCTTGGCATTCCTGTTCCGATGGACCCCACGAAGAGCATTTGCGGCAAACCTTGAGGCCAAGAACGTGGCGCCTATGCTGAACGAGCCTCCTCCGCCGCTGCCACTCGTGCTCTGTGCTGCTTCTTCCTCTTCCTCCTTCCGACGCTGCTGCTCCATGTTCTTCCTCTTTAGGTAACGTCGCCAGGCTGCCTGGATGAAGCACGCGGCCCAAGTCCTCCACTGCTGCGAGTAGAACCTGAACGTAGGCATGGTTAACCAGTTCGATCAACCGAACCAGTAACGGAAAAACGTTAAGGGGGTAATAAAAAACCGTTGATCTATCACTGAACCAAAACAGTTTGCCACCCTTACCTGAATGTGTGTTGCACCTGCCTACTATGGAGGCGTCTGAACTGACTAGCTACGAACTTCAATTCGTCAGCAGTCAGGGCAAAGGCCTCGACTTCAGTTATGGCCCTCACGGTTCGGGTTGAGGTTGGTAAGTTACCGCCTGATTTGGGATCGAGGGCCCAGGTTAAGAGCTCCTCGCCACAGAAATCACCTTCTTTGAGGAAGCCACGGTTGAAGAAACCGCTCCTGCCACCATCTGTTGTTACACTCTCAAGGCGCCCTCGAATGATGAAGAGCATCTCATCGACTGGATCACCTTCTCGGACGATGTAGGTTGATTCGGTGAACAGGCAAGGTTTCAGCCGCTCGCATATGGCATCAAGCAGCCTCTCGTCCATGTTATCAAACAGAGGAACCTACACAGCAAGAATGTACATTGAGGTTCATAACAGTTCATCAAGAAACATACATGGATTTAGATGATTCATGCATTCAGAAGCTGTGATTTCAAGAATACCTACATCGTTAGCATATAGTGTGAAACAATGTAGAAGTCGAAGTATCTTCAAAATAACGACTATGAATCCACGGTAAACAAATAGGCCCCGAAAAGGATTCACTGACGAGGAGGCTTACCCGTCGGACTAATGCCAAACAAAGATGGCGTTTGATGTCTCTTCTAAGATCCTTAGGCAGGCTCTGAACCAGAATCTCTTCATCAACTCCACGAGTTGCCAACCATTTGTACTGGTCATATCTCCTAACCCTTTCTCTGAGTTCGGTTGGGAGCAAGCGATGGCGCATCCATTGTTCTGAGTCGCGCCTTTTCACCCTCATCTCTTCCAAACGTATCGTAAGCGACTGGAGATAGGTCTGTCATAACATATAGGCAACACCAAATTTTCAGAAATAGCAAGGATCTGAAACTATGCAAACAAAATGTGTGGTAACCAAACGACCCCAACAAACATCGATCATTACCTGCATGTTGCCAATGAGAAGTGCGAAGAGGATGAGTCCAAATATCGCAAGTGCAATGGAGAAGATAACCTCTCCAGGGTATGTGCTGGTTTGAAGCCCCTGACCAAGTGTACTACACAAACAAGTAGACCACCGATACCACACAAGTCATATACCTCCCCAGGCTTAAAACCTCTGCATATCTACTTTCACTTGCATATCGGAAAAAGAAAATATGTGCATATTACCTAAGATTCTGAAGTCCCCACCACAAGCAATAGCAATACTTAGCAACGAACTCCTTGGAGGAGGCAACCCCGGACGACAAAGCATTCAAGAAGATCCCATAATCGAACGGTCCCTCCTCTTTCGTCACACAATTTGACTCAAGAGTGTTGTTCCTCAAGGGAATCCAATCAGCAAACCCTGTCATGAACTGGTTCCCACAGTACAAAAAATTGGTCTGGCATTTTACTTCTGGGGTACAGAACTTCTGCCAGCATGCGTCTTTCCTCTCTATGGCTAGCAAGTACCACAATGCACCAACTACATGACTTGCAAGCATGTATAGGAGCAGGTAACAAGCAGCACCCGCCCACGCAGTTTCTGCAAAGACACCTGCTGTTCTTTTGAGTTCCGATGTTAAAGGTAGGAACCGGAGGAATCTAGGAATGTATTGGAGCAAAATGATGGCTAGGATGGCTCTTTTCGTTGTTAGGACATCAGAGCCACGGGACCTCTGAAGAAACTTCCAGACCACAATCTGCAAGCATCGTCAATAATTAGGCTTTGGGAAGGGATTTATGTATAAGTGAATGAATCAAGCACAAAAAGAAGCCTTTGGTTAATGAGAGAATTAATAGTATAGCTGGTCAATCACATAAATAGCCATTACAATTTTGGGTCCACTAAAAAATCGGTCATCGAACTTCTTTTAGTTATAGAAGTTTGGAACAACTAACATAATAGTTACTCCGTCCATCTCCAACAGGTTATCCCTCCCGAGATTAGCATGCAAACTACCAAATTAATAATAAAAAAGGTCGCATATACACTAGTTTGTTGCCATGAAGACATTCTTGCACATACCCAATCCAAAAATCAAATTGATTAATTCACCCAATTCCAAGACATACAAAAACCACCATAATGCTTTCCTTGCATCACTCAATAGCGACTTTGAGGGTGGCCCTTCTCATTACTGAAATGGTCTGAGCTGACACACTGGTCTGAGCAATTTGGATGAAAAACTTGATGGACATGTTAGTTATTCCAAAAGTTCAGCGACGAATTAGTGAAAATCAAAATTCAGTGACCACTTTGTTAGTGGCACCCAAAGTTTAGTGACTGTTTATGAAATCAACCCCTAAAACAGTGACATTCTGATAACATGCAAGAAGCAAGCAAATTGTAAGTGCATCCAAGATAGGCAAACAAATGTACCGATTGTTTGGCAAGAACCTCATACCTGTGGAAGGGGAAAGATGGCAAGGAAATCGATCCAGAAGTAATGTTGCATGTATCGCTTAGCTATCTGTGTGGGATCGATCACCAGCTCACCGCGGCCAAACACACGAGAAGAAGGTGCAATGTAAGCCGTCCTGAACTGGAGAGCCATTCGAGCAAGGTAGAAAGCATCAACAATTGTCCTTAGTGTTGACACTGTATGAGCTAATTTCCGATCGATCCCAAGGCAGAACCCAGCATCACTGAAAACCGGGAGGTAAAAGAAGAGTGGGTCTACAAATGCAGCCAAAATGCAAGATACCACAAAGAGCTTGTTGCACAACAAGAGGAACTTGTCTTGAGGATCGAATATCTTCTTCTCCGATGATTTAAGATCCTCAGGGAAGACACCACGAGACACTCCGAATCTAAGTGAACGGCCAATGGATTTGAGTCCTTCTGATCCCCTTTTGATTCCATTCTTAAAAGATCTGGATGGTGTATCAGGTGCTTGACCAGCACAGTTTAGCGCATCAATGCCAAATCCACATCTTCTCAGCCCTGCCTCGGAGGGCGAGGATGATACTCTTGAGTCCAAATCATCCAGTCTGATAGATAGACGAACAGATATAAATGACAGGCAATAAAAATCTAAACATGGTTTCTCATAATTATTCCCTTCTATTAAGAGTAAAACATGGTACCTAACAAATTTGTCTCTTTGGCCAGGCAGGTACTGGGTCTTTAAACCACAATCATACATCTTAAGCAACTGAACACATCACCTGAAAGTTAGCATGGAGATTTTCATTAAGCTTCCGAACAAAATGATCAACTACACCTCGCAATGTCCCAATTCTGGCACATGAAAGCTATTCAGTTGTTCATACTACCATTTCTACTATCACTTCAAAGCATTTAAACAGCAACAACTTGAATACCAATCCAAATGCCCATAGTACTGGAGTGAAATTGAGGAATCAATTGCATAATCGACCTTCAAAACTACATGACATATGGAAATGGTAATCCAAACAAACCCCCAAGGTAAAAGAACCCCAGAACCAACCAACATACAGAACCTGCCAAATTCCAAACTTGATGACATCGGATCTCTATTGCAGCATCACCATTACCTGCAAATATTCATCGTTGACCCTCCAAAATTTCATGAAGTTACCAAACCAAGGCTCAAAACTTACATCTATAGCCACTAAACATCATGGAAATCCTCCACAGAGTTGAAATTATCCTTCAAATCCCCAGGACAAAGTTCAAAATTTCGTAGCCACTCTTCAGACTTCCCACCAAAATTACCAACATAAACCCCAATTCTCAATCCGACCTTTTCACCCATAAATGAAGGAACTTTAACATAAGAAAGTCCGCTAATCAATGCAACATACACACAGCTTAGTCTACGTAACTGATCTTATCGACGAGTAGAAGGAACAAAACCAAACTTACAGTAAGATTCGACATGAACAAAGCAGCAAAGCTTCACGATGTAGAAACAGAAGAGGGGAGAGGGCTATGGAAACGAGAATCAGAATCCGAAAGGTGGAAACTTTGGGATTCGGGTACGAAAACTTGCCCCTTTCTCTCAGGGTTCAGCCCAGAAACTGCTGAAAGAAGAAGAAGAACAGAAGAATCTTTGAGTAATATCCGTCGAGTTGGAGAAAGCAGGGAATGGGAAGAAGAAGGAGGTTAAGAAATAGGAAGGAAAGAAGGAGTCTTTTTTGGTTTTCTCTAATTTCAGTTTTCACACTTGGGACAATTTGACCTTCATCAGATGGCCAGCGACAGAGGAGAAAGGACTAAAAAGGAGAGTAGGATACAGAAAGGAAAGAAATACATTATTTTTCCCCCTTTTTTCCTCCAATGAAGTGGCGGAGTCGGTGAATTGCGCAAGTAGCCTCGTTACGGCGGCGTTTAATGGCCGGCGCCGGCGGCGAGATGTGCGATGTTAATTTTCGACGAGATGTGTTGTCGTCTACTGGTCAATTGAGTTAGCCAAAGCCGTTAGGGAAAGAGTTTGACACGGAAAAGAAACTGATCTTTGCCTTCCTCTGCCGGTCAGTCAAAGATTGAGAAGTGATTGTTTGGAACAGTTATTCTTCTTAAGATAATCCTTGCAAAAAATTGCAACAATATATTCTTCTTTTCTCCTTGTTCTCTCCAAGTCAAAATACAACCAAACGAAAAGCATAGATAGGAGGTTACATGTTATCGTCCACTTGGTAGAAAATAGTTGTTCTTGTGTTGACAAGTCGATAGGACTCAGATTTGACTGGATGAAAGTGTAATTAAGATATGCCTTGTACGATTTACGTTAACTCGAAGTGTTTCAATTCGACAATTTTGAACTTCACACACGTTAATAGAGCTCAATATGAACCTAACCGTTCGACTCCAATGACTTTCTAATGTGTTCGATGAGTCTCGTGGGCTTGGGCAAGTTCTGTTTCTATCATATAATGAGAAAAAAACAAAACCATGAACATAGGTCCTATAACTTTGAAAATGAAACAAAGGAAAATGATTTAGAGTGTATGTTGATGATAATTTTCGCCTCTAGACATTGCCACAACTTTAATGTAATAATTAGCAATCATCTAGTTAATGATTTGTTGAAAGCAAGGATTTAGGAGCGATACATTGATGAGAATCATCCATTTCACGATTCTAGTTTTTATTTCCAAAATTACCAAACCATGATTTTCGTCAGGATTTGAACCAGTGCCTATGACAAACCAGTTCATTCCACGATTCTTGCTCTCCTACAAGAACCTAACCATGATTCTCATCAGGATTCGGACCCGGGTCTAAGGCGAACCAAACCGAATGTTCAACCGCTCAACCTGGGAGTTAACTCTCCACTATTCAGGTTACAGGCAGCCAATAGTTGGCATATTTGGAATTTTTAAGATTATCCTATCTAACAATATAATGTCTGAAATCAAACAAACTATGGGATACTCTTTCCAAGTATCCACACTTCTGGCATTATTAGTTTCCTTGATTCCTTTCTCAGTCTGGCCATTCATTCACAAATTGCAAATTGTTTTAAGCCAAAAAAGAAATGACAAAAGGGAACAGAAAGTACACTTCCAAAAGGATTTCCAAAAAGAAATACAATGGTAGAATTCCATACTCATCATCAGCTGCTCAAGAAAGCCTTTGGCCTGCAGAGTGAAGACTCAAATGGAGCTGAGATCATCTGCAGCGAACAGACCGTGCCGTGGCCGGAGAATGATTAATGGCTATACATCGACATCGTCCCAATCAAACTTCTCAGACTCCTTAGTCAGACTTCCAGAAAATGGGGACTCTGAGTCCTGCCTTGACAGCTTCTGTTATTTCCTTCCCTAGTCCCTACTATGGAGAAAGCTTCTGCTGATGGTGTTGAGTGAGTTCCAAACTTTCGGACTGGAATGATGGCGGGATTGGAAGATGAGATATCTTGCTAACTTTGCTGGTTAAGTGGACCTGCAATTACTGTTCTAGCTTCCTCGCAGAGAGCTGCTGCATCATTTCCTTGTATCGGCTTATGAATGATAACCTTCACAGAACCCATATTCAAGATGGCTTCTTTTCCGGGAGGCATGATCCCTCCGGTTCCAATAAGCGTCATGGGGACTACTGGCACTCCAGTTTTCACTGCAATGCTGAATGCACCTTTCTGCATGTTCAAACACCACAAATGAGACTTAAGTATCAACATGCAATCCATGTGAGATCCCAGACTCATAGCATTTAGCAAGCAACTCTTGTTTGGTGGGAAAGAAACAACTCTTCGTCTCACCTTGAAAGCACCCAATTTACCGTCTTTACTTCGAGTCCCCTCAGGGAAGAAGAAGACTGATGCCCCCTTATTCACCAAGTCTATGCATCGTTTAAGACACTCCTACAAACATAACAGTCATGCAAGTGTTGGTTTCATGTTCAGCTAAAAATTAAGCAACTTCCTTTCAAAAAAGGTATCCAAGGAGGAATGTTACATTACCAACTGGCTCCTGCTGTCCATGCGCTTGAGAGGAATTGTACCGAGCATGGACATGGCCCATCCAATAACCGGGTACAGGAAAATCGCGGTCTTGCTGATGAACTTAAAGCTTCTTCCTAGAGTGAGGAGAGTGTATATATCTAAGAAGCTCTGATGATTAGAAACATAGACTGCTGGTGTGTCTGAAGGTGGCAGATTCTCCACTCCTTCAAACTTGATTTTGAAAAATGGGTTTACTGTTATCGTTGCCCAGACACTTGCAACAAGGTGATGAGCTTTTCTTCTGTATCGATCAGCCAAAAGCACGAGAGGGTGTTGCACTAGCATCAGCACAATAAGGAGCAATGCAGCAATAGCAGTGACTGTATAGAAGCCAATTCCTCTGGCTTTCGAGAGCAGACTAACCTCTGCATTCCGAAAGGCAATAGTTAGACAAGAATTGAAGCACAGAACTAAACAGTGAAATAAGTTCATTGAGAGAGAGAGAGAGAGAGAGAGAGAGAGAGAGAGAGAAACCGGATGATGGATTAATGTCGGTATCTGTAATCCCAACACCAGCAAGCTCAGATTGTGCAACGATTCGTGTGAACAACTTAGTATGCTTCGATATTGTACCATTGAAACACGTTGGCGCGTTGAACTGCCCTTCAGAAGTACAACACCAAGGCAGAGTTGTGTGCTTCCTTGAAAGGCATGAAAAACTACTTAGAGCAGCTGGAAAACAAGGAACAAAAGAAGAGGGCATAAATGAACAGACCAACAACATATCCAAATATCATCAACAGAAAACAAAGGAAAGCATAATTCTTGGCCAAAATAACTAACATCCAAAGAACTGGCAAATTAAAAAGGCTGCAATCAAAGAAAACAAAGTCCTGTTCAGTGGATTGAGTCACTTACAGGTACTGGTACTAGTCAAAGTTGGAAGCTTTATGCTGGACTGTCCTCTATATGACGAGAACTGCATTTAATCATAAAGCAATTACGTCAATCAAAATAATCCCTCGCCATTCTGCCTAACAAATCACAAATTCCCACTCATACACCAGACATTCCCAGAAACCAAACAGGAAACAATCCCAACCCAGACAACAACCAATTATCAAGTGCCCATGGTGATCCATGACAACGGGAACCCCAATCCAACTAAGAATCAGAAAACGAAGGAAGGGAAAGGAAGATTACCGTTAACGAATGCGATAAAGAAGAGCTCCGCGGTCTTCTACAACCTGCAAGATTTGGATTTCACGAATGGAGCGGGAATCAAAACACGAGAACATAGGAAATGAAAATTTGAAACGCGGGTAAGGGACAAAAAGAAGAAAGCTTTACTGAGGAGAAGCGGAGAGTGGAGCGGACGAGAAGTGACGTCCATGGTGATGGCGGGGATAACAGAAAATAACCCGGGAAAAGGGTTGCCCAATTCGAAGTACCCTTCTGCTGGTTCTATGGAGTCAAGTTGAGAAACGAATTGTAGGGTTCGAAGGAAGGAGGGAAGGCAAGAAAAGGGTTCATATCAAAAGGGAAAGTGGTGAACAGGAAGTTGTGAAACTCGAGGTAATAGTTTATAGAAGGTGATAAAATCTCGTTGATCGTTATCCTCTGGCGCGCCCTTTTACGCTTTTTGTTGCAGGTTTTTCCAGCGGCTGGGGAATGTGAAATGGGTGACGAGAGAAAACTGGCCGAGTGGCTCTTTGGCTGTGGCTTTTCTCTGCTTCTGTTCTGGTTGATCTGTAAGAGGAGACTGTAAATGCGCGGCGCGGCGAATCGTGTCGCCTTCCTCTGTTTGTCCATTCTCGAGTTCTATTTCTATGCCCTCCTTTTCACCACGAGAACTTCTAGGAAATGAGCGGCCAGTCAAAATTCTTGTGCATTATTGGTTCTAGAGGCATTCAATTTTGGTTGATAGATCTGCAGAATAGGTATTGATGGAATTTGATTTCCAACCACTTCTGTTAGCTTTTAATTGCTGCTAATCATATCTTTCAAGAATTTCAATGGACCATTTGCAAATTTCCTAACTTGATATCAAGTCGAGAACAAGATAAATAAGGTTTGGTTTAAGAGCAACATCATTAGTTTTCAACCTATATATCACAATTTCGAATCATCGTTGGTCCAATAACCTTGTAAACAAAAACTCATATAGAAATGCATTATTCTCGATCAACCAATGCCTCACTAGGACGTCATTCTTCACTCCAGCCAGATCTTGTCTGCCTTGAGCCTCGGCCTAAGGTCTCGACTCTCGACCCCTGTTACCAGCCCCTCAACCTCTCTCGTTCGAGCTTGATCTCTCCTCCTTGATCCCACAACTCACATTGCCTCTACAAACCCTCATAGCTAGAGGCTATAAGTTTTTCGACACCTCTGATTAGGTATGGATTCGATCCAATTGAGGTGCTGATAGAGAGCGGCATGCTGCTATTCTTGTTGGACCATGAACATAAAGTCTGATGGTTGATGGTTGAGAAATGAGAATTCAAAAGTATGTGTGTGGGGCACAAGATTTCCATCCTAGATTCTCTCATATATTTTCACTTCGCAAAGCAATATGATGATTCACAAGTTGTTTTCTTTAAGAAGGATGAATGATCCACGATGTTACCAATCAAAACGTTTCACAATGACAAGGTTACAAGATTCCAATCTAGGGGATGTCTCAAGATTCTACTACAAAAACACCATAAATTCCCTGTTTATGAGTAATATTAACACCAAGGTTCGAATCTAACATACGTTTGATGTTATCGAGCGCAGATTACCATTAGTTCGATCCCTCATGTCAAATATTCTGTACATTTCCAGATCTGCATTATGTTGCAGAGCTTCTGAAGAACCTCAAACAACCATTTCAGCTTCTTTACCACTAGAAGGAATCCCAATATCCAACCTCATAGTGGTTTTATACTCCTCCGGCACAGCAGCGCCACCTTGCACGCACATCTCCACGACAGCAGGCGCCTGTCCATAGAAGCTCCTCAGCTCACGTTTCAATGGCTCCCCGATCGGTTCAGGGAGATGCCACACGAACCTCGGAGGTATCAAATCGTCGAGCACAGCAGCCTGCCAACCGTGCTGCCCATTTCGTTGCTGATGCTTGTGTGCTCCACATATCTGCACCTTATGCCCGCTCGGTCCAACATGGATCTCGGGGCAGTAGCCACATACTCGAACCGGGTACATTTTCATCAGCCGGTTGGAACCTTTCCTCATTTTATCCCAAGCTGCTAAGGTTTCCTCAGCCAGTAACGTCGTTTCCTCTTGGCTCGATGGAGGAACTATCTCGGAGTTGGGGATTTCAGTCAGCAATGGCTTCAGAGGAGGCTCCGGGACTGGGTCAGGAAGCTCACTCTCATCTGCATCGACGAATTCTTTTCTGCCGATCCAAACCACTGGCTTTCTCCTCCTTTTGGTTGGGAGATCAGGAATGTTGACTCCTGCTTGGATGCATAGCTCCACCACAGCTGGGATCCTGGGGATTGTGAATCTCTCATCATGTCGAATTCGATTCCCCAAACGGTCATAGAGGTGGTATGCTTCGACTGGGACGAGTATGTCTTCAACAACTGCATTCGTCCATTCGTGATGTCCCTTTCGGACACTCGTGTACTTGCCTCTACATGAGCTGAACGGGTGCCCTTCGGGCCCTACGTGGATCTCATCACACCACCTTGAAAACAGTAAGGTCAAAGTTTCTAGTTCAGACACCCTATCCCTACTACTCAAACAACTAAACAACTAGATTCGGGTTAAGGAGACAAGGAGACATTTACCCGCAGGCATGGACGTGGACCACTTTCAACAAACGCTTGATGTTGTTTATCAGCGTGATCCTCGCATTGTAGACATCATAAGCGAGAGGGACAAGGCTTTGGACAACCAGCCCTTGCTTTGGAGGAGGGGGGCGGCCTTTGGGTTTGCCTTTCCTGTCTTTGAACCTCTGCCTGGCATTTCGTCTTAACTCCACTACTGGTATTGGAAAGGGCTTCTTCTCCTTTCTACCATAGTATCTAGGGAAGTCGGCATTCTGAGGGTACTCGCTTGAGGCAACCAATGCACGAGTATGCCGCAACTTTCTTGATAATGGAAGAGGGAGTTTCGATGTAGTGGGCTGTACAGAAGATACAGAAGCAACAATATAGAATACAAAGCCTAAGTCACCTAATCCAAAATTTCTCGCTCGGTTACTAATATGATGTAGCAATGGTAACCAAAGACCAAAACGTGAGAACCTCTCGAGCTCGCTAATGTAGGAGTGGTTCTTCGTGGTGAGATAACAGAACTTGAAAGACAGCTTCACCGTGTTACCTGGAAGGATTTGATAGAACTGAGGCCTTGGTGGAATTCGCCTGTCACGAATTCGGATCTTCTGGGATGATAAAACCCAAACTGCACTTTCAGCTTCTGAGGAAGAACAATCGTTGTACCAGGGATGAAAGCCATGGTGCAGAATGGGATTGAAGAACAGCCAGAATCTCTCTCCCCAAAACAGCAGATGCAAACAGCCCTGTGAAAGGACGGAGTCAGACACTAGCTCCAACCCTTTTCCATCTACTGAAACAACTTTGTGAGCTAAACAAAACCATGGATTAAGCTAACACCCCAATTTCACCATTGGCATAGTAAAGCCTGCATATATCTGTACAGAGCTGAAGCAAAGCATGAAACTTTTTCACCATTCGAAGACCATAAGTTCAAACTTTCCTACTCACGACCCCATTCAAACCTATTAAGAGAAGCATTTCTGGGCATTGAACATTTTCCCAAATCAAAACCTCCCCAAGTTCAGAAACTATCATTTCTCTTCCAATTTCCGCGACCAATAATTCATCGGCAACCAACAAGAAGGATTACAATGGATAATAGAAGGCAGAGCAGTTATAATTACCGTAAGAAAGAGAGGTAAGAAATCCTCTACAAACAGCGAGGGACGAACGCCTACGGAATCGAAGCACTCGCCGTTGGACAACCGGCGGAGCTTGCTCGATTGCTTTTGTCACGCGGTGGAGTTTTCCGATGATGGGTTCCTTCCGGCGGACGTGATAATGCCTCTCTGTCGGCTCTGGATTAGAATTCTGCGAAGTTGGGAAAACCCAGTGGCGTTCTCAGCACTCGGCTCTCCCGGTGACAGGACAGACATCGCATTATCTTCGCCTCTGTCCTTCCTTTCCTGTGTAAATTACACATACGGTCACTAGGTATTGGGGTACACGATAAAATGGTCGCTGAACATTGATTTTTTCCCCAGACTGATCACTCAATTTTATACATTTAACTAACGTGTTGCGATTTATATATCGCACTGTCTTACTTGCACATATTTACTTTTTATGATTATTTTATAGTTTTTTCGTTAGACGAAACCTTATTCATCATGTTGGGTATACGTTTTTGAACTGGATGATTAACGCAACATTTTAAGCATCGAAGTGTAGTAACAAAACTTGAGATTGCTCTCCATCTGAGTCAGATTGGTCACGTCGAATCAATAAAAAATCATATGAATCAAACGTGTTCCTTACTTTCGACAATTCGATATTAAAGTACGGTTGTATATCCAAATCGCAATATTATGAAACACAATATACAAATTAAAAAGATCTCAAGCCACAAAAATTTTATTGATTACTAGTGAAGTGGAAATGTCACAAAGGAAAGGAGACAAACAAACGCAAATGGATGGGGTTCAAAAAACGCGGCTAGTAAATTTAGTTAATATTTGGTGGCGGAAGGAGGGTTGCCGCCGGTGGCAACTTTAGCGACGTCGAGAGCCGTCGCCTCGGGCTTCTTGTTCGCGAACAGCACCGTGTAGCCGAGCCCGGCGGCGATGACCGCCCCGACGACGGCCATCCTCACGGGACACTTCGGCAGCCCGCTCCTCTGCTGCAGCACCTCCGACGACTGCTTTGCGGCTTGGTCTGGCCCCGCCATTTCTTACTTTGGTTGCTGTTGGTTATTAGCCACCGAAATTGTATCGTCGGGATTGATAGTGTTTTCGTCGCCTTTGGTCCTTTTTCTTCTTCGTTGTGTTCTCTGTTTTGGTCCTTTAAGGGTCGTTTTTTTCTGAGGTGGGAGGGAAATTGAAAAGAATGTGGCTTAGTGAAAGTAGGATGAACGTTTGGGTCAGCCATATATTGCGGGTTTTGCATAGGTTAGAAAAGTTCAAAACTTATAGCGAGAGGTGTCGATCGATCCCTAATTATCGTGTTCTATTTTGAGTTTTGTGTTTTCCAATTTTCATGATAACGTTCAAATAAACGTAGATAACAATTGAAATCTAATATGATATGTAAACCGAAAAATGAAAATGCACGCAATGTGATATGGACGCAACCATTTTCTCGTATGACTCAATAAAACCATGATAAAACAATTGAATATAGCAACAAAGACGATCAAGATATTGAATTAGCTCCAAAATACTTCAAAAATTAATCACAAAATGATAGTTTAAACACTCGAATTAGACTCCTACTTAACTAGAGATAATCTTCTTGACAATGACATTCAATGTCTCCCGTTACTACAAACTCCCAAAGTAAATCCTAGATCATCAAATAATAACAAAAAAACGAAAACACAAAGACCTAATTAAAATTTAAACCCATCAATTAATTGACCCCTACAAACTAAAGAAACAAAAAGGAGACCAGTCCCGCTGCAACCATCGCCAAAGATGCCGTCCCCAAAACTCCAACCTTAGCACCACTCGACTTCTCCGGTGCCGGAGCAGGCGCCTCGGTCGCCGGTGCCGGAGCTAATAATGGCATGTTTTCATGTTTATCGGCGAGAACCACCACCTCCAGCTTCTGCCCTTTCTTGCAGTGACGCTCGATTCCGCTGATGAAGTAAAACGGCCCGGACCGGTCCAGAGTCAACTTGCCGTCGGCGGCCTTCAGTTCCTTGATGGGATTCCCCGTGGCGCAGCTCTCGTAATCTTTCTTGCTCACTTCCAGCACCGAATCACTTTTAGCGACGGACTTCCATACTGTAACAAAAAAACCAAAGAATTCGTCACCAATTGGTCGTCACGGGAAAAGAAGGTTTTGGATTTGTCACGGGACACAGGAATTCTCGTATGTATCTTCAAATGTGTCATACAAAGTACATTCCTAGGACATTCAATCTCACTTATTGTGACTTGTTTACCATAATACGAAAAAAACAAAATCCCAAGTGAAAATAATTGATATTTCAAAATAAGAACACTGATCCTTTCAACTCCTGACTCCGCCGCTAGTAAGAGCACATGTGTAAAACCATGTGAGATAAGTGTAAGCAAGATGAGGTTAGCTAGGGTTAATTAACTGAGCACACGTACCAAGAACATCGCCGGACCGGAACCTATTCTGCTCGGCCCAGTAATTGAGATTACTTCGATTCTCGCCGGCGGGGACCCTCCAGAAAGTCTTGCTCTCCTTGCCTCCGACGATGAACTCCTTGGCTTCAGCGACGGCGAGTAGTGAGAGGAAAATGAGGGAGATTGTGGAAGCCAGACGAGCCATTTTTCTTTCTTTTTTTTTCTTTAGGAAGGGGAAGATTTTGAGCTTTGGCTAAGTTGTGTGTGTTGGTTTAAGGTGAAGAAGGTGTCGATATAGAGGGTAATTATAGGCGTAGGGTTTTTCTGTCTAATTATTATGAGTCTTTAATTGGGGTTTTGCGTGGAATTAACGAGAGGAATTAGGCCGTGGTGTTTGTGTTGGAATTGATAATCTGCATTAATTTTAATATAAATAATGGTTAAAAAAATCACTAATTGGTGTTAATTTGGTGATTTTGATTAAAGAAAAACTACGTATGTGGAAATGGAAGTTCTTTTCATGGAATATGCTTATGGAAAAAAGTGATATATTATATGAGGGTTGATTTTTTTAAAAGATAATCCTCCGGGGGTTTTTTTTTTTTGTTGCTTCAATTTGATAAAGATTATTAAGCATAAATATCTGAGAAAAAGTGAGAAAAGATTAATTATTTCAATTTTCCAGATAGTGATTAATTAGTGAGTATTATTATCGTGCCGTTCACATTTTAATCATCAATTCATCATAATTAATTGGGTCAAACCAGAATTAATTAGTATAATTATGTAGAATTGTAGACTTTTGACCGTTTAATCCCCTGTATTAAGAAGGAAATAATGGTTGTGTTTACCTCATAATAATTAATGATTTATCATATTTGAAAATGAAGAACAGAATAATTATCAATATCCATGAATGGTGTTTGACTGTTTTCATGGCTGTCATTGGTTATTGGGCTAACAAAAAATATCCAGATCCATGTTTTTCTGTATTGTGCTTGGGTTGTATTGGGCCTGGGCAGAAGAGACATATATTGGGCTTAGAAACCAGAAAGCAAAGAAGTGGGTTGTATTGGGCCTGGGCAGAGGCATATATTGGGCTTGGAAACCAGAAAGCAAAGAAGGAAGTTTGGAGAAATCCCTTACTAATTCTACAACATGAGTAAACTGTAAATGTTAAATAAATAAAAAACTGTAAAGTAGTAAATAAACCCCCAAAAAAAACATTTTTGCAACCAACCGGAGGGTCGCCAAAAGTAATAAAACGGTGGCAACATTATGCCAATAAATTAGAAAATACCTTTCATGAACATTAGTGGCACAATTGTTATCTGGTCTTGCCCGTAAGGTGTTGGCTTAAGTTCAACAATAAGTACGACTCCAATTATTAAGTTGTGAGTTAGGATAAGGATCTAAGAGTTGATAAATGTGTTTGGACTCACTAGAAAAAGTGTTGCAAGCCAGCTTTAAGTATGGCTCTAACTTGATTTACAAGTCCTTTATATGTGTGTATTTAGGAGAGTGATAAAAAGAGTTTATATTTAATTTCATAAATGATCCTCAAAAATCACGTCATATATTCACATTGATGTCTTGGTGAATTTCTGTTGTGTTGAGATTTTCTCTAATATGGTACGAGCTCTTGTGAGGTACAGAAATATTGTATGTATCTAAAAAAGCTATGAGGTGTTTCTCAACACCATAATCTATTTTGGATAAAACTCTTTCATGAACTTTCAAGATCCTGAATAAGGACCATATTGTCCGTGCTTAATGAAATTGGTCTTCAAACCCTGCAGCAATTGACCACCTTCAAAGCTTTGTGAATTAGCGTGGGTCTTTATAGCAGCAAATGTCTAGTTTGCATTAAAAAAGCAACACATCATGGTGAACTGTGATTTTATTTCTTAGCATTCACCAATGATGGGCTTCCCGTTGAATAATTCAAATGAGCTACAATGCGGAAGCTATCATTTCCAGAATCATCATGTCAAAGGTGAATTTCCAAAAGATGTGATCCTCGAATATGAAAAAATCAACATGATCCAGGCCTAGCTGTGACATTTGTAGCAAGTTGAATCAGCGGTCGAAGGCAACTAATTGGTAACTATTAAAGCTTGGAAAAGAACTTACAGATCCCCAAATGGTAGGTTTTTGTTTGCATAAAGAAAATAGTACTTTTGTTTATAAATGAGGGTCTTCTAACTATTTAAAGTAAAATTATTCATTTCACCAAGAGCCTTTTTTTAGTTTAGAACACTAAATAGATTTATACATAAAAAAACCCCAATAAAACCCAATTTCATCAAACGTTTTATCTTACAAAATAAAAACAAAATCTAGTTTATGTTATACTTTTCCTCATGTGGTATTCGCGAGAAGAAACGGAGCTACAAACAGGCTTCTCTCCAGTTTATCTTCTTAATCTTATATTTTCTCTTTTTAGAAATCAATAATTATTTTCAAAATTATATTTTCATTTATTATTTGAATTTAAAAATTATAAAATGACACCCCTCACTAAAATTTAGGAGCCTGTCACTAACTCTAGTTTAATAGTTGGTTATTACATAAAAGTAAATTGAAAGATAGAATGGAATTCAATGAAAGACCCGTTTATTTTCGATGTCGTTCATCTTTTTGGGTTTGGAAGCTGAAGACATAATCCAAACTATGAGGCCTATTTATAGGCAAACATATAACTATGTTGTTTTTTCTGTGATCCCTTTAAATCCAAAACTAAAAACAAGAATTGAAATAAGAAAGATAACGATAATGGTGTGACCCAAATTTTACCCTTGGAGAACATTTTTGGAGAACATTTTCATGCACAATGTGTTAGAGAAAACACTAATTTTGTTCCCCTATGAATTAGTTATGTTTGTGGGTTTTGTGCAAGGATGGCATGCATGAATCAAAAGATAGGGATGTCACAATTATTATATAAGAAAAGCTCAAGTTGTTGGGTATATGTAGTATGATCCAATTTATATGGGCTAATTGCATACGGGTTGTGTTTTGAATCGTGGGTCTGATCGTATCTAAAATTTAGTTTTTGATGGTTTTGGACCTATCTTACATTTTATCTACAAAAATATGGATACTCATTCCATCGATTATATATTGTGGATTCAAATTTCGCACATCGGTGTATTCAATTTGCATTCATGAAGAATAACAATCAAGTTTGAAACACATTAAAATTCAATTTGATTGATTAATTGATTTCAATCCCGATAATTTTTTTTTAAGTTTAGGTAACCAAACTAAATCAAAACCAAAAATATCTTTAACCTTTGATCATCAAAATCAAACCTAATCATGATCAATATTTTACTACCTAAATAAATTAGATAGGACGAAGGTTGACAATGAACTAGTTCCAATTCCAACTTAACTCGTACATATGTGTAATGAACATGAAAAGCCAAAAGAGGGGGGAAGGATATAAAACTCAGACACGGGCACTTGAAAGCCAAAATAGCAACGGGAATTGAGCAGTAGCGACGAGAAGCAGGATATAGTGACGCCTGCTTGAGTGTTTGTCGCAACTTCTCATCTCTGCTATCAGAACCCTCTTCATGATCTTCACCAGCAACACGCCTGTACAAAAGCACTCCCAAAGAGCCACCGCGAAAAAGCTGGAGCCCCAGACGATCCTCGTCGCCATAGCTATCGAAACCGTCACGAATGCGTAGCCACCGTAGGCGATGACATCTAGCAACGGCAGGTCTCCGTCTCCTAAAACGTGTATCGTGGCTTCGAGGAGGAGGATTTCCGATAACCAGCAGGAAATGCCGTTCCAGAATTGTGAACCCATGGCTTCAGGACTGAACCTGTCGAGATTATATAAATAAATCCACAAGCAATTGTAACGAGTTCGTTATAACTTGCTTTTCTTTAGCGACCAACTAGGCAAAATGGGCTAGTTAACTGTTAACGAAACATACCCTTCTCCCCATATTAATTTAGTTGAGTTGAACCGCTATAAATATAATAGTGATAAATTCTCACTATCAAATAGCTTGGACGCCCACTAATTTAATTTTTTTTGGATTTTGTAACAAACTGAATCTCTATCGAGTTTGTATGCTTTTATTGAATTTATTTTAGCTTCGATGATGTGACAGATCTATCTACCAGGTTGACTTAACAAAACTAACAACGAGAATTAATTAGATGGAGTGCCTACGAGCTGTTCTATTACAACCTCCCAGTTCGATTGAAAAAATTAATCTTAATCATCGATTTGATCTTTCAAATATACATGCATTCGGATAATCTTAATATTCCAAAACCTAGTTACATAACGAGAATTCCTAAAGGATTAGGCACATGATCCAAGAGGGACTTACTTGCCATTGATGCCCAATGTGAAGCCGGAAAGGACCAAGTAAGTCCCAAATGCCATGAATGGTATGTACAAATCAGGAGCATTGATATCGTAAATGGGAGGCTCGTAACAAAACTCCCCATTACCAACATTCTTGTCACATGCCCTAAACCAATTCCCCTGCATTCAAACAGACTTAACCATAACCAATTTCGTACTTTCTTCGACATCATTCGATATACACGCACAGTCTGACAGATACTCTTACTAGTACATAAGTCGTCCTACGTACTCTCGATCTCAATGTCACACATAGCTAATGAGTTAACTTAATTATCCATCTGATACAAACCTTGTAAAGGAAGGGGAAGAGGATGAGTTTCAGCTTGTTCTTCACATATTCATCGTTCACTTGGAAATAGTACCGTGGGTTGGACAGGTATCTACCGATGATCTGTTTACATACGAATGATCATCAATCATAAACCATAACATTCAATATTAAAATTTAAAGCTAATAAATTTATGTTAACTAGGAATCACAATGAGATACGTCGACCGGTATCTCGATTCTCATCTCTCGCCCGACTCATGACGGGTCAGGTTCATATTGAATAATTTATAATGGGACATGAATGGGAACATATCGACTCATCGTTATTATGTAATTTAAAGAGAAAACAATAATAGAAACATCGATTTGTTTCATCAAGAAATAAAATTCAACGTAGTTAAATTATTTCATAAATTGTGGTTCTCGTCTATTTACAACATTATTTTAGATAAAAACATGAGGTAATAAAAGTAAAATTATATATAATTTTGCAAAAAAATGGATCAAAATGGTATGGAGGTAAGGTGGAGAGAAGAGTAAAATGGGTCAGGTCGAATAAATTCTCATCCCTAATGTTAATTAATTGATTAATTAAGGTACGATTACTTACGTTGGTTTGAACATAGGCTGAGCTTGAACCCAGGAGCTTCTCCCCATAAGCGCCCAATTCAGCTCTAATGGCTTCTTTCCCTGCTCCATAGCACACTTCTTCAGCCAAGGAGTAGTAATCGCCGCCGTTTGGCGGCCGGGATTGCTGCTGCAAGAGCAAGCACTCTACCTGGGTGGTTGACCTTCTCATTTTCTTCTCTCTAGCTCGTAGTGCAAAAAAAATTCTTTGGCTGATCAAATCATAAGAGCAATGAATTCTGAAAATGGAACTTCAAGTGTTGGCATTTAAGTTTTTTTGGGAGAGTTGCAGAGGATAACAATGGTTGCATGCATGGTCCGAACCCCAAGGTAAAGCAGCACCCGGTTTTTTTACAAGATGGATCCTGATCTCTATGGGCTTTACTCTATTAATTGGGCCATGCGCCAAGCCCAATCACCCACAGCCCCAAGCCCAAAGAGTTGATTTTGTTGTCATCGTTTATCATCGGTGGATGTCCTGATATAATACAAGAAAAAGTCAGCACGGTTGAATCAGAATTGGTACTTCGATTAAGGCACAGATGCCGCTATCCAGAATTTAATGCAAAAAAATGGTAACCGATCAGAAGTCAAAATATTCCGTCGACGGTAGGCACCGGAAAATTCACTGTTCATGGAAACTGTTTATACAGTCTCGAAGCAACGTGCTAGATAGTTAAATAGAACTTCAAAACTACACCAAACAGTCTTTTTTTTTTCTTTATTGTTCGAAAGTGTGAGCAGAAGCCCTGTGTCATTAATTAAGTAGGGAACCACTAATGTATCTCTAATACCTCATACACGAGTCAATATATAGTGGAAATTAGGTGGATGACAAAATAACAAACATTATGATAGCCATGCTAGATCGACTGGTGGAATGTTGATAGGGAGGGAATTTCGGGTTCGGTTCAGTAGTTTAACCCAAATCGGAACCAAATTGATCTGTGAGCGGATAAACGAGAGTTGCAAATTGAAACTAATATTTCGATTTTCGGAGTAATCACAAACCAGATTGAATCAGAAAATAACCGAATATAACCGCAAACCCACCTGGATATGGGCCCTAGCCCACCATGCCATTCCAACAACATTATGGTCCAAGCCAACGACTCCTACTTCCTAGCCCAACCAACCCACAACCCACCCGACTCCTCTTCAAGCTTCTTACCCACCCGACCGACTCCCCAGTACGGATAACCACATCATAACCGAAAAATCGTAACATTTCAATTCTTGACAAACTGCAACGGTATTGGTTACAATTGCTGAAACAACATCAATTTGGATTCGGGTAACTAGCCAATTTGGGTTTCTGCTAGTCGAAATCGAACCGGGCTCCAACCCTAAGCGCAACAACAAAGCTGATCACATCATGAATTTATAAGTTTTGAAACCGTGCAAGACGTTACCCATGGTTGTAAGCAGTGACGAAGCCAGGAATCTGAATGAAGGGTGAACTGATTTGAACCGTGATAATTAGGAGAGGACTAAAGCCGATTATTCTATTTCCTAAACTTAGTTACAAATTCACAAACAATTATACCGATATTTTCACATTTAAGGGCACCCTCCAGTCCCTTCTAACTTCAACCTAACTTCTTTACTGGTTTGTACATCTCCAAGTGACCTTTTTGATGAGTCCCTGGTGTGAGCAGCCGCGCATGCCTATACAACAAGTAAATATGAATGCCGGTGGAAACTGGAACAGTACTGTGGCAGCATAATGGTAGAGAGTGGAGACTAGTGAGCTAGCTAGCAGCTGGAAGCTGACTTCGCCAATAGTAAGTTTGCTGCTGCTAATTCTGACCAAGGAGCCTGGAAAAGGGAAAGAAGTAATATTGTGCAAGTTGAAGGAAGAAGTGGGGTTACTACTGATGAGTAGTGATGGGTATTTAATTTCACTCAGTTCCTTCAGATCACTTCTTCGTGGGCTGAAGCAACGAAGCCCCATTGGGGGTGCTGTCAGTGCATGTGGCCAAGTTCAATCCAGGAAGTGCTGTTTAAATGAAAAAGGGAGGGTAAAATAATTATAAATTCCAGTTTCGACAAAAATAATGGAGTCAGATTCATCGTCTTATAAAAAAAATGTTCCGACATTATTGGGATCAAGAAGCACTTATCTTCAGAACACATATTTTGGGGGTGGGAAAATACCCAAAAAAATGTATTTTAACGCTCTTATATCCAATTATACTCCAAAGCATAACATCAAAGAGATAACTTCATACGACTTAATTTCAATATCATGGAAGCATCATAACCGCGGAACGGAAAATTGAATAAAAATCCAAGAATGTATTTTAGGGCTCTTATTTGATCAAACTCCGAAGCATATATAACGTCAAAGAGATGAACACGTCCAGGGGCGGACCCAGGGGGTTTAGGGGTGTCCCCGGACACCCCTAAATTTTGGGAAAACGATTATCCAACCCCGGTGGTAATTTACGTATGGACAAAAAAAAATATAATTGATAGTGAGGGACACCCCTTAAATTTGAAAAAATGATTATCCTACTGTCGTTTGTGTATAGGAATATAAGTGGTAAGTTGGATAATTCAAATCTAGAACACTATTATTATTAATAAACTTAATTTCCGTTGAGCTAAACTCATTTGTTGTTCGATTTTGAACAATGTGTAATAGTAAAATGGCATTCCCTATCTCTAACAATTAAACTAATTTCAAACTACCCTGAATTTGTATTGATTTTATGATTGTACGACAAGTGTTGAAAGAGTCTTTTAGCTTTGGGTTACATCAAGAACAAGTTTACAAATCGAATATGCGATAAGTTCGTGAATGATTGTCTAGTAGTGTATATAGAGACAATTTTTTTAACACTATAGACACCAAGTGTATTCTACAATTATTTTCGAATATGAAAACACATCATAGACTTTTTTAACCTGTACGAGTAAGGTATTTTTACAATTTTATTTTTATTAATTATTTTTATTTTTATTTAATTTATTTTTAAAAGAGGACACCTCTATGAAAAATTTATGGGTCCGCCACTGAACACATCATACGGATTTTACTATCATGTAAACACTGTAACCCTTAAATATTGAGTTCAAATCCAGTGAACTCCATAGTAGACCCTTCCTCGTTGAAACATAAGCAAATGATCGAGCAAAAATGAAAGATCGATCCACGCTAACTCCATAATTTTACCACCCGTTATTTTGATCGGTTTGTTTTACCCAATCTTCTGGCATTAGGACAGTGAAACACATGAAAGTAATTAATTGAAGAGCGACGTCAACTCCATTGATGAAGGTATCGAAAGTACAATAACAGAGAGCTCTTCCATGGTCTTTTTTTCTTCTTCTTCTTCTTACCAAGTAGTGACGAAAGACAGAAATTGATGAGAGATGGGAAAGGTCAAAATCACCCAACAAGAGATAATAATAATAATAATAATAAAATAAAAATCTGTTTTTGTCCCTAGCAGCCATTTTCTCCCCCATCGCCTAATCAAATCATAACAAACCCAAAAAGCCCTCTTTCTTTGAACTACAACAGAAGATATCGAAGTTTCACCATAAACAATCAAATCCCTACACGTATGCCAAAATATCTATAGGGGGAAACAGCAAGGTTATTAAATATTAATCAATGAGAGATCACCAATAAGATTTGACAAATCTGTTCAACACGTGTGCATGCATGGGGTGCATGTGATTCTGATTAGCGATTTGTCTTGTCATTGCTTAAAAGAGCTAGGTTGGTTGACCAATAATCCATTTTGAATAATTGGATCCCATAAAATTCCAACCTTATCATCATTATGCATTTAACATATCTCAAATCATGGTGAATGACATATATATATATACTATTCATTATTAGCTAGGGGGTGGTTAATTTGCTTCACATTTGGTGGTAATAAATAGGGTCGGTTCAGAACCAAACCAGATCGAATAATTTGTATGATTTGAATTGGAGATGTAAGAGAAAATGAGAATTATGAATAGAATCAGATCAAAATAAACTAATCATTCGAACGTGAGACGGCTTGTTCGGTTCGAACGTGGGCCTCTTATTCTTTGACTTTTAAGTGGATTTATTTTATGGAATAAAAAGAAACGAAAAATTAATCACGGATTTGAGAAATCAAATTATGTTTGATCTCAGTGTATATGATTTGATCCTCGGGTAGACTTCGTTTTAACAACACGCGAGATATTCTGTGGGCACGGAAAGTTCTCCTTTTCTTCAAACGAACCATAGGTGCATGGCGTATACATCATCGATGGTCATAAGATCTTACAATAGGTTGTAGCAACCAACACACATCTGTCATTCGATTGTGCGCAGTTCTTTTGCAACATGGTTTCGAATGTTAGGAGGTCCACTTCTCTGAAATTCAAATTAAACATGAATGTTGCACTTGTTACCTTGCTCACATACAAAGTTATGTTCCCAAACCCTTGAGTCCCCATGATCACTTATTCACTTAATGCTCTAGGCCTCTAGTGTCTATGGAAACCCTTAATTGATAGGTTTTTTTTTTTTTTTTTTTTTTGCCTCGTATCCCAAGCCGTGTGTCCTCCGCGTTAAGAAGTACTAAAAAGAACATTTTCAGAGATTTAGAAAATGACATTGTAATTGTTTGTTCTTTAATAAGGGCACCCACTCCCTAAAATTTAAGGCATATGCTAGCTAACTATACATGTAGAGGCACATATATAATACCATCACTTGTCCCATCCAATAGACCGATAGACACAAGCAAAAGCTAATTAAGGAAACCGTTGGGAGTCACAAGAGACCAGAAACAACCCCACTCTCCATATCAACACAATCCTCCATCATCCATTCTCTTCAATGAGTTAAGAAGTGTAGCTACATAAGTGGTCACTAAAATTTAGGGTAACTAACAAACAATCCCTTGATTTTTTTAATAAGTATATGAGTAGTGAGTAAGTTTGACATAACTTATATATGTATATAACAATCAATCGGTCTGATTATGTCGGTATTCTATCCAAATTTCTAAATTAGTGATACGAAAGGCTCTTGTGGACCCTAGTTGCTTAACTGACATGAATAACTTGTACTAACTTTAACTCTGTGTATGTCGAACTCGTTACTCAATCCGAGCTCAAAACCAACGCAGTCGATCTCCGATACCTACCTGATAGCGCACTCGAGGGTTGTTTTTCCTTGTTATTTTGTTTAGCGAAATCACATCCAAACTCGAAACCAACATGGTCTCTTCCGCTAGCTAGAGGGCGTGTGTCGCCTTTTCAGTTATTATGCTTAGTGAATTCATGCATTATACGAACAATTTGAACTAACCCGGCTAGTTTCTTGTCTTTCTTAGTTATTCCAAACTCCATTGACAAGTTCGTTCAAGAGTCGAGTTTGGTGATTGATTTGTCATTGTTCAAAAATTTGAAGACCATTTCATGTAATTGACCCCTTGTACAACCCCCCTCTCTCTCATACACTGTACATGAATTCCCTAGCCCCTTCTTTCTTAGGACCACCACTAGAAAGATATACGATATGGTACAATTTAGGAAGAGGACAAGAAGCATTTGGCAACACTATAATAATTATGTTCATCAGGCTATCTAGAATGATCATTACCATTGCTAATCTATCACCCAAATTATCAAACATAACAAAAATTTTATTTCCCATTTGAAATAGACAGAAAAATTCACCGTCTACATCAATAACTAATTCACTCGTTACGCGAAGAGATCAACAACAAATCGACCACAAAAGAATACGTGAACTTATGATCACAAGTCTCTAGAGAGGTAACATTAATGAGGTAAAAAACTGATGGATGAAGATACTTTTTACCAGCTGTAAATTGTACCACTGATAATTACATGTGCGAAGAGAGTAGGGTAGTTGGGTTACATAGAAGCATTTAAGAGAGCTGTCTTCTGGGTGGTTCCTCTGCTTCCCTATCCCTACTACTGTTTCTGATCTTTGCTTAGCTCTACTCATACAATGACATACAACTAGCTGCCCCAACCATATATGCACTTTCTTCATACTATATATACCTTCTAAAAAGTTATGGGGTAGGGGAAGAAATGAAAGTTAGAGTGGTTTCGAGTAATGTGGGTAGGAATTAGGTCGAGCAACGTGTTTGTTTTGAGCTAGAAATGTGTTAAAACGGGTCATCGATCCATGTCACCAGCTTGTCAAGGGTTGGGTGCTCATGAGTCCTAAATTAATCTGTTTGAATTGACACACTAATCAGGACGATTTGCATGAAACTTTTGAAATGAGTTGAAGTGGGTTAATATAAGTGGTTTTTAGGTAATGTGGGTTGGAATTAGGTCGCAAAACACGTTTGGTTTGAGTCCGAAAAACTATATTAGTTAAAAATCCATTTTATTGTATAATAAGGACTTTACATGATAATGAGGCTTATATCAATCTGACTAAATCAACATGCTAATATCGAGTCTGGACTATTCGAAGTATATAGAGGCATGACGAAGAAGGACGTAATGACACTATTGTATTAGTCAAGCTTCAATGACCAATTTGTTAACGACCTCAAAGTTCAGTGACTGAATCGACACACTAATCTCGAGTCTGGATGATCCGGAGGAAGAGGCATGACAAAGATGGACGTAGTGGCACTGTTATATTAGTCGAGCTTCCAATGACCAATTTGTTAGTGACCTCAAAGCTTAGTGACCATTATGTAATTTACCCTCCTCCTAATTATAATTCTCTCTCAACATTTCCTCACTTGTGTATAAATACACAAAGACAGTCACACTTTTTCCCTCCTCAACCCTCTCACCACCAGAAACCTCTCCCTTTCTTTTCCCCCCCACAAGCTTGGATTGCATAAAAATGGCGGTTTCAAGGACAAGAAGAAGCAGCCATTTACGTTACATGAATCTCTTGTCTTTCTTCTTCTTCCTCCATTGCTGTCAGTGTCACTCCCATGGGCTAACCAGCGAGCAGGAACTTGACAGAATCTCTGCCCTACCGGGCCAGCCGCCGGTCACATTCTCTCAGTTTTCCGGCTATGTCACCGTCAATGAACAACACGGCCGCGCATTGTTCTACTGGCTCACTGAGGCCGCCGGCGCCGCTTCTCCTAGATCCAAGCCCCTCGTCCTTTGGCTCAATGGAGGTCAGTAATTAGTTCCCCTCTATTGCATTATGCAATACTTTAGTTCTGTTGTTTTTCGTATTAATAGATGATTGTTGATCTCAAAGTTAGAACGAAGGACATGTCGGTCACTAATTCTCGTGTTTGTCATTTTGATTTTCGGGTTTTCTCTTTGTATTAACTCCGAGTAGTAGACCGACATTATTTATAGAAACAAATTCACGCTATCTTGTCTACCGAGTCTTAAAAATTATTACGATTTTTTTATGTAATACGAACTTGATTTCACGGTTCGTAGTATGTTCCACCGATTTTTTGAGGACCTTCTTTTACTCGATGAGACACGAAATCATGACCTTAAAGTTGCTTATGATGATAAATCGTTTAACTTCAACCTGAAATTTTCGGAAGGGTTGAACTAGTGACGAGGTAGTAAAAGGTTAATTAATTCATTGTGAGGTTAGAACATCAATAAATGGTAAATCATTCAACATTGTTTCTAGACAATTTTTTCTGATGTTTGACTGAAAATTCTCAGTCATGGGTTGAGTTTTGACCGGCGAAAATAATTGGAGAGTGGCCATCTGGGGACTGAATTTGTATGGGGAATTGGCAAAGAGCACTCTTTTTTCTTTTGGATGGGACTCACAATAATAAATGTAGGCATGCAAGGAAGACCAAAAGGGCCATCTTCCATTATTAACTTTCTTTACTCATAAAAAGCAATCTAAACTTACACCACTCCTCTATTCAATTGTGCAAATTTATAGACATTTTCATGTATACTAGCCTACTTCGCGATCATTGGATTGCGAACTTTCATTTTACAGCCGTTAGATGTATACGATGACAATTGTCTTTGTAAATAATTGTCACTGTGAGCATCCAACGGCCATTAGAGGGTTGGGACCGTAGCTGAATTTGGATGGTTGGACAAGAGAAACAACAAGGGGGTGGTTGTGTCACTATCAGAATTTTGGGGGAGTGAGAAGGGAAGAAAAGAAAAGATGGGTGATGGAACAGAAACAAAAAAAAAAGAGATGAAATCGAAGAGATAGTTTTTCACATGTGGGTACTGTTAGTACTATTACTACAAATCTCTGCAATACATATTTGCTCCTCGTGATCTTCCTGCTCTCGATCTCTCTTTTTCTTTTTATTCCTTTCTTCTTCATTCTCTACTTGACTTATGATGTATATGATGATCACTTTTATTCCCTTTTCTAGAATACAAAGTTGAATCATATACAACTTATCCATTATCTTGATTTTTTAGGGAAAAAGCCCTTTTGTAGGGTAGTCAAAATGGAATAGAACAGAAATGGCCAAGATGGAAAGTTAAACCAACTTGTTCTTGTGTGCATAGTGGTAGAGCTTTGGATATGCACCAAGAAACGCTAAAATGGGGTTACGAATTCGTTGTCTAACTAACTCATATGCGTATTGTTAACTAATTTTGATACCAGAAGCTCACATGGATTGTGCTTTAGAGAGAATAAGTTAAAAAGACTCCGAGCTCGATGCTACTACTCTGTTTCAAAAATGAATTTTGGGGTGAAGATACTTCCCTCTCTTGTCACTTTCACTTTGTGTTGAATCTTATGCAACCCTTTTGCTCCTCCCTTCTCAAAAAAATTTCTACCAAAAGGAACTTTCTAGCTTGTGCCTTGTTCTTTTGCTAATGGGGCTTGTGGGTCTTCTATGCAAGTTGACTTGTAGAGAGAGAGAGAGAGAGAGAGAGAGAGAGAGAGAGAGAGAGAGAGAGAGAGAGAGAGAGAGGCCAAGCTTGGGTCCATCCTATAGAAGAAAGCTAGAAAGAGCTGGTTTTTTACTGTTCATTGTTGATTGCTTGCTTGGATTGGAGCACGCGCATTGGAGGAAGAGAGGATTGGCCATAGAAGTGATGATGGGTTTGCCTTTGGTTGTGAGTGTGTGACCCAGAAATGGAGGAAACAAACCACACATCACAAATCATTAGAGGAAAGACCCCCCAAATAGGGAAAAGAAAGAATGTAGGGTAAGAAGGAAATAACAATGATGATAATAATTCTCATGTGATGCACCTACCAAAATGTTTGCTTAATCATTTGCTCAAAAGGGTCACCACCCTTTTGTGTTAAATGTTTTTATTATGTCAAATAGTTAGTCAAGATATTCATGTGATCGATTGACATTCGTCTGTATTTTAAAGAAACAGATCTCTCGTACTATCTTAATTCGTTTAATGTGATTTTTAATACATTTTTTTATAGAGATATTCTCGTAGGTGTAAGTTACAAAAGGTCGAATCATTGACAATAGAACATGTTTTGCCCTACTACTTAAATGCTATTAATTCTATGTTTTTACGAGTTCGTTGGATATTCACGAGAATGGAGTTTGTAACCTTCCAATGACTGGTTTTGTATAATTCACATGGCAAATTGAGTATAGATCTAAGATATTGTATATATTTAACCTACTTGTACAAATTTTCACTCTCTTTAACTACTAAGGTTAATTTTTCCTACTTTTTTCACAGCCTCTAGCTGAGGTATAAAATCCAAGTATAGTTCCAGTTGTGTCACACCTTCTGACTTTGTACTCTAGCCTTTTGGATTGTTTCTCTTTTCTTGATGTTGGGTTGCTTTCCAAATCTGTCCAACTGTGGTGAAAAAAAAAAAGGTACTTTTATGGATGACCTGGAAATTTTGATGTCATGTGTGTAAAAACGAAAAAAAAAAAACAAATTGCAGGACCAGGCTGTTCATCAGTAGCCTATGGAGCTTCAGAAGAGATTGGTCCCTTCAGGATTAACAAAACTGCTTCTTCCCTCTTCCTCAACAAGTACTCTTGGAATAGAGGTCATTATCAGTCCTCTTAATTTCCCTTTCTGCCCCTTTTGGTCCCTTAAGAATAAATAATAATGATGTATATCTGTTGGGTGCTTACAGAAGCAAATATTCTGTTCCTGGAATCACCAGCTGGAGTTGGATTTTCCTACACAAACACAAGCTCTAACCTCAAAGATTCTGGTGATGCAAGGACGGGTATATTTACCATTACATCACCATATTAATTTTTTTCTTTACTTGTTTGACCCAACTTTATATATGCAATAATAACTTTTTTTTGTCTAAAGTTCTGTTAGTTTAATAAAATGTTTCTCTCTGTGACACAGCTCAGGATGCTTTGGTTTTCCTCCTCAGATGGATGTCAAGATTCCCTCAGTACAAGCACAGAGAGTTCTACATCTCTGGCGAAAGTTATGCCGGTAATAATCTATCGTAAAATACTACTTCGTACAATGTCGTTTATTCGTTTGTTAAGAGTAACACTTAAAATAGTCCTTTTATTAGTAGAGTTCTTCCGTGTTGTCTAGAATCATTGCTTGCTTGTACGACACATGTGTCGACAAAAATAACATAATGTAACGTAGAAAACTAAACATACAACATAACGTTGTTGGAACTCAAACGACGGAGATGTGAGTCATTGACTAACGTGTGTACTAAGCATGAATTTCGTCGAAACATGTATGTTTTGTCATTGTAGGACACTATGTACCTCAGCTAGCAAAGAAAATCCACGACTACAACAAAGCACACTACTCCAACAAAAAGCCCATCATCAACCTCAAAGGAATCATGGTAATAATGTGTCTCGATTTGCCCCAAAGTTCAAACTCAGCTCGACTCGATTTATAACAAATTTCGTTACACATTTATCGCGACACATATGCAGGTAGGTAACGCCGTGACGGACAACTACTACGACGGGATCGGCACGGTGACCTACTGGTGGACACACTCCATGATCTCCGACCGAACCTACCGATCCATCCTCAACCACTGCAACTTCGCGGCGGAGAAAACCTCGAAGCAGTGCGACGACGTGGTGGGGTACGCGATGAACCACGAATTCGGCGACATCGATCAGTACAGCATCTACACTCCTTCGTGCAAGCACCCCAAGAGCAACGAGAACGTGACAAGCAGTAGATTTCTCCGGATGAAGAGCACGGTGCTTCACCGGCCCATTTCGGGGTACGATCCTTGCACCGAGAGCTATGCCGAGAAGTATTATAATCGGCGGGATGTGCAGAAGGCAATGCACGCCGATGTGCCTGGAATTCCCTACAAATGGACTGCTTGCAGGTACGATTTTCTACTTTTGGGGTACTGAAATGGTTAGGAGATGATGTTAAGGGACTGAACCTGTAATTTGGGGTGGATATGCTGCAGTGATACGCTGATCAGGTACTGGAAGGATTCTGATTCTTCAATGTTACCTACTTACAAGGAGCTGGTGGCTGCTGGTTTGAGGATCTGGGTTTTCAGGTAAAACTTTTCGATGAAAATGATCGTTTTGTTACGAGTTGAAAGTTGCGTTAAATGTGACTATTTTGTGCAAATGCTAAAGTTATGTAGCCATTTTGGATAGTTGAACCAACATTTCAGACTGTCGGCTGAGGCAAATTAAACAAAATAGTTGAATGATTTTCTTTTTGCAAATTCATCCAGAATTTTGCATGGTGGTTGTTCTTGTGTATAAATAAAAGGAAAGGGATGGAAAGTCTCAGTCTGCAGTGTCTCATCAGTAGTCATCTCAAGGAGAGTCCCCCTTAGTCATTCCTTGCTGAAAACCCTATCCATTTCCATCATTCAATGCACACATTATCATCTATTATGTATTGAGTACGAAAAAACCGTGTTTATGATACTGTACCGTATTATTATTTTTACTGTTTAATCCATGTAGCGAAGAACAAATCAGTATGATTTTATCATGCTTACTCTATGTAGTATACTTTGAATCTCAAAATTCACCACTTTGATCATATTTTGACAGTGGGGATACAGATTCAGTAGTGCCAGTGACAGCAACAAGGTTCTCGCTCAGCCATCTCAACCTCACAGTCAAAACCAGATGGTATCCATGGAAATCTGGAAATCAGGTGGGGTGAAAATTGCACATAATGTGGTAAAAGCTCCCTTCTGCCACCCATAAAATCAACCTTCTCACTTTCCCCTCCTATTTTACAGGTTGGGGGATGGACAGAAGAGTATGAAGGGCTGACTTTTGCAACAGTGAGAGGAGCAGGGCATGAAGTGCCACTACTTCAACCCAGAAGGGCTTTCATTCTGTTCAGATCATTCTTAGCTGGGAAACAACTACCAAGATCTTGACATTTCTCCACATAAAAAAAGCTACATAAACAATTGATCATATGTATGTACAAGGAGAAAAATGAAAAAGGAGGGATCTTTGCCAATATACTGTTGAGCTTTGTGGAGCAATCCAGAAAAAAGCTCTGCTAGAAATTTCTGTGTTCCACAAGTAAAGAGAGAAAGTAGGGTTATGTTATGAGGGGTCAGCTAGGAAGCAAGATGAGATAGTAGGATCATTCATTGTTGAGAAGAAGTAGGGTAACTCTTGTCTATCTGTTTGATGATACTCACAAAAGTTGGTACCATCTGTCTGCACTTTTATCCTTTCTTCCTTTTCACTCGAGTGAAAGATGAATTATTTGAGACATACACTGACCTTTTCTATTACTAACTTTGGGGCGAATTAACTCGCAAATCTAGACAATTTAGATGGAAAACCAAACATCGATAGATAGAAAAGCGACTGCTATGTTGGTAATTTCAGGCTTCATCGGCAAAATTTGTTAGGAATCAGCATGTAGTGGCTGATTTGATATTTATGCCAATTGCCAAAGCATACTGACCACTTTCTGTAATTTACCTTCTCCTACTCGTTGTCAAAGATGAAGGCTAGGAGATAGTTCTTAATACAGATAAACAACCTGAAAGGCTGAAACAGCTGCAGATATGAATATGGCAGCAGTTCTGATGAATGAAAACTATACCACCTTGGAATATTTCTTATCTATAGCAACAATTAGGGAGGAGATAAACACCGAATCTCAGATTCACTAATTACTCTGATTCAATAACGTAAACATCATTCAGGCGAATAAGATCGTAAACCTCTATCCATCATACAAATCAATCTCTAAAAGGGATCCATAGGAGAAAACTTATCATTGCAGGAGATCAAAGTGCCACCTTTTTACTTTAGTCCGTCACCAAGACCTGGAGGCATCCCTAAGCTTTGGGCAAGATCGCTCATTCGCTCTTTCATGGCCTGAAAAGGCAACAAAGGATAAGTTTTCGTTTTGTTTTACAGGGAGAGGAACAGGATTTTCTTAGCAAATGATGAAGGGATGTTTACCAAGACGCTCTTCTGGTGTGCTTCCTTGTATGCCTCCGTGACTAAAAGTGAGAGTTTCTGCAGTAGAGAACAAGCATTTCCATCATTCATTATGATCACTCGACGATGTTAAATAATCTCGATACACTCGAAAGCAAAGTTGCAGCTTTGCTGGATCAACTGGCATACATCCATAAAGGCTCAAATGGGTTCTTTGAACAAGAACTTGGAATACTCACCTCTGCGCCTAATTCCATGGCGGCTTCAGTGATCTCTGTGCGTATTGGCTGTTGGTTCCCCGATAATGTTACCTAGTAAAAACATCCCAGAGAAAACGACTATTATTGGCAAACCAGTCTTAGCAAAACTTTCAGATAAAAAGTCAAAATACCATATACAGCATACCTTGATTAGCTCGCCTTCACAGTAACCATCAAATTCTGCACTGCGAAGACAGAAGAAAAGGACAAAACGTCAAAACTGAATACTGAGTGATACATATGCAAGTAAACAAAAGTGAAAGCTTTGTTTGTGTCATCGCACTTACGCAGCAAGTTCCTTTTGCACACGAACAGCCTCAACTTGGACAACCATCTGTGCCTTCTTCACTGTCTCGTACAAGTTTGCCATGTTCCCCAGGATGCCTGCCTAAAGCAGCATAAACAAATGTTAGTCTCATAATGATTGAATCAACAAACATAGCTCATAGTTCATAGGTTGCTAGAAGGGGATATGGTTCTCTCCGTTCATACATAACTACGATCTGATTAGTCACATTCAGGAAAAACTTATGAGCTCCATATATTGTTCAGCAAGACAGAAAGTGTGAAATGTCCGACCTTTGAAGCTCCATCATCGCCCTTATCACCATCCTTCTTTCCTCCAAATAGACCTTGTACTCGGAGAGATCGATGACTAACCCGAGATCTTTGTGTGCTTGGCCATGATACAGCCAGCTTACCAAGTGAACTTGCACTGAAGTTACCTGTAATCAGGCATTGCATAAGAAAATGTTACCATCCTTCAACGATAAGGGGCCACATGAATGTACTATATATGATTCCACAAAACAAGCTTGCAAGTACGGAGCCCGTGAACCCAAACAGGAATAACCACCTCCACCATCCATCTCCAAATTCCATCAGAAACCAAACTTTGCGAGAGTGAGGGTGAACACAACAAAGCCACAACAACAAATTCGAGTAAAAGCAGCAACCAATTTCGACGAACAACACAGCTTCCCGCTTCACAAAAGCTGCCAAAAACGCATCTCTAACAGAGATGCGGCATCCCCCACATAATCCGCCGCAAGCTCAATACCCACCAATCTTTTATGAGAACCATCTTAACTAAATTCCGTAATTCCAAAAAAGTTTAGTCTTTACTCATCCGGGCAACCGCCATTTAGCCTCGGGAACCGAGCTCAGCACAACCGAATCAATAAAAGGGGAAAGGGGAGAGAGAGAGAGAGAGAACGGCGCTAACCTGCGGGAATGGAGGATGCCCTTCTCCAATCGCAGAGTCCCTTAACGTTTGACAACTGAGCTGACACCGCACTCGTCGACGCCATTTCTGATTTTCCCGGCAGCGATAGAGAGATGGAGAATGGAGATAACTGAAGGGGGATTTTTTTTTTTCTCTCAAGAGGATAGAGTGCGAGTTTTCATCGTTTTGTCTCCCTTTCTCTGTTTATTTTTTCCAACCTGGGCTCCAGAGTCTGGGCCTTTATGCAAGCCCAATAGAAGGACGTGATCGAGCTACTACTCGATCCAATAGCTCCTGCGGGTTTAAGAAGAAGGATACATCTCAAATTGTGAGTGTAATCGTGCTAATTACTGAAAATCATATCCTACTCTGATTTTAGTCGACGAATATGATGATTGGAGTTTATCGTAGTTTTGATTTTTTATTGTGAAAAAAGGTTTCGATTTATCCTAGTTAGATTGGAGAGGCTAATGCGCTAGATGTGTGTTGTTGTACAACTCTCTCAGTAATAATGTAAAGCTATAAAGTACCGCAGGTAAGTTGTAAGTTAAAACTATGCGGTGCCAGGCAGTGTATCGGGGGCTCTCGTTCGAGATTCAAGGGCTCTCGTTCTAAACATAAGACATGTCCCAAGCTATTTGATGTCGAGAAAGTCCGAACCGTTTCGAGTTGAGAGCATTAGAGCAACCCATTTCTTGTGAGCAAGTAAGGTAAAACCGTAAAAGTGCCATCCCTATCTTGGAGACAGAGAAGGCAGAAAACATAAACGCCAAAACTGGAAAAAAAAGCCACAAGCAAGCCAGCTTTAATTTCCCCATCTATTGTGATTCATTATGTCACGCATGATCAACCCAATAAATAAAGATGACCAATAGAAGGTGCTTTCCATGAATGTATAGATGCCACATTTCCTTTGTCCCTATCCTTCCTTTGCCCAAAACATGGTGATGGCTGGTCTAGATATATTGCTGCAACTTGCAATAAAAAGCCTTGGAACTTGATGGAGGCAGAGAGATAAGGCAGATGTGGGAATCTGCAGGGAGAGAAAGATATCTTCTGGGAATGATATCCATGCCTTATTTCCCAAGCTCAATGTGGTGCCCTGTCTAGTGGGAATACTGTGGGATTTTGAGCACTGAGAGTTGAAACCACCCTTTTCAATGACTCTAATGGTGATGGAGGAAATGGAGGAAATGGCTTATGGATTATGCATATCCAGTGGATAGTTATGGTTAGGATTGAGCTGGTGATTTATGGCTGAGGGTTGCTGTAGTAACTAGTTATGTACAAAATTCTTGAACTGGAACATTGTTAATCGACGATGTAAACAATGCACAATAAGGTTGACATGATAATGGCATATAGAGTATCGAAATTGCATATTAATGTGTTTGATGTTCGAGAAGAGTCATAGAATTTTAGAAAATTGGTAGATTCAATCTCTTACCCTGTTCGTGTTAGTTCACATTGACTCACAACATCTGATGTTGGTTGCTATCCGCCCGTGTGAACTCTCTTGCAAAGGTTGAACTTTTAGTAATAGTACATGCGGCTTCGAACTGGCTATTAGTCTTTCGCTTGCTACTCTCGAGTAGATCCCAGTGTCCCAATTTGAAAACTACAAGATACTATGTTTTCCATTCTTGCAATTTTCGAGGAAAACACTTATGAGCATACTTATTCTTCTATGATGATTTAAGTGTACCCAAATTGTGGTTCTCCCGTGAATTTTTTCGTTTATAATGGAATTCAACAAGAATTCATCTCAACAGCTGACACAAAATAACAACGATCCACGATCAAAGTATTTAAGCTCATAAAGTTTTAAAGTTGATTAACTGTTAAAGAATCAAATTTTAATGACAAATACGTAATTTCAACTAATTAATTATTCCCAAAAAAAAGAAGGAATGAATCAGACTTTTTCCAAACAGAAAATAAGGATTTCTAGTTGAAAAGGCCAAGCAAAGAAAGGGAGATTGCAAGAAAAGAGTAGATAAAGGAAAAGGAAAGATGGAACAGAAAGATAAGACTCATAAGTCATAAGAGGAAAGGGTTAGGGGAGTAAATGCACATGGAAACTGACCTTAAACAACCAACAATTGTTGTTTACTGATAAATACAATGCCATAACAGCATCTTCCTCCCACCTAGCAATGAATGTTGCACAACAAGAGAGAGAAATGGTGAAAACTTTGAGGAACAGTCCAAAAATCCAAAAGGAGAGAGAGAGAGAGATCTGGCCACCAAGAAGAACAACAACAGAACAGCAAACATCACAGAAAGAACAGAAAAAGCTTCTCCACCATTGCCACCTCCTCCCCTGCCCTCTCCATATCCTTCCATCATCATCATATTTTTAAATTTGTTTCACTTTTGCAGCCACCCCTGCTTTGCTTTTATCATCCAGCCACCACCCCTTTCTCTCTCTCATGAAAGAGTCCACAAGCAAATCCCCCCTCTTTCAGCTTTCTCTGTCTAGCTTCAATGGCCCAGCTGGACCAAGACTTGAGCTTTGAGAGGAAAGGAAGAAAACCCACCAAATGGAAATTGAAAACAAATTTGCCCTTCTTCTCTCTAGGCAAGATGATTGGGAAAGGTTAGAGAGAGAGAGAGAGATTGTAGGATGGTATTTCAGCTGTTTGTCCTCCTCCATCCAACCATACCCACCATCATCTCCAACAACAAAAAAGAAGCCAAGCACTCAATTCAATTCAACTCTCTTCTCTTCTGTTCCCATCTCCCAACAAACAAAAAACCACCACCCAAAATAAATGGAGAGGTGGGTATATCCCAGAAATGCCCTTCTGCAAACCCCCAAAAGATCCCCATCTTCATCACTACTACTATTGCTTTGCTTCTCCCTCTTCTCATACAATCACACCACCTCTACTACTCCTCCTACTGCTGCTGTCTGTCACAAACAAAAATTAAAGAAAGAAACTTTAAACCCCTCTTCCCACCACCACCACCAAGAAATTTTATTTCTTTTTCCCTTCACAAGCCGAATTATGTGGGCTTCTTTGGGTTTTCTTCTTTGTCCTGGTCAGAGTTTTTCACCAGAGAAAACAGGGAAAAGGAAAGCGAGAACCTTCTCACCTTCCCACCCCCATTTCCCCTCCCTTCCTCCCTTATCTCTTTCACTCTCCTTCCCCTTTTTCTTCTTTCTTGTCTCTCTCATTCTCGCCTTCATTTCTCTTCCTCTCTCCCTCTCTTACCCTCCCTTCTTTTCCGTTCTTCTTCCTTCTCCTTGCCCTTTAGATCTTGTATTGGTTTGATCTGGGAAGCTACATGAAGAAGATGAAAGGTGTTGCTGCTGCTGTGGTTGTGGGATCTTCTCCTTCGCCGTATGCCGTGGCAGCTGCTGCTGGAGCTGGTTATGATGATCCCAGGATTAGGTTCAAGCACGAGAGCCTTATGCAGGACTATGAGGAATTGCTCAAGGTATTCCGCTTTTCTTCTAGGGTTTCTTTCATATGTTTCGATCATTAGATCCGCGTTTGGTGTTTTTTTCTTTGGTGGGTGTGTGAAATCGTATGTTCCCTGGATCTGGGTTCCTGCAGATTGCTTGGATTTTGGGGGGTTTCATGATTTAGTCAGAAAGATTGTGTTTAGGAGCAAATGATATTGATTGGGGGAAAGGGGGAATTCTATTTTTGAGTCTGTGATTCCCCATGGCTTCTGAAATCCCAGAATTTATGCTGCTAATTCACATCACAGCCAAGGCTGAGCAACAAGCTCCTTCATCCTGCTGTATGGATGGGGTGATGAGTCCGAGTTGTAGTATGTGATTTCTATATGTTGTTCAGATTACTGTGAATAAGTTAGCTTAAGCTCAAATTGAAGTATGGATTAGCTGATTATCATATTTTCATGTTATTAGTTGTTTAGTACTTTGTAATTCAGTATAAAGATGTTACCTTTGTACAAATTCAGCTAATTTTCTAGTGTTAAGACCTTTTTTCTCATTAGTGTTTCACTGAAACAACATTCTAAGCCTTTTGAATCATTCATTTATCAGGAAACAGAAGCGAAGAGGAGGAGGTTGGAGATGATGAAGCAGAGGAAAATGACACTAATGGCTGAAGTGAGGTGTGCAATCAACTCATGTATTCTTCTGTGATAAATTGGGGTTTGTAATTGTTTGTATGCGATAAGGTTCTAACAGTTCAGCTATTTCTGCAGGTTCTTGAGGCGTCGGTTCAAGTATTTGACTGAAAACCAGACTCAGAACCTTAAGCGGGAGCAAAAGCTCTTGCCATCACAGACCACAGTGATCAACAAGAGCAAGAAAGTGAGGAACAACAAAGGAACTAACTCTAGTAACCATGAAACTCCTGCTTCTTCTTCGAGGCAGCCTGCTCCGAAGTTCGATTTGAACCGGAAAGGAAGGGTTTATACTGAGAAGGATTCCGTTGCAGCCCGGGTTTCAGCAGCACCGTCGATTGACTTGAACCAGAAGCAACAGAAGTCCTCTCACATGGGAAGAGAAGCTGCCATGAGGAATTCCGGGGTGATTCCTGACCTTAATGAGAAGGAAAGGATGTTAGGAGGGAAGGATGCTGCTGCTAGAAACAATGCTCCATTCTTCGACTTGAACCAAATCTCGGTAATAATCATTTTGTCACTCCGTAACAAACATTACTTCAGTCCAATTAAATAAGGTTTTAGCGGCTTATACGTTCTTGAATTCCTTTTGCAGACTGAAGAGGAAGAATTACAGACAAACGGAGAGATGATGACAACAATGAGAATAGAGGAACCAAGGATAATAAGTACATTGCGTGGTGGAATCATCGAAGAACAACACAGCAACGACTTGAAGTTGTCAGCCTGTAGGAACATAGGGAACGTGCCAAGCCGGGCTGGGAAGAGGAAGATATCATGGCAGGATCCCGTAGCTTTAAGAGTGTGAGGGTTTTCTTTTCTGCCTAATGAAAAGATTACATAATTCTTTACTACCTTCCTCTTAAGCTGGTTTTTTTCACCTTGTTATAGCCAGAACAAAACCCCTAGATGAGAGAATCCACTTCATTGTAAAGTAGAAAAAACAATTCCATGATATAGCATATATGATCATATCTCTTCACAGCTCATTGAGCACCACAAGGACCCGATTCTAGGAAGTGTCAACACTCTGCCATTCTGTACATCTGTTCTCCAACTCCGATGCAGCTGACAGAATCAACTGCATTGGTTTTAATCTTGTGATTACACTCATCGATGCCTTGGTAATGCCATGGTTTGATTGCCTTCAGCGTCAGCTTCCTCCATTTCTGCAGTGACTTCTTGTTCTGTGGAAGGGAAGTTGTGATGTTGCTTTCTGTCTGGTTGCTTACCTCCACGCAAACTGCCCGCTGGGTTGCTTGAACTTGAAGGAAAGTAACTACCCTTTTCTTAAGTGCACAAAAGAACAAAAGTTGGAGTTGGGAAAGAAGGGGAAGGAGAGCGGCTTAAGAGGGAGGTTTTCGTTGTGCTGTCCATTAGAAAAGGGTAAGGAGACTGCTGCATTGGTTTGATTGGCTGTGGGGCAATGTAAAGTTTTCTTCTTTTGGTGGGTGGAGACTAGAGAGAGAGAGAGACTTTTGGAGGACTGGTTGTTTTCCTTCCAACCCAAAACAGCAGGAAGGAAAGATGGTGGTGAGAGTCACTGTTGTTTGCTTTTTGTGATGGGAAAGAAGGGAGAGGAGGAAATGGTGGAGCTTGCCTGCCCACTACTACCAAAGGATTTCATTTCTACCTCTTGTGTGCTACTTTGCCACAAATGACAATACATATTGGTTACCATGGATGACAAATGTTGCCTTGATCCAACTTCCATATAGGAATACAAAATATCTACACACCATTCTGCCTTGAGTTTTGGCCTCTCACAAAATCTACACACCTTAGTCCTCACGAGATAGTGTTGTTAAACAAACAATCGTATTAGAGTAGGTTGCAACCTTTTTTACACAAAACGACCATCTCTTCTTATCAGGTACTATAAAATGAAAACAATACATGAAAAATATTAGATTATCGGGAGTACGAGGATAGGTGTTTGCTGTCTAGATAGTGGCATCTTAATATTTGAGTTTCGGAAAAACCTTGATTTGGTGATTAGTTATGAGTTGTTACTTGACAATTGACATGTAACTTGTTGAAAGGGTTCCAAGGATTGGTTGCCCATTATGGCCACATGCCATGAAATTCTTAATCATGAAATTCTGGTCATCATATTTCCCTTGTTGGATATGTAGTTAATTCGGTATTTTACTTAATTAGTTAAATGAATTGATAGCTACATGTGACTTCAGTTGTAAATTGCTAAGGATATATGTGGCCTTCGGTCTCGGTTATGTCAATGCTATGACGATTTTTCGTTATTTTTATCTAATCGAAAACATCCAATGTACTTCGAATCCAATCTCGAACCAAACAAAACACAACTTTCCGTTCCAGAAAGATCCGTTAACCCAATATCCAAACACAAGCGAACACACAATTCGATCAAAACGATACAACAACAATAACAACTCGGACTCATCACCCCATCCATACTTCCCCATGGCTTCTGAAATCCCAGAATTTATGCTACTAATTCACATCACAGCCAAGGCTGAGCAACAAGCTCCTTCATCCTGCTGACATGTCTCTTCCCACCGGTGTGCTTACTCATGACATCTCGAGAATGGTTGCCAACTTCACAAGCTTCACACCAGAACATGAACTTCTTCTGATACTCAGAGCCTCCTACAATCTGTTCTGGGTTGTCTTGCTTCTTCACCACGGCAGCTTCCTTGCGCTTGTGTTTTTTGCCTTCAAGGTGTTTGTTAAAAGTTACCTCGCTGCTGACGACGACCTTGCACAGCCCACAGCTCCAGTATTCTTCTTTCACGACTTCTTCTTCTTCTTCTGCTTCTTCTTTCTTCTCGTCGTCATCATTTGGCACATCGTTAGGCAGAAAGCCATCATTTCCACCGGCAGGGGATTCTGCAATGTTCTTTGCTGCATCGTTAAGCAGAGAGCTGGCGGTTTGAGTTGGGGATTCTGAAATCCACTGCTTTGCCTTGCAGAGGCTGACTAGATCCGTCCTCTGTTGTACAAAAAAGACAGGTAAGGAATTCAGGAAGGGGAAAGTATGGGATTGTTTGGATCATTTGAAAAATAAGGTTTGTGTCGAATCACCGAGATTTAAAAAATGAAGGATCGGTGATAGATTTACATACCGTTTGGTATAAATGAATTCCATAAGTTTTAAGGAACTCATTTTGAAATGAAACATTCTTATTATGCTTGGTAATTAAAAGAATTCATTTCCAATTCTAAAATTTTGAATTTCATGGAATTGGAACTAGTTTATAGCAATTCCGAGGAATTGAGATGGAATTTCCAAATGAATTCCACAAGTATTTACTAATTATAATAGAATGACATAATTATCCTCTTTTATTAACTAAATTCCTTATACATATGACGTACCAAACACAGGAATTCACTAGACAACGAATTCTACATGACAATTCATTTTATTTGTAAAGATTTGAATATGAGTATATGGCATAGTCAGTGGCGTAGTCAGGATTCCGTTTAAGGTGGGTCCACCTTGAAATATATAAATATGATAAAATAATTTTTTTTAATATAATCTTAGTTGAAAACTTTTGATAAATTAAAATGCGTTAGCAGTCGAAAATATCAAGAATATCACTCTGCATATATACCAAACAATCATTGATTTAGTTAGTCATTAGTGTTTCAAATGGTGTTCTTTGTTAAGAACCGTTAGTATCAATACCTCGAATGATGTTCTTAAAAAAATTATTTAGTATCAATAAATTGAGTTGTTAGAAGATTTCAATAATATTTTATACCATTTACTACCATGCTCCCTTATAAGAAAGTCAACTTATACGAAATTGATGATTGCACAAATCTTTATACCGTATGCTTAAGAAATGAGGTCGCCAAGATTCAAACACAAAACTTTTCGACCAACTATTCTCAATTAAACGCGACCTAGTTTTCGATATCAATTAACTATCGTACCTAATTTAACCATTTTCCCCCGAACTAGGGTGGGACCCGGGACCCACTTGTTACCCTCTCCCTCCGCCACTGGACATACCAAACACAAGATTTCATTTGACAATCACACGTTTCACCCATAAATGGGGGTGATTCGGAGATGTCACGGCTTGAATAGCCAAGGATACTGATTCATGGGGTGGAGAGAAGGGATCTCTTTCTTGCCGAAGTGTCTTTCGTCGCTTGCTCGGTTTGGTGGGGGCTTTATGCGATTACCTTTTTCACCTTTCTGCTCGCCTTTGGGGTCGCTCTTGTTTCCACTTGTGGGGGTTTGGGCTTCGTGGTTGTTCTTCCTCGTGCCTTCTTTCTGGTCTTTTGGGTTTCGACGGTGGTGTTGTTGGTGGATCTGGGAGTGATTCTGGCGTCGATTCTCCCTTGCAAGCGTTCTCTGTTGCGGTCCTTTGTCGGAGAGGCTCTCCCACTTCGTTTGCTGTTCTTCATCCAGCCTTGCAGGTGCTGATGATCTGGTGGTTGTGCCAGTTTTTCTCTCCTTCCGGCGAATGAAGTCTCCGACGGCATGAAGGATGCTCAAGAAGGGTTGCTGGGTGGGGATGTTTGCGGCGGCCTTCTGGCTGATTGATGTTTCTTTGGGTTAGGTTTTCTTCGGGTGTAGGCTTTGGGTTCCCTTCCAGATTGTTGATTGGGCTTTTTCTGCTGGGCTCTCTCTTTTTGCGCCTGTTGTTTGCCTTTCTCTTGGATTTTCCTTCCATTTGAGTGTTGCAACTCTTCTCTGTACATTGTGTATGGTTTTATTTTCATTAATGAAACTCTACTCCTCGTAAAAAAAAAAATATTCTACATGGTAATTCATTTGGTACCAAACCGTGTTCATTTGAGATTTTGAGAATTTTTTTTTTGTTATTTGGATGTTAAGATTTTATGAAGGGTTGATTTATTTTAACATTCAAGGTTTGGTTCATTTTCTCAAATCTCACCCAATTATGTGGGATTTCCCAACTCATAAAACAAACGGATTTGGTATAAAAAAATAATTTCGAATATAATATCGTAGACCTCACGAATTTGGTACCAACTTTCCTATGCACCTAAAATCCAAAAAATTGTATTTTGCACCCAAAAAATACTAGAAATTGCGAACATATCTACTCAATTACCCAAATCCATTACCCAAAAAATGCCCTACGATGTTTCCACCACATTTCATGGTATTTCTAGTTTCATTTTGAAATGAAGAATCAAAACGAAACTACGTAAATATCATTCAAGTCGTAGAGGACTAAAACTAACCAGAACGACCCGTTTGACCTGAAACTTGCACTCCAGCCGGTACAACTCCTCGGCTGGACGCCGGCGCCGGCAGTGGCAGTACACTGCGGAGTGCTGTGTCAACAGCCGGAGACCGGCGAACTCATGATAGGAATCCGCCGACGATGGTGACGGGAGAGCACTCCCGGCGGGGGTTCTGATGATCTTGAGCTTGAAGTACTCCATGGGATGCACGTAGTACTCTTGATCGGATCAATCAGTCTCGAGATAGAGAGAAGCAATAAAACAGACAGCAAAACCCAACCGGCCGGTTTCCGTAGAGAATATTGGGAATCCAAGCTATCTACTTATTGTTCTTTCGTTCCTTTTTCTCCCGATACATTGGGAAAAGTGGCAAGAGTAGTAGACGAAGAGGCAATGGCGCAATGCTGAGGAAAAATATATATATCAGTATACCGTGTAATTGTAGAGGGAAAACGGAATAATAATTGTGCATTAATAACCCTGAAGAAATACTTGAATAACAATATAATATAGATAGATTATGTTGTGAAATTCTAATCGATTCTTTCGGACTAAACTTATTAAAATACCTTTTGACTCATTAGGCGTGCCTCCAACACGTTTCTATTTGTAATTAAGTTTGATCGACGTACACTCTTCTGAAAGAGGTCAAAAGATTAATGTGATAGCAATTCGTAGTCTAGCGGGCTTAGTTGTTATTGACAGTTTGCGTATAATAATTATTATTATGTAATGGTTTCGGGCTAGTTCGATCCGTATTAATTGTTCGGTTAGTATTATTTTGCAGGATAGGGCCTAGTATGTAACCCATAAGGATGTGAGACTTCTTAAATGGTGGCGGATTAGGGGTAGGGGCCGAGTGGCCTAGTCGGGTATTAGGGTTTCTTCCCTATAAATATGCATGTTCGGTGTTAGTGCCGATTATCGAAATAATAAACTAAAAGGTCTTTCGATACCTACCTCGTTCTCTCGCTTGTGGGGACCGGTTAGCGTGACTATCCCCTAAAGGGGTCTGATTTTCGACACACAATGTCTTTACCGTCCATTTTAGCTAGCTTAATCTAATGGTCATTGTAAGCAGTTGGTAATTTGTAATTAATTCACTAATTAATTACATCGGAAAAGAGGAAGAAGCAAATCGTTGGTTCCCCCACTCATAATGTAAAGACATTCCCTCTTACCTTTTTTAATTTCACCATTTCATTTTCCTTCTATATCTCTCTCTGTTCAGAACCCTCCCGCAACCCTTCGCCGCCGTAAACCATCATCTCCCGCAACCATCATCTCCTTCACAAAAAGAGGTCGTCCCATCCCTCCCGTCGGAAGTCGTCGTCTTTCGTCCCGAACCATAAACTTCGAACCCCCTTGATCGATTCCCGTCGACGAGAGTCAACTAGCTACAGAGGCTATATAAGCCGACAGGGGCGCCGACGTGATTTTCCGCTTCAATTCATCCTAAGGTGAGGCAAGTATACTTGAACGATAACAATTCACTTCACGAATGCATTTATTTTTTGTCGTCTCTTTCACTATATTATTGCACGAAAGTTGTAGAGTTTTTGCACAGTGGTAGTTCATGTATTGGTAGTTCTATCACTATAGTGGTAGCTACATCACTGTAGTGGTAGATGTATAACTATAGTGGTATATCTATCAATATAGTGGTAAATCTTCCACATGCAGCGGTAGATCTAGCGATGGAGTGGTTCAAATATCACTAAAGTAGTTGTTCGTTGTAATGTTTTTGTTTCTAAGGCTATCACTGCAGTGATATTTACAAGATAATGTGGGTTCTTTAAAGTACCACTACACTGGTAGTTTTGTTAGTTCTCAGTATTGACTTATCTTCCAATGAAACCAGGAATGGCAATGACGAAGAGAACGAGTCCTGAGATGCCAGCAGGAAATCAAATTGCGAGGCAGAATCCTGGGGGCCAGCAGGAAATCAAATTGAAGAGTTGAAATTTAAAGCTTCCGAGGCACACGAAACATTGTTCCCTGCAGCTACTCAAGTGACCCAGCCATCCTTCGCCAACTGATTCTCTTTTGCTTATGATTCGAGGGGACTATTTGTTTATTTGAATTTGAAGGATAATTTGGTCTTTGTTTACATTTTCGAAATTTTTTGAAACCCAACTTGAAACACTGTTATTAGTTCTATGAATGGGAATTGCCTATTATGTTGTCTTATTTCATATTTTTGTTGTTTGAAAAAAATTATATACGCGTACTAGTACTGTGGTACATCACAACAGGTATCGGTTTAGTGGTAGGTCGGAACATGTACCACTCCACTGGTACATCTACCACTCCATTTGTACATGTACCACTCTTTGTGATAAAAAATAATCTAGAATATAACCAATATAAGTTACAATGAATTTATCTCTCTCAACCACTGTGATTAACAAAATCACAATGTTCATAATATGAAAAAACTGGTGCAATTATCAGAAGTTAGCAGAATATCACTCCACTGGTACATCTATCACTCCACTGGTACATGTACCACTCCACTGGTACATGTACCACTCCATTTGTACATGTATCACTCTTTGTGATAAAAAATAATCTAGAATATAACCAATATAAGTTACAATGAATTTATTTCTCTCAACCACAGTAATTAACAAAATCACTGTGTTCATAATATGAAAAAATTGGTGCAATTATCAGTAGTTAACAGGATATCACTACACTGGTACATCTATCACTCTACTGGTACATGTACCACTCCATTTGCAAATGTAGCACTCTACTTTTATAAGAAAAAAAAGGGATATAACAAATATAAGTTACCATGAATCTTATTTCTCGCAACCACAGTGATAAGAAAAATCAACATACATCATAAAATGAAAAATAAGCTGCAATCCTACTGTGTCTTATTTTATTTTTTTATGGCAGCTGATGGATCCCGCCGGCCGTGGACAGAGGATCCAGCTAATTTGCCCCTTTCCATGCATAATTAATATGACAGTTAAGCCTTTCTCCGTGGGTATTTATTTGGGACAGCCATTAATACTTGTCTAATAATTAAGTGTAAAACGAACCAATCAAAAAGAGGCTGTCAAAAAACAGACCCCTTTAGGGGTTAGCATGGTATCCGACCCCCTCGCTTGTGAGTTACAAGCAAAATCCTAATTCGGGTAAACGAGTTGCTATCACAATGTACAAGCGTGATTAGATGAGACTTACAAGGAAACAAAACAGTGTGGCGAAAGAATAGTGAATGAAAATAAAATCACAAACTAAGCAAGATTTGGGGGGGGGGGGGGGGGGGGGGGTGGTGTTATAACTTATAATTCGTATTACTGAGAAAATGAAAGATACACAAGAGTATATGATTGTGATCATTCGAGAACAAACATCAAACCCTATTAAGTTAGGACTAGCTTCCACCCTGCCCTTTGGGCAGGAGGCATTTATATTTATATTTTATTATAGTATAATCTCATTTTATGTAATTTATGAATATATGTGATAGTATGGCAGAGTCTAGCTAAAGGCTGATGTAGGTTGTATATGTGTTCATACCTATTAAGTATACTTTAATATGTTTCAATGAATCATAATGATCAATTATTATTTTTTGATTAATCAATATAATGGTTTGTGTTAGAGAATTATGAATTGAGGTTTACTATTAGCGATTACGATAGGGTATTATGTTCCAAACTCTGGTTAATTTATGTTCTAAATATAAGAACTTAATGAGCGTTTAGTAAGGTTAGTTTATGTTTTATCTTATTATTATTTCAAAATAGTGAAAATGTTCCAATAATTTATTCAAATCAATTTTCACTATTTTAATATGATAATATATTAAAAAAATTAATGATTGAAAAACCGTACTACAGATTGTACCGAAAATTATGTGGTAGAGTATTTTTATGCTAAAATTGTAGTTCAACCGTTTTATAGCGCTAAAAATCACCCGGCGAATTAGCATCTTGTAGGAGATTTTTCTGGTCGAACCGCCAGTATGCTACGATTTTGTAATTCTTGTAAAAAACATGTATATATACATATAGTGTAAAAAAATTTATAATTAATTTATCTAACTCCCTTATTAAAAATCGTATAATTATCCATACATTTTGACAACAAAAGTTTATTTCAATATTTTATAGATGTATTTAAATATCGGTCATCCCTTATGCCATATCATAAAAGAAAAGGAGTTTGGAAATGGTTCTAATTTGTATATGCTCGGGACAACAGCAAGTCAGTAACCCATTACAAAGGGGAAGGAAAAATAAAAATAAAACACTTATTTAAAATTTGAAGTGGGCGTCTGGGCGACGTAGGTGGTATGAAAGAGAAAGAAGGGAAAAAAAAAGAAAGATAATTCCGAAACACGCGGGGAAGCCTGGACGGCTGATGTGGCATGGGTCGGTTTTACAAACCCTTTTAATATATTGTAAGATACAGAGCAAGGACTTTTCTGACAACTAAATATGCCCTTTTTATTACAAATCCGATCAACAAAGCGAACATACGTAAGCAACGAGAACAAGCCCTAAGCAACTAAAAATTTCTTCGAAATTAAATTGACCCATCACACATGTCCACCATAAATACCCTCAACTACCCGGACGCAAATATCAGCCCCTCCAGAGGATTCTTGCACCCTACACATTGTTTTCACATTTTATACATCCTCTAACTTCCTCAAAAATCTAGCAAACCCTTTCGTCGCCGGCCAGACGCCGACCAGCATTATGGAGTTCCTTAATCCCTCCGGCGTGCCTCCTCCCGCCAATATGCTTGATCATGCCATCCAGAGAATAAGTCCCAACTTCACAAGCTTCACACCAAAACTCGAACCCCGCCGTTCTGGACCCTATCCTCCTGCCTGCTGCAGCAGCAGCTGGCTTCTTCTCCTGTTTCCGCACGGACTTCGGATTCATCATCATCATCATCGTCATCTCCTTGCCCACGCTTCGAGCTGCTTCGACGACATTCGCCTTGTGTCTACTGCCTTCGACGTGCTGCTTCCATTGTCTCTCAGTTTTGGCAACAACCTTACACACCCCACAGCTCCATTCCCCTGCCGCCATTGTCTTCTCCTCCTCCTCCTCTGCCACATCCTTCGATCCAGAAAGCAGAGCGGCAGGGCCGCCGCCGCCATTGTTGGCCCAACGGTCTGCCGCGCAGAGGCTTACCAGATCCGTTCTCTGCAGTAAAAAGAGATTTAAACGTTCGATGAGACATGACAATTAAATGAGATCGTTAAAGAATGCTTGGAGCAAAGAAAGGACTAACCAGAACGACCCGTTTGATCGGAATCTTGCATTCCAGCCGATAGAACTCTTCAGCTGGCCGGCGGCGGCGGCAGTGGCAGTAAAATGCGAAGTGCTGGGTCAACATCCGGAGACCGGCGAACTCGTGGGGGAAGTCCGCCGGCGACGGTGAAGGGAAATTCCTGGCGGGGGTTCTGATCATGAGCTTCAAGTGGCATTCCATGGTGACAGGATCGGACAAAAGACCAAATTGGTAGTAATACGTTGCTGAAGAAATAAATAGGGAATCCAAACAAGGATTTAGCCCTTCTCTTGCTTCCCTTTTTCGATGCGTTGTTGGGAAGCGGCAAGAGTAGACGAAGCGACTAACACTGTAAAATCATATCAGTAACAGACGGTAAGGCGTGCAATGAAACGGGAAAAAGGGATTGGGCAAGGCCGTAAGGATCATATTGCTAGTAGATATAGGGAGTGAGAGTGACTAGGTAATTATGGAACCTAATTACAAATAAGTGAATCGATATAAACGACACGAAACCGACTATTTACTAAGTATAACAAAAAACACGTAATTGAGAGGGACTAGTTTTCGAGTATAGATACGATCACGAGTCTCATAAACCATCATCATTTGCAACACATTTTAAAATAATAGGTGAATTCCGGATGCACAGTAAGAAAAGAATGTTCACTCATCATTCGTAATAGTTGGGTTCAAATTTTACTCATACCATTAAAAATTTCCGGGCTCGAACTTTATTCACTCGATTAGATCAAATTCGGTCTGATATTCATGAGTAGGATTATTGTTGCCATTCCCTACAGTTTTCGTACATTTATACTGGGCTAAAACCATATAATGCTTGTTCTTATTCAATAACAGTGTTGACTGGTCTATTTACAGACATTATTTGGTCTCATCAGTCGGTGGGGATGATGCAGGAGCTTTGCAGGTTGGATGCTGACGGTCACAAGCTGCTAGTGGTGCTATGGTGTTGGTATATGGCCCTTGTATGGAGGGAGAGATGCAATCGAGTTTTTACTTAAGAAGTGAAGAGTAGCAGTGACTTGCTCTTGCAAATCAAGCAAGAGGTGACCAATTACTATCAGGCCAATGTTGATTTGATGTATTAGTTGATAGTTATGCGGCTTATGTTGTAAACTTGAAACATGGTCATAATTAGGCTTGTAGAGTGATTGTTACTAGATATAGTACTCTGTAGCATGGCAGTGAGATACTTGTATGCTGCTGTGACCAGTTGGCAGCTGTATTTTTTCGACCAAGCTTGATATTCAAACAAGGGCTAATAAGAGAAACGACAACAATTACTAAAAAAAATCATATAATGATAGCCAATAAATGTATGGGCTTGCTGAGAGCGTAGGTGCATGTATATTGGGCCTAAGCCATATAGTAATGGGCCTAATCGAGTGGACTTGATCTGATCTGAATCTGGATTCCTATTTAACGCCCTACCTTTTTAAAATTTAACGCCCTAATTGTATCAAACAGACAATACTACCCCAATCACTAAAACGACAACAACTGCCCTCAATCCCTATGATAGAAACCTAACTTTCGGGTCTATCATAATTATCATAATTGCTATTATTAGGATCTGTTTAGATATGGATAGTAGTCTTTGAGTCATATTAGGATAGTCTATTAGGTTTTTCCAGTCTTTCGTTATAAATATGTACTTTGCGTTTTATTCAGAACCAATCAGGAAAGAATTATCAAAGTATAACTCTCAACCCTAATCTCTCCTAATCCTCTCAAACTCTCTTCTCAACCTATTCTGGCCGCCGGCCATTCTGTTCTTGTTCTTCCCCAATTCTGTTCATAATCCCCAATTCTCTTCTAAATCCCTAAATCTCCATCAATTCCCAAATTCCCAATCCTATTGATAGAACCCTAGAAATAAGTTTCTATCATTTGGTATCAGAGCCATGGTCGAAGATCTGAGTTCGTCACAACTCTCAACCAGGGACGAACGGGTCTATGAAGAAATCATACCCAACATCATGAGATTGGATCTGCGAAGTCGAGTTATCATGTTCTTCACCTTGCCTGGATTTGAGCAGGACCATGTGGAAGTGCAGAGGATGGGATCCGATGTGTTAGCAATAACGGGACAACGGCCAGTGGATGATGGACACAAATGTATCCGATTCGAGAAGCTTATTCGATTCAGAGCTATATGCAATCTTGGAGAATATCGCGATGGTTTTGGGAAACGCGATTTCATCATCACAATTCCCAAAATCATCGACCCTCTTGTCCACAACAACGACAAAGAGGTGATAGCGAAGCAGCTGCCGACCGGGGATGCCACAACAACAGCAGAACAGCAGCGGAAGGCGCAAGTTGACTCGGGGGAGAGATCCGTGCCGGCAGAGATGGAGACGAGGGGAGAGAGATCCGCCAAGGCCACGGTAGAGGAGGTCGCGGCTGGTGGAGATCGCGCCACGACACCATCGCTCACACCGATGCTGCCAGAGGAAACAACGGATGAAGGCGCGCCCGCTGCGGAGGGAGCTGGCGTCGATGACACATCTGTACCGCTGCAGCCTCCTGAGCGGGTCGAGAATGGATGGCAGGAGGAGCAACGAAGGACAGAGGAGCCCGAGTTCGCCGGGAACACCGCAACTGCATCCGCCATAATGTCGCTAGAGGAGACACAACCCTTGCTGCCGATACAGCTGAGCAGGCTGCAGTGATTGACATCGCCACTGTCTCACCCAAACAGAAAGAGCGAAACCATGTTGTTGTTGGCCAAGAAGAAGAAGATCTTATTGCTCTCTGAGAAAATGAGAGGACGGTCACCTCTGAAGAAGAAACCCAAGCTGAGAGGAAATCAACGACCAGTTGCCTTACGAATTGGAGGTATAAGAAGAAGAAAGGAAAGACAGAGCCGGAGCTCCGCGCGGCTTCTCCGACCGCACGAGCGGCGACGCCCACCGCATTATCAATCGGCGAGGCGGCGCGGATGACCGAAGTCAATCGGGAACTCAAAGGCGAGACGACGGTGGGTTCTTGGGTTCTTTCGCCGAGGTCACCAGCCGTGCTAGGATCAATGACGGATTCCGCCAAGTCGCCGATTGAGAAGAAAGTCCGGCCCGGCCTCGCTCGTAGTCACCAGGAGGTCTGCTCATCGGCGGGGTTGGAAGCGAAGAGGGAGACTTGCGGCGGCGACATCGATTTCCATCGTCCGAACCCTAGGTCGCCCCCTGTGATCCACGTTGTGCACCAAAGCCCAGTACCCTTGGGCCGCACTTCTGATCGGGCCATCAGTCCGAGTGGGTTAATTGGTGCGGGGGTGTGGGCTTGACTGGGATCAACCGAGCGGGCCAAAGAAGGAGATGAAGCGGACCGGGCCAAGTTCTAGTTATGAGCCAAGCCAAGAAGATACAAGTTTTGCTGAAGGAAGGAATGGGCCACATTTTCAGGTAGTTTGTGGGCCTCGCATGGGCTGTCTGCAGAAAAGGGTTAAGTCCAATGTGGGCTATGACTTGAAGGAGATAGATGGGAAAGAAAAAGAAGACGGGCTGAGTCTGGAAGGAATTAAGCCCAACTTAGGCTATGGCTTGAAAGAAGCAGACTTGGAGGGAATTGTTGTGTTGGTGGATGGGCTTGTAAGTGAGTCAAACCCACATGAAATTGAGAATATGGTGGGTACGAGGAACCTTGACATTGGGTTGGGCCATGTCTCATTCCTTCAAGCAATTGTGGGCCGATCCAGAAGTGATGGAAAAGAAGAGTGGGAAAAGCTTGAGTTCACCACTATGCACGTGGCCAATTCGATGGAGTTGTCCATGGAAGAATTCAAGAGGGAGGGGTACAAGGAAGAACAATTATTCGATTCTTATTTTGTGGATTATGAAAAAGAAGAGAAAGAATTGTTCGGCTATAAAAGAAAGCGACATGTGTCACGCAGTCAGGGAAGAATGGGGAAGCGGGAGAGCTGCCATTGGAGAATTCATTCGTGAGCCTGAGCATGATTGGAAGAAAGAAAGCGTAAGAGGCGAAAGAAACGACGTATGGAGGGCACAAGACAACAGAGTAGAGGGTCGCTTCGGTCAACTTTGAGGGCAAGGTTGGTCTCAAGGGGGAGGGGATGATAGAAACCTAACTTTCGGGTCTATCATAATTATCATAATTGCTATTATTAGGATCTTTTTAGATATGGATAGTAGTCTTTGAGTCATATTAGGATAGTCTATTAGGTTTTTCCAGTCTTTCGTAATAAATATGTACTTTGCGTTTTATTCATAACCAATCAGGAAAGAATTGTCAAAGTATCACTCTCAACCCTAATCTCTCCTAATCCTCTCAAACTCTCTTCTCAACCTATTCTGGCCGCCGGCCATTATGTTATTGTTCTTCCCCAATTGTGTTCCTAATCCCCAATTCTCTTCTAAATCCCTAAATCTCCATCAATTCCCAAATTCTCAATCCTATAGATAGAACCCTAGAAATAGGTTTCTATCACCCTAATATTGCTCCGTTCCTCGCCACTGCCTTGCCGGCCACTGCCGCCGCAGCGAACTCCAAGCGGAAGAAGGAATCTGCCGTTGCCCACCTTTTCGCCTCCCTCCATTTTCAATCCAATTTCCGACACCACAATCGACTAGCGTTGCATGAGTGACCAACGACAACGAGAAGACCCAATCCTCCTCTTCCCTCTACTTTCGCTTCCAGCCCCTGCCATTCTTTATCCCCAACAATCACCGCCGCCCTTTCTCTCCTTAATAGCTGATGGTGCAAACTCATCAAATATTAATAATAATAATAAAACTTATATATATATATGTGCTTCTCCATGGCCAAGGTGAAGGAGTGGAATCAAAAGCAGTAGATAACAATAGATTTGAGAGTGGGAAAAGGTAGAGGAAGAAGGCAATTCTAATCATTGCCCTTTCTCGCCAGCAGCGCAGCGGAAGCTAGGTATTGCGGCGGCAACGGGCGGGGACTTTCAGGGCGAACGACGATATATACGAGTAAGAATCTAGGTCGAATTTTCGTTAGAGATTGGAAATATTCTTGGGAGCAAAAAAGTCGAATTACCTATTTTAGGGCGATAAATTTCAAAAAGGTAGGCGTTAATTAGTAACTCCCGACCCGGTTTCCCGAGATTGAGTATACACGTGTTCCCTTTCGTTTTCCTCGATAAATCACGTGATCCCTTTCAAGTCTTCCTCCTCGCCTTCCATTATTTATCACGAAATTATTATAAAATCACTGGTTCACGAATCTTCTTGTCTCGACTGTCGACTGAGCTCAAGCTTTTCGCCTAATAGAAACTTCTGGGAAAGCTACCGTTTACCTTACTCGTCCACACAGAGAGTGAAAGAGTAAGCCGAGAAAGCCATTAAAGGGGAAAGGAAAGCAACAAGTTCTTCTCTCTTCGTTCTCGCAGCCGGGAGTTGAATCAGCCAGAAGGAAGGGAAAAATGCCGAGCAGCTGCGCGATCTTCTGCGAGATCCTGATAGCAATCTTGCTCCCTCCGCTGGGAGTCTGCCTCAGGCATGGCTGCTGCACCGTAAGTTTCCTTTCTTCTTCCTCGGCCCATCGTCGTTTCCATCGAATTTCCCCACGAGCCAAACAGATCTAGATTGAGATGGTGTTCACGGGATGAAGTTGGGGTTTTTGACGAATTGGGGGTGTTGATTTTGCAGGTGGAGTTCTGCATCTGCGTGCTGCTGACGATTCTCGGCTACCTACCGGGGATCATCTACGCGCTGTACGCGATCGTGTTCATCAATCGGGAGGAGTTCTTCGACGAGGCCAGGCGCCCTCTCTACTCCTCTAACTACTGATGGGTAGATGCTGACACTTTTAGCTTAAAAACAGCGATCTGAATCGTTTCATTGCTGTTTCTGTATGTGTAATGTGTATTTCCATTTCCTGTTGTAGACTCCTTTGAAAATTTGGATGTTAATGAAGCTCTCAATTGGTTAAACCTGCTTGAATCTATCGCGGAAGGAACAATTGCGTGGCTGCTTTCTTGAATTGGTTTGTTCTTCTTTTGTTTGGACACTACGCTCATGGTAGCAAGAAAAGTCGGGGTGGAAACCCTAGCGCTCCCCATTAGGGGGCGAAACGGCCAATATAAAAATGAGGGATTCCCCAACTTCGGCCGTTGATATGAAGCTGACTAGCTGAGCCCGCTCTAAATCTCTGCTCTATTCGTCTTATTATTCCATTTTTGGCTCCTAGAGCTTATGCAGATTAGATAGTAGTACATTTACTGTAAATTTTGCTTCAAGGTTTCATCTTTCAAGCTCTGACTATTGCCCAATGGTGGAAAGCAATTACATTGATCGGCTGCAGATGGTTGAACTTTCTATTCCCATCGCTAGCCTTCACTCACCACCGCGGCATCCACCTCCTTATCTTACCACCGCCATCGCCACCACCGTGCACACACCCCCCCACGACTGCAGTGGTGGTTTTTTGAAGGCTGGCAAATGGATGCCATCGGCGCTGAATGATTCTAAGCTATGAGATCTGAGGGCATTTCTAATCTGTTTCTTCTTATCTAAAAAGAACAAACTTTTTTCCTCTTCTCTGGGTCTTGGTTTATCTTTTGAGTATATTCATGACGTTAGCTTAAATTTATGTAACTTTCTGGTTAAAATGTTGGCGATTGGTAGCTGAAATTTTCAGTCTTTATGGTATTTTGACTGAATGGTTGTGACTGGATTTGCCCGATGATGAAAGCTCTTGTTGATTTGAGCTCTCCTGTACTCATAATCTTCTTAATCTCTCTCCATTGGCACTCTTGTTGTTGTTGTTGTTGTTGTTGTTCCCATTGCCATTGTTACATAGAATTTCTATGTACAGCTACTGCTGCTCTTACTATTTGGTGGTAGCAGTAGTGGCATTGTTCTCTCCCTTTTGCTTCTCGTCAGAATATAGAAGACGAGTAACTTACCATCTATGAATTCTCATAACCAGGAGAATCTGAGGGCATAGGATACTGTTTATTCTTATTGTAATTGATCCAAATTTTGTGGAAATTGCTTGTCTGAAAGTGAAAATGGCTAGTGGTAATTGTAGGCTGTGATAAAACATAATGTTAGGAAGTGCTTTCACGGCAACTTTATTTGTTATCAGTCTCTTGATAAATTTTCAGGTTACTCCGTCACGTGTCAGTCTCATAGAACAGCCTCTTGAAGGACTCCATAGCTTCAGCTTCCAAGCAAATTGTCAAGGACAGACTCCCATCAGCATTTCGTGGCAGGAGGTGCCCTGTCCCTTCATTGGAGTCCACTTTGCGAGTTAGTATTGGACTTCCCCATCCAAAGTCTGCACCTTTGAAAGGGAGGTTCATCCAGCTCACCAGCAACAGGTTGGGCGATTGACAGGGTCGAACCTCGATGACTCCCTCAGGATTGCTGGGATCTTCCATGTAATATATTGATGACCTTAGATACTCATCATCCATCTTGGATATTGCCTTTCGAATTCTACCTACTGTTTGTAGCATTGGCTCATTAGCAAGCTCTCGTGTTGCAGCGAATGCTTGTGGTAAGAACAATCACGTTGCCTAAGTTCTCCCGAGCAATTGGAGGTTTCATTCTGGATCTGGCATTGACTGGGATCTGCAATTTGGTTGGCTGCTCATCTGTCAAGCCGCGTGCTTTGCTGACACAATGCCATATATGTGCTGACAAGATCTCGTAGGTGCTGTGTCTGACCTCTGATTGGTTGCTCCTTGGATTGGCCTTCTCCTTCAGTGTTCTCGGTTGGTCTGGTGTCATCTTCAGGATGTGGTTGGTAGATGGTTTTGGCTGGCTTTGTGGTTGTAGTGGATTGGTATTTGCAATCATGATAGGGTGAGGGTCATGCTCGGTGTGGTGAAATTCTCGGGCTGGTTCTCGAGCTTTGAGAATGCTGCGGTCCATAATCGGTATGGTTGCTGTCAAGAACCAGTTGATCCCAATAACTCGAGTTGTTGGGAGAGGTTCAATCGTGGATCTTATACCACTCTCTAACACGCCCCCTCAAACGAAAGCCAACCCATGGGCTTGAAGTTTGCACAGGCCCACCATACCATGTGGTTGAAAGACAACGGTTAATATTGGTGGTCGTGAAGATTCGAACACATGACCTTTTGGTTCTAGGCTCTGATACCATGTCAAGAACCAGTGATACCATGTCAAGAACCAGTTGATCCCAATAACTCGAGTTGTTGGGAGAGGTTCAATCGTGGATCTTATACCACTCTCTAACAGTTGCAAGGTATACACCACGAGTCATCTCTGCCCAAGTGTTGATGAAGCTGAGTGCCCTCCGAGTATTACCCGACCCGTAGTAGCGTGGGGCCCGCCCCGCCCCGAACCATTGCCATCACTAGATAGAATGGCACCAGCGCCCTGAGCATCCTTCAGCACTTTGGTTTCGAATAAATCTTAATAGCTTACAAACATGTTGCAGTGCTGTTCTTTCTTTATTTTAATTCTTAATATAAATAATTAAAGCCATTAAGTTCTATTTTCCCAAAAGGGCGATTAAAGGCTTAATTGCAAGTTTGGTCACTTAAAAATTTCACGTTTGCCACCCGAATTGATTTATTCCATTTATTGTCACTCGAATTAGTTGAACAGTCCAAGTTCGGTCACTCTATGTTAACCTCCGTTAAACTCCGTTAATGACGACCGTTAAGTGATGACGTGGCTAACAGAAAGACACAGTCAGCACATTTAAACATTAAAAAACGACGACCCGACCCGACCCGCCAGCTAAGCCTTACCCTCCCAGTCAGCCATTCTTGCCCAAACCCGCGAACCAACCCAATTAATTGACCCTAAACACAAACCCGAGACCCAACCCCCCCTGAAAAGTAAATCGCAGATGGATTAGGACATTTCCCTTCCTCCATCTTCATCCTCTCATCCTCTCGCGCCGCCTCTCTCCTGTGCACACCATCGAAAATCGCCGTCGAAGGGATGGAGGCCGCCGCCCTGATCAGAAACGGCGTCGGCGCTCCACACTTCCCACGATCTCCCCTTCGCCCCCGCCTGCATCCGCTGAGTGATCAGCTCTTTAGGGACCATGATTGCAGAGGAGACGATGTTCCCCATGGCGCCGACAGTGGGAGGGATGAGCAGAGGAGGGAAGTCGTCGAGCTTGGTGAGAACCGATTTGCCGAACTCACAGGTGCCGAAGTAGACCGGGGTGCTGATGAGGGCGATTCGGTGGTGGGAGGGTTGTTGTTGTTGGGATGTGGATAAGGAGATGGAATTGGAGGCGAAAGGGAGGGTTTTAGGGATGGGTTTTTGGGGGTTTTGGTGGGAGGGATGAGCAGAGGAGGGAGCCTCCATCTCTTCGACGGCGATTTTCGATGGTGTGCACATGAGAGAGGCGGCGCGGGAGGATGAGAGGATGAAGATGGAGGAAGGGAAATGCCCTAATCCATCTGCGATTTACTTTTCAGGAGAGGTTGGGTCTCGGGTTTGGGTTTAGGGTCAATTAATTGGGTTGGTTCGCAGGTTTGGGCAAGAATGGCTGACTGGGCGGGTAAGGCTGAGCTGGCGGGTCGGGTCGTCGTTTTTTAATGTTTAAATGTGCTGACTGTGTCTTTCTGTTAGCCACGTCATCATTTAACGGTCGTCATTAACAGAGTCTAACGGAGGTTAACGGAGCGTGACCGAACTTGGACTGTTCAACTAATTCGAGTGACTATAAATGGAATAAATCAATTCGGGTGGCAAACGTGAAATTTTTAAGCAATGCGGGTGACCAAACTTGCAATTAAGCCGGCGATTAAAATTAGGTAACTATGGTTTTTTTTCTTCTTCCGAATAGGATCAGATGTCCGTTTGACTCCTGTTTCGAATAAAAACTGAAAAGAACGCCCTGTTAATTAAAAGCCAAGAATGGCACCTTGAAAGAGGCTTCAAGTAAAACACTCCATCTTCGCAGCTTCTTGTGTTAAATTCAATGGCTTTCCTTTCACCGTTAGATAGTTTCCATTCTGTTCTTTAGCTCCTGCCCGATCATGTGAGCAATTTGAATTGATCAGTTGCCTGGCGGGGGAAACTTCCTCTTTTTCCCGATCGCTAGCCTTCACTCACCACTGAGCACGCATCTGCCTTGCTGCCCCGGTGGTGACTGAAGGCTGTTTGATGGGGATGCTGTCCGCAGTGGATGATTTCAAGGGGGTTCTGATTCATGGGATTTTATAGTACATGCATGGAGTTTACTTCTGCGATTTTTTGATTAGTTGCTAAAGCCGTGGTCTTTACTGTGTTTTGTCTTTAGGGTTGTGACTGATTTTGCCCAATGATGACAGCTCTTGCTTGATTTTGGAGCTCTCCATTACTATGTCTTCTTCCTCCTCTCTCCATTTGTTATTCTGCTGCCTGCTGCTGCTGTTGTTCATGTTGTTGACTGTGTACTGCTATTGCTGCTCTTACTAGTTGCTGGTAGCTATAGCAGTACTGTTCTTTCCCTTTTGCTCCAAGTTCGACAGCTCTGGACCATGGTTGTTTCGTGGAACTTCGGTGTACTGCTACTGCTGCTCTTACAATTTGCTGGTAGCAGTAGTGGCATTGTTGTATTCCTTTTGACTTCCAGTGAGAAAATAGAAGATGAGTAACGTACCATGTATGAATTCTCTTTAACAGGAGAATCTGAGGGCATAGAATGCTGTTTATTCTTATCGTAATTGCTCCAAATTTATGGAAATTTCATGGTTGAAAGTGTAAATGACTAGTGGTGGTGATTGCAGTCTATGATAAAACATAATGGCAGGAGTGCTTTTGCGCGACATTTAACTGTAATTGGTCTCTTGATACATTTTCAGGTGAGCTCCATTAAGGGCCAGTCTCATAGAACAGCTTCTTGAAGGTTTCCATAGCTTCAGCCTCCAAGCAAATTGCCAAGGATACAGTTCCATCAGCATTTCTTGGCAATAGATGCCCGATCCCTTCAAAGGTGTCCACTTTGCGAGTTAGTGTTGGGCTTCCCCATCCGAAGTCTGCCCCTTTGAAAGGGAGGCTCATCCAGCTCACCAGCAACAGGTTGGGTGATTGACAGGGTCGAACCTCGATGACACCCTCGGGATTGCTGGGATCTTCCATGTAATTTATTGATGACCTGAGATACTCATCATCCATCCTGGATATGGCCTTTCGAATCCTCCCCACTGTTTGTAGTAATGACTCATCAGCAAGCTCTCGTGTTACAGCGACCGCCGAGGTAATAACGATCACGTTGCCAAAGTACTGCCGAGGGATTGGAGGTTTCATCCTGGATCTGGCATCGACTGGGATCTGCAATTTTGTTGTCTGCTCATCTGTCAAGCTGCGTGCTTTGCTCACACATCGCCATATATGTGCTGACAGGATCTCGTAGGTGCTGTATCTGACCTCTGATTGGTTACTCCTTGGATTGGCCTTCTCCTTCAGTGTGCTCAGTTGGTCTGGTGTCATCTTCAGGACGTGGTTGGTAGTTGGTTTTGGCGGGCTTTCTGGCTGTAGTGGCTTGTTGTCTGTAATCATGATAGGGTGAGGATCATGCTCAGTGTGGTGAAATTCTCGGGCTGGTTCTTGAGCTTTGAGAATCGTGCGGTCCATAATCAGCATGGTTGCAAGGTATACACCACGAGTCATCTCTGCCCAAGTGTTGATGAAGCTGAGTGCTGATATGCCATCAACTACATTGTGGTTCATCCCAATTCCGAGACAAACTCCGCCACAGTTGAACCTTGTTACCTAGAAAGGTAGAAAACAGAACAATCAACTTGTGAGTGATTAAGTTTGCACAAAAATGCATTGCCTTGAGTTGCAATTCATCCTAAGGGGCTCGCCTGGAGAAGGAACAGAGGGTAAGAAGAAATCCCTTTGGAGTAATCAACACTGGGAACCAGCTCGGTCAATTCATCCTCAGCTTTATGCAAGAACTCTCCTAGCTCATTGATTGTGGTCTCTACGTCCGCCTCTTGAAACAAGACTCCTTCCCCATTGCAGTCCAGTTCAAGCCTCCCATTATTGTCTCTCCCAAGCCTCCCTGCCATGGGATAGAATGGCACCAGGGCCTTGCTCAGAGCGTCCTTCATCATTTTGGCGTCGAAGAAATCAGAAGAAGTAGAGTGCTGGCTGTCGGCCTCTTTGTATATGTAGATCGTCTTGAGATGAGTTTTTGGATGCACAATGTCCAAGTTCGACAGCCATAGTCTATGCCTCGGCGTGCATTTTGCTGGGCGTACTATGCTCATCTGTCTCACACTCACCTTCATTTTCCTGAAAGAACAGAAGGTAGACCAAGTTTTTAAGACTGGAAATGACGAGGAAAGCTAGAAGATGATTTAAAGCAACATTCTAAGTTCAAGTTATTTGTAGCGACAATGGAGGAGGAGGATTGAAGCGTTCGCTTGTTCTTGAACCATTAAACTATGGTCTGATTTGCCAAAGAGGTTCTTTTGTTTGGAGCTATTCAGGTTTATGCTGGGAATTCTCAATTTAAGAACTTTCTCTTTCTTTATATGCTCTTTCAACAAAGCTACAAAACACGTAACAAGAAAATCTGAAAATGCATACCACTCTGCAAATGGAACTAAGAGGAAAAAACAAAGAGGAAACAGACGAAGAACAAAGAGGAGGAACCTCAAATTCTCATGTTTTGTCGTTCTAGAATTTCATTTCTGATAAACTAACCGTGAATTTGAGGTTTAATTTTAGTTGTCAGCTCAATTCTGTTATTGACTTTTAGGGCTTTCACTGCTGGATAGCTTGCATTTTTGTTCTTCTTCGTTCTTGGATTTGATTTTTCAGTTGTCTGCTGGATGATATAAACAGTATGCATTGATCGCCTGCCGGCACGAACTTCCTTTCTCTCTGATCGGTAGCCTTCTCCACCGGAGTCTGGGGACACATCCCCTGTGCTACCGTGGTGGTGATTTAAGGCGCTCATTCCGATGGGAATGCCCTTGCAATGCTGATTTCAAGGGCTCTCTGATCCTTTGGACTTACCTTCCGTGGAGATTTTAGTATTTTACTGCTGAGAATGTGGAGGACGAAGGGCTCTCTTCCAAGCCTCCCTGCCACGGGATAGAATGGCACCAGGGCCTTGCTCAGAGCGTCCTTCAGCACTTTGATGTCGAAGAACGTGGAGGACGAAGCAGAAGATCCTGCTGTTTTTGGCTTATTGTATGCGTAGATGGTAGTGACATGATTTCTCAGCTGCAGAAGGTCCAAGTTCGACAGCCACAGGCTATGCCGCGACCTGCATTCTGCTGGCCGAACCATGCTCGTCTCTTTCACAGTCACCTTCATCGTGGTGAAGAAGTGGTGAGAAAAGTCTTGTTGCAAGGGGCAGTTACTTATAGCAAGAAAAGGTGGGTTGAGATGACTGTTCTTCTTTTTCTCTTTTCTGGACTGAATGCAATGGTAGCTAACCATTTGCAGTTTTTGGGAAGAAACCATTTTGGTTTTGATTTTGCCATAAGGGTTGTCTTGTGTCTTTCCTCTTCAGAAGACAAATGGAGAACGCACGGAATGGTTATTCATTCATCTATCACAAAATTTGTAGGGGATGAAAGTCATATGGAAGATGCGTAAAGCTCCACGGTGAAAGGGAAATCACTGGTTCATTTCATAGTTGCAATTTGTGGAGAACACGAACACAAACACCGCCGAATAGTGTTTGCTAAGGTTGCGTCTTTATTAACTTGCTACTAATTGCTACCATGGTGCTCCAAATCTAGTGCTCAATTTCTACTAAAAGTTGCAATCTTTAATCTGCAGGTACGTTCTGCAAATTCCCATCATGGATCAAACTCATAGAACATCTTCTTGAAACCCTCTATCGCGTCACTTTCCAAGCAAATCGCCAGAGACAGGCTCCCGTCAGCAGGATTTCTGGGCAGCAGAATCCCCAATCCTTCGGTGATATCTGCTACGTGAAACAGAGTCGAACTTCCCCATCCGAAATCTGCAGTCTTGGACGGAAGCCGCATCCAGCTCACCACCCACAGGTTCGGCGACCGGCAGTGCCCCGGAACTTGTCTGATGCCTTCCGGGCTGGTGGGGTCTTCGAGGTAGTCTATGGCGGATCGGAGGTACTCGCCGTCCATCCTGCTCAGCGCCTGCTGGATCCTCTCCAGTGTTTGTTCCATTGGCTCGGAAGCGAGCTCTCCGGCGAGAGCGACCGGCGTGGTGTGGAAGATCACGTTGCCGAAGTAACCTGCACAGGAAGAGGTGACAGGTATATTAGATTTATGGATTGGTGGATTTGGATAAAATGAATTGATAGATTGGATTCATGGAATCAAGTGACATTCAAACATTGAATCAATATGTAAATTTTGAAAAAGTTCAGGTACTAAAATATCATAATAAAGATTTAAGGTTCCAAATTATAAATCTCCAATGATATGTTGTGTTAAGAGATTAAAATTTAGGTATCAAAATGTCAACTATAAAATGTATTGTTACTTAAGTGTAGTTTTTATTAAATATCCATGAATCCACCAATCCTATAGGTCAAAGGTGGCAAATAGATTGGATTCGTGGGTTGATCGATCCATGGATCAAACGGATTGGTGGATTGGTAGATTGGATTCAAATGACATCTAAACATTTGGAACAATATGTAATTTTCAAAAAGTTTAGGTACCAAAACATCATAATGAAAAAACTTAGGTAGCAAAACATATTTTCAATAATATTTTACATAAAATTTTCAATTGGATTTGGATTTGATGGATTAGATATTTTAGTGGATAGATTGGATACAAAATTATTAATTATAACCAATCCAATTAGATTTGGATTAAATTGATTGAATTAATTGAATATATCAGTGAATGTATTAGATTGCACTGAACCAGTGGATTTGATATAAAATTGCCACTTCTACCTGGAGGAGGTGGAGGGCTGAGCCTCAACCTGCCATCAACAGACATCTGCATCTTGGTCGGCTGTATGTTGATCAAGCCGCGTGCTTTGCTTGCGCAACGCCATATATGCGCCGCGAGGATCTCGTAGGTGCTGTATCTGGCCCTGGCCATGTTCTTCAAGGTGTTGAGCTGCTCTGGTGTGATCTTTAGTATGGCGACGGTGGCTGGTTTCGGAGGGTTGTTTTTAGCAATCATCATGGTAGGGTGAGGATCGTACTCGATGTGTTGGAACTTTGGGGTCGCTGGTCGTCGAGCTCTCAGAATGGTGCGGTCCCAAAACGGAGTCGCTGTAACGGGTAAACCTCGAGCCATGTCTGCCCAAGTGTTGATGAAGCTCAGTGATGATTCTCCGTCGGCTAGAGCATGGTGGATTCCGATTCCAAGACATACTCCGCCGCACTTGAACCTTGTTACCTAAGAAAGTTGGAAGAAACATCAACTGCAATGTGTTAGTAAGTGGCATATGATCTATAATTGAATTTTTCCAAACAAAGTAATAGGACCAATTGGTTTTTGAGATGATATTAAAGAGCATTGAGTTACTGAGAGGTCTTCTATCGAATTCCGGTGACCTCATTTGTTAAACATATGATGTTCATACCTGGGCAAACTTCAAACCCAGGGCCTACCATTAACAGTGGGAATGGCACGTGAGTGGTTAATCCGACCCGTAAGTAGTGGGTATGTGATTGATGTGGGTGGAGTGTGGATTGATAAAACTCCCACCTGCACTTATGTGGGTGGGTGGGTGGTGGGTGGATTGCGGGTCACCCGAATGACCCACATCCTATTTTAACATGAAAAAGTATTGTTTCTTATAGTATCGAGTATTCATCATATTTCCGAACCACACTATAGTCTCACCATATACTTCTAGTTCTAAAGGTGGAGAAAAAAATAGTTTTGACTATTATTATTGTACCTTGTGTTGCGTAATATCCATTAGATATTGGATATTGGAATGTGAATTATTGTTAATATCCATTAAATATTGGGATGAAAACTATAAATTATGAATTGTATCAAAATAAAAAAAAGCGTAAGTTTCTCTACATAAGTAGATGATAGAGTAGTGAGAAGTGTCTAAACTGATACAGTCTTCCTAATTTGCTATGAGCTTATTATAAATGTTAGTCAACTTTCTTAAGGGTCGTTTGGATGTGGAAATTTGAAAACATGGAAATTGAGACCAATTTCCACATCATAGAAAACCTAGAAATTGTCATGTAGAAATTGGACAAAATTCCATGTTTGGATGAAACTGTTAAGTGTGGAAATTGTTGTTGTGGAATTGTGGAGAAATACAAAAATATCCTTCCTTATGCGATGTCGTTTCCTTTCCCATAGAGTCCTCTTCCCCTCCTTCTTAGTCGCAGCTGGCAAGAAGCCACGTTCTGTAATCCAGTCATCCTCCACCTAGTTCATATAAGGTCACAGAGGCCATTAAGTGGTACATGCATGGAAGAAGAAGGTGAAAGAATTATTGTTGGTGACGGGATTAAGGAGGTGAAGAATCAATTGTTGGTTTCTGATTTTTTTTAATCCCTATCGAAGAACGGGGAAGATGAAGGAACTGAAGAATCAATTGCTCCCCTCGAAATTAAGAACAGGCGAAAAATAAATTGACGGTGTCTGACGGCGTCGGGATTAAGAAGGGGCAAAGAAACAATTGTACATGTGGGTTTAGATTTAATCCTCGATTAACTCTGGGTATCATCCCTGCGTTTTGCCAGTCTTTTTCCCCATTTCAGAATCGTAAAGAAACCCAGCAGCTGCGGAGCGGATATTCTAGAACTCTTGCGAGTTGCGAGAAGAGGGGGAAAGGTATGTGAGAATTGATTTTTTTCCTCTCCTCAGCAGACTTTGATTGCGAAGGAATCACACTTCGTCTACAGCTCGCCGACGAAGGTCCGACCATTCTGTTCCCCGAAGATCGATTACAACAGCGAAATCCATGAAATCAAAGCGCCTGCAGCTCATAACAGAGCAGCTCAGCTCGCCGGCTTCCCAAACCACGATTGAGAGAGGAGGTATTAGATTAAGAAGTAGCGATGTGTACATAGCAAGAGAGAAGCCAGATAAGTGTGCAAAGATTCCTTCTTCAACGTTTCCAATTGAATATCAGATTATGTGTGTATAGTGTTCTTGGTTAGTTGTGTGTGCAGAACCTTAGAAAAAGGCAAGGTTAAAATGGGGTTTATAGTAAAAGAGGAGGGGTATAATTGGAAAGAAAATACTCATAAACGCAGGAATTGGAAATGCAGGGGGGTGGGTGCCGGATTTACCATTACCACATTTGTGGTAATGTAGCCCAATTACGGCGATCAATTTCCATGCTTTTTTTTCACAGCCAAACGTGGAAATTTGATTCAATTACTGCATATGGTGGGAATTGAGCCCAATTTCCATGTTAAATTACAGCATCCAAACGACCCCTTAATGATTTGTTGAAAAATTGCTTTTGCGGGTTAACCTACGACCCAACCGCACCCATTTGCCACCCACCCAATCCGACCCGCAGAAGAATGTGGGTGGATTGCGGGTCACAATTATTCCAACTTGCTAGTAAACGGGAGGGTCAATTTGAGACGAAAATCCATCCAACCCGCCCATTGCCCACCCCAAATATGGCGGAAAACTTAAACATTAGATTGTCTTTGATCTATTAATCAACACGTTGGATAATGCACACCTAATCTAATCATGGGTTCAAATAACTCTTATTTGTTCTTGCAAATATTTTACATACCTATTTATTTAACTTAACTTGATTAAGTGTAAGTTTAGTCTCAAACACTTCAATATTTCGATCTTTTTCATAAATTTTTTTTTTTATATTTTTTTATTATTCTCAAATTTCAACAATTTTCATTTAACTAACATTAAATGAATACACATTTATTTAACTTAACTAGACCGAAATGTTAGTTTAGTTTCTCTACTCCAGTATTTTAATCGCTTTAGTTCTTGAACTTAAAGTATATATCCATTTACCTCAGACAACACAAAAATTTGTGTTCTTCTAAGAAACGACTTGAGATATCGAAACCAACCGATTCTTTGACAGAATCATCAACGTTTGAAAACTCCTAGAAATGTATCATTTACTTTGAGTTGCAAAGTCTATCACCCTCCTAACCCTAACTCCCAAGTACTCCATACCTGGAGAATCACCAGCGGGTAAGAAGAAACCCCTCCCGAATAATCCACCCTAGGAACAAGCTCCACCGAGAGCTCCTCAGCCTCTTCTCCAGGCGAGAACTCTCGACGTCGACCAATATCCGCCATCAACAAGAAATCCCCGAGCTCAGCAAGGCTAGCCTCCGTTTCCGCCTCCTGAAACAGAACTCCTTCGCCGTTGCAATCCACCTCGAGCCTCCCATCACCACCGTCTCTCCGGAACCTCCCCGCCACTGGATAGAACGGCACCAGGGCCTTCCTCAGAGCCTCCTTCAGCACTCCGACGTCGAAGAAGGACTCCGAGGAGGAAGAAGCAGGAGGCTTGTTGTACGCACAGATCGCTCTCGTGACGTGGCTTCTCAGCTGGAGAAGGTCCAGGTTTGACAGCCACAGGCTGTGCCGCGGCCTGGATTCTGCTGGCCGGACCATGGTGGTTTCTTTCACGGTCACCTTCATCGTGGTTGGATTGAGTGAGGAAGATGGCGGTGAGAGATTTCTTCGTGCCCAAGGGGGGCAGTTACTTATATAGCAAGAAAGGAGGGACTGAAGTGGGCTTCATTAACTCGATCTGGTGGTGGGTTCCTTTGGTATAGGTTAGGCGTGTATTGAATCACCTGTCGTCATGGTTAATCTTGATCAACTTTAGTTGTGAGTTTCTCGTCGTAAAGGAAAGTTATGTGATTAGAATGTAGGGATGGCAAAAATATCTGTAAATGTGGATATCTGCCCGAATTTGACCTACTCGGGTAGGGTAAAACTCGAATTCGAAGGATTTTTAGTGGGTACGGGTAAAACCCGAACCCGAATATATTGCGGATAATGGGTGGGCATGGGTTTCTCACTATCCAACCCGAATCCACCCGATTATACACAAACATATGTATTTTGTCAAGAAATAATCATTATTTTTCTCTAACATATTTTATATTTAGCATATAAATATAATATTTTTATGAAATTGTGTTGTTTTAATTAATTTTCTTAATTCTAGTGAATTATTATCGTACTTTTTCTCTTCCGTAATGTGAGAATACGTGTGAATGTTAACATATAATTGGTTGGAGTGATGAAGAGAAACTATTACCCATGGATACCCGAAAACCGAACGGGTATGGGTATGGTTTTTATTTTCTACCCATTTCTTATGTGAGTATGCGTATGGATAATACCTGAACTACATTGGGTAGGGTAACGGATATACACTATCCGCCCCGCCCCGCCCCGCCCTGCCCGTACCCATTGTCATCCCTAGCTAGATTGGAGTCCAGTGTGCCTTCAGGTAGTTCAAATGACACAAAATTTGTAGACAATAACAAGATGTTTAAAGTGTCTCTCAACTTTTGAATAACCACGCTAACGCATTCCCCTAAATGAGTTACAAGATGGGTGGATAAATGTTCTAGTAAGGTCAGAGTAATTAATCTGCTGCAAAGTTGATCTCTCTCTATAAACATGCTCCAGCCGAATCTGTTAAGATTGTTCCGCTAAAGTTGTATAATGGTAGCATTGACGAGTAATGTGGGTGGTGTGTCGTTATGTAAAAAAGAAAAAAAAGCATAACCCTAGCTAGTTCCAGGCGATTTTAATGAGATCATGCACAATTCCAGTAAGCTATATGCAAGTAATAAAATCTATATATCTCTAGGTCCACCGAAAAAAAGCTTCAATGGAGCGATAATTTTCCCCTTTCTCATAATGCTACTAGCTAGCTAGCTGCCGCTTAAAAAGAGACAGATCCATTAATATAAATCCCTTATGGCTTATTGTGGTGGTATATAAGTGCACTTAGGTAGGACGACTGTATACCAAGAGAAAAGCAAAATGTCAAAGCAAAGTTAGGCAGGGATAATAAAGGGATTTTAAAGCAAAAAACAAAAAATAAGTACGCGGTTTTATCTAGCTTAATATATATATTTATGTGGCTTTTTACATGTCTCACATACTATTAACTTGTGCAAAGCAAATGAAAATGGGTTAGTAAAAACTCGTTTAGTATCGTATTATATACTATTTGTGTACATATTAAAAATGAGTTTTAAACATCAAACACGTTTAAAATTCATTTTTTGTACTATTGTATAATTGTCATTTTTTTGCAGTTTGTTTGATGTTTCGGGTACTAAACTCGTATACAAATTACAAAGTTTAATAGATGCTTATATTTTTATTTTTGGCTTTACTTGTCTCAGGTACTATAAACTTATGTAAAAAAAAGTAGAGTTAGTTAAAATTTATTTAATACTAATGTAGTATTCGTATACATATTAAATAGTTGTCACACTTTTCTGTATTTGGTTGATGTTTTACAAACTGGATGCGTATGGAAACTTGAATACTTACTTATATATTTTTGGCGCTTGTGTTTCTAAAATGAGCTCACTTACTATGTTCTAAAGTATTGTTGCTTTAGTATGTTTACTACCGTTGGATCTTATTCTTATATATAAACCATTAGATCAAATTGAATAAATTAATATATTATTTGTTTTGGCTAATGGAAACCGGTTGCACCGGTTGAGGAATTAAATAATTAAAAAAGAAAAAAAATTGTATCTACATTTTCTAACGAATCTATTGGTACAACTCAAAGTTGTACCTATATGCTATGGAACAACTTTAAGTTGTACTTATACTTTCCAAAAAATTTCTCAATAGTACAACCCAAACTTGTACCTATATGATGGTACAATTTTAAGTTGTACCTACACTTTCTAATAAATCCCTCTAGGGTACAATTCAAAGTTGTACCTTTACTTATGGTACAACTGATATGATCTCAATTTGGACATTAAAACGATTGGAATTGATCGATCATGAAGGCAAGCTAGGCACGTTGAAGAATACTGATTTTTGCCTAAGTGTTTATGATGATTTCAGATACCCACTTTGGACAAGCATAACTCTCTATTGGCTTGATGAAAACTCGAGTTCTTGGGCTTGTGTTGAAGAAGAGGAGCTGCTCTTTCAAATGGTATACTTTGGAGCTCAAGAGGAAGTCTAGAAGCTGGGTTTTCTGAGTGATCAATATGCTAGCTCAACACTGGAAAAACTGTTAGATATGTTTAAGTATGGAAGCCGATTTGGGAAGGGTTCTTTGTGGTTCGATTCGTGGAGATTGGAGAAGAGTTGAGTTTCCACATTCATACCACACGAAAGCAGGTTTATTCTAGTGTATCGAAGGGCATTTGTTGATCAAGGTGATGTTTGAAAGTGCTCGAACGAGAAGCTTCAAGAACGTATCGACACTTGTTGGAGGAAGAACAATCCTAATCCGAGAAGGATTATGATTAACCCGCTGTTTGTTTTAATTTCCTTTTCCGGTTAGAATTCGTGTCTGTTTGAGTTATAGCCTGTTTAGGATGGTCTTTACTTGTGTTGTTAGATTAATTAGCCTATTTAAACGCATGTCTACAATGTAATCGTTAGTTTTTTGCTCAATTGAATACAAAGTTGGCTTTGGTTCATCTTGCTCTTTGCTTGACGAATTTGAGTGGATTGCTTAGGCGTTTTTAAGCAATCGAGTGCTTGTATCGATCAGCTAGTCACACTGATTCGTGGCCAAGCTTCTACCCTAAGTTTCGAGCCTTTCTCCCCTTGTGAGGATTGCTGAAGTTCCATCCCCATTCATCGATTTTATCCCTGTTTCTGTTCGAGGAATTGAGCTAAGAGTTAAATTCAATTCTCAACTGCGCAACTCTGATCTAAAGCCCTATCTGCGTTTAAGTTGTACCTACACTTACTAACAAATCCTTCTATGGTATAACCTTATCTTGTACCTATATGTTATGGTACAAGTTTAAGTTGTACCTTTCCAATAAATCCTTCTATGGTATAACCAAAACTTGTACCTATACGTTATGGTACTAGTTTAAGTTGTATCTACACTTTCTAGAGTTGTACCTATACACTATGGTACAATTTAAAGTTGTACCCACACTTTCCCAAAAATCCCTATGGTACAACCTAAACTTGTACATATATGATGGTACACCTTTAAGTTGTACCTACGCTTTCTAACAAATCCCTCTATGGTACAACTCAAAATTGTACCTATACTTTATGGTACAACATAATGTTGTACCTACACTTTCTAACAAATCCTTCTTTGGTACAACCCAAACTTGTACCAATACCATGGTACAACATTATGGTATACCTACACTTTCTAACAAATTCCTCTATGGTACAACTAAAAATTGTACCTATACTTTATGGTACAACTTTCTAACAAATCCTTCTACGGTATAACCAAAACTCGTACCTTCACGTTACGGTACAAGTTTAAGTTGTACCTACACTTTCTAGAGTTGTACCTATACACTAGGGTACAACTTAATGTTGTACCTACACTTTCCCAAAAGTCCCTCTATGGTACAACCCAAACTTGTACCTTTACGTCATGGTACAACTTTAAGTTGTACCTACACTTTCGAATACATTCCTCTATGGTACAACCCAAAATTCTACCTATACGCTATGGTACAAAGTTATATCTACACTTTCCATCAAACCCCTCTGTGGTACAACCCAAATTTGTACCATCATGCTATGATACAATTTAAAGTTGTACCTACACTTTTAGAAAAATCAATCTATGGTACAACCTAAAATGGTACATACACGTTATGTACAATTTTGAGTTGTACCTACACTTTTGGAACAAATTACTCAATGGTACAACCTAAACTTGTACCTATACAATATAGTACAACTGTAATTTGTACCTACACTTTCGATTATGTATTATTCATGATTTATAAGATTGTCATTAATAATGATGTGGGACCGATCATTAAGTGGGTTTACCTGTCCAACTAGTCACTTTTGTTTTTATAGCATGGGTGCTATAACTAGGACTCTTCTAAAATACCATTAACTTGGGTAAAGCAAAAGAAAATATGCATAGTTAGAAAATTTCATTTAATATTTGTATACATACGAAATAAAAGTTTTGCAATTGGAGTGCAGTGCGCTTTCGGTAGTCCAAATGGTTAGGAATCTGTAAACAATAACAAGACACTTAAATTGTCTCCCAAGTCCCAACTTTTATATATGAATGAAACGAGACGACTTAATTAATTCTAATTTGATCAAATCACAATTAATACCACAATGAATTGCAGGGTGAGTGGAAAATATGCACTCTCATAGTGAGGTCAGATAATAACCACAAGGTCAGACATGTCAAGGCTGTGCTCTCTCTGAATCTCCTATGGTAACTCTGGCGATGTCTCCCTCCGGTCGTCCACCGGACGATTCGACTTCAACTCCGATGGTGATGACAATAAGTGAGCCACCGGCAAATCCTGTAGCAGCGAACTCCGCTCCTATGGCGGTGGATAACAGTTCCTCGAAGGGGGAGCAGACTACTCCTAATGGTAACAGCTTGCAACAACCACCAATCTCGTATGCTAAAGCGGTGGCTGGAGCCGACCAACAAGGACCCCCTAACAGCACAGGTTTGGACTCCGGTGGGCGAACATGATTTGGTTCCAGGACTGGTGAATGGCGAACTGGCGCTGCGGATCTCTGATGGATTCAAGGGTCGGCTATGCGCTCCGTGGCAAAAAACGTTGGTCGTGCGTCTGCTGGGACTTCGCATTAGCTTTACCACGTTATGCTCTCGGCTTCGCGGCTTATGGCGGCCTAAAGGATCGATGGAAATTATGGATTTGGATGATGCCTGCTATCTCGTGCAATTATCAAACGAGCAGGATTATTTCAAGGCACTCACTGATGTACCATGGGTTATCTACGATCATTATCTTGCAGTTCAACAATGGACGCCCAATTTTGGGATTTTCGACCCCTTGCCAAAGACCATGATCGTATGGGTTCAGCTTCCAGCCCTCAAAGTTCACTTCTATCATCGTGAGGTTCTCACGTCGCTTGGAAATCTTATTGGCCGTACAATCAAACTCGACTACCATACGATCAATCGTCAACGAAGGAAGTTCGCTCGCCTGGCGGTGGAGATTGACATGTCTAAACCCCTGGTTCCCCGGATCTTCTTGGACGACCACTGGCAGAAAGTGGAGTATGAAAATCTCCCGATGGTTTGCTTCGATTGCGGGAAAGTTGGCCACGATTCTGGTGGCTGCTAAAATATTCAACCGGCGACTACCAGCGGGCAACTAACCATCGCCGGGGGACAAATTCCGACCACGCAGGTGACCGTTGGGGAAGCGGATCAGCCGGGATTTGGGCCCTGGATGTTGGTTACCAAAAAGAGCCGTCGCTCCTCTAGGGATTCTTCGAAGAAAGGAAAGTCGGAGCAGGATCAGGGGATTGGGAATCAAGGACAGACGAACAAAAACGGGAAAGGAGGAATTATGATTAAAGATGGGGATTCTCTCTCGTCAGCAGTCACGGGGACGAAGAATACGGCGAATCAACGTTCGCAGGGCTAAGAAAGGAAAGGGATTTCAATTGGGACGGAAGGGGAGGTCTCTGTGGGTAATGGAAGTTCTAAAGGGAAGGAAGGCACTCGGGTGATTAAGGATCTGGGCAAGGGCATCTTGGGCTCCGGCCCAACCCAAAGAGATCCTGTTAATGCTGGGCCTCGGTCCAAACCAGAGTTGAATAAACCCTCCACGTCAGCCCAACCCCCTGCTTCTCCCATCGAGCGATGTAACCAGTCAGCCCTTGAAGATTTGGGTTTGGAGTCTGGGCTCACTACGGGTAAAGGGTCTCTACCGTCGAACCAACCGCCGGTTCAACTGGTGGTCGGGTCGAATGGAACTAAGATGCAGATTATCTCCGTCCCCTCGTCCCCAAAGAAGAACAAGCAATCGGATTCCAGGTCCCCGACGGCAGCGGAACAAACGAAGCCAAATAAAAGCCATCGGCGGCAACACAAGAAGGGGAGTACTCCTGTTAAACTCCAGGCTTCAAAGGCTCTTCAAGTATGGTCTCCTGTGAAAGATAAGAAAGCTAAAGCTAGGAATCAGATGGCGACCCTTACGCTTCAAGAGATCAACGCCTGGACGGGTGCTGTGGCGCTTGATGGACGAGGCTTTGAGCAAGGAGGTGCTCGGCCAATTCAAGTTGAGCAACCTGCCGCTGCGGGAGACGAGGCTACTGCCGTCAAGGCCCAGCTCTAATTTGGTGATTTTGTTCCTTATCCCTCTCCTCGTTTCCTTTCTGCTTTCCTTATATTGTCAATGTCAATGTCATCTTCTAATAGCTATAGTATTCTTGCTTGGAACGTTGGGGGAGCTTGGAGTAAATCTTTCTCTCGTGCTCTTAAGCTCACCATTCAGACTCATAAACATCATTTTGTTGTTCTCTTGGAACCGCAGATCAGTGGCAATGCAGCCAACAATGTTTGCGATAGATTGGGTTTTCCGGATGTGATTCGAGTAGAGGCAGATGGGAGGCAAGGTGGCATTTGGATCTTTTGGGATGCGCGTCGCTTCAAGATTCAGATCATTTCGGCCTGCTTTTAACATATCAGCATCCGTATTTCGCAGAATAACATGCCAGACTGGATGCTTACTGCGATTTATGCTTCTCCTCAAGCTAACCGGCAGCGACCGCTTTGGGACAACATCTCTGCTCAGAGCAAATCAATTGATATTCCATGGCTTCTTACGGGGGACTTTAACGCCATTAGAGTTCCTTCGGAGAAGTCCGGGGCAGCGTCTGTGGCAACGTTGCGGAGATGTCGCATTTTTAATGAGAGGATCAATGAGGCTGAGCTGGTGGATCTCGGGTACTCTGGCCCCAACTTTACTTGGACTAGGGGGGAGGAGTCGGGCACCTATAAAGCCAGCAGAATTGATAGAAGCCTTTGCAATACCTTGTGGAATGCGGTCTTCCCTAACACAAATGTCCGCCACCTGTCCTGTCTGAACTCGGATCATAACCCAATTCTCACTTCTTTTGCTACTCAGGGGCACTCTTTCCACCCTCCTCGTGCTTTCAAATTTGAGGCTGCCTGGCTTACTGATAATACTCTATTGAACACTATTGCAGGTGCTTGGGATCCTTCTGCTCCGCTGCCGAACTCTTTGCTTGCTTTGAGCTCGGTACTTCAGACCTGGAATAGGGACGTGTTTGGAAACGTCCAGCAGAAAAAGAGGAGGTTGCTTGGGCGTATTCACGGAGTGGAGAAGCGCCTCTCCGAAGCTTTCCACCCTGGACTGGCTAAGCTCCATTCTAAACTTGAAGCCGAGTTAGATGTCGTCTTGGAGCAAGAGGATTGATCTGGTTCCAAAGGGCTAGAGAGAGCTGGGTCAAGTTGCGCAACACCAGTTATTTCCACCAGCAGGCTAACATCAAGAGGCGTAAAAATAAGATCTCGGCTCTTCAAGACCCCACAGGGGTTTGGATCGATGACCCTCAAGCCCTTGTTAGCATGGTGTTTGATTTCTATACTAATCTCTATCTGCAGACAGTTCTGTGTACGAGGATAGGATGCCGAAGAATGCTTTTCCTCGCCTTGCTCAGGAGGAGCTCCTTGCTTTGCTGAGACCTTTCACCATTATGGATATCCATAAGGAAATCTTTGAGATGAAGCCCTTTCAAGCCCCCGGGCCGAACGGTTTTCATGCAGCTTTCTATCAGCAGGCCTGGAGTGTGGTTGGGAAGTCCCTTACTGATATGGCTCTGGATTTCTTCAACTCTGGAGCGCTCCCGGCCGAGGTTTCCGAGTCTACAGTCGTGCTCATTCCCAAGGTTGACCACCCAGAGTTTGTGACTCAGCTTCGGCCTATCTCATTGAACAATGTGAGCCTTAAGGCCATCACCAAAGCTATCACTAGTAGGTTGAAGCCGGTCATGAGGAATCTCATCTCTCCTCGCCAAAGCAGCTTCATCCCAGGTCGTCAAACTACAGATAACGTTATAGTCGTGCAGGAGGTTCTTCACTCACTCAGGAAGAGGAAGGGAAAGAAAGGGGGTCTGATCCTTAAGATCGACCTCGAGAAAGCGTATGACATGCTTAGGTGGGATTTCCTTTGCGATACTTTGATGGAGGTGGGGCTTCCCAGCTCTTGGATCCGGTGCATCATGTATTGTGTGGAGCAGAACAAGATGTGCATTCTCTGGAATGACACTCTGTCATCCCCCATTATCCCTACCCGCGGTGTTCGCCAGGGAGATCCCCTTTCCCCATATCTTTTTGTTTTATGTATGGAGCGATTATCTCATAGAATTGATGCGGCCCTCCATAGTGGGCAATGGAAGCCTATTAAGCTCACTAGGGACGGGCCACCTGATGACTCGGTATTTGCACATATTTTCCCCTTTGTTTCTTGATTGTTTGAGCTTGAATTATTGCGTCTTTGTCCTATTTTATGCTAGGTTGTGTTCCTTTGTCACATTTCAGGTCCTAGCACATAAACTGAAGCATAGGCGCAAGTTTAAAATCAATCAGAGATCAATTGACGATTCGGGAGAAGAAACTCGGGCATGACCTGAAAAAGAATGGATTTCTACCTCTCTTTATGAACAAAGAATCATGCAAGCTTGTCATGAAAAGAAAGAGGACGAGGCTACGAGCGTCTGGGATCAAACGGGGACTGATTCGGAGTCCGGACGAGGGAGAAACGAAGCATTAAACAGAGGCTGAGCAAGCCACACGGGCATCCTTGAACTCCACACGGCCGTGTGGGTCATGGCCGTGTGGAAATCACCGAGCCTTCACACGGGCAGCTGGGAAAGCCACACGACCTTGTGGCCTGGCCGGGTGATCGGGAATTTCTGTTTAAAACTCGATTTTCAGCCAAAGGAAAGGGGAGAGATGGGTTTTTGGTTCCCAAACACCCAAGGAACGAACCCTAGAGAGAGAGCGACTTGGGAACATTCTTGGAGCTATTTTGGAGGATTTCTTCGCCATTGGAGCTCGGGAATCAAGCTTGGAGATGGAGATTGAAGATCTAGATCAGATTTCTGCAGTCTCTCTCTTCTCTATGGAGTAACTTCCCTTCACTTAGGTTTTGAGGAACCCTAGTTCCATGTGTTAGGATCTTTCTTGTATGAAGTTTTGGATGCTATATTGTTTGATTATAATCGATTGAGGCATGATTTATTGAGTCAATTGAATCTTGATCAAATTCTCTTGATTTCTGCTTTAACCTATGATAGATAGAATATGATTAGGTTAAGAGAGCTTCCTTGATTGATGGTGGTGAATTGGTTATACGAGAGTTAGTCAATCTACTGCTTTGTACTGGAATCCAATTCCGGTAGTGGAGTTCTGTGTTCATAGCCTCAGCTTTCTATCCCGGTGAAGGTTAGTCGCCTGCCGGGTAGTTGGACTGAGAGGGCTTGGTCAGCTTAAGAGATTCCAAGCTACTGTCGGATCTTGCGCAGTTTAATCAACAGTAGATCAACCAAAGGTAATTGCAACTTGGACCTAATTGAGGAGCTAGGGGGAATCATACCTAAGTGAGTTCACAACTTGTAATTAGTAGAGTAGTCAGTAGAGTAGTTTATAAATCAATCCTTAATCTAGTTTGCTAGATAATTAACTGAAGCTGAGTAATAGTAACTCTAGAGACCCGTGGATTTGATATTTATTACTTGTGCCACTATACTGCAGTCCCTTTCATTGGTTACACTTGGCCATTGTTAGGTGTTGTGTTTTAGCGTGTCAAGTTTTTGGAGCCGTTGCCGGGGACTTTCTAGATTATTAGGAAAGGCAGAAGTTTGTTACTTTAGTGTTTTTCTTTTGTTTTCCGCCCTTGCTTTTCACTTGGGTATTTTTTTTTTGTTTTTGTTGGTGCAGATTTGAATCATGGACCCTCATGGCTTCTCCAATCATAGGGGGTATCCACCACCATCCGAGTGGTATTACCCCGAGAATCCCTGGAGTAACCAAGGAGGAGAAGACTATGGAGTCCGGGTTTCAGTACCAACCCCCTACTACGAAGAACAATCAGACCCCTGGGTATTTCAAGAACAATCTCCTTATCAAGAAGAATTCCTCCCACAACAAGAAGGGCCATCAGATCTTGAGTTCGCCACAGCCTTCACGGGCGATCCGGCAGAGCCATGTTACACTCCACAGCCAGATCCAAACTATCACTTGAGGCTTCTTGTGGAGCAGATTGCTCGAGTACTTGAGAGATCCTTTCCCGAGATGGATCCTCATATCCAGGCCATTGCCCAAACTGACTTCTCCTTTCCCCGTGAAACAGAGGATACCCTTCGGAGCATAAAGAAGCACATAGAGGTCTTTGAGAAAGCCTGTTCACAGTTTTCTCAAGACAACCTTTATGCTGCCATACAAGTAGAGGTGGAGGAAGAAGAAGGCAATCGTGAGGATGTTGAGGAGCATACAGAAGTTCTCAAGGAAAACTCCCATGATAATCATGATCAAGTTTATCCTCTAGTGGTAGATCACAACTTTCCCCATTTCCGCTCTGACATGCTGGGCCCGAGCGAGGAGATGCAAGCTGAACTTATTGAGAACCTTGCATGGCGACTTGCTCTCCAATCAATTATGGAAGAAGAAGAGAGAGAAAGGGTGAGGAAAGAAGTTGTGGAGGATGAGGAAGAAAGAAAAGAAGAGGTAGTTCTTAATCTTTTCCGAGGAGAGAGACCACATTTTGAAGAAGGAGGGGGGGGGGGGGGGTTGAAGAAGCGAGTGGTGTCCAGGATGAGGATGAAGTTGAGGTGGAAGAGGCTTGCACCGGCCCTATAATACAAGTAATATACCGACCAAACTTCGAGGAACTACTTAGCAAGGACCCATTTGCAGTGTCTCTTTGCCAGACCAAGGCCACATCGACATCGGTCCCTCTTGGTGGACGCGATGGTGGTCAATCGATGTTGTCATATATGGTTTGGGGCAATGAGACGAGAGAAGAGAAGAAGAGGTCTCGAGGATGGAGACTTCATCTGCATCAAGTGCACGAGCTTCCATCACCAGTCATACCACATGCTCGTGACTTGCAACTCCACCTCATTGACGAGAACCTCAACTTCAAGGAGGTTCTGGCATGGACCAAAACTTAGGAGCCATCGTCCGGCTCACGACGTGAAAGAAGCGCTTGTTGGGAGGCAACCCAACCAGTCGGTTTGCATTTCTTTCTCTATTTCTCCTCGGTTGAGTCAGTTTTGTTATTTGATTTTAGAGTCAATAACTCAACCTTTGTGAGATTTTGTGTGGTGTTTGCGTTCTGATTACTCTCTCTTCCTGGAATGCACCGCCTGACCTGTCCATCATCATTCACCCTTGATCTGGTAACTTCGTTCTACCCTCCTTATCTTTCCTCCAGTGAGGACAATTTCGTGCTTAAGTGTGGGGGGGTGTTCGATTAAGTATGCGGGTGAATGTTTGGCTGTTTGTGTGCTTGGAGCCTAGTCCACTGTCCAAATTTTTAAATTTGAGGGCTCCAAGTACGTGTTTCCTTGCAAATTGCCTGCTCAGTATGCTTTGAATCGACTTCTCTATAGTAATGTGCAACCTAGGGAGGTAGTGTAGCACTATGGAGGATGTTGAAGTATAAGATTTTTCCTATCTAGCTCTCTGTTGTGCCAGTTGATTTTGTGAATTAGTGGAGCTAAGACCGTTGAATTCATGTGGTAATGGTGACTCTGTTTGGATTGTGTTATGGACTCGTGTATCGAACAGGGTGCTCATATGGAAAATGGGAAGCAGTTGGTCCTCCATGTCGAAATCATTGAAATCTTAAACATGGGGTAAGCCCAACGTGTGTGGCACCGTTCATTGCACAAAATCGGATTTTGGAAGAGATTTTAGTGATCCTTAGTGGGGTAATCCTACAAGGTGAAGCTAAGCTGTCTCTAGTACAAGTGAAATTTTCACCCGTTGAACGGTTTGCCTACTTGAGGATGTGTTTTTAAGGGCACGGATAGAGCTTCCGACCCCCCTTGATTTCATTGACCCTCCAAACGAGTTGAGGAAAAGGAGTTAAAAGAAGTACTCTGGTGAGCGCTAGATGTACAAAAATTGCTCTTGCTCGACTAATAAGGGTCGACCGTGCAAAAGACTGCAGTTGGAACCCCCGCCAAGTGAATGAAGAAAAAAAGAGAAAAAGAAACGTAAATGAAAGTGCAAAAAGGGGTTCCAACGGTGAAATGAAGTGAAAGAGCACCCCGGTACAACGAGTCCTTGGTTGTGAATGGTGTGAGTCCCTTTGTCCATGAACTGACTGTCTTACTTCTACTTCTTCTCATGTTCCTGGCTTGAGTTTAGTACTCGCATTGAGAGAGATAGGGGACGTCTTAGAAGACCAATTGACCTCGTAAGCTGCTATATGATCTAGGAAATCCTCTACCGGCGATCGGGGTTGTTTGTTGCTCTAGAGGTCTAGAGAGCTGCATTGGTTTGAGTTAGGTTTGCTTGGGGACAAGCAAACAGTTAAGTGTGGGGGGATTTGATGACTCGGTATTTGCACATGTTTTCCCCTTTGTTTCTTGATTGTTTGAGCTTGAATTATTGCGTCTTTGTCCTATTTTATGCTAGGTTGTGTTCCTTTGTCATATTTCAGGTCCTAGCACATAAAGTGAAGCATAGGCGCAAGTTTAAAATCAATCAGAGATCAATTGACGATTCGGGAGAAGAAACTCGGGCATGACCCGAAGAAGAATGGATTTATACCTCACTTTATGGACAAATAATCATGCAAGCTTGTCATGAAAAGAAAGAGGACGAGACTACGAGCGTCTGAGATCAAACGGGGACTGATTCGGAGTCCGGACGAGGGAGAAACAAAGCATTAAGCAGAGGCTGAGCAAGCCACACGGGCATCCTGGAACTCCACACGGCCGTGTGGGTCGTGGCCGTGTGGAAATCACCGAGCCTTCACACGGGCAGCTAGGAAAGCCACACGGCCGTGTGGCCTGGCCACGTGATCGGGAATTTCTGTTTAAAACTCGATTTTCAGCCAAAGGAAAGGGGAGAGCTGGGTTTTTGGTTCCCAAACACCCAAGGGACGAACCCTAGAGAGAGAGCGACTTGGGAACATTCTTGGAGCTATTTTGGAGGATTTCTTCGCCATTGGATCTCGGGAATCAAGCTTGGAGATGGAGATTGAAGATCTAGATCAGATTTCTGCAGTCTCTCTCTTCTCTGTGGAGTAACTTCCCTTCACTTAGGTTTTGAGGAACCCTAGTTCCATGTGTTAGGATCTTTCTTGTATGAAGTTTTGGATGCTATATTGTTTGATTATAATCGATTGAGGCATGATTTATTGAGTCAATTGAATCTTGATCAAATTCTCTTGATTTCTGCTTTAACCTATGATAGATAGAATCTGATTAGGTTAAGAGAGCTTCCTTGATTGATGGCGGTGAATTGGTTATACGAGAGTTAGTCAATCTACTGCTTTGTACTGGAATCCAATTCCGGTAGTGGAGTTCTGTGTTCATAGCCTCAGATTTCTATCCCGGTGAAGGTTAGTCGCCTGCCGGGTAGTTGGACTGAGAGGGTTTGGTCAGCTTAAGAGATTCCAAGCTACTGTCGGATCTTCCGCAGTTTAATCAACAGTAGATCAACCAAAGGTAATTGCAACTTGGACCTAATTGAGGAGCTAGGGGGAATCATACCTAAGTGAGTTCACAACTTGTAATTAGTAGAGTAGTTTATAAATCAATCCTTAATCTAGTTTGCTAGATAATGAACTGAAGCTGAGTAATAGTAACTCTAGAGACACGTGGATTCGATATTTATTACTTGTGCCACTATACTGCAGTCCCTTTCATTGGTTACACTTGGCCATTGTTAGGTGTTGTGTTTTAGCGTGTCAAGTTTTTGGCGCCGTTGCCGGGGACTTTCTAGATTATTAGGAAAGGCAGAAGTTTGTTACTTTAGTGTTTTTCTTTTGTTTTCCGCCCTTGCTTTTCACTTGGGTGTTTTTTTTGTTTTTGTTGGTGCAGATCTGAATCATGGACCCTCATGGCTTCTCCAATCATTAGGGGTATCCACCACCATCCGAGTGGTATTACCCCGAGAATCCCTGGAGTAACCAAGGAGGAGAAGACTATGGAGTCGGGTTTCAGTACCAACCCCCTACTACGAAGAACAATCAGACCCCTGGGTATTTCAAGAACAATCTCCTTATCAAGAAGAATTCCTCCCACAACAAGAAAGGCCATCAGATCTTGAGTTCGCCACAGCCTTCACGGGCGATCCGGCAGAGCCATGCTACACTCCACAGCCAGATCCAAACTATCACTTGAGGCTTCTTGTGGAGCAGATTGCTCGAGTACCTGAGAGATCCTTTCCCGAGATGGATCCACATATGTAGGCCATCAACCTTGTTGGATGGGAAAAGATGATCTTGCCAAAGATCCAAGGAGGAGCTGGCCTCCGCTCCGTGCGGAAGGCCAATCTGGCCATGCTTGCAAAGAGTGGGTGGAGACTCCTAAAAGAGAAGGATGTGCTTTGGACGCAGATGGTCAAGGACAAGTACGTCCGGAACAAAGAGAATCTTGATCTCTTTCGTCATGTTCAGGGAAGTTCCTTTACCTGGAAAAGCTTGACCAAAGCTTCCTCCCTTCTTAAAGAGGGATGCGCTTGGAATATTAAAAATGAGAATACTACTAAGTTTTGGCACGATTCTTGGATTGCGCAGGAACCTCTCAAGAACCTGGCGGTCGAGGAGATTCCTAGCTCGCGCATGGAGGAGGTTGTGGCAGATCTGGTGACTGAAGAGGGAGAATGGCGCACCGATATGTTCGAGGATATCCTTCCACAAGAGATTCAGCAGAAAATTACAGGGGTGGCAGTGGATAAGCTCTCCATCGAGGAGGATACTCTTTTCTGGTCGCTGTCCTCGACTGGACGTTTCACCACCAAGACCGCCTACCAGTCTCTTCTGCCCCAGGAGGTCGATCGTGATGAGAAGTATTGGAAGATCATATGGAGCCTGCCCGTTCCGGAGAGGATTCGTTGTTTTATGTTTCTGGTTTGCCTTGGCAGGATCGCGACTAATGTCCTCCGCTTTTCCTGGAAGTCAGCCGCTTCTCCCTATTGTGTGCGGTGTAATGGGAGAGCTGAGACTGTCCTTCACATTCTCAGGGATTGCCCTCCGGCGGTTTATTTCTGGACAAGGCAGGTCCCCATTGCTAATCAACAAAGATTTTTCTCGGCAGACACATCAGGATGGCTTCGGATGAATTTTATGGAGGGTGAGTGCGAGAAGCTAGGGGTCAGTTGGGAGACTCTGTTCAGTATTGCCACTTGGCTCCTGTGGAAGAACAGAAACGACATGCGTTTCAAAGGTTTGTCTTCCACCCTCACTCCTCCCTCATTGGCCCATTCGATTCTTGCCAAGACAAAACTCTGGAGTGAAGCTTGGAGTGCCCCATCACTGTTGCCGAGCCGAAGGGCGACCCCTGTCAACAGGGTTATGGCGGACATCGCTTGGAGCTCGCCTGTGGAGGGGTGGGTGAAACTGAACATCGACGGAGCCTCTAATGGGAATCCCGGGATGGCTGGGGTTGGTGGCGTCTTGAGAGACAGTATGGGGCATTGGATTGTTGGATTCATGGCGAAGATTGGAGAAGCTACTGCCGCTCTGGCAGAATTATGGGCCTTTTATCACGGCTTGGATATTGCTTGGAAGTCCGGGTACCGACAGATTGTGGTTGAGTCTGATTCTCAGCTGGCCATTCAGTTACTCAACAACTGACATGATCCAGTTCATCCCTATGCCACCTTATTAGCTGCTATTCGCAGGAGAGTGAGTCGTGACTGGCTGGTGCGCATCGTTCATGTGTACCGGGAAAGGGAATAGAGTCGCGGACTGGCTCTCGAAGCACAGTCTCGTCTATCCCTACGGGTTACATGAGCTTGCGTATCCGCCGTCAGGAGCTATGGCCATCCTCGAAGATGATGTGCAGGGAGTCTCGTTCGAACGACGGATTGTTTCCCGCCAGGATAGTTCTTCCTCACCTCACCCCCTTATGTAACTTTCTTTGCTTGGCTTGCACCTCCTGCTATGCAAAAAAAAAAAAAAAAAATGAGAGAGTCGGTGTGTAAACGAGCATTCAATTTCCCCTCCTAAAAATGCTTCTAGATGCACTGTTAGAAAGAGAGTGATCAACCATCTATAATACGACATACCCATCCCTTATTGTCGTGGTATAACTTTAGTTAGGCATGACTATTGTGTAGGAATGTGTTAGCGTGGTTACTGAATTTTAAGTAAGCATGGTGACTATCGAAATTTACATCCTTAATTATTTTTATTTCATTCTATTTTTAAATTGACGGTAATGATTAGATTAAGGGTAATTTTGGAAACAAAAAATTGCCATACCTGATTACTCTGTATATTCTACCAAAACTCTAGTGCAACCCATCTTCCCAATCGTCTCTACCAAACTCCCTCTCCCTCTCTCTCTCTCTCTCTCTCTCTCTCTCTCTCTCTCTCTCTCTCTCTCTCTCTCTCTCTCTCTCTCTCCCAAACGTCCACCAGAAATCAATCTCTCCAGAGAAACCCTATACCACACAATCAATCTCTACCAAACCCCTCAGAAATCAATCTCTCCAAGAGTCCCGACCTAGTTTGCCTTATTCACCCGATTCGTAAAGGCTGCTACGGCGAAGACCACGGTGTCACCCATGCCGGATGCATGTGGAGGTAGAGAACATGGCGCTGATCTCTGGCGACGGGACCAAGCTTCCGGTGATGAACGCGGCGGAGCAGGCGAGAGGCGATGCAAGCAGGGGTAACTCCCGTCGGCGGTGGTTAGGGGTATTGTTTTGGTACTTGTTTGGTTTTTATTTTGGTATTGATTTGGTTTTATTTTGGTATTTGTTAGTGTATTAACGATTTGGTATTGACTAAATCTCCTCTCCAGAGAATATAAAAACATAGATCTAGGTTTTTTTTTTCATTTTGGTATTGGTTCGTTTCTAATGTGGTCTTGGTTGTTTTATTTATTTATTTTGGTATTGATTCAATGTTATTTTGGTATTTGTTTGGTTTGAATTCATAGTGGTGTTGGTTTGAGTGTATTCGTATTGGTAGTGGTTGTCATGTATGTTTTTCATAATGGTACTGATTGTCTAGGAGAGTATGAATTTTTCGTATTGGCATTGATCTTTCTTGGATTTGTATTGATTTTGTCAAGGCTGGTATGAATTTTGCGTATTGGTATCGATTTTTCTTGGATTAGTATTGATATTTTGCTAAGTAGTCAGAGAAAGTACAAATGGGTACAATCGATCAAGCACAATGATGAAAGGTCATAGGAAGGCAAGGAAGCCGAATCATATGGAAGGAGAGTTATAGAGCAAAGAGTTTAGTTTTTATAAATTATTTTGCCACTGTAATTAATTCAATGTAATTAACATAAATGTAAGTAATTTTTTTATATTCAATACCAATCCATCCAAACAAATTTATATTAATACCACAATATCAACACTATCAATATAGCATACACACCACTACCAAAACAATAAACATTAGAATATCATTCCTAACCTTAGTAACCATGATGGCTACAAAAATTTAGTAACTACCGTAACCCTCCCGTAAAGAGATTGTGGTACAAAAGCCCTCTAGTAAATATATCTTCTCATTTTTTCCATGTTACTTTGATGTTTCACAAGTTTATTTTATGGTTTGTGTGGGTACTATTAACTCGTGTAAAGCAAAAGAAAACAAGTATAGTTTGTAAAATTCATTTAAGTACTGCCCTATAGTATTTGTATATGAATTAGATACGTTTCATGCTCAAACTTCTGTGCTATTGTAGAGCCGTCGTATATTGTGTGTTTGTTCGATGTTTCACGTATTAGACACATACAAAAAGTCAAATACTTGCTTATAAAAGTCAAGTAGTCACCGTCTTCTCTAGGGATGTACATGGATGGGTGGTCCGGTTTTAGACATTTTAATCACCTGATCCATACACTACGGTTTGAAAAATATTAAAACGAATAAACACAAGGTGAAAGCTATCAAAATTCACAAATCTAGTACATCCCTAGAGAAGACGGTGACTACTTGACTTTTAATAAAAATTCAAACGAATAAATCAAGGTGAAAGCTATCAAAATTCACAAATGTTGTTTGAATTTTAATAAAATTTGAATTACTTCAACTTAAGTCTAGTTTTTTTCACGACATTTGTTGAAATAGGCTAAAAATGTTACAAATGAATGCATCCATAAAATGTTATTCTATTAAAATTATACACAAGAAAAAGAATTACGTGAATTATAACTATATTAAATTTATGTCTAAACTTTAAGCCTAAAAATGCCTTAGAATAGGGAGATGATAACACTAAATTTGCACATGTTTTTACCCCGCATTTCTTTATTGTTTAGCTTGTTGATTATCATACTTTGGCCTATTTTACGCTAGGTTGTGTTCATTTGTCACATTTCAGGTCCTAGCATGTAAAATGAAGTATAGGCACAAGTTTCAAGTCAATCGGAGATCAAATGGCGACTCGGGGGAAGAAACTCGGGTATGACCCAAGGAAGAATGGATTTCTACCTCATTTAATGGACAAAGAATCATGTAATCTAGGCATGTAAAGAAAGAAGATGAAATTACGAGCGTCTGGGATCAAACAGCGACTGATTCGAAGTTCGGATGAGGGAGAACAATATGATTCAATACGAACGAGACTACTCCACGAAGAACGTGAGTTCTCATCAGGATTGTTATTAGCTGCGGTATCTTCTTCTTAGCTACATCATCCGAAATCCCTTCCTAATATACTCGACATGAGCCATTAGGGTTAGGGTGGCAAACTACTAAAAGGTCCTTCTAAAATAATAATAATACATATACATCCACACGTCTCTACCGTTGATGATGCAGGGGTCAGTTGGCAGGGAAAATTGATGGTCTACTACAACATTAAATCTAATTTCAATAGTTCATTATTATTATTATTATTATTATTTCCGAGTTATAGTACAAAATAACACAAAGACTACAAAATTCGTGTCTTACCACCTCTGATACGATAATATAATATGAGAACAATATGATTCATAACCAGAGTTGATAAAACACAGAGTTTCATAGGTTTTGCAGTTCTAGATTTCCTATCTTATCATGGATCAAACTGGCACATTATAATTTCTAATGCGTCGAGAGAACGATAATCTACTTTACTTCTACTCCTAAATTACCACGAATACTACTAAACTGGTTTATTATTCATCGACGTACTAAAACCAAAGAACAACGTACATATTTATAGAACTACTCTACAAACCCTTTCCCTCTCAAATAAGGTAAACTAATCCCAACCCAACAAGTAAACAGTAACCTACTCAACAAGACATATTAAACTAATAAGAATAATCATAATAACTTAACAATTAACTAATAATAATCCTAATTACTAAGCCTATACGCGACACCGAGGCCCATGCGTGCTATAATGCACCACAAACTCATAGAACATCTTCTTGAAACCCTCCATCACGTCACTTTCCAGGCAAATCGCCAGCGACAGGCTCCCGTCGACAGGATTTCTCGGCAACAGAATCCCCATTCCTTCGCTGATATCCGCCACATGAAACAGAGTCGAACTTCCCCATCCGAAATCTACAGTCTTGAACGGAAACCGCATCCAGCTCACCACCCACAGGTTCGGCGACCGGCAGTGGGTTGGAACTTGGATGATACCTTCTGGGTTGTTGGGATCTTCCAGGTAATCTATGGAGGATTGAAGGTACTCGTCGTCCATCCTGCTCAGCGCTTTGTGGATCCTCTCCAGTGTTCGTGGCAGTGGCTCGGAGGCGAGCTCTCCGGCGAGGGCGACCGGCATGGCGTGGAAGATCACGTTGCCGAAGTACCCTACAGACAGAGAGGTGGCAAATGGATTGGTAGGATGTGGATTTGGATCGAATGAATTGGTGGATTGGAATGGATTCAAATGACATTATCTAAACAGTGAACAAATATGTAAATCGTGGAAAAAAAGTTTAGATACTTAAATATCATAATACAATAATTTAGATATCAAATCGCAAATTTCCAATGATATGTTGTATTAAAGAAATTAAAATTTAGGTATCAAAACGTCAACTATAAAATGTATTGGTACTCAACTATTATTTTTCAAATATCCATGAATGCACCAATCCTTAAGGTGGCAAATGGATTGAATTCATAGAGATATCAAACATATTGGGAGATTCATAGATTGGATCCATGGATCTAAGTGACATCTAAATATTAGAGCAATATGAAAATTTTAAAAAGTTAGAGTTTAAAACTTCATAATAATAGAAGTTAGGTACCAAAACATAAAATTTTCCAATTGGATTTGGATTCGATTAATTGGATTTAAACTAATTTGATTAATTGGAATATTTTAGTGATGGACTGGACACAAAATTACCGTCTCTAACCAATCCAATTAGATTTGGATTAATTGGATATTTTAGTGAGTGTATTGGATTGGATTGGAATAGTGAATTTGATACAAAAATTTGACTTCTACCTGAAGGGAGTGGAGGGCTCAACCTCGAACGGCCATCAAGCGATATATGCAGCTTGGTCGGTTGTTCGTTGACCAAGCCGCGTGCTTTGCTCGCGCAACGCCATATGTGCGCTGTCAGGATCTCGTAGGTGCTGTATCTGGACCTGGCCCTGTCATTCAGGGTGTTGAGTTGCTCCGCTGTGATCTTTAGTATGGCGACGATGGCTGGTTTCAGAGGGTTGTTGTCAGTGATTATCATGGTAGGATGAGGATCGTACTCGATATGGTGAAACTCTGGGGTTACTGGCTGTCGAGCTCTCAGAATGGTGCGGTCCCAGAACGGCGTGGCCGCAACGGGTAAACCCCGAGCCATGTCTGCCCAAGTGTTGATGAAGCTCACTGATGATTCCCCATCGGCTAGAGCATGGTGGATTCCGATTCCGAGACATACTTGAACCTTGTTACCTAAGAAAGAAAGTCAGAAAAAAGCACGGAATGTGTTAGTAAGCGTGATATATGATTTATAATTGAACATCGAGGTATACCTGGACAATCAGCAGAGGATAAGAAGAAACCCCTTTGGAATAATCGACCCTAGGAACCAGCTCCAACAGCTCTGCCTCTTCTCCAGGCGAGAACTCCAGACCATCCGCCATCAACGGTAGCTCCTTAACCTCAGCAAGAACAGCCTCCGATTCTGCCTCCTGAAACAGGACCCCTTCGTCGTTGCAGTCCAGCTCGAGCCTCCCGCCGTTACCGTCTCTCCTCCTCAGCCTCCCCGCCACGGGATAGAACGGCACCAGGGTCTTGCTCAGAGCCTCCTTCACCACTTTCGTATCGAAGAAGCAGGACTCGGAGGAAGAAGAAGAAGAAGCAGGCTTGTTGTACGCGAAGATCACTCTTGTGACATGGCTTCTTAGCTGCAGGAGGTCCAAGTTCGACAGCCAGAGGCTGTGCCGTGGCCTGCGTTCTGCTGGCTGGACCATGGTCGTCGATTTCACGGTCACCTTCATCGTGATGGAATGAGCTAGCTAGGGAGAGGAAGAAGACGACGAGGGTTGGATTGAGTGACGAGAGATGGTGGTGAGAGATGCATGTGTTGTGGAAGGGGGGCAGTTACTTATATAGCAAGAAAGGAGAAACTTATATGTCGCCTTACTCCATGACTTGTTCTAGTATCTAATTAGGCACGAAACTCTTAGGTGAGGCGTTTTGCCATTGCCTTGCGCCTAGGTGTGTCTAAGCGTAAGGTTAAGCGTGTCTTTTTGAACCATGGCTTTTAGTAGTTCGAATGGTATGTGATTCACGATTGAACCTCTCCCAACAAATCGAGTGATTGGGAGCGAGCAACTGGTTCTTGACATGGTATCAGAACCTTCTGTGACCGGAAGGTCTTTTATTCGATTCCCGATAGCCCCCATCTGTTTCTATTAAGCTCACGATGTCCGGACCTGTGCTCGATCAGGGTGCTTGGCTATGAGCGAGTCGGTATGTAAAAGAACATTCATAACCCCTAGTTTTGGGGCGATCTTAGTGAGATCATGCACAATTCCAGTCAACTCTATATATGTAATAAAAGCTACATCTAGATCCACTGAAAAAGCTTTAATAGGGCGATAATATTCCCGCCTCATAATGCTAGCATGCTACTAGCTGCCTGTTAAAAAAAAAGAGAGCGAACAACCAACCAAACTATAGTGAGACCGGTCCATTATTATTTCCAGTGTTATTAAAGCCGAGTCGAGCCGCTCGGTCCGACCGGTAAAACCGCCACCCGGTCACAAAATCGGCTCGGAACAGTTTAAAAGCCGGTCCGGTTTTATGTAGCGGTTGGCGAGCGGCCGAGGCGGTTAGCCGTTCGAGCCGATCGAGCCGCTCGTCCGGTTTTTGACATTCAGCCACTAAATCTAATTAAAAAAATTGTAGAAAATTGAAATTTGAAATATACCAAAAACGTCGAGCTCTCAAATTGAATCCTTATTTCCATTTCACAATTTCGAAGGAAAGAGATGAGCTCTGACTAAGAAATGTCCACTATTTATACTGATAACGTTTATTAGGTACCGGTTCTCTAACGGTTTTTAAACGGTCTAATGCCGGTTGGACCACTAAAGTGCGAGCCGTTCGCATTACCGGGTCATGCTCCGGTTCAGTTCTGACAACATTGATTATTTCCCTTATTGTGGTGGTGTATAACTGCACTTAGGTAGGACGACTGTATACCAAGAGAAAAGCAGAAGGTCAAAGCAAAGTTAGGCAGGGATAATAAATGGACGTTACACCAAAAAATAAAAATAAGTAAAGCTAGTAAAATTTCGTTTATTAATTACTAGATTTTGCCCCGACCGTTGGACACGGATGAATCAATACTCTTCACAATAATAACAATTACCCGAATTATTTATTTGTTACCATGAAATAATTCAAGTTCTTCAATTACTAAAAGTGTAAAAACACAAAATACATCATAAATTTTACAACATTTTGATCATTCATGTATAAAAGTTCTTAATTATCAAATGAAACACCACAACTCATGCAGGGAACCGATTCTAAAAAACCTTAATATTCAAAACGCACTTTAGTTTACTCTTTGATGTTAGAAATTACGGCAAATTTTTTTTTATGGATTACATTTGGATTGATCCGCCATCAAAAGCATCTTCTCCACACAACTTTATCATCATTAATGAAACTTATATTCACCATCAATAGTAGGGGTGGAAATCGGTACGGTATCCCAATACCAAATCCCGAATACCGAATTACTTCCTAAAATCAATCTCAATCTCTAAATAATTTCGATATCCCAATCGGTACTTCGGTATCCCAATCGGTATTATCGAATACGAAATTAATTACCTTTGCAATTAATAATTAAATATATAAATTAGATTTTATTGTTTAATTTAGGGGCAAAGAGATTAAGCAAAGAGTCTTGAGTTTCGCTAAAGCTAGGATATTATTAAGGAGGATGGAGGAGAGGAGAAATCTTAAGTTCTTGTCAATGGTAATATTTAATTTGACGAATTGAAGAGAGACAACTATTACTAGTGTTTGCTTTTTGGTGTTATGAAAATAACAAGAGATTAGGTGAGAGACGAAAGTAACTTAAATTAAAAAGTCAAATTTGAGTTGGATGGACTTTTAAGTTGTGAAATAGTGATGATACGGTATTCGTTATATCCCAAATACCAGTACCAAACTTCCAGCCCTAATCAATAGTCTTTTCCTTCTTCCATACATTATATTGAAAACCAAGTTTTAATGGTAAAATGTTTGAAAATGGGAAACATTTTTTCACGATAGTAGAATTTTACCTCATCCAAATCATAAATATTATAATCATTCATTCTTTCCTCCCGTATTTGAAATTTCTATATCCACCATCAATAATCTCTTTCTTTATCTGAATAACCTCATTATCTTCATCACTAAATTCACTATCTCTGCTATTAGCATACATTTCCTTCTTCTCGTGTATTTCACTAATTGCAAATATTTAACGACAACATTTTTAGAATTATGAAACTTAGTTTTCAAGAACTTGTTTGAGATTGTTCTTCTTCGTCTTTCATTATCTTCAAAACTGTGTACGCACTTATGAGGTTCACAATGTTGTAATCGTGAGCTTGTTTTGAAAATTTAACTTATTGCTCTTAGTTTGGATGCGATGAGGAGGTGAAAGTTCTTTAATTTTGTTGGTATCTTTGAGTAGTTTCTTAGTATATATTCAAAACATCTAGCTCCTTCGCTATACAAAAAAATAAAGTTAGATTAAACCAAGTTTTCTACAACTCACAGCTAGTCCTCAATCTATAAAATAAATTCGCTTGAGATACACAATTTGGTTTTTTTTTCCTCTCAAATTAATGACCTTGAAGTTGAAAACAACAAAAGAGTAGAGGTGAATTATTACCTAACTACTATTGTCTTTGATATTGTTGTATAATTCTTATAAAGTTACTTGTCATAGTCTTCTTCAACTTTTCTTCAGCAAGTTTCAATTAATATGGTTAATTTTAAATAAGAGTTGAAACGAGTAAGATATAGTTCATTGAATTTGTGAGAAATTGAAAAACTCTTGACTATAGCTCTTGATATTTGTGTCAGCCATAACTAAAGAAGGTTATTCACCAAAATTCCATCATTTTTAATTGGTTGTTTGAAGATAGCAGTGGAGCAGTGTTTTGTCAATTAGATGATTCTCCAAGATGAATATCTTTTCGAGACATAGAATCAATTAATATATTACTTAATAATCGTATGAATTAACTTAAAAATCAAAATAATACTGAAACTAGCATAGAAGAACAAAATTATATGCAAGTGTCAAATGAAGTTTTGATAAGAATTATCATCGCACTAATATAGTTTTTCACTAATATTTGATCAAAACCAAACAAAGTTATGAAGAAAAATAAATTGGAGTTGTCTTTTGTAGCATTGGTAAAAGAAAACTATACATCACAAATCAAGATTTAAGACAGTATGATCTCTTAATTTTTTGGGTAAATATAATTTAATATCCAAATCTTTCATTTTAAACAATATAATAGCCAAACCTTTTCGAAAACAATCTAATATCCAAATCGTCAACTTTCCGTTCGCTTGACCGTTAGTTGACACTTCAAAAAAGCTTTGTTTAGGGGAAATTGTCACAATACAACTTTGTTTCTTGTTTTGGCATTGCAGATGACTGAATATTTAGATATTCTATACCATCATGGTGGAGTCATGGACTTCTCGGGTTTGGAACTATGATATGTTGGTGGTTTTTCAGAGAAGATATCGATGGATAATGATGAGGTGTCGTACTTCAAACTTTTTTGAAGTGTCAACTAACGATCAAACAGACAGAAAGTTGACGATTTGGATATTAGATTGTTTTCGAAAAGGTTTGGCTATTATATTGTTTAAAATAAAAGGTTTGGATATTACCCTATTTTTTTTTATCATTGTTAAAAAAAGAATATATGAAATTTTTTTATCTAGCTACTGGCTTTAATCTTTGATCTTCTAGTCTCTAAATGGAGATTGTAATATACATTTCATCGGTTTAAGAGAGAACCATTACGTAAAATAAAAGTTGAGGAATAAACTAATAATTACTTAGACAATCACTTATATAAATATATTCATAATCCCCTCATCCTTATCAATTCTCAATAACACGCTGAATTTATTTTGTATATGTTTTATGGAAAATATCAAATCCAAAATTATAATTGAAAAGAAAGTTATAATTGAAAATTATTTGGTTTGTTTAAGTTAATTACTTTTAGAACTAAGTTAAGTTATTAAAAATTAGTCAATTAGTAGAGTCACACGTAGACCTGGCAATCAGGTTGGGTTGGGTAATTTCGGGTTGGGAACTTCGGTTACGGGTCGGGTCATGTTTGGTTGGCTGATTTCTGGTCAAATATTGACCCAACCCATTTGGTCTCGGGTCGGGTTACAAGTTATTTCGGGTTATGAGCGTTCTCAGAAACAATATCAAACATGCTTCATATTTTCTTATAGAACACAAATTTTCACATATGCATGACAATAGTTTACCTAACACATGTCAATTAACATATTCTCAAATCCTCCCACGCTAATGAAATGAAATACAAATTGCGCAAATAGTCAAAAAATAATCACAAGAGTAATACTACTACAAAAAACGCATGATATTTGATAATCCTTAAACTCCAAAACATGTCATTCAAATCCATGTAATTTTTTAAACATCCCACCAATTTATGATTGATTTTATCATTTTGGGAGTGATATATAAAATGGAACGGGTCTAACGGGTCGGCCCGCTAACACCCAACCCCACCCAAAAAATCATGGGTTATCGGGTTCGGGTCATTCGGATTTCGGATTACAAAAATTTCTAATTTCCGGACGGTTTCGGGTCGGGTCAACGAGTCGGGTTGTAATTTATCAGGTCTAGTCACACGTATAACAATTCGCCTCAGACACTTAACCATATAATAAAAGAAAAGAAAATGAACAAACTTAACTTTTCTACACGCAACCATCATACATAATTAAAAATAATAATATGATAATTAGTTTTAAAAATATTCCCTACAGGATCTCTTTTCCATTAGCACAATCAACAAAATCTCCGTTTAGCCCGAATTCTTATTAATTAAGAGGACAAAATTGTTCTTCCTAAATTTATTCAAAAGGTTCGAAATTCATGATTAAGTATGTTTTTATGGAAAACCTCTTTATATTAGTGTTAGAATAGTATTCGTATACATATAAAAAGTTGACTTTTTTGTATTTGTTTGATGTTTCAAGTACTAGACGCATATGAAAAGTTGAATACTTGCTTATATAATTTTGTCGTTTTGCGTGTCTCAAATTAATTCTATTAACTACTTGTTAAAACAAACATCGTTAGGAAAATTCGTTTAATATATTGTTAGGAAAATTCGTTTAATATTTCTATACATATTAAACGAAAGTTATGCAATTGGAGTCAAGTATGCGCACCTTCAATAGTTCAAATGGTTAGGAATATGTAGACATAAAAAGATGCTTAAATTGTCTCCCAACATTTATGTATTAGTGAAAATTGAAACGAGATGACTTAACTCTAATTTGATCAAAATGAAACTAATACTGGAATGAGTGAGTGAAAAATGTGCACTCTCAAAAGACAGAGTGTCCTAGTGATGTCAGATAATCAACCACAAAATTGCCCTCTCTACAAACATGCTCTAACTCATGGACTTGTTAAGGCAACGTCTCAATCGTTTAATCGTACACAAGTTTTAACCAAATAAGAGATACGGAAATGCACGTCATTGGCCATAGAATATTAAATAGATTAGATCGACCGAATGAGAGAGATATATATGAATTAGTATCTAGAAATTACCAAAGTATGCCATAGCAAAATGATAATGCACAACAATAATGAAAAAGGAAATTAGAATGAATAGTCAAAAAGAGTGATAGTCAAGCAAATGAGTCAATGATAAAGATTGTGAATAATAAGAAAGAAATATCGATCTATATAGAGAAGAAACAATTGTGTGAATACCATACCATTAAAGGAAAATAATTGAGAATGATTAGTAAAAAAAAGACTCATAGTCAAGAAAATGGATGAAGAAAATGACCATTTTAAGTATAAAAAATTTGATCATTCAACCATTAATAAGGAAAATTGACCATGACATAAAGATTTTTAGAAGTGAAAATGTGTAGAGAGCTTGAGCTATATATATATATATTCTTAATCCTTCACCTCAATCCACATCCATTTCGTAAAAGTTTTCCCCTCAAAGCTACAACAATATGAAGGTGAACATCCTAAAGACCACCATTGTGAGGCCTAGTGACAAAGACGAGGCAAACCCTGATCATCATGGTCGTCGTCGATTGTGGCTGTCCAATCTGGACCTCGTACACGGTAAGGTCCACGAGTCGACGGTTTACCTCTACAAGCCGTCGGAGAGAAATTACTTCGACATCGAGCTGCTAAAAGAGGCCCTGAGTCGGGCACTCGTCCCCTTCCATCCGCTGGCAGGTCGTTTGGCCAGGGACGAGAAGGGGAGAATCGAGGTGGACTGCAACGGAGAAGGCGTGTCGTTTTTCGAAGCCGAGTCAGATGCTTCGTTGGACGAGCTTGGCGAGTTCATGCTTGGAGATGAGCTACTCAAGCTGGTCCCTAGGGTTGATTACTCAAATCATGAGATCTCTTCTTGCCCTTTGGTGCTTCTTCAGGTAAATCTTGCCAACTTTAAAACCCTACCCAAAAATGTGAAAATTTTCTTGTAACACTTAAAAAAAGAATCATAATTTGTCTTGGGTTTTTTCAAAGGTGACGAGGTTCAAGTGTGACGGATTGAGCCTTGGGACAGCAATCCACCACAGCGTGGCCGATGGTGAATCGGCTCTGAGCTTCATCAAAACATGGTCCAACCTGGCTCGAGGCCTTCCTGCAGCCGTCAAACCGTTCATGGACAACACCATTCTTCGAGCCAGGAACCCACCCTCCCCAAAGTTCCATCATTTCGAGTACGACCCGGCCCCAACCCTAATCAACAACCCTAACCAACCCGGAAACCGCACCACCATGGCCATCTTCCGGTTCGAACCGGACCAACTCAACGCCCTGAAAAAGCTGGCAAACCCAACCGGCACAGCTAGTAAAATACGGTACGCGTATTTTACTTTATTTCTAAAATAATTGTACCTCGGTCTAACACAGTTACGTCAACAGTCATAAAAATATATTGAACGAATAAGTCTAAAAAAAATGTACAAATAATTTTCAAATTATCAATGAAATTCATTAAACACGGACATTAAAGCTTTATACATGTTTAGTACAAGATCCATTATAATGAATAAGGAAAAAAAATGTTTGAGCAATAATCCAAAAGTAAATGTTTTAAACACCATAAAGTACATACATCATCATATATACGCGTATTAAACAGAGTATTTACTGATTATACTAGGTACAGCACGTACCAGATCCTGACGGCCCACATCTGGCGCTCCGCGAGCAAGGCCCGCGGTGGCCTTGCTCCCGACCAGCCGACCAGGCTCCACATGGCGGTGGACGGCCGGTCGAGGCTGACGATCCCGCCGGTCCCTTCTTCCTACTTCGGCAATGTGATCTTCCACGCCGCTCCCGTCGCCACGGTCGGCGAGCTAACTACGGAGCCACTGGTTCGAACCCTGGAGAGGATTCGAGATGCCATCGACAAGATGGACGACAGCTACCTGAGGTCGGCGATCGATTACCTGGAGGACCCCGACGGTGACGACCCGGCTAGCGTGATGCAGGTTGGGGGCACGTGCCGGTCGCCGAACCTGAAGATCGTCAGCTGGATCCGGCTGCCGTTGGAGTGTTGCCGTCCGGCGGGTTTGTTTGAAGGGTATGGAAACCTTCTTCCTGGGAGTGGTGATGATGGGAGTCTTATTCTTGCGATTTGCCTCGAGGTGGAAGCTATGGTGGCGTTTAAGATAATTTCTTGCCCGATTCGGGAGTTGGGCAGGGCCAAGGATCTCTACGTCAGAAGCCGGACGAGATGCGAAGTGGTTGATCATTTGACGAAGTGGTTAACTAGTGACTTGGTGGTTAACTAGTGACTTGGTGATTAAGTCTGTGAAAGGGATGGGTTAAAGTCCATATAATTTCTGGTAATGGGAGACCCAATTCCCCTCTAATACAACGTTAGAGGCTGAATTCAATGTGGAAAACTTATTATCAGAAATTGAAGCACACAATTTGTCATCCCGAGGTATGTGCTTGTTATTCTGCATGAGAGAAGAGGATGAAGTTCAAAACTTCTTAATTGAATCTTTGAAAAAGTGTATGATGCGGGTACACGAATAAGAGATTCGACCTACGTAAGCATGAAGTGTAGCCGCTTCAAGAAACCCGGACTTTGGTTTCGTGTGCGCTTATGAGAAGGATTGGACACATGGCGGATAATAGTGTCAAGGTGCTTAGAAGTTTTGAAAACTTAAGTGTATGTTATCTTCGAATATTCATATGAGTCAATGGGTTCAATCGTTACCGACACCCTTTGTATTCGAATATTTGTCAAGTGTAATATACTAAGGTGAAAATTCAATCGTCACGACATTTTCATTTATGCTTAAGTTTTGATGAAAGAATGTTGTAATTTTAGTGAATTCGTTGAAGGGGAGGAATGTTGGAATTTGACGGATGTCATGGTAACCATGGTGATGACGTGAGGTCATGAAGCGTGTGCAAGAAGCTATGCATCGCATGGTTTGGATGAATGCAACGTTTCACATCTCATCACAACCGTCACAACTCACAAATTCAAGACTAACCAATCAACTTCCATTTTCATTCAATATTCCCACGTGATGGTTTTGCTTAATTGGATAAGTTTGGAGTGGAAGAACACATCCCTCCAGTTCAATTGCATGAACTAATGCATGCTTCCAAATTAAACCAATGAAACGTGTGGGTTTCTGTAACTGCCAAAGGTGAAAGAATGCAACCTTTCAAAGGTTGTCTTTCATGCCCTATAAATTCAGGGTCTCGGCAGTTGGTAGCAGAACACACCAAAAATTCATTCTTCTTCCTACTAAACTTCTAAGTGTGCTTTAGGTAATTAAGCCTGAAACCTAAAGTGGTGATAGTTTTATCCTACGAAAAAATTTCCTGTAACCCTAGGCTTGTTGAGGGTGGAAATATTCTTTACGGAAAGTGAACGTTGTTCACGACTCTATCATAATCCTAGTCACCCGGTCTCGGGCTATCGTACGTATACCCTCGTCCCTAAAAGTCCCAACACCACATCCAGTCATCCAGTACACCTCCTTTCCCCGCAGCTTCAGCGCTGCCCCCTCCATCTCAAACAACGAAGGCGGCGAGGACGTACGTCGAGCAGCTGCGGCAGCAGAGCTTCGTTTTTGTTTTATTTATTTTTTAATTAATTGTGATAATGAGTTGGAATTTTAATCGAATTATTTTATTATTTTTTAATTGTCACGTCACCTATTTAACAGTCAAATCTCAGAGTTGACTGTCACGTCAGTTAAAATTAACGGAGCCTAAAGGAGAGTGACCCAACTTGAACGGTTGAACTAATTTTAGTGACCATAAATAAAATAAATTAATCTTAGTGGCAAACGTGATATTTTTTAGTAATTCCAGTAACCAAAGTTGCAATTTAGCATTTTTTAAATTTATTGACGGAATGGCTACTTCTCTGTGTTTTCCAAAATATAGCTTTGTGTGAAAGAAAATACAAGATCATATATGAAATTACAGCTCCCTGACACAAAAGTTGAATACCAAACTCGAAAAGAAAAAAAATCTCCACATTGAGTAAGATCGATATGTAAAATTATATATCCATGATTGTATATCTCTATAGTGTTGCCACGAACAACAAATATGTTGGTGGCAGCCTCAACTCCATACTTGCAAATATTGATTTTCACGGATAACCACACCCAACCCACAATGAATAATTGTTACCCACTAACTACGTCTCTTTTCACGTATCTTTATAAATTAAAAACATATAATTGCAGAGAGGAAAAAACCCTTCTCTCATTTCAAATTTCCTACTCCAGGAGCGTTTGTAGGAAGAGTAGAATAGGGAGTGTCAATTTTTTTCTTTTTCCTATGTGGAACGGGCCAACTTTCCGTACACATGCGAATTTAAATTGGTCCAGGAGTGTCAATTTTTTTCTTTAAATCCTTTTATTTCTCCGTGGTGGTAAAATATATATATGAAAAGGCAAAAACAATACTCCTTTTTATTGGTAAAAATAAAAAAATTTAACAATAAACTAATGCTTTGATTCTAATTGGCTAACCGCTAATCATAAAATAAAAGAGTTGGATGGGTTTGACCTACACGGGATTTGCCCATCAAGTAAAACAAATGAACATCATGGGTTTGCCATTCTAAAACAAGCTATTTTATCTAGCATAATATATATTATGCTATTATTTTATATATTAGTGGCTAAAATATAATGTATTTTAAAGTTATTCAATCGTTCAACCTCGACCAACTCAATTAGTCCAATTTTTATCATTTCAAATATATATTATGTAATTATTTGATATCATAATGATTAAATTATATTGTATATTATAGGGAATCGTTTGGTATTTGTTAGTAAAAAACTAAACAGAAAGATCTATTTGGTTATTATTAACTTTAAAACGATCCTAAACATTTTCAGTTTCCTTTCGAAATTCTATAGTTTTATTCCCGAATCAGTGATGTGCAAATGGTGAATTGCAGTCATCTCTTTTCTTTCATTATTTTTTATTTTCAAATATAAAGTTTAAAAGTAAAGAATAATTAGAGTTTGGCATGGGTCGGTCAAATAGGCTGAATTTCAAGTTTTGGCCCGTATTGATCAAGTCTAATTTATAATCACATGGTTCCCTGATACCCTATAAAAATCTCAATCCAAACCAGTTTGGCAGGTGAGTCTGTGTTTACCATCATTTTCTAGGGATACAGGAACGGTGGTTCCTATCCCAAATCGTGTTGTTCATTCTTGATTTCTTTAGATTTTATTATGGCTTGGCAAAAAACTAGAAAGCACAATGATGAGAAGATGAAAGTTTTATTAAGCAAATTAATTAGCCAACGGGCCGAGTAAAAGCTAGCAACGATTGTGAGATGCTCATTTCCCGAAAACCGACGGGATAGGCGATTTTTTATTTGATTTTCTAGAATTCATTTTCTACAAAACTTACTCCACCTCATCATATTACTAGAAACAATATTGTTTCACAAGGTAACAGATACTTGATTTTGGTTCATAAGGCTGATTATTGATTCGTTGCATCATTCATGTCTCTTTTCTACTAAAATTCACTATTTTTATCACGTGTTTCCCAAAAAAAAAAAACTATACAATAATAAGCTATACACCCTATTATATTATCAAATTTCATACCTCATCTTCGTTCGGCCAAATGGCCGGGGCCCACGCTAGTTTTATATTAATAAATCCATTCACATTTTCATATGTTTTACGGTTTTCTAAATAGTTTATTCATGATTTGAAAATAATATTTATGTTACTTGTGGATTTTTACATTAGTAAGTATTTAGTTTATGTGTTTCTATTGATGAGGTAATCCTAGTTTACTGCTTTTTCCAATTTTATAAGAAGCTTGTATTCTTTCTTATATTTAGTATAAATTGTTTAAAATACATTTCCTCATATGACTAGTTATTATTAACTTTCATTTAAATTAGCTCCAAAACAAGCTGAGATAATTATGCATTGAAGTAGAATTAGAAAATTCAAGAAATTGAACTATTGGTATATTGCAATGATAAATTAACCACATAACTTTATTGGCAAGAATCATTTAAAAGTTTAATAGTTAAGAAAGTATAAATTATCAAATATTAATTTATTGATAACTAATATATCGTAAAAAAAAACAGCTATGGTTGCTAAGAGTTGATATTGACTTATAGTAAACTAAAAATATAATACATTTTTATATCCAAACGTACATGTTTATTTTTATAAAGATAAATATATACACATTTAGGACGATTCCTTGGACAATTTCTTTCATTTTGAAAGAAGTTTTAATGACTTTAGATGTGGCGTTAGAAATATCAACAAGCTAAGTTGGACATCTCAGAGATGTTTCAAGTGAAGGAGTAGCTACTGGCTAGTAGCTAGCCCCGACGAAGACATGATTTCGAATGAGAAGGGGCTACAAGAACGTTTTTTTTATTCTTCCAGATTTGAACTTACATCTTGGAAGAGGCAGGGAATGCGTAAACTACATAGTGAAAAAGTATCCAATTATAATCTGTTAAAAAAATTCGACCGTTCTGTCTACGAATTCATGAATCCAACTCATTTCATCGCGTCGTTCGTCATACTAAGTCTCATAGAAAAACTTCTGAAATGCCTCCACAACACCAGCCTCCAAGCAAATCACCAAACGCAGACTCCCATCATCCCCTGGAGGCAAAATGTGCCCCGTCCCTTCATTGTAATCCGCAGCTTTCCTAATCAGAATCGGACTCCCCCACCCGAAATCGGCATTCCTGAAAGGCAGTCGAATCCAGCTCACCAGCTTCAGGTTAGGCGACCGACAAGTCCCCGGAACTCGTATCACACCATCCTTACTCCCCAGATCCTCCAGGTAGTCTATCGCGGACCTCAGGTACTCGTCGTCCATCCTGCTTATCGCTCGTCGAATCCTGTCAGCAGTATCCGCGATGGTCTCTGCTGCAAGTTCCCCTGCAGTGGCAATGGGGGTGGCGTGAAAGATCACGTTGCCAAAGAACGTCGGAGGCATCGTTGGGTTCAGTCTCGACCTTCCGTCGACCGATATCTGCAGCTTGGTCGGCTGCCCGTCGGGCAGGCCGCGTGCTCTGGTAGCGCACCGCCATATGTGGGCTGTCAGGATGTCGTGGTTGCTGTACCTGTTTCCTGACAGGGTGATGTTGGCTTTGTTCTTTAGGGATGTGATTTGGTTTTGTGTGATTTTCATCATGTGGATGATGGGAGTGGATGGGATTAATGGAGTGGGAATGACCATGGTTGGGTGAGTGTCGTATTCGGTGTGGTGAAATTTCGGGGTCGGTGGGTCTCGAGCTCTGAGAATGGTTCGGTCGAAAGATTGCACCGTGGTGGCGGCTGTGTTGCGTAGTATGCAGCCGCCACCTCGAGCCATCTCTGACCAGGTGTTGATGAACTGGAGCGCCGACGCTCCGTCCGCTACCATGTGGTGGACTCCGATGCCTAGACATACTCCGCCACACTTGAACCTTGTTACCTTCATAAAATTTTTAGAAAAAACAAAAATTAAATGTTTTGTCATATGGTCAAGATTATACAATCAGATGATTCATAAAAGCATTTTGTGTCCTATGAGTCCAATTAATTGGATTTGTAAAATTGGCATTTACTACTTTACCATCCATCTCATGTACAACATTTCAGTGCCTAAACTTTCATACAAATATGGTTTGATTCTTTAACATGTTAGCCCCTATACCATCCAAATGTCACAAGTTGGTTCATAATTTCAATCACCCTCTTAACTTCTGTTTTGCCAATTCAGTACCTTATCATGGACTATGGTGCCATTGCTTTAACTACTAGTACTAACAAACTAAATCACCACCCACACAACTTTACAATTTAATACCCCAACTTCCAAACTCTTTCCCAAGTAGCCCTCAAGTTCTAATTGATAACTGAAATACCTGGAGTGGGGTGCACAATACAATACCTGAAGAACAAGCATTGGAACAGAGGAGATCTCCTGGGAGTAATCAACACCAGGAACAAGCTCCCCAAGTTCGACCTCCGGCGAGGGCACGAACTCTCCGAGCTCGTCGATGGAGGACTCTGTTTCGGCCTCCAGAAACAGGGCACCTTCTCCATTACACTCCAATTCCAGCCTCCCGCTCCCTTTACCTTTCTCTGGCCCGATTAATCTCCCCGCCATGGGATAGAACGGCACCAGGGCCCGGCTCAGTGCGTCCTTCAGCACTTTGGCGTCGAAGAAGAACTCGGAGGAGTCGGTCGTCGAGTTAGTGTATGCGTAGACTGTCCTGACGTGAGCTTTGAGCTGCAGTAGGTCCAAATTGGACAGCCAGAGCTGCTGCCTCGGCGTGTCTTCCGCCGGCCGGACCATGGTCTTCTCTTTGATTGCCACCTTCATGGCGAATAACGGCAGATGGTAAGTGTTATGTGAAACAGGGGAGTGGAAGCTTATGGTGAAGAATGAGTTTGTGGAAGGGAGGAGTATTTATAGGAAAACAGAGGAGGTCCAAGAAAGTTTCTTCCTTTTCTTTCTTCTTTCCCCCTTGCCAAATACTTACTTTTTCAAGATCAATTCGTATTCAAACACAACTATAGAAGCTAATTTTGTGACAGATTGTTTTATTCACCAGGATCATGCATCTATTCCCCTATAGCGCCGTTTTTATAAAGACTAAGGTATCATTTGCTTGTGGGATTTGGCCATTTGGGTGATGGATTTGGCATTTAAATCTCAAACATCAAGGACTTGATACAAATCTATTGTTTGCTAAGGGACACAAATCCATGGAGCCCACGGATTTGCAAATCCCATATTTCATTTGGGATTTGATAATAGAAGGCAAAGTTGTGAGACAAATCTATCATAAATCTATGATAAAAATTAACTAAACAAACAATGTAGTCTTCCAAATCCATAGTGCAACAAATTCATCATAAATTCAAGGGTTAATATTTTCGTATGGCCTGAACTTTGACCAAAATAAACATCCTGACCAATCTTTTCGATCTATAACATCCTGGCCCGAACTATACACCAAAATAAACAATTGGCCAAACCCGATGTTTGACCGTTAACTTGGACGGTCAAACGCGTTGACTAACGGTCAACGCGCCACGTCACTACCAAGTCAGAAGATCTGATAAATATTAAATTTTTTTTTTATTTTTGGTTTAACTAAGGTATTAGATGATTTTTTTAATTTATAATAATTTAAAATTAGGGAATGTGTGGAAATTGTGAATTATTTTAAATATTTTATGCTGACTTGGCAGTGACATGGCGCGTTGACTAACGGTCAACGCGTTTGACCGTCCAAGTTAACAGTCAAAAGTTGAATTTGGCCAAATTGTTTATTTTGGTGTATAGTTCGGGCCAGGATGTTATAGATCGAAAAGATTGGTCAGGATATTTATTTTGGTCAAAGTTCAGGCCATACGAAAATATTAACCCTAAACTCAAAGCTTTTTAAAACCCAAAAACCCTCATTTTCAAATCCAACAGGCAAACGACCCTAAGTTAATATAGTCGTGTTTGTAAAACAATACTCTACCGACGGTCTGACTGAGCGTACCTCTTACGAGGATCTAAATCGGTTTGCGGTTTCCAACAATATGAAATGATTCAACCTTGATTACGTGACAGATCGCAGTATTCACCAAGGTTACTCGTATGTTTCTCTAAGCTAAGTTTGATGAACATTACATAAGCGACTCAAGTCCATTATTTTTATTTATGAATTTTTTTTTTGAAATTGTTAGCACCCTCGCTAGGGATGGCAATGGGTCGGGTTGGGGCGGGTTTTGTCAAACCCAAACCCAAACCCATGGGTTTATTCGCCAAAAAAAACCCGGAGTAAAACCCGCTGAGTTTGAAAAACTCAAACCCAACCCAACCCGCTGGGTATCCGCGACTTCATGGGTACCCGTGGGTTTTTGTGGTAAGAAATTTACAATAACAAGTTTCTTTCAAAATAAAAGTTTAACATCAATTTTCTCATACAAATTATTCATACAAAAAAATACCAATATAGAGAATACAAGCAAACCGCAAATGATCAATACAAATTATTCAAAATTAAAGATAAACATCTATAAACAATAAGATTAATTAAAAGCTTCTTTCTCGTCAACTAAGTTTCTTCACTCTCCACTTCATAATATCAACTTCATTCTAAACAATTAGAAAGAACAAATTATACATGTCTCCACAAACATAAATCAAATTAGTTGTTTAAGAAAGATATATTATTTAGAATATTAAATATGCCGGGAAAGTAATTATATGTGTGTGGGCGAGTACCCATGGGGCGGGTTTACCTAAACCCAAACCCAACCCAACCCGATGAATAGTGTAATGGGTTTAAATCCGAACCCCACCCAAAACCCGTTAACACGGATTTTACCTACATTGACCGGGTTGGGTCGGGTGGGTACCCGTGAGTTCGGGTTTTGTTGTCATTCCTAATCCTCGCGTTACTTGAACCTCCTCCTCCCTATTTTAGTGAGAAATGGTAGCATCGTTCTTATTCGCTAGATGCTTATTTTTTACTATCATATCCGTTCTTTACGCCCATTTAAAAATAAGCTAATGTTGTGACATATTACCTTATTCATTAGAATCGCACATCAATTTTTCGAGCTCCATTTTATAAACATTAAATATGTGACCTTGGTCATCTGGTTTATGTATAGAATTTTAGAAATTGTTACGATCCTCACATTACATGAATCTCCTACCCCTAAATTTAGTGATAAATGGTAAGATCGCTGCTTATAAAATTTTAGAAATTGTTAGGATCCTCACATTACATGAATCTCCTTCTCTTGAATTTAGTGATAGATGGTAAGATCGCTGTTGTTTGCTAAATACTTACTTTTGATTGTGAGATCTGTCATCCAAGTAAGGATTGTGAAACCGTATTCGATACTTTTGGTTAGATTGACTGGTACACTAGGAAATTTAGAGATAAAAGCGGCCCTTTGAGATACCTCAAAATTTCGAGTACATAACTAATTTGTATGAAAGATATATAAGTGAATTAATTTAGTACATCCATTATTGTAATAATAATTGTACATTACGAACATTAACATATGTCGAATAATGGAAAAACTCAGTTGAGCTGAAACAACACTAATACTTCAACCAAAAAAATCAAATCCCTAAACTTATGAGCATAGCTGAAGGAGAAATTAATCTAAAAGAAGGTAAACGGTCGGGGATAAAAAAAAATGTTTTTCAATTTTGTAGAATAAAACTTTATACAGATTTTTCCCAAATAAAAAAATCATTAATAGATTCTCTAGTTGCAGACATCATGATTCATTAAATCATTATAAAATGGGCTAATACTAACGGAAAACATGAACTATTAACTTTGTGTCATTTGTGTCCTAAAGTATCCGATATGACATTTGTGTCCTAAACTATTTTTCTGTTAGAGTTGACCAGCATTTACCGTTAGTTTTTAACAGAAACTCTAATCAGCGCTGATGTGGCAGATGACTTGGAATTTTAAATTCAATTTTAATTTAATAGTCTTTTAAAATTGTATTTTAAAAGTAAAAAATAAAACTCTCGGCACCTCACCCCTCCCACCTTCTCTCTCCCTCCCTATCGCCTCTGCCCCTCGCCGATTTCCTCCTCTGCCTCGCGTCTCCTCTACTCATCCCCAATACAAAAGCGGCTGTGGATGACGGTTGTGGACGAGCTGCCAAAATCAAATCGCTCGGGAATCTGGCGGTGACAGTGAGCTTCTATTTCGGAGTCAAGGGAAAAGGAACGGCGAGAGTGGTTGTGTAGCCAGATCTCCCGACCATTTATTTGGGCATTTACCCTTCCAACCTCCGCCGCTGCTTCAGTTGGAGCCTCAACCGCCGCAACCTAAAGTCGCTGCTCCCGTTGAAGGCTCGACCACCGCAACATGAAACCGTAGCTCCCGCTACTCCCGTTGAAGCCTTGTCACCTCTATAGATCCAATGAAACCAGATCAAATGAAACCCAGAAACCCAGATTAAATGAAACCCAGAAACGGCGGCATTGAAATTAGATCTGCAGTGACGATTTGGAAGGGGTTGAAATCAAGCCGAAAAAGAAGATAGTAGTCATTCAGGTTCTCGGAACGAGCTCAGCGTTCCTAATCTTGCGATAATTGTTGGTCGATTTCTCTCTGCGTAGCCGAGCCGATTGAAGAGAGAGAGAGAGACGCACACATCGTGGAGATGGAGAGAGAGTGGGGATACAGATGAAGCAACAGATGGAAATGGAAGGGATACGAGCTTCCCTCTGCCTCCTCGTCGGCGATTTGGAAGGGTTCGAGCTCCAACCTGGTTCGGAATCAGCTTCGTCGCTACCGGCCACCGCAGACAGGAACCCCTATCACCGCCAATCGACTTCTTCTTCCTACGTCACCGCCAAATCCAGTATGAGAGAGAGAGAGAGAGATATATAGAGGCGAGAGGGATCGAAGAACAGAGGCTGAGATGAATCGTCTTCACCGGTGGCGGGGCGGCTTTTGGTTTTACAGAGGATCGAAGAACAGAGGCGGAAGGAGGCGTTTCTTTTAATTTCTAATTTTTCTATGTTTTAAAATAATTAAATTTTGAATCAAAAATAATATTTAATGATGTGGCATCTACATGTCAGCAACCTTTTTTGCCACGTTGGCAAATATATGACGTCCGTCTGGTCAACCGTTATTTATAACGGTCAACGAAATCGTCAGGAGATAAATGACACACAACTATAATAGGTTAGGACACAAATGTCATATCGGATACTTTAGGACACAAATGACACAAAGTTAATAGTTCGGATTTATCAGTGGTATTAGCCCTTATAAAATTACGTCATTAGTTTCTGCTAAAAGAGGGGAAAACACCATGATTAAATTATGTAGCTCGCTCGGCTGGTTTAAAAAAGATGCACAATATGATGTTCAATAATTTTTTTATTTCGGTAAAATTGATGGTTATCAATAATTAGCACACAAGTAATTATAGAATTTAATCTGCTGGAGAATAAAAAAAAACTTTATTTTTTGTATGTGTGTTTGTTTCTGCTTTTTTCTTAAAATTTGGAACATTTTTCTCTTAAGTTTTTTTATTTATTACATTTTCTCTTAAGTTTGGGAACCGTATGTTCGGTGAGAATTTAGAAAAAAGGCAAAATTGATGAAAAGTGATCTTTTTTTTATATATGTTTATAAAATTTTGAATCTCCAAACTCAAATCTAGTGATTATATCATTACACCGAGTACTTGTTCGTTAATTTATGTAGGACTCTTGAGGAATGGTTGGCACTAGGCCTGTCTATTCGGTTTCGGGTTTTCGGTTTAACCCGAACCCGAACCAATATAAACAGACTCGGGTTCAACCCGAGTAACACACAGCAGCGGTTTCGGTTTACCAAAACCCGCAAAACCGAAAATCCGCAAACCCGATAGCATATTAGCATCGCACGCTGTCGTTTTGGCTTTTGATAGCAAGAGCAACCCTCGGCCCTCGTTTCAGCCCTAGCCTTCAGCCATTCCGTCGCCGTCTCTTCGATTTTGGAAAACGAAACAGAGGACAGAGCCTCCTCCTCGGCCCTCGCTTCAGCCCTTCACCTCGTGCCGTCGCCGCCATCATCGTCCTCGCCGCGCCGCCATCATCGCTTCAGCCCTTCACCTCGTGCCGTCGCCGCCATCATCGTTCACCACCATCAAGACGAAAACCAATTTCAGAAACAGGGGGATTGCGACAATATTTGTTATTGTTTATGTTATCCAGTATATGTAGCTTTTCAAGCTCGGAGTGCAAGTGCACCTGCAGGACCTAGTGGAAGCTCTCGTGCAGAACCCAGTGGAAGCTCACCTGCTACCCATGTTTTGGTCTCGAGTCCTACTATGTCACAAGTGGAAGAAGACTATGTCGACAACAATTCCGATGAGAATGATGAGACTTATGTAGATGTAGAGCCTGATAAGGAGTGATAATGGTAGTAGTATTTATCTTGTATGGTGGATGAATTTTTATTTTACTTGGATGTTATCATTTGAGAATTGTAAAACTAATGTGTTTAATTACGAGTTGAACTTGGTCCCCCATAAACAAAATGAGGTAAGCAACTCATGTGAAACAATTCATAAAACGGTAGATTTTGCACACAATCATCTCAAAAAATTTAAAAAAAACCCCAAACAATCTCAAAATAAATAAAAACTTAACCCCTCAATCGTCACCTTTCCTTCTCTAACTTCTTAATTATGAATTTTTAAATCAAACTCGTCTCATCTAAATGAAATTATAATCAAGGATTGAAAAACGGTATCTTTTTTGGATGATAGCATGACACAGATTTTTTATTTTGCACTTAAATTCTGTTTTGATGATTAACCATAATCAAAGCTCCCAAAATAAGAAATTGATTAGTCGAATTTACTTACTAAACTGTCCCTCCCAAATTAATTTCCCCCCTAGTCTCCTAGTCAACTAATTACCATGATCATCGACGAGTTTGACTAAATTTAAATTACCAAACCCATTACCGACAAAAGTTTCCATTTCCTCTCCCTTTAATTCTTCTTCCTTGCCATATTTTGCCCATTCTCTATAGTTATAGAATACATAAAATTAAATATTTTAATAATTAACTAATAAGAATAAAATTGTTTGTACAAACAAAAGAATGTACAAATAATAATAATTTTTTAATAATTAACTAATAAGAATCTAAAAAATACTATAAGCGTTTTCTCCAACTGCCATTCAAGGATTCTAATTTCACGTCCATTCATGCTGCCACGTCATCCATTATCTCTCCTCCCTACCCATCAGAATTCCTTCCCTCTTCCGTCTGTTCGTAGTTCCCTTCCCGTCGCATGCCTTCCACCCCCAATTCTTTCCCTCTAATTCCACCTAACTAGGGATTTCAATTTAGAGGCCAAACTCTGCATGCCATCCGCTTCATCTTAGCTTTTTATCCCGCCGACATTGTTACTCTATCGACGGTTTGCCACTACGCGGATGCTGTGGTTGCCGCTTCCACTGCTTCAATTCATAGGTATGTGATTCCACATTGTCTTCTCTGATTGAACGTCTTATCCAGTAAATTAAACCTGCTGCTTTTGCCTCCTTTTTTTCCGTAATAGGAGTTGAACATTACACGACTTCCTCAAGAAAGAAATTGAAAGCATCCCTTTCAAAGTCAACGAGAGCGCACCGGCGACTGCATTTAGTCACGAAGAGAACTTCACGGTTCAATTCCATAATAAAGACCAGTAAGATGAAGTTTCGGTTCGCAAATTAATTAGCTTCCATTCTTTCACATATACTCAGGCACGCATTTGAACTTTCTGCATTTGCAGATTATGAATGCTTACCTGTATAAACAAGGGCTGCACATTCTAACCATGGTCCCATTGTTCTTCTCAGATTTTCAAGGCACTTGGGGGTGAAATGTCTACAGTGATGCCAAACACATAATTATTGCAAAGTTCACAGAGAGCTTTAAAAGCTATAAGGACAAGCAGACTTCTATGTTTATCCATGTAAGTTTCATCTACTGCCAACGTATATATATGACAGCACAACAAATGAACCCTTTATCCAGTTGACATATGAATGATATCATCCAACTGGAGACATCTCTGTAGTTGAAACGGTTGTTTATACAGAGAA